TTGATATGCCCGCCCGAATGCACATGTCCCCTCACACAGCCGCCCAAGGGTGTATGCCGCCCAGCCGCCCAAGGATATATGCCTTGTAGCGGCAGACTAGCGTCCCGAGCCCCCATGCGACACGTGGAGTATGCTCAATCCTGCCGGGCATGCCGATGGTCGTCCTCATCTCCCCCTCCTTCGCGTCTATCTCTCCTTCCACCCCACTCGCTTCTCTTACGTGTCCCTTGCAGGCTGTTCCCAGGATCGCGGGCTGCAGCCCAAGGTTGCGGCAGGGAAGCAGCCTTGCGCGGCAGGCGGGATCTTGGGCGGGATGCAGCAGCGGCTGTATGCGGGAGGTAAGCAGCAATGAGTACGGAAACGCGGTGCTGAGGGGCTTGCAGCTGCACCCAAGTAGACCCAAATGAGGCTTTCTGCGTGATCTCTCTCGCGTGCTGGTACGCCAGAGTAGGACTCCCCAGCGTCCGTGAGCCACGTTGGTTTCCATGCCTCTGCTGCCTGCGGTGCCGGCAGCTGGTCGGACCTGCCTGCCCACCTGTACTACAGGCTGCCGGCCCCGCCGTTTGGAACCGGGGACCGCCTTCCAGTTGCTTCGAGGCGCCAGCGTGGGGGCTGCAGGTGCAGGTGCAGCCGGGCGGTGGCGGCTGGGCGCATCAGCCCACCGCCTCCCCCTCCCCTCCTTGCTGCAAGGGAGGGCGTTGCGGCTGGAGACAGGGCCCGACATGCGAGGCAGGGTGCCGCTGCTGCCTCCGCCCCTCGGCCCCCGCGCAGCGGAGGCGGAGGCGGCGCAACCCCTCCCTGGCGGTAGGCATGCGGTTGGGGTGGCGGCGGGTGTGGGCACGGCGGGGACGGCTGTGGGTGGGAGTACGGGACGGACTGCGGGCGGGGGGGTGCGGCTGGCCTTCCCGGATGGCAGCAAGGCGACACTGCAGGGCTGACAGGCGCGGCTGGAATGGAGGTACGAGTAGGGGTGCATGGTGCGCACGGTGCGGGTAGGGAGGAGGGCGAGGGGGGGGAAGGTAATAATATGGGGTGTAAGCCTCATTGCGGTGGGCAGGCGGGTGAATGGGGGGGGGCGGGAGTGAGGAGGACGTGCGCGGATCATTAGGAGGGGGGCAGGTCGGTGGTTGGAGGGGGGGGCGGTTTCGGAGTGGGGACGGCCGCTAGGTGAGTGGGAGTGGGGACGGCCGCTAGGTGAGTGGGAGTGGGGACGGCCGCTAGGTGAGTGGGAGTGGGGACGGCCTCTAGGTGAGTGGGAGTGGGGACGGCCGCTAGGTGGCGGTGCCTTAACAGATCCCGCGTGCCCCGCAGAAGGCCAACTAAACCCACCGAAGCAACCCCTTCCCCTCCCACCCGCCTCGCATTTCCTCCTTTACGGACTACCCAGGTGCCCATCCAGGAGGCCCTGCGCGGACGTTGCGGACGCGGCAGGGGCAGCAGACGGGAACAGTAGTTAGGGGTGGCAGGCTTCCTCCTCCCCCCCTCCCAGCTGACAGCGGGCGATCTGGAGCGCGAGTTCGGGTACGTGTGGTGGCTGCGGAGGCCGCTGCCCCGGCTGAGGGAGCGGGGGGGGGCCGGGCCGGCGGGTTGAGGCGGCAGGGGGCGCCCGCAAGAACAAGGGGAGAAGGGAGGAAAAGAAGAGGGATGCGAAGAAGAGGGGCGATGGGAGGGAGCGCTGAGGGGTGGGTGGGGGGCAGTAGGGATAGGTATTCCGCAGTAAGTTTGAGAGTTGGGATTGCGCATTGGTGCAGGTGTTACATGGTGTAGTAGCAGCAATCAGTGGCAAACCGTATTCAAGCTCCCTTGCCGGCGGGTGTGGTGATCTAAGACCATTGGACGTTACAATGACGAATGGGTGTGGGCGGAGAACCGGACATATGTCGCCTTTTTGTTGTTGTAGTAGTAGTTGTTGGTGGTGGTGGTGATGGGGAGCAGCAGGGTGCTTGCTCTGCTTTCAGAACCGCTGGTCGGAGGATGAAAAGGGGTATGCTGCCTGTTCCTCGGTCTCGGGTCCCGTCATCCCCGCATTACATCCGGCTGGGCGGGGTCGCGGGGACATGCTGCGTTCACGTGATTGGGAAGGGAGCTGGTAGCGAGGCGGGTGGGTGCACGTGGTTGCCGCGTTGCTGCTTCTCCTCCGTCCCGGGTTGGGCGGCGCTCTGGGCTGTGTTGCATGACGGGTTGGAGTGGCAGGATGAAGAGCGAGGGGGCGAGTAGGGCACGTTCTTGCGGGTAGGCGCACGTGAGTGGGGGGAGCGGTACAGGCGGGAATCGACCGGCAGTGGCTGCTGGCTGCCGGCACGTGTGGGGTGAAAATAAGGAAAACTGACAAACTGGTTGACGCGCGTGTGGGGTGGGATGGGGGTGGTGCGCTGTGCAACAGAGGAATCGAATGCAGGTAGTTGGCATGCAGGGAGAGGCAACACGGCATTCCTGTGGCCGCACCCTGATATTTATCGTAGGGTGGCGGTTGTGCGGTTGGTGGTTGCAGGTTGGCCATGTGGGGGTGTTGCCTCAAGGTGTGTGCGGGGGTACCTTGTGGCATGGTGCCTGCCCGCTGTGATTGCGGTGCTGCTGTACTGTACTGCCGCTTCCGCCGGAGGAAGAAAGACACGCATAGAGTGGACATGCTTAAATGTGCATGGCATGGCTGCCGCAGCTAGCTGGCCCCGTGTGAGTCCGCGTGGTAGGGTGCCCTGCTGGGCTCCTCTGGCATTTGCATGCGTTGGTACCGATAGGATATGATCGCTACCGGGACCCCCCGGGACCCCGATACGTACGGCACTGGACCCCGATGCTTGGACGAGTATCGGGGTCAATGGGGTCCCGGCTTTACAAGCCGCAAAGCTAGCACGCTTTTAAAATTGGGAATGTTATCTTAGTATAACTATGCCCTTGGTGTAACAGGAAAGACTGCGCGCTCTATCTTTCTCTGACATGGGCAGCGCCATTAACTGTCAGTGCCTTGGCCGCTTAGCATTGCAGCGCGATTGCCATGTCTGAAAGAATTAAATTTCCGCAATTGATTGCAATCAATTTTCCAGCGCGGTTTGCGCCATTCGGGATACCGGTTCCGGGTGCCGTATTGGAAGGGGTTCCTGGGAGTCCCGGGGCCGTCAATAACGGGGGGTAGGTGTTTGCCCTTGTTTTGCTTGTAGAGTTGTTTTTGCTGGGGGGCCGTTTTCTTGGCTTCTACCCTCGTTCTTTACCTCTCTTGTGGTTACTGTTGGGTTCTCATGCCTGTTTCCTGCTGGCCCGTTGAGTTGTTGTCTTTCCGGCGTGTTGTGCTTCTCTAGCAGTGTAGGGGTGGGTTCCATTCTAAATGTTCTAAATGGTTCCCTAAAACTGCAACTCCCCTCCTGAAAAGGAATACGGCATGAGCTGTGTTTCTGGGCTCCGTGAGCATGCGTGTCTTTCTTCCTCCGGCGGAAGCGGCAGTACAGTACAGCAGCACCGCAATCACAGCGGGCAGGCACCATGCCACAAGGTACCCCCGCACACACCTTGAGGCAACACCCCCACATGGCCAACCTGCAACCACCAACCGCACAACCGCCACCCTACGATAAATATCAGGGTGCGGCCACAGGAATGCCGTGTTGCCTCTCCCTGCATGCCAACTACCTGCATTCGATCCCTCTGTTGCACAGCGCACCACCCCCATCCCACCCCACACGCGCGTCAACCAGTTTGTCAGTTTTCCTTATTTTCACCCCACACGTGCCGGCGCCAGCAGCCACTGCGGCTCACTTCCCGCCTGTACCGCTCCCCCCACTCACGTGCGCCTACCCGTGAGAATGTGCCCTACTCGCCCCCTCGCTCTCCATCCTGCCACTCCAACCCGCCATGCAACACAGCCCACAGGGCCGCCCAACCCAGGACGGAGGAGAAGCAGCCGCCTGCGCCCACCCGCCTCGCTACCGGCTCCCCATTCCCAAACACGTGCACGTGGCATGTCCCGCGACCCCGCCCAGCCGGATGTAATGCGGGGATGACGGGACCCGAGACCGAGCCCGAGGGACAGCCCTCTTCATCCTCCGACCAGCGGTTCTGAGCCACCACCGCCACCACCACCACCAACAACAACAACAACAACAACAACAAGAAGAACAACACCGCGGCATACCGGTTTCTTCGCCCACACCCATTCGCTATTGTACGTCAAAAAATCTCAGATCACCGCAGCCGCCGGCAAGGGAGCTTATAATACAGTTTGTCACTGATTGCTGCTACTAGCCATGTAACATCTACACCAAATACGCAATCACGACTCTCCTACGGAATACCTATCCCCAGTAACCCCCAAACCCCTCTCATCGCCCCTTCTCATCGCCCCTCTTCTTCCTCTTATCACTCTTCCTTTCCTCCCTTCTCCCCTTGTTCTTGCGGACGCCCCCTGCCGCCTCACCCCGCCGGCCCGGCCCCCCCCGCTCCCTCAGCCGGGGCAGCGGCCTCCGCAGCCGCCACACGTACCCGAACTCGCGCTCCAGGTCGCCGGCTGTCAGCTGGGAGGGGGAGGAGGGGGAGGTTGGAGGGAAGGAGAAGAGGAGGGGGGGAGGTCGGGAGGGAGGAGGGGCGGAGGACGGGAGGAGGTCTGGGCAGGAGAACAGGAAAGTGGAGGGGGGAGGGGTTGCTGTCCGCATCCCCTGCGGCATCCCTCCGGAGTCGCAAGGGAGAGCGCAGGCTGGGTTGGTGGGTGGTGCGGCGGTAGCGGCAGGGGAGGCAGGCAGGCGGGGACATCGGAGGATAGGAGGACGCGCGCTGCATGCAGCAGTACGACCCCACCGTACCAACCCCCCCTCCCCCCTGCCCACCCTGGCCAGCCTGCCGCCCCGCTCCACCATGAACCGCAGCAGCTCCCGCCCGCTCAGCAGCGGCAGGGCCCCCGCAGCCGCCTCCCGCCGCCAGCGCGCCGCCCCCACCCGCGTGACGTGGCATACGAAGTGGGTGGGAGTCCAGGTGCCGCCCGGGGGGGGCCGGGGGCGGGGGCGGGGAGGGGCGTCGGTGGGAGGCGGGTCGCCGCGGGTCTGGGGGCGGGGCGGTGAGAGGGGCGTCAAAGACCATACCAAACCGTAGGAAACCACAAGTTGGGGCAGAACAACGGGATAAGAAACAAAGTATAGCCTGTGCAGGGTTAGGGAAAAGAGGGGGGCCGGCGCGTGGAAAGGGATATCCAAAAAGGCTTAGGTTAGGTTGGGCTAGGTTAGAGGGGACTCAACTGTACCCGAATGATGATAGCGCAAGATGGCAACAGCGGGTCACACCTCGCCATGTGTCCCGCTGTGGGCGGTGCTGGGGCGGGGTTGCTGGGGCATCGCCTGGGGACTTCGGAGCTCGCCCTCCAATCCTCCCCCCCCTCACCCCCACACTTTGGAATTTCTTTTTTTTCCCCTCACCCCCCTCACCCACCCTCCGTGCCCTCCTGCACTCCCCGCACTCGCACACCACGCGGTGCAGGACGGTGTCGTACGCGCTGCCCCGCGGCACCCAGCTGGCGGCCAGCCGGCTGAGCTGCACGGAGAGGAGCTGCGCGGGGGTGGGTGGGGGGTTGGGTGGGTGGGGGTGATGGGGGGCCGGAGGTCAGGAGAAAGGGGGAGCTGACGCAGGAGGAGGGTAAAACGGATGCTGTAAGGTGGAACCTCACCGGGGGAGGGGGCTGCATGTGCTGGGCATAGCAGCCCTGCAGCAGCAGCAGGAGTAAGGAAAGCAGCCCTCATCTCCCGTCTTCCACCTCCCCGCCCTCCACCACCCCTGCCAGCCTGCTGTGCGCCAATGACTGCCATCTGTACGTGAGTTCACCCCCCCACACCCCACCCCACCCCCACCCACACACACACACACTCCCGGGGTCCCCACCCGCCCGCTCACCCGGGGTATGTTAGACGTCACCTGAGGGGGGAGGCAGGCGGGCGGGCGAGAGGGGGAGGGGCGGTGTGTCAAGCAGGCGGGCGGGTTGCGGCGGATGGGGCCCCGGCTGTACGGTAGGTAAGGTAGCAGGACATGCAGGGGGCTGAGGTGGCGGGCGGGGTCAGCCACCGGCACAGCGGCAGGCCAACAGACACAGCTCACCACACCACACAGGGCGCACCGCAGCCCCCCCTCACCCCCCCCTTCACCCCTCCCCTCACCCCTCCCCTCACCCCTCCCCTCACCCCTCCCCTCACCCCTCCCCTCACCCCCCCCCCTCACCCCTCCCCTCACCCCTCCCCTCACCCCTCCCCGCACCCTACGTCACAGTATCACGTTGTGCCCCTTTATCACTGCACATCATGCCTTGTTCCCGATATGCCGTACTTTTCACCAATTCCGTCCCTATTTGTACCTTCCGCCATTATTCCATCCCCATACACCCCACCGCGCCGTCCTAGTCGTGTCGTCTCGTGTCTTAGGCTTACCTTAGTACTTCTTTGTTCGCATCTTCACCATCGTCCTCTTTAACTTATACTTAACTTCCCCTTTCGCTTTCCTTGCCTCATTCCGCATATCTGGCTCTCCGCTGGACATCGCTATCCACTCGCCTCGACCTAACTTACTCCATGGTCCTGGCGGCTTGCCATGGACATGTCTCATGGTGCACATATCCTGTGCACGCAGGTACGTGTTTTATCGTGTGTCAGTCTGTGTTGTTTTTCATGCGTGCTCGTGTTGTGCTGTTCCTGTTGTTTGCCTTTGCCCAACGGCGCGGTGGGTCTCCAGCTCACCTTCAGCAGCCTCCACACATGCCCAAGACTATGGTAAGGTTGCTCCATAATTGGTAAGTTCGGTAAGTTTAGCTCGCATTGCTTTAACCACCATTTCGGCTCGACTCACGGTTGATTCCACCAGGGATTGTCAGCAACTTGTATCATTATCATACCACACTTTGGAATTTCTTTTTTTCCCCTCACCCCTCCCCTCACCCCTCCCCTCACCCCTCCCCTCACCCCTCCTCACCCTGACAGTGGCGCTCAGCTGGAGGCTGCGGGTGCCCGGGGGCCAGGCGGGGCCGGGCGGGAGAGGCTGCGGGGGGGCGCCCTCCGCCACCACCCGCACCTCCTGAACCTGAGGCAGGGGAGGGGGGAAAGGGTGGGGGAGGGTGTTGTGGAGGTATGGGAGGTGGGCAACCGCACTACCATGCAGGGCGGGAGGTAGGGCCCCAGGGCTGCTGGACGCAAGGGCTGCGCAGGCGGGCGCCAGTGTGCCTCAGGGCAGCCGGGCGGCGGGCAGGAGGAGCAGGGGGAGGGGGCCGCAGGGGGAGGGGAGGCAGCTGTCGGCAGCATTGGCAGCAGCAGCAGCGGCTGTAGCAGCAGCAGCACCCGCGACCACAGCAACCAGGGTCTCGCCTCCGTGGGTGTGTGGTGTACTCCCTGGCACACCCTGCAGGCTCTTACACCCAAGCCACCTCCTACGCCCCCTACAGCACGACGTTTCTCCTCCTTCCCTCCCCCTCCCCCCTACCCTCCCCCCTACCCTCCCCACCTCATACTCGTGCAGGTGGGCGAGCCGCAGCACCGTGTTGCCCGGGACGCTGCGCAGCGCCGCCGCCACCTGCTGCGCCACCGCGCCGGGGCTGTCCGCCATCACACACACACGGCAGCGACCCAGCGGCTGGACAGCAGCGGGGGCGGGGGCAGCAGCGGGGGAGGAGCCGCTGCAGCCGGGCGGCAGGCGCACCAGGTCGCAGGTTACGATGGCAGCCACACGCTGAGGCAGCGCGATGAGGTTCTGGGGCGGCATCTGGGGGCCCGGTGGAGTGGCATGACGATGTTACCCATGATGGCGTTGGTATACCGTGAAGCAACTGCGACATAATATGCAAGGTTAAATGCCGATACCAATGCATTGACCGTGTACGTTGTGCAGCTTAAGGGTAGTGCGGCGCATCAGAAGACTTTGAAACCAACCGTTGGTTACAAATGCGCCGCGCTACCCTTAAGCTGCACAGCGTACACGGTCAATGCATTGATACCGGCATCAATGCATACTGAGGCTTGACATACCGTACCTAAGATAAACTTCCCAGTCCAGGGTTGCCCGTGGATAGGCGCGAGGCGTCGTTGCCTACAGCAAGCAGATACAGTATACAGGGAATGCTGGCAAAGCCCGTGCTGCGGTCTAGTGGGTGGCCTTTGATAGGTATATCGGACTCCAGCTTAAGGTTCCGATCAAGGTTAAGGTGTTGCATTCGAAACGACAACAGGAACTTGAATTACGCTTTACGTCCAACGCGACCTGGCAACCATTACATAAAGGTATTAGATTAACAGGTCCCAAAGCGGTGCTGGATGGCTAGAGTGGGTGGCTCCAGGGAACCAAGTTTCCTAAACGGAACCCAAACTGCACGATGCCTAGGTATCATATACTGGCATAAGCATACATGTATGCAGATATATTAGGGCAGTTGGGTCCGCTAGCAGCGAAGTCGGTCACCTCAATCGCGACTCTCAGTGAGCCGGAAGCCGGAGCTTGTGTTGCGCGACGTCAGTAAACCTCCCATGGTGACTAAAAGGAAGAATCCTCTGGACGAGCCGATAACAAAGGAAGAGGTAAGGGCTTGGTGGCAGACGCAAGATTAAACATAGGTTAACTGCCTGTTCCTCGTTGTCTTCCTTGCAGGGGATTTTGGCCCTTGCTGCAGCCCTACAGGTAGCGTTTCCATGCGATAAATACCCCGGCTTTAAACGCAAAGTTGATGAGGTACGTTGCCCCTGCACCGAGTACGATGTGCGCGCTTTGGCTTTTGCTGCCCAGCCCTCCTCCCGCCCCGTCAGTTTACCTATTTTCACCCCGCCTCTGAAGTCCGACTCTACTGCCCCGCCCTTGCCTTTCCAGCTTCTTGAGAAGTGCCGGTCATCTGGCGCCACCGCTGCAGCTCCGGGCCCCCCTGCTGCTGCAGCCGCAGCCACCGGCGCCCAGCCGGCCGCCCAGGCGCAGGAGGACACCTCGCTGGTGGGCCTGATGCGGCAGATGTTCATCGCGCTGGTGGGGCTCATGAACTCGCAGCACCCGGAGGCAGCTGTGCCCGCCGCCGAGGAGGAGGAGGAGGAGGAGGAGGACTCAAGCGACAGTTCCAGCAGCAGCTCCTCGGACAGCAGTGAGAGCAGCAGTGAGAGCGGCAGCGAGAGCGACAGCGAGGAGGAGGACATGTCGGGCGGCGAGGCGGGCCCCTCCAACCCGGGCGCCACCGCTGCTGCCGCTCCTGCTTCTCCTGCTGACACCGCTGCTGGCGGCTTCCAGCTGTCGGCCAAGGAGCTGGCGGCGGCGGCTGCGCAGTGGGATGCGCTGCCGGCGTGCGAGCGGTCTGCCTACCTGGCGCGCATGCAGCCGCTGGCGGGGGCGCTGGCGGCGCGGCGGGGCGGCAGCGGGATGAGCGCAGCGGAGGTGCTGGCGGCGCTGGCAGAGGTGGAGGTGGAGGTGGCGGAGGCGGTGGCGGAGGCAGGGGAGGGCGGGGTAGAGGGAAGCGGGAAGCAGAAGAAGAGCAAGAAGCAGAAGGCGCAGGAGCAGCCGCCGCAGCAGCCGTCACGGCGCACCGCGACGGCTCTGGAGCTGCTGACCCAGTGGCCGGGTGACGCGGAGGCGCAGGGGATGTTGCAGCAGCTGATGCAGCGGGTGGCAGCGGAGCAGCAGCAGCAGCAGTAGCAGTAGCATCTGCTAGCTGCCAGGGGCGGGGGGAGGGGTGTACGGCACCAGCGTACAGCACACCCAGATGCCCCCTCCCGCACGCATGATGGCAGGTATATACGGTATGTTGGGGTGCAGGTAGTTGGTGTTGTGGGTGTTGCGCTCCAGGATGGTAGCGGGTGGGGCGTGGGACGGTGGCGAGCAGACCCTCAGCGGGGACATAATACATGTGTGGCAGGCGTCTGCGTTCCACTCAAAGACTGATGTAGAATAGATACTTTATATGGCATTTGGGGGTTGCAGCTGCAAAACTGGATGGGGTGCGGTACCATGTGAGTCATCAGGACTCCCCCACCCCGGACGCCGTGATGCGCCCATGTCGCAGGCTGCGCGGGGAGCAGCGGGTCTGCAGCAGCAGCATGCGTAGGTATTTCCCAAGCAGGGGACTGGAGGACTCCCTTCTGGCCCTCCACAAACATACATCATTGCTGTTGTACATTAGCTAAGCTGCCCGTACACGGTTAGAGGTGTAGGGGGCAGGTGGGGTTCGGCTGTAGTTGCGGAAGTGAACGTCCTGCGGTTCTAGCGGGCTGGCTTCAAGGCTAGCTCAGGATGGGACTTAGAACGAGGGTAGATGACGGGGGTGTAGCGTGTAGGGATCTTGGTAGCCCGAGTTTTGTCGTGTGCGCCGTGGTGGTGGGTGCAGTCAGGAAGGTAGCAGGAGGGTACTGTGGCCGCGTGAGTGGGTGGCGGGCAGGAGTGCTCGCCTAACTGATGTTTGGTGCATTTCTGGATAGGCCTTAGATGTGTAGAGCTAGACGCTAGGAGAGTTGTTCTGTTGGGATGCCGACCGCATCACTGTTGAGTTGCTGCCTAACTTCCCGGGGTACCAGTTGAGTAGTGTCTGCACTTGTGCGGATGTCGGTTGCGCTGTGCGTGGTACTACCGCGCACAGTGGTGGCCCCTGTAGCTTTCTGATAGGAAGGCGTATTTGTTAATTACCGGTATTCGTCGTACCAATTGTAGTACGCAACGCAAACCCCCATACGGCCTGACACTGTGTTAAGAGCAAGGAACGTTCTGCCGTACTGCGACATGATTGATTCCCTCAACAAGCCGTACGCATGGCTGCAGCACCCGCCCAGTCGCATCCGGGTCAGCAGCCGCAGCGCCGGACCACCCGGGGAGCCAGCACTGCGTCCGCGAACATACTTGACCACCCAGTACCGTGCGCCTTCGACGTGTCACCATCCGAGGGAATTTCCGCCTGGTGAAACTGTTTTGCCCTTTGGAACCATTGATACCTCCTGCGTATGACCCGGATAGCATGACCTCGGGTCGCTGTGTGCAGAGACAACCGGTCGCGACCTGCCCAATCAGCAGCTCCAAAGCATTCATCAAATTCGGTACGACCAACAACGATGGAACCGACCCCCTCCCGCTCATTCCACCTGCGTCTAAAGCTATAGCTGTGACGTGCTATCCCGACAAGCACCAACGCTGCCAAACAGCTCTGCCACAACACCGCTGCAGACCAACAGTGACAGCGCTGCAGCTCGATCCCCCATCCCGCAGCAACGCGAACAGAAGCCCCTGCACGCCAGCGCAGCACCCCACCGGGCATGTCGCAGCACCTGCCCTCCTCTCTCGCCGCCCCCCCTTCCCCGCATGCAAGCTGCTGTCCCCGGGAGGCCCCGCAGAGCACCATCCCCACCCCCCAACAGCTGCCCACCACAAGGGCAGGGGCAGGCGATACCGCCACACACGCCCCGGGGCCTACACAGCGGGTCCGCTCTGGAAGAGGCGCGTTTGTCGCCCCGTCACTCACATGCACCTTTCGCCTTGTAAGCTGTCCCTAACCGCACCCCCTCGCATGTCGTACAACACTAGCAGCCGTACATGTGCGCTTGCAGCAGTACGGCTTTAAAGCACTCCATCATTTGCTCGCATCCTTGCCGCTATGTACGGCCACACGGAACGAACACAGAACCACGCCGCCATCAGAGCATCCTGCTTCCGCCTCCGCTCTGCGCACCCCACCCCCTGCCAACAGCTCGCCGCTCACGCCCCTGCACCTACCCCTCCTCGGCCCAGCTTCCAACCCCGCCCCCATGTTGCCTCCGCACATGGCCCCCACATGGGCCCTACGCCGCCTCCCTGCGGCGAGGAGGCGGTCAGGTCCGCCACACGCTGCCGGCGGAGCTGCTGCTGCCGCGCTACCTCCCGCTCCAGACCGCACTCCTCGCTGCTCTCCTGCTGCCCCGCACCGACTTCACCATCACCCACACACCCCACCTGCGATACCCCCACTCCTCCAGCTCGCCCTCCTCGTGCCCCAACCGCAACGCTTGCATCTCCTCCCCTTCGTCCAAAGGTCCCCAACCCACATCACCAGAGCCCCCCTCTCACCACGTATCACCCTCCTCTGCTTCCTCATCCCCCGAATAATCCTCACCCCAATCCACCGGCTCGTCATCCTCCGAAGCTATGCAGGAGCGACCCCTGTAAGCGACCTCGCTAGCAATCGCCTCACCCTTGCTGCGGTACCAGCGCTGCAGCCACCAGCTGCCCCCGCAGTTGCGCCGCAGCCACCGCCACACCTCCCGCGACTCCCGCCTGCTGCATCCAGAAGTGCGCCCTCCGGAGGGTGCCGGGACAGTCCGCGGGGCAGCCGCTGCAGCAGCCAGGCCCGGGCGGCGGCGGGCGGCCCCAGGCAGTGGCGGAGGGTGCGGCCGCGGCTGTCCCAGGGGCAGCCCAGGCGGCGCAGGGCGGCCAGGTCGCCGTTGCGGGCGGCGCCCCGGTGCGGCCGGCCGTCCTGCATGTGGCAGGGGGAGCAGCGGGAGCGGCCGGGGGAGCAGCGGCGGGGGTGTAGGGTGACAGGCACCGCGGCAAGTGGCAAGTAACAATTGCGAGGTGACAGCCAGCTGTGGAAACGAGGGGAAGCTCAACAATGGCTCTTCAAACTGACATTCCAGTTTGAAAAGGAGGTCCCCCCCTGCCGTGTGATGCCCCATCCCAAGGTGGCACACTTAACCTCTTTAGGACATACACCGCCCCAATTCTCCCCCTCCTGAACAGCCACGCCGCCTACCCTCTAACGCCCCCTGTTCTATCTTTGCATTCCCTGCTGCACCTGCTGTACCTGCTGTATCCTTGTAGGCTTGGCTAGCACCAACCGCCCTGCCCTCTTGCGCTATGCCCCTACCCCTACGCACCCTCACCCTCCCTTCCCCCCGACAGCTTCCAGACCTCCCGACAGTAACGTGTACGCGCAAGGGCATTACATACCTGGGTGCACTCCTGATGCCTTAATCCGTTCACACCGGTTCCCTGGCTTTCGCCTAGTGGGCCAACAGAGGGTGCTTCAGTGCCAAAAGTACCCGGTCGACCGCAGATGGACCATCTGCAGGGGCCGGATTCAACTCAGCCGCCGGGATCCGCGCGTGGCCGCCAGCAGCTGGGTACTATGGAATTGTGCTTATGTCTGTGCCATTAGCCGGTTGAGGCTGCGGTCGACCGGGTACTTTTGGCACTAAAGCGCGACGCATTGCCTAGAAGGACTGCGCAGCTGGAAGACAGCCGTCGTTCTTGTTTCATTTTTCAGTTGGCACCCCTAAGCATAGGAAATAACTCCAAGGGAAAAGTGGAAAAGTGCCCTCCACAATGGGGTCTGACCCATAAACAGAGCGTCTGGATGGCAAGTGACGATTGCCAATTGTTGCAAAACATGCCACAGACAAAACAAACGACAACATAGATCCGGTGGATTCTAACCGCCGTTCGGCGTCTGACCACCGTTTCGCAGGGGCCTTGCTCTACACTTCGAAGCCTACACCTTCAGGCCGAGGTTCTGCGAAGTTGCAGCTGAAAGATCTAACAAGTTTTGCCTGCTTGACAACCTAAAGGTCAAATATGCAGAAGGCTCAAACTTAACGCGCAGCACAATAAAACGTGCCATGACCAATAATTGCTTCATGTGACGTCTAAGCAACAAAGGCCTCGAACAATGCGCTGAGCGCTGACGGAGAGTCATGACTACCGGTATCCAGCGGAGCATGGCCCGGAAGCGAAACGTATTATAGGGCTAAGATGGGTAACCTTTGCTCTTTCCTTGCAATGGCCCGGCATGTGATTGACCGAACTTAAGAATCCCCATATGGGCATAATCCCAAGGGTGAGGAGGTACACTCCCCTAGGGGCACCAAAAGCATTTGTTGGCTTCCCCCGTCGCCCGTTACTTCCCATCTGCCACCTTTCAGAAGCACTAGTGGCAAGGGGGTTCGATTGAGGTTCGTCGACCTGCGTACAAGTCGACCTGTGGGTCTCAGCCTCCCACCCTCCCCCCGCAAGTGAGGGATTGCATGTCCAGCATTTGCTTGGGCACATGAAGAGGGTTATATGTTGCTGCGTCAATTGTGCTATTTTATAAAGCTCACAACGTCAGCGACGTCACTGCCGCATTGAGGGAGGTCTCGCTGCCGCCCCCGTTACAGGAGGTGTGCGGACAGTGCAACACCCTCACGGCCTCCCTGCCACGTCCTGCTGCCACGCCCTGCTGCCGATACACACACCTGCTGCGGGCCCTTTGCTTCACAACATTAGGGGCCTTCGCATCAACGGTCAGACCTAACGGTTCTACATCAGGCAGTCCCACATCAGACGGCATATGCGCGCCGGACTCAACTGTAACGCCCGTAGGCGAAGCCGCCCCACTAAGAAGTAAAACTGTACCCGCTGCCAAACCGCGGAAAGGGGTCTGGCCGCTGAGAGCCCTTCGAAATGAAATGAAACAAAAGGTTTACGATGCATCCGGGTTGCTTCTCATCCATCCTTCAACCGTCATTCCAACCGTCATTCCAACCGTCATCTTACAACAACAAATCCCTTACCCCTCAACTGCCAAGTTCTTCACCAACCTGCCACAAAGCACTTTGCATCCTGCACCCCCACGGCCTTCCAAACAAGCACAAAATGTCCCACCCCACCCAACACACCATTGCGGTGCGCTACGGCGGCCCGCACCAGCAGGCTTCCTCCCGCACATGCGGTGCCACCGCTGCCATGCCTCACGCATGCCGCCGTGCAACTGCCAACTGCAGTCCCAACTGCAAACGCAACCGTGCACATGCGCACCCCTGCTGCACGCCCCCTCATGCGTCACATCGGACAGCCCCCCCCGCAGCTGCCACCCAGCTCAGGCCGCCCACCCCCCAGCCGCCTACTTCTTCCTCCGCTTCTCCCTCCCCCCGGTGCCCTCACCCTGCCCGCGGACCTCCTGCTCCTGCCGCGGCTGCCCTACCTCCTCCCCCGCCTGCCCTGAGCCCGCCTCGCCCCCCCAGGACGCGTCCCCGGCGGAGGCAGCAGCCCCCTGCCGCTGCTGCCGCCACCTCTCCTCCTCCTTGGCAAAGCCCGCCTTCAACCTCGCCACCGCCGCATCCTCCTCCGCCTGCTCCTCCCTCGCACGCACCTCCGCCGCCTGCCTCTCCTCCGCCCGCCGCTTGCGGTGCGCCTCCCGCTGCTCCCGCCGCTCCCGCCGCTGCGAGATGAAGCCCTCCAGGCCCCGCCAGCGCACGCCGTGCTGCTGCGGGTCGGCGCTGCGGGTGGCGCGCAGCTGCCGCAGCCCGCCGGGGCCCAGCCCGCCCGCCCGCAGCCGCTCCCACACCGCCTCCACCTGCTCCCGGCTGGGGGCAGCAGGCGGCTGGGGCGGAGGAGGCGGAGGGGGCTGCTGCTTCTTGGACCGCCTGCGCTTGCCCTGCTGCTGCTGCTGTGGCGGCATGTCCTCCTCCCCCCCCTCTCCCCCCTCCCCGTCATCTAGCCGCTTGAGCAGCTCCGCTAGCGACTGCGCCGGCGCCGCCCCCTCCCAGTCCCCCTCCCCCTCCCCCTCCTCCTCCTCCTCCTCCACCTCCAGCAGCTGCAGCGGCTCGCGCGCCGCCACCAGCAGCTTGAGTCTCGGCAGGCGGCACACCACTGCGGCACCCACGTCAGCCTGCAGCCACTCCCAGTCCAGGTGCCGCAGGTAGGCCTGGGGGGGTTGAAAGGGGGGGTAAAGAGGAAACAACCAACTGAGAGAGGGGGAAGAGAGGGCGCAACAACAGGGTGGGGCGGTGGGGGCTGCGGGCGGGGGCCGCGTGCATGGGCCCCTCGCAGCGCAGTTGCTTGCACCCTCCCCCTCCAGCAGCCCTCCTCCTCCCTCCCTAGCCTTAGTCAGCCAGCTGGACGGTCGAGGGTCGACAATGCCAATCTGGACCCGGTAACAGTAGGGGCCGCAAACCCTTACTTGTTTTGAGCCACCCTGCCGCCTCCCATCCCCAATGCTGTGCCCCGCTTTCCCCCCTACCGTTGAGAGCATGATGAATGGCTTGCCCGGGTTTGCCAGCAGGGCCAGCAGGAACGCCTCCCGCAGGCGCGGCAGCAGCGCCCGGTCGCGCCAGGAGACCCGCAGCACCGGCATGCAGGCGCGCCAGGCGGCACTGGGGGTGTGGAGGGGGTGGTAGGTGGGTGATGGGGGGTGGGGGGAGGAGGGGCGAGGAGGCAGGGTGCGGTGGCGCGGAGGGCGCAGGAAGGCCGGTGTGCAGTGACGAGGGGCAGTGCAGCGCAACAATCAGTCCCCAGCCTCTACTTCTCTCTCATTGCGCTTCCGTGGGGCCTAGCCCTGGTCGGTCTCCCAGCAGTCCCATGCATTTCCTTTCGACTCCATTTCCCATCGCCGCTCCTTCCCTCTCCTCCCCCCCCCCCCCTCACAGGTCGTTCACGTTGTCGATGCGGCGCTGGTTGCGGGAGCTCTTGCGGTGGTAGTGCCCCTTGCAGTGCTGCCAGCCGTCCACCTGCGGGGGGTGGGGTGGGGGGTGGGAGGAGGGGGGACGCGGGAGGACGGCGAGTTGAGCCACAGGGTTAGGGGTCGGTGTGGGTGGACAGCCATACCCACGGGCAGCGCCGACTCCTACAGCCCTCCCCGCCACACCCCCCTTCCTGGGCACAACCTGGTAAGTTCGGTAAGTTTAGCTCGCATTGCTTTAACCACCATTTCGGCTCGACTCACGGTAGGGATTGTCAGCAACTTGTAACATTATCATACCACACTTTGGATTTTTTTCCCCTCCCCCCCCTCCTCCCCCCCTCACCTGCATGACCGCCCCGAACGGCCAGCCCCCCGGCGGCCGCCCGAACGGCGGCAGCAGCGTCACATCGGGCGACGACTTGTCCCGCCCCGGCACACTGCGCGCCTCCGCCACCCACCAGCTCAGCGCCCCCACCCCGCCCCCGTCCCCCCGCCCCCCGGCCCCCGCCCCCACTGCCGCCAGCATCCAGGCCGCCTGCTCCGCCTGCAGCGCCCCCAGCCGCTGCAGCTGCTGCTCGGCCGCCTGCAGCCGGGCGGCCAGGGGGGCCACTGCGGCGTCAGCCCTGGACAGGGGGGGAAGGGGGGGAGGGGCAGTGTGGAGACTGTGAAGGGCTACTCGGAACCGGCTGCTGATGTGGAAGGAGATGTTCAAGAAGTGTTCATACTGAGTAACCACTTGTCCAGGTAAACAAATCAGACCAGCAGGACACCTGAAGCAGCTGAATGCCTCCCCCCCAGACCCACTTCGTCCTCTCCTCCGTCCCCGCCTTCTCCCTCCCCGCCGCCCTCCTCGCCGCCTCCACCTCCCGCCTCAGCCGCCTCCGCCCCGCCCACGCCTCCCGCCGCTGCCCCTCCAGCTCCGCCAGCCAGCGCGCCAGCAGCCGCCCGCACTGCCGGCCCAGCCCCCGCACCAGCGCCCCCTCCAACTCGCTGGGCGGCCGGCCGTGCTTGATGAGCCCGCCCGTCACACTCAGCAGCTGCCCGCCCGCCACCCCGCCGCAGTACAGCGTGTGGAGGGCGGTCTCGGGGCAGCGCTTGAAGCGGGTGATCAGGCTCTTGCGGCAGGTGAAGAGCAGGTGGCGGCCGCAGCTGCAGCGCCAGAAGACTGGAGGGAGGGAGGAGGGGGGGAGGTGGTGGTCGGAGGGTGACGAAGGAAGCCAAACCATTCGACACCATGGGGGGAGGGCATGGGGACAATAGAGGTGTAGAGGGAAAAGGGAAAGGGGGCCAGGCGCGATCCACAAAAAGGTTGAGGGAAGCCAATCCCGACATGCGTTGGAGTTGCGCCAACCATGCACGGGTCAAGACCGCTGATTCTCAATAACGGGACCTTGTATCGTGGCTGGGCACACACGACTGCAGGGACGACTGCCAGCCCCCAGCCCCAGTTTCCTAGTCCGTGAGGGCGCGCCAGCAGCACCCGCTACTTGCTTCCTTCCACGGAGGCGCCCCCTGCTGCGCTACCTTTCCTGATGCAGTACGCCACGTCCTTCCGCGGCGCATGCAGCCCCAGGCGCCGATTGAGCGGGGGAACCAGGTGGGTGTTCAGCTGAGCCACCGCGCGGTGCATGTGGGGGTCGCGCAGGCCGCTGGGAGAGACCATGGTGGCGGGCGGGGCGCGGGAACCAGCGCGAAAGCGGCCACCCGGCCCTTCAGGTCAAACAGCAACAAAACTCGGGAGTGTGGTGCTATACGTTTGACAGCTACTCACAGTTAAAGACGGATGACCTAATGCGTACAAGTAAGAACTTTGTTAGTTGGAACCGCCTAAATTCCAGCTCAGCTAAAGGATAGATGCATGACTTAACATTATTAATAAAGCCATATAAATGCGTATACGGTAGTGGCCAGGGTCATCCTAGAGCCCACCCGAGTGCCCGCCCTAAGCTCCGGAACCAAAACGTTGACCGCGAAGGTGCGCCAAAGACGCAGATGCACAAACTACTTGAGTAGGTCCAGCAGTCCGTGGAGCCCTTGAACGCGGTCCTATAGTGGCGTTCTCTAATCCTTTCCAGCATTGCCAATGGCTTGACGCGTCACATGTCGCCTTCAACCATTTATCGTTCCCCCACCCAAGACACTTCAAAGGAACAATTTGCCAAACGTATGCTATGCGTGGCGGACGCATGCCAGGCATGTGACTGAGACACCCCGAACCTTAGCTGTGTTACACTAGAGCTACCGGTAGTTTGGTCGCAATGAATGCGATGGTGCCACGGTCCTCTCCGGCTGCTGCCTTTCCTGCCTAATCTCGTGTTGTGTAATGGCACGCTAGCACATTAATGCGAGGACGTTGTACCCAACCCGTGTACAAAGTTTTCAGGCTCGCATGGCGGTGAGCTCCCCGGGACTCGCCAGGGAGGGGGGCAGTGCAGCCGCGGGGTACCACATACCCCTTCCCACACGGTACGCATCCGTTTGCCAACCGCCGCACCATGCCATGCCAAAAGGAACACAAGGGTGCCCTGCAGCAAACGTACCAGGCAGCCGCATCTGTGTGACGTTACAGGGCGTGCGTCCAAGTGCCCCACCTCCAGTGCACGTACCCGGCTGCCCTGCCATCCATCTGGGCACAGAGCAACCGCCTCTGGCCTCTCCATGTGTCTCTGGACCCACAGCTGCAAAAGTGAACGGCCCGCAGTAGACACCTCCCATTGCAGCCCGATTGTCAGGTCTGGATGCCGTCTAGGTGGATTTGCCGTCGGTTTGTTAGCGGTTAGGGTTCGTTAGGGCTTAGGACAGCGACAGCCATTGGCCCTGACACGATTAGCATGTGCACACCGCACCACGGCAGGGGTGCCCTCCCACATTTGCAGTGCCCCACCGCAGCTATCTCAGCAGCAGTGCTGTATAGACGCAGCATGCGTGCAAAGCAAATAAGAGGTAAGCATGTGCTGCTCATATCCGCCAAACTAGGCAGCGCAACGTTCGAAACTAGGCAACGCAACATGATACATCTGCAGACATGCAACTTTACCAGCCTTGCCCTAGTCCCCTCGGTCCACCTGGCAAGCCTACTGCGGCGGCCTCCCGCCGCTCTACACCCCCATACCCACGTCTCATGCCAGCAGTACACGCCAACACAGGACAGCTGACGGCCCCCCTTGCAGCCCGGTTGGGGCGCTGGCGGGCACACGGGGACGAGCCTGCCCGCTTCGCCCTTGGTCGGGAGCAGGCCTGCTGGATGCTGCACTGCAATTAACCTGCAACGATACGCGTGTTTTGCCCGTTGCCTTGTTGGCAACATCCTTCAAGGCCGCGTTTAGTAGCTGGTCCCACATTAGCACCCACCCAAGTACAGTAGGTGGTTTATTTGCAGCAGACAACTCGCACACTGCGAGCAGTGTATGACACCTGCAACCTCAAACGGCGCCAAAGGTACCCCCACCCCACCACCCCGACTGTGCAGGTTCACGGCCCGCCCACACCGCCGGCAGCAGAGCCGGGCCCCTGCTGCACAGACCGCCTGCTCCGCTTGCACTGCCGCCCGCCGCCCCTGTGGCCCTCCCGGGACGCATCCTCCTCCCCTGTGACCTCCTCTACCCAACCCCCTCCGACATCAGAACCGCCGTCCCTGCCGTCCGCGTTGTCCTTCTCGCCCTCCTCCTCCTCCTCCTCAACATTGTCCCCTGCGCTGTGCTCCTCCTCGCAATCCTCCTCGTTGGCTCGCAGCTGTGCACCCGAACGCCGCTTCTTCGACCGCTTCTGCAGTGGGGAAGCAGAAGCAACAAAAGCAAGTCGGGCTGCATCGAGCCGTGGGCCAGGAAGCACTACAGCTGGATGCGTGGCAACCTCCTACTAGACGTTTCGGCCGTATGAGCACAGAGAAGCGAGCTCTGATGTTGCAAGATAGGCGACCTGTCAGGACTGGATCGCGGCCTGGGCTGGGGCAGTGCAGCAGGCGACACCCACCTTGTGCCGCAAGCGCTCCGCCACCGCCACCTCCTGCTGCGTGGCTGTCCTCAGCAGCAGGTGCAGCGGGCCGCCAGGGGAGGGGCGCGACCAGCCCAGGAACCACTTGCCGGCCGCGGCCCTGTGCAGCTCGGTGCCAGCGATTCTGAAGTAGCCGCGCAAGGCCAACCTCGCCCTCACCTTGAACGTCTGCGCCAGCACCCGCCCGTCCATCTCAACCTGAGCAGCGGTGGCAAAAGGGAGAAGCAGGTGCATGTACGGTAGCATTGTTAGGTGGTGCCAAGCCAAGTGCGCCTGGTATCGTCGCTGCAGGGTAGCAGCACCCTGCCGCCCCTGCAACGGCCCTGCCCGTCAGCAACACCCTAGCAAGGAGTGCTTGCCGGCCTCACCACGACGGGGACGTCGGTCCTGCAGGTGGCGTCACCAAACCACTGGCGGGCATGGTCAGCGTGAATGAGCAGGCTGCCGCGGCGGAACAGCCTCTCCCGGTAGCCCTATGAAAGCGCAGCCGCAGGGAGCAGGATCCATAGCAGGGGCGTGAATGGGTTGCTAGGACGGTCACTGAAAGGGTCATGAGTCCTCCCCATCGTGGCGACGAAGGTGGGGAACGTCATGCGCGTGGCCGGCGGCGGGGTCGCAAAGGGGAGTCGATAAGCGCAGGAGGGTCGATGGAGCGAAACACCGTGCATCGCACCTACCTGCGATATACCTGTCACCCTGTTGGCCGTGTCCTGGCCTGCAGCAGCGGTTGCGCCGCCAGCAGCGGCCCCGCCATTGCCACTACCCACACCGGGTGCTGCTTCTGCATGCGCTGACAGTCCAGGCGAGCGCAGGTGCGCAACTAACACACCGCCCCGGATGCGGCTCCAGCCCAGGAGGTAAGTGCCCACTACACAGCCCAAACCTTGCACCTTGTATACTTGTTGCGACGGATAGTGCTTGAGCCTGGTCGTGCACTCCCAAGGCTGCACCTGACCGTCTAGCACCACCTGCGGTATGAGGTGGCGGGGTGAGGTGGCGAACAGCGTGATGGGGGCACATTAAGAGACGACTCGGGGACTTGGCCCGATAGACAAAGGGAAGAGCGACTGCCAAACGACCGCACCTTCGTCCGAATGTCCTTGGATGCGGCATCAGAGCCGAACCACTCCTCGGTTCGTTTTGATGACAACTGCAACCAGCTTACTCCCTTGATAAGCGGCGGCCGCAGGGGATTCTGCGTCGGGTTGTGAAGCGGCGCATGTAAGGCCCAGCATGTTCACAAAGCAGGGCAGGGGAAGGGTGTTGACAATAGCTGTAACAACCAAGATCGCCGTGATCCTGAACAAGCGGCAGAGGTGCAGGGCCTGCAGTGACCGCGCCATCCTACCCTGCAGGGGTGCATGGGGTCCAGTAGGATGTCCGAGGAGCCAGCAGGCGCACCCGCACCCGCAGCACCCGCAGCGCCCTGGTCCCTGACACCGCTGCCGCCTGCACCTCCGTGGCTACCGCTAGTCCCCAGCGCAGCAGCAGCAGCTGCTGCCACTCCGCTGCCTGCTGCTCCTGCCCCAGCATCCTGTTGTGGGCAGGAACGCTTAAGGGAAAGCTCAGGCTGGGGAAGCAGGCTACTGTTCACTGGCAACAACTCGGGGATAGCAGCAATAGCCAATTCTACTCTAGGAGTGTGCACCCGGGGACTACCCAATGCTTAATTAGGCAGAAACGACTTGAGGAAGAAGACAGCACGGTAGTAAAAAAACACGTGCCGCGCCGCCGGTCATTAACAAGGCATCATAGTTATTGGCCATACCGGTACAGAACATAAGAAGCGGGGAAACGCGTTACGGAAAACTTACCTCGAGAAGAGAAGCCGGGGAACATGGAGAGAAAAGGGATGACGAGGAAAGGAACACTTGCACAAGGGAGGCCAGAGGTGTGGATGCTCGGAGCGCATGCACAATCCAACGCACGCTGCACTACCACTTTAGCTCTTAGGAGGGGAACCCATGAGACTCAGCCCCAACCAACCCACCTCAGGACGTGCGCAGGCATTGCCGCCGCCAAGCCCACCACCGCTGCTGGGCATGCCTCCAGTGGTGGGACCGCCGCCATGCACCATGCCCGCTGCAGCACCGCCGCTGCCCCCCGCACCTCCCTGACCACTGCCGCCCGCTGCAACGGCTGGAGCAGGCTGGGGTGGGGCCACCGCAGCTGGCTGCTGCTGCTGGTCGCCACCTAGCCCCCTGACACCCTGCTGCTGCTGCTGGCCCCCTATCGCACCATGCAAACTTGCAGCCGCAGCGCCTGCTGCTTTCAAACCTCTGGCCGTTGCATCCACAGCCGCATCGCCCTGCCCCCTCTGCAGCGGCCTTTTCCTCCCCTCTCGCACTGCCGCCCCCTCCCCCACCCTGCGTAGCTGCTCCCCGGGCGACCTCAGGTACAGCACCAGCACCCCACCCGCCACACAGCTCCAACCCAGGTGGTGGCAGCCCTCCGCCACCCGGCTCAGCTGCGCCAGGTGGAAGCGCTTCTCGGGCCACATGAAGCACAGCTGCACGGAGTGCTCGCCGGGATGCAGCTGCTCGTCCAACACCACCCGCACTCGCAGCGTGCGACCCTCGCAGCCCTCCCCGAACCACTTCCTGGCGCGGCGCTTGGACAGGCTCAGCGAGTAGGAGGGGCCCACCAGCGGGGGATGCAGCGGGTCCTGGGGGGGGCGGGAGGAGGGGGAGGGGGAGGGCGGAGGTGAACAAGCAGGGTTACCGGTAGCTGGAAGCGCAGGCGGCGGTGCACGGGGCCAGGGAGGGGCCTTCCTCCGGAATGCACCAAACCCTTGCCAGCCTACAGGCAGTGTCATCTCCACGGCCCGGTCCAGCCCAGCGCCAGCCCGCCTGCCACCCCTGCCATGCGGGGCCACCCACCTCGCACTTGCGGGAGGGGGTCAAGGGAATGGACGCGTCACCCGTAACAGCAGCAGCTCCAGGAGCAGCAGCGGCCGCGCTCCCGCCCGCACGTGGGAGGGCCTGAGGGCGCATCGAGGGGAACAAAAGGCGTTAGGAAAGTGGTGCAAGGAGGTAGGTACAAAGTGCATGGAGAATACTAAGTGAAATCGGAACAGCCCGAATGGGTGCCAGTGTCGGTCCAACTCACTCAACACAAGCCTCACCATGTTGCCACCCCCGTCCCCGCCCGCCGCCCCAGTAAGGGCCGCTGCAGTCACTGGCACGGAGGGTCCCGCACCGCCACCGGCTGCTGCCGCTGCTGCCGTGGCTAGCACGGCCGCTGCTGGCTGCTGGCCCGCCCGCCCCTGCCCCGCTGCTGCCTGCCCGTCTCCGCTGCCGCTGTCCCCTCTGCCCCCGCCCGAGAAGGAAGTTGTTGTTGTGTTTTCTGCAACCCAGTCGCGTATGGCATCCTCCTCAAAGGCGTCTCGGCGTAGGTGGTCCAGGCACATGGGCTGGCCTGAGGTAGGGGGGATGAAGGGAGGGCGAGGAAAGAGAGAAGCGAAAGTGGCTTGTGGCGTGCATGGGTGCATGCAAGGATCGGATCCACACCCGATCCCCACCACCCTTCCCCCTGCCCTGTTCCTCTCACCCTTCCCCCTCTCGCTCCCCTCACCGGTGACCGGGTTGCACCCGTGCTGCCGTACAAAGGCGGTGATGGCGGACCGCTCGTACACGTGCTCGGGGTCCCGCCAGTCCCGCACCGGCTCACGCATCACGCAACGGGCCAGGGGGCAGAAGTGCTCCGCAGGTACGGCAGCCGCGGTTATGTGCCGCTGGGACAGCTCTGGGGCCTCCTGACCAGGCTGCGGAACCCAGCAGGGTGGGCTGGAAGCCACGGGCGGCACCTCTAGGGCCTTCCAACAAGACCACCATTTAGGCTGCGTAGACGGCTCGGCAGGGGATGTCTTGGCCGGGACCACGGTGGCGTTTACCGCCAGCCAGGCGTCAATTTCAGCCTTGTACCGCGTAACAGTTGACAAATTGGGTGGACCTGCAGCGCGAGCGCAAGAGATAATTACACTGTATGTGAAGGGGTGCAGGGCGTCCGCGACTCACACCTGTTGCGCGATTGTGCCGCGAGCATGTCTCGAAAGCAGCACGGTCCGCTGGGCGGCCCCTATCGTCCGAAGGGTCCAGCACAGGATCGCTGATTATGCTCCAACTGAGGTAGCAGAAGAATCGCCGCGGCAGGCCTTTGCGCAGGTATAGTAGGGTCGGCTGGCTCCCTTCTGTTGCGAAAGCTCCTTGAGTTCTTTTATTAACGCTGTTCATCTTGCAGCTGGAGACAAGGGTTCAGATTGGTGTTCCGCTGTTCAACTAAGTTGAGTACAAACGTCGTTGAAACCGAGCGACGTCCACAAAGCATGCAGTCTAGTCAACTAAACTTGAAGGCCGAACCTTGGCTCATATGGGCAAGCCTTAATGCTATAGCCGCATCAACGCTAGCGATGCGCGTGTGCGGTCTTTGACGCGTCTGCGAGCTAAGCTCTAAGCAAAATCGTTGGCCACAAGACCACAGCCCACCACCGCAATTCCATATCCTACACGCTATAGCTCGTAAGGTGCCTAATTCTGGGCGGTACAAAATTTGGGACAGTCACTGTTTTTGCCCAAACGTCATCACGTCCAAAGCTCTTTTGGCTGTACTTCCGCTTTATACATTTAAAAGAGATGGAATTATTCCATCTGCATCCAAGTCACCAGAAGCACAGCCACAGCCGCAACCATCGCCTCTAAAAGATATTGTAAAATCCAAAGGGCGTAGCAACAGATGGCAAACGGCATCAACCGTCAGGTCACCCCCATACGGTGGGGTCCCTTACGCCTCCGAACCTCCACCTTGCCTTCCCCGCTTGTACAACACCAGCAATGCCACCAACTGGACCCGCCCTCGGGTGCTGCATGGGACGCGGTCGTCCAGTCAGCAGCAGGGAGGTGCGGGACCGGTATCACACCCCGGCACAGGGCCCATGCGAGAGTGGCTGTGGAGCCACTGCTGCAGGGCGGCTGCCTGGGGGCTGCATGCACCTGGGGGGGGGCAGGCGCTCCAACGAAGCTCGCGGTTCCAGCTGATCGGTTGGTCGGGGTACGGTAGCCAGGACCCCCGCTGGCTGAGGGGATGTCACACCTGCTCGGACGCCTTCGCCACGCCCGCCACGTCCGCTGCAGTGCCACGGCAGCAGCTCTAATCAGCACCCAGATTGTCTGCAGCTGCCGCCTGCACCCCCCCTTCCGCTGCGGTCCCGCCCGCAGGCTTAGGCGTACATGTTGGGAGTCTACTTCACAACACATAATGCAAGCGACCCACCCGAGGCACGTGACGGATGCTCGACCTGGTGAAGCTGCATGTGCAGGGTCGACTGTCGCTGCTGTTAGCTTGGATTGCCGCCGTGCGTGGAGATGCATGCATTGGCTGGGCCGGTGTGTCTGGATGTGGTGAAGTGGTCTGGGTTGGTCTCAAACACCAAAGGCGCCAGGGATATGTGTAACACAGACAGCAAAGCCCAAAAGGAACCTCAAGAGAGGCAGCACAGATGTACAAGCCGTGAAACCCTTCAGCATACCCCAGCAAGCATTCACAAAGGCAAAGCGCCAACACACATAGCCCCCAAACCTCCACAAAACCAGATACCGGTACGAAAACAACAACGCACCGCCCTAAAAACCCCCAACAGAGAAACCCTACCTCGCGGACTCAAACCGACGCCGACCAGAACACTCCAACTGAACACATAAAGCCTCCCACCATAAAAACACACAAGAATGGATGGGACCGCAGCCCACCCCCGACAGGGAACACCCAAACAAACAAAACCTCTGACCCAAGCCAGGAAACAGCAGAGAGGGAAGCCTGGTCACCGAGCCATGGCACAACACCTGCAGGACCAGACTCACGCACACGAGCCCGCAAAAACCTCCGACCCTCCTCCATAGCGGACAAGACAACAACGTTGACAAAACGTTGACTGTCTCACTTTTGGCGAGTGGTTTCGACTCCATTATGTTCCATGGGGCTATGGTGGTGCACCATCAGACCCCAAGAAGCGCATCCTGCCCAGCGCGATGTGGTCTATGCATGGAACGTGCTGCGGCTCCTGCACCCCCTGGGGTTGCCGTGCTTTCTCACAACATGCGAAGGAAACGGTCTTCATTTGTAACCCACTAACATGGGTTACCTACCTCGCAGATAGCAATGTTCTCTTCACACAGAGCACCTAGTACCAAGCCATCCACCACACATACATCCGGCCGAGGTTTTCCTTGTCGGTAGCCTCCGTAATCAGCCTTGCCGCCTGGCCCTCACAGCTCAGCTGCAGTGTCGGCACACTCTGAACCCCCAGCAGCGTGCCGCTCAGCCGCCCCTCAATGGTGGCCAGCGCGTCCTTGGCGGCGGGATTCTCCGCCTCGCTGCCTCCATCCTGAATGCACAACGTGAGAAGCAAACGAGCCGTACCTATGGATTTGTACCCCTCAACGTCAATCAAAAGTCACGCAGGTGCAGACAAGGACGTTTTGTGTCCTGTGCGGTCCCCCAAGGCACCCGATCCCCTCCCCTCCCCACCTGCACTACAACGCCTCCTCGTGACGTTCGCGCCCACTCCACCAGCGGGTCGTGCAGAAACGTCTCGGCGCACGTCATCAGCGTCTCACGGTGCTGCCGCAGCACCTGGGGCAGGCAGGCAAGCAGGCAAGCAGGCAGCAGGAGCAGGGTCGTGTGGTGTCTGGTGTGATGCCCGCCATGCAGTGCGACTGGTGGGGACCATGCAGTCGAGCTCCTGCAGAGCGCGGGACTGCACCGCTATGTCTGCTGGGTGCCGGGACAGACGCCGGACGCCCTTGCAATGGCCCCAAGCGGCTCACAAGCAGGACACCCCACCTGGAGGGTCGTCTCTGCGCAGCGCCGGTAGACACCCTCCACACCGCTGATGCCGAACCCATCGATCACGTTTTGTGTCAGGCGGAAGGGGACCATCTCAGGCACCTGAAGATCACAGGTTAGGGGAGCCAGTGTCAGTGGCGTCCAGGCTGGAAAGCCTTAAAACAGTCATTCGGCAAACAACGTGACAATGGCATATACAGGGAACATCACCAGTAATTAAATGAGACCCAAGGTTCTGTATCCCAATCCCTTCCTAGCACATGCAGGGTCCTCCATTACCGTCCCCGCCGCATTCCTCATCCCTTCTTCGCCCCTCGACGGACCCCACCCATCCGCCCCCACCTCCAGGGTAAGGCCCTTGTCGAAGAGGCAGCCGAAGTCCACATGCACCGTGTCGCCGCAGGTGGTGTCCAGCAGCAGGTTCTCGCCGTGCCGGTCGCCCAGCCCCAGCATGTGGCCCACCATGCACCACACCGCATTGGTGCTGCGCAGGGCGGGTGGGTGGGCGGGTGGGTGGCGAACAGGGTTGCACCAGCAGAGCCGGTTCCGAGGCAAGACAAGGAGCGGAGCATTACATACTATGGGATTGACGGGACCAACATTACAGCAGGGATAGGGCGATCCATGCCCCGTCTTTCTCCCCCCCGCCCTGCCTCCTTGTCACGCCGAGCACATATGGGGCCTTGGTGACCGATTTCCTGACAGCACTACCAGCAGTAGGCAACTAGAACAGCCAGCTTTCTTCAGCCCGCTGGAGTGTCAACTTATCATCATCATCGCGGACCCGGTATCGGTAGGGAATACTAACCAACACTTTGTCTTGTGGCGCCCTGCCAACTCCTACCCCATTTGCTTTGCCCTAACTTGTGGTCTCCTATGGTTTGGTATGGTCTTTGACCCCCCCCCGCCCAGCACCCTACCGTGTGAAGCTGGTTCGGGCGCTGAGCCAGGTGGCGGGCTCGGGGAACTTGGTGAGCTGCCAGCGGTGCATGCGCGGGGGGAGCCGCTCCAGAGCCTTGGACAGCAGCTTGGCCTTCTGCGGCTCCTGCCACCCCTCCCACAGCTTCTTGACCCAGGGCACCAGCTCCCTGCGGAGGCACGGCGGCAGCGGCAGCGGCAACCCAACCCAACCTGCTGTGTTACGGCTCGCCCCAACCACCAGGATCCCACCTGCCCTCAGAACACGTACCCACGACACTGGCACTACCCTCTAAAGTCTGTCGCCCCACCCTCTATGTAGCCCATTAAGCCACCCTGCTGCTGCCGCCTCCTACTTGCGAGTGATGATCCGCTCCGCCGCGTAGGTGTCCTCCACCGCCGCCTTGAACGGCACCAGTCCGTTCACCCACTGCAGGATGCCGCAGTCCTCCGTTAGCACCACCACCGCGTACGTGCGCAACCGCAGACCGCGGCGCCGCGACGCGTCGTGCCCCAGGAACAGCGCGTTGAGCAGCCCCGCGAAGTCCATCAGCCTGGGAGTGCAGGCAGGCAGGTGGGGCAGGTGGAGGCGGAGGTGGGGCGGAGGGCAGTAGGGCGGCCGGGGCAGGGTGCGTGGGCAGCACAGAGGCGGCAGGACACAAGCCCCCAGGAGCGGAGCCATGCGTCCCATGTCCCCCGCGAGTGCCCCCCGCACCCCCCAGGGCCCCCAGGACACTGCGGCCTCCCTACTCATGTCGGTCATGTGCCCTGGCGCGCAGCCCGGCGGGTCACCTGTAGTCCTTTCGCAGGTCGTCCTTGGGCTTGGCAAGGAAGGAGTACTCCGCGCCGTCGCTGCCCAGGAAGGTCAGCTTCTTGGGCTTCTGCGGGGGTGGGGAAACGAGTGGGGGGTGGAGGACGAGGGTTGGCAGAAGGTGGGGCAAAGAGTACATTAGAGGAGGTATGAAGGCTATCCTGGGAAGCATTCCGCCTTGTCAGTAGCATCCTTGTCAGTAGCAGCCCTGGTTTCCGCCAGCGTCCCCCCCACCCCCTCCCTTCCCCTCTGCCGCCCACCTGCAGGCTCTGCATGACGGGCATCTCATCCCGGATGCCCTCGATCCGCACCAGCCCCGCCCCCGAGGGGCAGGCAGGCAGACCCGCGGGCGCGTCCTGCAGCGCCCGGCCGCCTCCCAGCGCCGCGGGGGGCAGCGGGGAGCGGAACTGCTCCTGGGTGGGGACCATCACCTGGGGGCGGTGCCGCGAGGGAGGGCCCGGGCTGGGCTGTCGGTTGCAGGTCCCTCACAACACGTGACTGCTTACTGTATATTCAACACAAATGGCAGCGGGTGCAAACGGTGTGCAACCGGGGAGTCGAGCCAGTCGGTTCCCTCCCCCCTCCTCCTCCCTTCCCCCCCTCCCCCCCCCCCTCGTCCCCCCTACCTCGCAGGGCAGCATGCGCACCAGCTGCTCGAACTCGCGGTGCGCCGACACCACGCTGATGTGGCGCTTGGGCGGCGGCTGCCAGTGGCAGAGCTTGATGAGCTGGTCCGCCAGGCTGCTGAACTGCTCCAACAGGGTCTGGGAGGGGGGAGGGCGGGGGGGGGGGGCACCGGGGGGCAGAGAGGGAGGGAGGAAGGAAAGGCGGAGAGGGGAGCAGCAGTAAAGAAGCGGGCAAGAGAGGCAAGGGAGGCAAGGGGTGGCGCCCCACAGCATCGCAGCGTGTCATGCGGCAGCCTAGACTGCTTCGATACGTACGGAAGTCTGCGGCTCGTACGTGTGCTTCGTTGACAAAAAGCCGAGAAATAACTGGGGCCTAACGCGCTGTGAAGCAATACCTCCAACAAACTCACCAGGAGGCTGTGGTTGCCTGCACGCTTGGCCTGTGCGGCCACCTGAGGGAGGTGACATGGGCGCAAAGAGGGGGCAGCTTCTTACTAATAACCCCTGTGCCATCCAAGTGACATCCTGGCTCCTCAGCTACCTAAGCCCACGGCCCGCATGCGCCCCCCCCCTTCCCGCCCCCCTCCCCCAGCCGCACCGCCCGGAAGACCTCGTTGGCCAGCTCCCGGCGCCGCGGCACCGCGCTGCGGCACACCGCCGCCGCCGACCACAGCACCTGCTGCGGGAAGGCCTCAGCCAGGCGGCCCAGCGCCAGCCGGATCACCTCGCCCACCTGCGCAGGGGGGGGTATATCTTTAAAATAAACTGACGCAATGAAAGACGGGGGGGGGGCGGGAGGGGCGCATGCAGGCGGCCCCGCAAGTCGGTTTGCAGCCCAATGTGGTCCTTACCCCATGTATGCCCTAGCCCTTTGCTGGCCTTCCGGCTTGCATGAGGGAGGTGCAACCCAGCCGACGCCCACTCGAAGATAGGTTCGCCCTCACCCTATGCAGCTACCTCCGCCCTCCCTGCCCCCCGCCCTCTCTGGCCCACCTCCGCGTGCGTGTGTGCGATGCGCGAAATGAGCTGCGGCAGCGCCAGCAGCCACTTGGGTGGCGCCACCGAGGAGCCCGCCAGCTGCTTCATGGTGTTGTGGACCTCCGTGGCGGCGCGGGCCTCGCGACCCGTGCGCGGGGGCGCGGGGGCCGCACCCCGGCTGCTGCCGCCGTACGACCCCGGGGCCAGGCCGCGAGCTATCTGGTCGCTTCCGTGCTCACAGTAGAGGGTGAGCAGCCGCGGCAGGGCCTGGGGACGGCATTGCAGCAATGCACTGGTTCCGGACGTGCGGGCTTGCAGGAGGGCTGCATGTGCCCTCTGGGGAGGGACGCACACGCCGCTCTGCCGCCCGGTGTGCGAATGGAGTGGGGTGGGGTGGAGGTGCCGCCCGCAGTTGCAGTGCCAGGAGAAGGACTGGATGACGCAGCGGAGCATGCCCCAGTAAGCCTCAGCAGGCATGCTGGCCCCCGGTCCCGCCGCTGTTGTCCCCCTCTCCCCCTCCCCCCCTCCCCCTCCCCCTCCCCCACCTGCATGACGTGTCGCTGCCCCTTGGTGATGGCCTCCCCGTAGTGGCGGATCACGTCGGGCAGGTACTCAAAGTACTGCCGCTCCTCGCCCGTGCTCACCTTGGCGCGACCGCCGAACCTGGGAGCCAGGGAAGCACCGGAGGGGGCAGCAGCGGCGCATGGGGGGAAACAGTGGGCAGCCGGGATGGGTCGTACGTACAACGCTCACGGGACGCAGGCCCACTCCGCAGTCCCGCCCTTCATGCAACGCGCGCAAGGGCAGGCACCCCGTGCTGCCGCACCTGTCTCCGCCGCCCCTGCCCTGCTGCCCCGCGCTGGGCTGCTGCCCCCCCGCGCCGCCCTGCTGCCGGCTGCCGCCGCTGGTCTGGCGCCGCCGCGCGTCCTGGTACAGCTGGTCCAGGTAGCTGCGGGGTGGGGGGGGGGAGGGAGAGGGAGAGGGGGTGAGGGAGAGGGAGAAAAAAGAAATTCCAAAGTGTGGTATGATAATGAGAGGGAGAGGGAGGGGGGTGGCGGCAGGTGCAGCGGGTAGTCCCCACGCACGCCCCGTGGGTGCGCAGGTGTGCGCAGGCAGCAGGTGCACGCCTGTGCGGCACTGCCTGCGCGACCTGCCCGCCCCCCTTCCGCCCCACCCACCGCGCGTAGTGGAAGTGCGGCTTGTCCCAGGCCCGGTCCGCGTCCAGCGCCTCCTCGAACAGCCGCCGCAGCTCCGAGGGCGCGCAGCCGCCCTGCCCCGCGGACCAGCGCGCCAGGCAGAGCTTCAGACGGGCCAGCAGGCGCTTTGACTCGGCAGCGGCGGCAGCGGAGGTCAGACTGGCGTTGGTGAGGCTGGTGGGGTGGGGGAGCAGGGGGAAGTCGGCGTGAGGAGGGGGACACGAAGGGACGAGTACGCCAGGCTCTTCCTTTCTAGGCAACTGCCTTGGGTTACTCCCACACGATAGTGCGGACGTGGCAGCCGTACATCAGCTCCCGAGCTAAACCCGCTTCGCCGCCCCCACCCCGCCCCCCCTCCCTCCCTCCCTCCTCCCTCTCACTTTGTGATTGCGGTCTGCAGCTCCGCCACCGCCCGGTGGTGCTCCTCGCGCGCTCGCAGCAGCTTGGCCGCCTCCAGCGCCGCGGCGGCCCCCAGGCCCCGAGCAGTGGCCTCCAGCACCGCACTGGTGGCGGCGTCAAGGTGGCCTGAGGCAGGAGGAAGGGGGGTTACCGAGAGGACGAAAGGATGGCTGCTGGCGGGGTTGTTGGCCCCCCGAGCGGCTCCATTCCTCCCCATGCAGAGGCCCCCCTGCCACCCCCCCCCCACCGTTGGCCCTGCACAGCTTGGCGGTGTCCAGCCACGCAGCCGCCTCCGCGCCCCGGTCGCCCATGATGGCGGACAGCTGCCGCCGGAACGCCAGCAGCGGCTCCTGGGTGGGCAGCGAGGACTGGGGCGGGGGGGGAGGGGGAGGGGGTAAGGGAAGGGGATAAGGGAAGGAGGTCAGAGCACCCGACAGGGAGGAGGTAGAGGGGGATCCAACACCTGATGACCTGACGTCCCCCCCACCTACTTCCCCCCGTCACTGCATCCCTTCCCTTCCTCCACGCACAGCCTCCCCCGCACCCATGGCTTCAGTACGTTTGTCACGCTCGTTACCCTAGTTGATCCTCCCTCTCCCCCTCTCCCCCCCCCTCCCGCACCTGTACGGCCGCCATGCGCTCCGACCAGCGCAGCCGGCGGGAGCGCTCCAGCGCGCTGAGGCCCGCCCAGGGCGACCCGGGCTCCACCAGCGTCAACACGTCCGACATCTCCTGCACCGCAGCAAGGGAAGACAACAGGCGTGCGCGCAGTGAGGTCGCAGGTGAAGTGGGTTTGCAACGGAAGCTGCAAAGGCGGCCCTCCTGCTGCTCTTCCCGATCTCCTCCCCCGTCTGCCCCCCCCCCCCGGCCCACCTGCAGCATGTGCAGTCGCACCATGTGCGGGTATGCGCGCACGTAGCTCTCCTGCGCCAGCGCCGGCAGCACCGCCATGCTCTCGTCGCGGTAGCCCTCCAGCAGCTGCCGCGCGCGGGGCCAGTCGCCGCGCTGGAGCGGAGGAGGGGGGGAAGGAGGGGGGGGAGGTACAGAGGAGGGAGAGCAGCGTTGTGATGCAGGACGTATGGAGCAGCACATGCATCCACTGCAGCCAAGAATGCAGCTGTGCCCCACGCGCAACCCTTGCATGTTGCTGCCCTCCTCTCCTCCCCGCCCCTACACACTCCTCCCCCGCCCCCGCCCCCACCTGCAGGGCCTCCAGCAGGTACCCCATGTCCAGCTCCCACTGGTCGCCAGGACTCAGGCCGCCGCAGGAGCCCGACCCGGGGGCCCCGCCGCAGGGCTCCGAGTCGGCCAGGTCGGCGGAGCGCAGGTAATGGCGCAGCTTGGACCAGCGGCCCAGGCGCCAGGTGGCCGCCACGCCCAGGGAGGCCAGCAGCTTCTGACCCGTGGGTCCGCCGGACCCGCGCGACAGCAGCCCGTCAACGGAGGACTGCACCGCCTGTGTGGGAAAACAGGATTGGGCGCATGAAGGCGTGTGTGAAGGTCATCCTACAGGGTACGTCACTGGTACGACCAAGCACGTCACTGGGTACCGGTATCAGGCCAGCATCAGCATCAACCCAACCCACGCACACCCCTGCCCCCCCCCACCTGCCAGTGCCCCATCGCCAGCATGCAGCGGATGGCGCCCGCCTGGGAGCCGCTCAGCGACCCCGCACCGCCGGACCCGCTGCCGCTGCCGCGCTGCCCGGGGCCACCAGCGCCGCCCCGGCTGCCGCCCGCCCCGGCCCCGCCGCCGCCCCGCCGCAGCGCCGCGAGCGCCCCCGCCGCCAGCCCCTGCCCGCCCGCCTCCTCCACCGCGGCCGCCTCCCTGCGCAGCGCCGCCTCATGCAGCGCCAACACATCCCCCCACTGCCCCGCCCGCTCAGCCACCAGCACCTGTGGCAGGCAGGCAGGCAGGCAGGCAGGCAGGGCAACACGCCAATTGCATGTGTTTGTAAAAGCAACGCAGCGGAGTACCTCGCGCGAACGTCACGTGAACCAGCAGCCCGGCTCCCCCCACCCCCCGCCTCATCCCTCCACCCCCCCTTCCCCCAGCCGCCCCACCTGGTCCGCCTCGCTGAGCCCCCCGGGCCGCATGGCGCACAGCCCCGCCAGCCCGTCCGGCTCCCCCAGCTGCCCGTACGCCTCCAGCAGGAACGACACCTGCGCGGGGGGCGGGGGGGAATTATATAATAAGTGCCGCGGGGGGAGGTGGCAACAACCCACGACATGCCGCTCCAACAGGTTTGCAGTACAGCAGTGAAGCATGCAGCGGCACCATCGCTTCAGCACCCCGGCATGGGAGCCATCCTATCTCCTTCCCCTCCTCGCCTCCCTCCACAGCAACCCCCTCCCCTCCTCACATCTGCGTTGATGTTCTTGTACTGCGGCCGCGTCACCTCCGCCGCCGCGTTGAGGCCGCCACTGCTGGGCAGCGGCCGCCCCGGCTGCTGCTGCGCCGCGCGCATGGCCTCCGACCGCATGTGCGCCTCGAACGTCTGCACCGCCCGGGCGTGCGCGCCGCAGCGGGACGCCGCCCGCGCCAGCGTCTCCTTGGGGATGCTCTCGATGAAGGCGCGCACGCACTGCGCCCGCTGTGGCACCTCGCCCTCGTCCTCACCGCCCGCCGCCGCCCCCAGCAGCTGCGAGCCGTCGCCCCCGCCAGCCTGCCAGGCGTCCTTCACCCAGCGACCCAACACGTCCAGCAGACCGAACAGCGCCTGGGGGACAGCGGCGGGGGGGGGGGGGCGGTGTTTACAAGCGGGAGGGATGAGGGGCGGCAAAGGGGAGGCGACGAGTAGTCACGCGGCAAGCTTAGCAAAGTCCTTCGCTGTGGCTCCTGGAACATGCTCCTGACGGCTGTTGCACCCATCCCTCAAATAGCCCCCCCCTGCCCCATCCCCTTCCCCTCCCTCCCCCTGCCTGCAGGTACAGCTCCAGCTGTCCGTCCGCCTCCGCGGGCCCCGCCGCCCCCGCCTGCAGCACCGCCACCACCTCCCGCCGCACCGCCTCGGTGGCAGCGGGGCAGCCGCTCACCAACACGGCGTGCACGACCTGCATGCGGGGGAGGGGCAGGGGGCCGGGGTGAGGGAGAAGGGGGCCTGCCAGGAAGAGGAGACGCAAGGTTGGCAAGCCCACGGGTTGGCCGCCGCGTCATCCGGGTCCCGTACGGAAGCAGTTGCAAGCACCTGCAACCCCAGCCCAGACCACGCCCGCACCCTCTCCTTTCCCATCTCCCCTCAGCCCAAACCCCGCCCGCACCCTCCCCTCCCCGGCCCCCCCCCGCCCCCACCTGCGGCAGCATGAACGTCATGAGCGGCAGGTCCAGTGACATCACCACCGTCAGCGCGTTGAAGGCCGCCTGGTGGGGGCCCACCGCGAAGCTGGGGGGGAAGAGGAGCAGGGAACGGAGTGACGGGGGGCAGGGGAGATAGGAAAGGACGGTGTAAGGCGCCCAGCTCGCATGATATCCCCCGCTAGAGCGTACGGCAGCCAGACCAGAACCCCTGCGCGAGGGGTCCCCGGGACTGCACCCGCCCGTCCCCTCCCTCGCCCCCACCGCAGCATGGCGCGTATCCACAGCGTCAGCCAGCGCCGGTAGGTGGGTCGCGGCACCCCGCAAAACAGCGCGGGACCCGACAGGAAGGAGTCCGGGTCGAAGCGGCCGCGACCCGGCTCCCGCTCCTGCAGGGTGTACCTGCAGGCGGGGGGGGGGGGAGAGGGGCAGGCGGGGCGGGGGAGGTACACGCATGGGGAGCAGGGCGAAGGAACGGGGCAGCAGGAGACGTACAGATGCCTGTGGGGTGCTTCCCACCACCACTACCAGACTGACACCGGGAGCTGCCGGCACCGTACCAGACCCGCAGCAGTACGACATGACCCGCCCCCCCTCCCCGCACATGCGCCTCATGCGCCCCGCGCAGAACCCCTCCCCTGTGTGCTCCCGCTCACTTGGTGGTGAGGTAGGGCTTCACCAGCGGGCGGATGTCGGGGCGGATCTCCCAGTACAGCCCCTCGGGCTCGGGGGAGGCGCCGGCCGCCCCGCCCCCGCCCCCGCCCCTGCCGCCCGCCGCCCCGTCCCCGCCCCCGCTGTAGTGCTGCAGCAGGCACTGCAGCGCGTAGGAGGTGTTGCGGTAGGTGTTCAGGTCGCCCGTGGTCTCCATGATGCGGACCTGGGGGGGGAGGAAGGGGGAGGAAGGGGGAGGGGGGAGGAAGGAAGGCGACTCAGGTGAGCGAGGAGATAGGAGCGCATGGTTAAGGTGGGGGGTAATGCTCGCTACGGTGGCTGTGCACACGCAATGGTGTGGCCCGCGGGTCAACTCCCTAGCCCCTGCCGGCTCTCCATGACCCCCCACCCCACCCCACCCACCAGCTGCTCCACAATGGCCACCTCCAGCGCGTAGGGGCTGCGGCCCGGGCCCCCCTGCCCCGCCGCCCCCCTGCCCCCCGCCGGCCCCCCCTCCGGCTCCTGGTCCACCAGGTCGGGCGGCGCGCGCGGCTCCACCGCCACCCGGGCGGGGTCCAGCGCGCCCAGCAGACCCAGGCACTCGCCGCAGCTGGGAGGGGGGGGAGGAGGAGAGGGGGGGAGGGGAGGGGGGGGAGGGGAGGAGGGAGTGAGCGGTGAGGCGAAAAGGAGAGGGGGAGCGCGTATCAGTTACACCGCATGTCGGCAGCCGGCCAGCACAAGACAAGCTGCGCATATGCGTGAGCAGCGCCACCGTCCAGACGCACAGACGTGCACAAAACACACACGCCGTCCTCCCGCCTGGTGGCCCCCCTCCCCTCCCCCGCCCTGCCGCCCACCTGACCCGGATGACCTTGCTGCGGGTGGTGTTCTCGCAGCACCGCAGCAGCGCCCCCAGCAGCCGACACAGCAGTGCCGAGTCGCCCGCAACACCGCGCGACCCGCCCCCCGCCGCCGCCCCTTCCCCGCCTCCGCCTGCCCCCGCCGCACTCCGTTTGGCGCCCCCGCCCTTCTGCCGCTGGCTGGCCGCCCCTCCCCCTGCCGCCCCCGCCCCTCCTCCTCCGCCCCCCGCCCCCCCGGCTCCCCCCCCTGCCGCCCCCGCCGAGCCGCTCAGCGCCCGCGCCATGAGGTCCGCCACCAGGGAGCGCTGACCCGACAGGAAGGAACGCAACTCGCGCAGCGCCACCTGCCTGCATGGCGGGAGGCAGGGATGCAGGGCAAGGGGGGGAGGCCAGTGTCCCGAAGACAGCGCCCGCTGGCTGCACGCAAGGTCAATTGCATGCCCCATGAAAACCGGCTCTGAAGTCCACCTTACGTCGCGTACCCCCCCCCCGCCCCCTGCCCACCTGACCGCCAGGCTCTCGTGCTGCAGCGAGTCGATCAGCTGCTGCAGCCGCTTGCGTGCGTCCGCCAGCTGCAGCTCCTCCTGCAGCACCCCCCGCACGCGCTGCAGACCCGGCACCTCGGCGGGCAGCGGGGGCATGCGGCTCAGAGCCCTGGGAGAGGGGGTGGGGCGGGGGGCAGGGGCGGGAGGAGTGGATACATGGAGGCAGACACATGATGGCACCCCACACACGTAGTCAAGTGATTGTAAGGTGTATGTCGCCGAGTGTGCCATACGTTGCTAGGTCTCCTCTCTCCTTCCCCCCCCCCCCGCCCCCCCTGCCTCCTGCCCCCCCCCCCCCCGCCCCCGCCCCCACCTGCGCACATGCGCCCGGTAGTCCACCACCAGCAGCGTCACCACCCCGGCCGCCGCAGTGGCCACCTTGTCACGAGTGCTCTGAAGCAACTGCAGCAGCAACACAGTGGCCTGCAGGCACAGCGGGGGAGGGAGGGGGCATTAGCAGGCGCAGTTCCGCACCAACGGGCACAGGAGAGCCATGCGCCTTCACAGGTTTGAGTGCCTCCATTGCCTTTCGCCCCTCCCCCTCCCTCCCCCCTTTTTCCCCGCCGAACCTTTCAATCCCATATGTCCACACCCGTACTCCGACTCGCGGCTACTTTTCCTAACACGCACCTGCACAGCGACCCTCTCCAGCAGCGTGGGCGCATTGGCCTCGATGCAGCGCAGGAACACCCGCCACGTGGCCAGGCACTGCGGCGCGCGCACAGCACACAGCACACGTTGCAGGGCGCGTGGGACAGGTCAGGCGGGGCGGGGGGGAAAACACGTGAAAACACAGCTCACAGCGCCACGAGGGAGCGGAACCCTGCCTGGGTGCCCCCTCCCCACCTCTCCCCACCTCTCCCCCCTCCCCCCTCAGGTCGGGCTGGCTCACATGTTGCAACCCATGTTGACGCCTTATCCCTCAGTCAGTTAGTTGTTTCCTCTTTACCCCTCCACCCCCTCCAGCCCACCTGCAGTTGCAGCGCCTCCGAGCCCGCCGCCGCCTGGCTGACCGAGGCGGTGAGCAGCACCATGACGGGCGGCACGTGGCCGGGCAGGTGGCGACCCAGCAGCATCACAAGCACGGACAGGGAGCGCAGGGCCTGAAGGGGGGAGGGGAAGGGAGGGGCAGGAGAGGGAGGCAGGGGGAGGCAGGGGGAGGCAGGGGGAGGCGGGCATGCCATGTAAGAATGCTACAGCGGCAGCATGACAGGACTGTGGAGGACTAGGGGTGTCAGCTAGTAACGCGGCAACCGCGGCCCTCCCACCCGCACGGCTGCTGCCCCCCACCAGCCTCCCCATGCAGCCCCCGCACCTGCAGCGCATCCGCATCCGCGCCCTCCGCAGACAGCAGCCACCTGCCGCCGCCCTTGGAGGCGCCAGCGCGGGGGCCCTGACCGGGGCCCGAGTGGTGCCGGTGGCGGGACGGAGAGCCCAGGACCGGCACCGCCGCCCCGCCCGCCCCGCCCGCACCACCCCCGCCCCCACCGCCTCCCCCTCCCGCTGCAGGTGCTGCCGCCGCCGCCTGCGGGCTGAGCGACTTGCCGAACCGCTCGAACAGCGCCGCCGTGACGTCCCCCACCAGGAACTCGGCAACCAGGTCGTCACTCTGACGGTCTGGGGGGGGGGGGAGAGGGGGGGGGGACAGAGAGAGGGGGGGAAAAGGTACCACACGTTAGGTGAAGGGACAAAGAGAGGGCTTGGGGTCGGGTACCGTGACCCGCTTGTGCCACATATACAGCAGCTCGTCACCCCTGCCACCCACTTCCCCTCCCCTCCCCTCCCACCTGCCACATGCACCGCTATGGCCTGCATGAAGGTCTGGATGCGCGCCACCTCCTCGGGGGGCGGCTCCAGGGAGGCGCTGCGGGCCCAGTCGGCGGACTGCGGCTCGCCGGCCATGATGATGATCTGGGTGGGGCGAGGGGGGGCGAGGGGGGCAAGGGGGGGGATGAGAATGAGGAGAGCACAGAAGCGAACGGGGTTGACCAGAAAGACAGGCGTTGTTTTCACCGGGCGCGCACTGGCATGGGTTCGGTGTTCCTCCTCCCTCGCCCCCTCCACCCCCCCTTTCCCCCACCTCCTTTGTCACGATCCGCGCCATCACCACGTTGCCCAGCACCCGCTTGGTGGCCTGCTGCTCGTCCATCAGCGCGTCCACAAAGGAGTTGAAGTCGCGCGTCTCCCGCCAGAAGGCGTACGCGTAGGCGTGGTGCGCGTAGGCGGTGAAGAGCTGGTCGGGGCTGACGTCCAGGATGCGGGCCAGCTCCTGGGAGGGGGTGGAGGGAGGCGCCGGTTGCACACTAGGCAGCACTTCAGCATACGCCCCTTCGCGTACCCCCTGCCCTTCTCTCCCGCCCCCACCCCGCCCGACTTCCTTTCTCCCACCTTGAGCTCCCCCAGCTTCCGCGCCCCGCACAGCGGCCCGATGGCGTGCGGCAGCGCCTCCGGCAGCAGCCGCGCCTCGTGCCGCTGCACCAGGCGACACAGCTCGGGAAGCAGCCAGGGGGCGGACAGGACCTGGGGTGGGGGGTGGGAGGGACACACAGGCAGCAGCAGCAGCGGCGGCATGTGTTCGAGAGGCTGTGTGCCAATCGGTACGACACCCTGGACTCCAGCTGACATCCCAAGCAGCAGCCAGACCAACACATGCACTCACACCGCCCTTCACATCCCTGGCATGCATGTCCTCCCCCCCCCCTCACCGAGCAGGCCACCTTGTTGAGCACCAGCGGCGCCAGCGGCCCCTCCAGCAGCAGCGCCGCGGGGGACAGCCCCGCGGAGCCGGTGAGGGACTCCAGGGCGGAGCGGGCGGCGGCGCGCAGCTGGGGTGAGGGGCGGGTGGGGAGGGGCAGGTTCAGACAAAAGGGATGGAGTCAGTGTAAGGAGTAAACCCCTGTGCGAACGGGCTGGACAGCAGGACATGCGGTACGGTGCCGCCGTGTTGCAGCCCCCACTTCCCCCCGGTGTCAGCTACCGAGCAGCAACGACAGCACCCCCCACCTGCCCCCGTCCCCCCCAACCTGCCCCCCCAAACCTGCCCCCCACCTGCGGCTCCGCCCCTCCCAGGCAGTCCAGCACCATCAGCAGCAGCGCGGGGCCGCTGTGCCGCCCCGCCAGCCCCACCGCCGCCGCCAGCAGCCCGCACCGCACCTCGGGTCGCAGCGCCGGCCGCGCCTCCACCACGCAGTGCTGCAGCTGCGCGGCCAGCTCGCGCTCGGCAGCAGCCAGGGCGGCGGGGTCTGCAGCGCCGGGGCGGCGGGGAGGAGGAGGAGCGGTACCGGCCGTAAGGATGAGAAGAAGCGCAGGCGCATCCGACAGGAGATGCCAGGAGTCGCGCAGACGGCAGCTAGGGTCATCTGCACAGCACCCAACGGAGCACACGAGCAAGCTCGGGACACGCTGCGGCACACACACACACACCTCTCGCACACACACCTGCACCTGCACCTGCAGCCGCCTGCTGCTGCTGCTGCTCCTTGTTGCCGCTGCCGCTGCCGAACATCTCCAGCAGCAGTGCGGGTCGCAGCAGGCGCTTCAGCAGCGCCGCCCCGCCGCCCCGCACCGCCCCGCTGGGGGAGCAGAGCGCCGCGAAGAGGATGCGGCGCAGCGCGGGGCCGCTGCCCGGCAGACTGGCGTCAGGGCAGCAGGACAGCAGGACCTGTGGAGGTGCAGAAGAGGGAAGCGAGGGCGCAGAGCGGGGGTGTGACGCTGCCTTCGAAGCTCACTGCCTCGGGTGCACCAGAGTAACCGAACGTCATGGGAGTTCCAATTAGGGTATCTACAGCCACCCCCCCCCCTCCTCCTCCCGTCTCCCCCGCCACTGCCACTCCCCACCTGCAGGGCGGACAGCGCCGCCAGCTGCACCGCCGGCCCCGCCCTGCCTGCCTCCGCCGCCACCCAGGGCTCCAGCAGCGGCAGCACCGACCCCAGCGCCGGCCACACAGGCGCCGGGGGCTCGCCAACCGCCTGCGTGGGGACGCAGGGGGCCCCCGGACCCGCACCGCCACCCCCACCCGCCTGCCAGGCGGCTTCGGAGGCAGCGGTCAGGGCGCCGGACAGGGTGGGCTGCAGCGGTGTGAGCCACAGACCGTCCGGCAGGTACGGCAGTGCCTCCGCCGCCGCAGTGGCGATGCGGGCCGCCTCCGCCGCCGCCGCGCCGGGCGGTCTGGGCGCCGCAGCGGAGGTGCTGGCTGGCGGCTTGGGCGCTGCGGATATGTCCGCCGCCACCTCCAGCAGGAGGGCTCGGGCCCGGCTGAGGCCCTGGACCAGGGACTGCGAGGCAACGGCGGGGCGAGGCGGTATCTCAGTGCAAGCAACGTATCACGGCACATCATGACACATGTGTGGGAACCACGGACCCTCTGGCCTCGCCAGCCACACCACGGCACGTGCGCCCCGCCGCCCCCACTGTCCACCTCGCCCCCACCCCGCTGCGGCCCACCTGCAGTACGGCCGCCGCCAGGTGGTGCGGGCGGCGGCAGCACAGCAGGGCCGCCAGGCTGCGCAGCCCGTCCGCCACCGCCGCCTCCGCACCCGCCCCCTGGTCGCCCTCCGGCTCCGGCCGCTGCTCCTGCCGCCGGCCCCCCGCCGCCGCCCGCAGCGCGTTTCCGAACTCCTCCAGCACCTCGGACAGTCGGTCGGGCAGGCTGGGGGGGTAGGGGGGCGGAAGGAAAGCAGGGGTAAGGAGGAACGGGAAAGGGGGAAGAGGGAATGCGACGCGCCAAGAGGAGACGAGGCAAGAGCGCCAGCACTGGACAGCAGCAACGGCAGCGACAGCATCACCACGACAGCTGCCCAGTGCGAAACCAGTGCAAGCCTGGCACACACACCCCATGCAGGCAAAGCTAGACATAGCAGCAGAAGCAGCTTTTAAGACCCAGGTAATCCCGGCTGACACGACAAGGACATACCAACACTCACGTGTTGTTGAACGCCACCCGCTGCTCCCCCGCTCCCGCCCCTCCCCCCTCCTGCCGCTCCTCCAGGGCCCCCTGCAGCACCGCCACAGGCAGCACCCGGGTAGCCACACACCGGCCCGCAGCGCCCAGCAGCGCAGCAGCAGCCAGCCGACCCTCGGAGGGGGCCTCGCGCCCCGCCCCCGCCCCCGCCAGCTGCGCCGCCAGCTTGGCGCAGCGCTCCATCGCGGTGAGGGCCGCCTGCAGACCCAGCGGCGGCAGGGGGCCCGGGGGAGCCGGCGGCGGCATCCCCTCCTCCTTGCCCGCATGGGCCTGCGGCTGCCCCGCCAGGTGCAGCCGGGCGGTCGCGGCGGCCCCCAGGCTGCATGCGGCCAGGCAGAGGGCGGTCTGCACCAGCACCTCAGCCGCGGCAGCCCCCGGGGCGACCTCCTCGCTGCCCGCGGCGGGGCTGAGAGGCCGGGTCAGGGCCTGTCAGAGGGGAGGGCGGCATTGGAGTGAGCCATCAGCAGGAAGCCCGATCAGTTGCATGCATGTGCAGCACGCAATGTCATTTGCGGAACCTCGCTGCGGGAGACCGGTCTCGCTGTGGGGACAAGTTAGCCCTCTTCCTCTCCCTTACCGGCACACATCGCAGTATGGCGACCACTGCTGCACTCAGCGCCGACGAGACGGCCACGCAGCCGCCGCCCACATCTCCGCCGACGTGGGTGCGCCTGGAGCCACCGCCCCCAGCCCCGGCCCCGCCGCCTCTAGCAGCTGCCCGGGACCCCACCGCGGCTTCAGCTCGCGGCCGCAGCACGGCACCCGCACGTTCCCGCAGCACTGCGAACAGTACGACACAACACACACGGCATGCGGCTGTACGAGCCGCTGCAGCAGCGTCCGGCAGCGGCTCCGCTTGCGGTATGTCCGGCGGTGGTGGCGGTGCGCCCTGGCCCCCCGCAGTTGCCCGCTGCGCCCACTCCGCCGCCGTCTGGGCGAGCAGCAGCAGCAGCTCGGGGCAGGCGGGCGGCAGCAGCTGGCACACGAACCGCTCCAGCTGGGACAGCGCGCCTGCACAGCCGCAGCGGAGAGAGAGGCAAAGGTCAATACGTTGCTGGACCGCATCCCATAGCAGTGCGAAATGGTTACATGAGAGAGGTCGGACTTGAGCTTGACGCCTACCTGCGGCGCTCGTGTCCACGACTTCACCCTCTTGCGGCGCCAGCCCCGTGACGAACCGTACGACGACGGCTGCACTGCCAGCCGCTGCAGCCGCGGGAGCCACGTTGTCCGAACTCCCCCGGGCGCCTCTGCGGCCGCCGGCAGTGCCGCTGCTGTCCGCCGGCGCACCGGCTCCGGCGGCCCCTGCGGCTGCGGCCCCTGCGCCCCCCTCATCGGCTGCGTCTCGGCCGCCTCGCGCCTCCGCCTGCGTGCGCTGCTTGGCGGCGAGCTGGCTGGCGAACATCTCGTGGAGGTTGCCAACTGGACATACGGCGAGTAGACATGCAAGGTAGAGGGGGTCAAGCGACATAGCTGTTGGTACATCACTCGAGTGGATTTGGATGCTGCAGGCAAACGCGTCGTTCCCTCTCCGCCAACTCGTACAACTTCCTCCTACAAAATTCCACAGCCGCACTCACACTTTGAGCCAGGGTGCTGCGACTGCTTGCCTCCTCCGCCCGCGCTGCCGGCCCGCCGCCGCTTCGCGGGCCGCTGCAACACCTCCTCCGCGGCGGTGGAGAGCGCCTCAGCCTCCGCATCCGCAGCAGCAGCCCTGCCCTGCCCGCCAGCACCGGTCGCCCCCCGGCCCCCGCCTGCAGCCTCTCTGCCGGCCCCCGCTGCCGCCTCCGCCGGCGCCCTAGGCAGCACCCTAGGCGGCAGGCTCAGGTGCGAGCGGACCGCCGCCCCGATGCACTCTGCGGAGGGTGAAAGCCAAAGCCACATCCCATCAAGAGATCAACCTCTGCACCTTCCGCCTGCCCCGTGCCATCCTGCCATAAACACATTTCCAATCTCCCCATCTACAAGCTTTCAAAAAAAAGCAAAAGCACCTCACCTGACACTGCCGGTTGCGCCAGCCACTGCGCACACAGCGCCCGACAGCCAGCAGCAGCAGCCGCGCTGCCCCCTCCCGCCGCCCCCAGCCGCTGCGCCTCAGGCGGCACCGCGGGCAGGCGCAGCAGCAGCCCCAGCAGCCCCCGCTCCAGCGCGAGGGGCAGCAGGTGCGGGCAGGCGGCCAGGCAGGCGTGCAGGCGGGGCAGGTAGGCCTCGTGCGCGGGAGGGGGCTGCGGGGGAGCGGCGGGCAGAGCTACGCCACCACCCGCGGCGGCAGCGGGTGACTGCGTCGAGGCAGAGGCGGAGGCGAGGCAGGCGCGCAGCACTACGCTGCAAAGCCTGTGTTACGGTGGATGGAGGTAAGAGGAGGTAGAGTTAGAAACTTAGAATCCCTCAGTGCGTTGTGCAACTGAGATGAAGACAAGGAGGAGCGCTGGCATCGCACCACACGCCTGATGCTCCTACACCCCAGCCCCCACCCCTCCGGGAGCACCCCACCTCTCCGCGAACGGCGCCAGCAGTCCCGCCGCCGCCAGTGCGCTGCTGCTCGCCTCCAGCGCCCACCCCATCGCCGCATGCCAGGCGGAGGCGTCGGCAGGGGTCGCCGCGGAGTCCGCTGCCTCGGCCCCGCCGGCTGCAGCAGCGGCAGGGGGCGGCTGCCGGCGGAGTTGCGGCGGGGAGTCGCCCACATCCACCGCGCCGTCGCACCAGATCTGTACGGCACGCATGGGAAGGGGCATCAGCTGCAGCCGTGTGAACACGACGCGTCCTGACCCACATAACTGCTTCCTCCACCACTGCTCCCTTACCATGCCCAAGCCTCTGTACCAGACCCCGGCCCTACTCCCAACCCTCCCTCCGCCGCACCTCCAGCAGGCTGAGGGCCACATGCAGCAGCCCCTCCGCGGCGCCGCCCTGCACCTGCGCGCCCCCCTCCAGCTCCGCCAGCCGCGCCGCGCACTCCAGCAGGCGCACCTGCCGGCGCGGCTCGCAGGTGGCGCCCACCAGCAGCTGCAGCAGCGCCTGGGGGTAGGGCCCGGGGAGGTGGGGTTTGGGGGCGGGGGGTGGAGGCGTGTGAGAAGCAGGCGCAACAGGGGGATGAGGAGGCATGACGGAGAGGCGCACGACTTGGGTCGTGCAAGGAGATGTCCAGCGGCTCACAGGCGCCACCACACGGACCCAGCCCCCGAGGTCCAACCCACATTCAGCCCCCGCCGCCCCACCCACCTGCGGCACCAGCGGCGGCACCAGCGGCGCCAGCAGGTGCGGGCGGTGCTGCAGCAGCGCACCCAGCAGCGCGCAGCCGGCATCCGCGGCAGCCTGCAGCGCAGGGCGGGGCAGGGCGGGGGCAGGCAAAAGGTCGCAAGCGCTACCGGTAGGTCGCACGCAGGGTCGCACTGCACCCTCCAACACCACCCACCGCGCCACCCCACCCCACCTACCAGGCACTCCGACACCGTCCCCAGCTGCACCGTCAGCTGCACCGGCCCACCGGACCCGCCGGCAGGGCCCGCAGCTGCCTGGCCCTCGTCCGGGTCCGCGGGGGCCTCCGGGGCCGCCCCCTGCTGCCCGCCTGCACCCGCTCCGCCTCCCGGGGCCTGCTCCCCTGCGTCCTGCCCCTGCTCCGGACCCGGCGTGCGGTGCGCCGCCTTGCTCCGCGCGCACAGGCACTCGAACGCACTCACGACCGGCCCCAGCCCCCCTGGCGCCGCAGCCTCACCCCAGCTGCTGGCCGGCAGAGAAAGCAGCAGCAGCTGCTGCTCGGCGTCTGCAGCGGCGGGTGCGCGGGTGCACGGGTCGCAAGGGGTAGATGTTAGTCAGGACGGTGGAGATGCGGCGGGAGCTGTATCACACGAATAACAGCTGTGGCTTCATAACACGCCATCCTAATCTCCGAGCGTGCCATTTCCCATTTCCCGCCTTGCCGCCTTTCCCTCCCCTCCTTCGTCCCGCTCCCCCCTCCCCCCTCCCCCCCACCCAGCAGCAGCTCCATGGTCCCCGCCGCCAGGTCCCGCAGCAGCTCCCGCCGCTCCCCCGGCCCCGCCGCCAGCTCCACCAGCCGCAGCAGCAGACCCACCATGCGGTCAACAAGCGACCTGGGCAGGGGGGGAGGGGAGGAGGCAGGGGAGGGGGGGAGGGGAGGAGGCAGGGGAGGGAGGAAAGGGGGAGGCAGCTGCGGGTGGGAGGCTGTGTGCGCGGGTCTCCGTCCGTGTGCGGAGGGCGCAGCAGCCGACCCCGACCCAGTCGCGTCCGACCCAAATGACCCAAATTGGCAATCACATTTGAGGCGGAGGACGGAGGACGGACAACAGCGGACCCGCCCCCTGCTCCCCCCGCTTGCCTGTATCTGCCTGCCGCCGCCACCAGGAGGCCCAGCAGGCTGCACAGCGTGGCGGTGTCCAGCCCCTCCTCGCCGCAGAACACGGTGGGCAGCCGGTCGACCACGAAGCTGGCAACTGACAACACCGTCACAACGTCCTGCTGGAGACCTGGGAGCAAAACGTGGTGGGGATAGGGACAACGTGTAAGGAGAGCGCAGTCATGGATGGACAAGCGTAACCGAGTGAAGGGCGAAGGGCGACTACGTTAAGGACAGCCTGCAAGCGGCTAAACAGAGACGAGTGTGTCAGCTTACCTCCACCGTGGCGACTGGCATCCGCACACGCGTTCAGGAGACCGGTGATGCCGCTGCGCAGCTTCATGACTAGTGGGTCGCTCTGGCTGGCTTGGCTCTGACCGCTAACACCGAGCGCCGCGCTTAGGGCAGCTTGCAGGTCCTACAACGCGCAGACGGTGTCAGACATTGCAAAACAAAACACTGCCTTCATACAAGGAACGAGAGTCTCAACAAATTGAATTATGGACGTCAGAGTCTCACCAGTAACAGTCGCGAGTTAATTGCTTGGGTTGTGTTCGTTCCGGCATTTCCAACATGAACTCCTGCATGTCGGGGCTGGCCTCCTGGAGGGTTATCCCTGATATGGGTAGCCATTGCAAACGCGTTGCTGTGTGCAGCTTCCTTCCTAATCCTTGGTTGTGCACATATAGCTCCACGCTAGCAGGCTACAGTGGAGCGACTGTGTCATGTGCTCATGAACCCCAGGTTAGGAGTGTGAGTCTAGTTAAAAAGGAAGCACGGTTATGCAGGTACTGAAACCTTCGTGGGCAGACTGTGCTTTGGCAGAAAGAAGCGATCCGCGAGGAAACCTAAAAGATAAAACAAGGCAGAGCTGCTGCAATCTGCTGCATCAGGCCTGATGATTTCCCTATGTTACAAAATGCGCGTATTTCCTAGCCCTGCGCCCTGTGTCGCGGGCGCCGAGAGCCCGAGACGGTAATGCCGTACAATGTTTTGGCGCGTACCCGCATTCGGCAACAAAGTAAGACCCAGATGAAGCGGTGCATCACAAATGCTTATACTTATTGCTTGTAACAAGTGACAAGACCTGTCGCTGCGAGTTCTGAGTGCTTTCCTGTAGGCCGCGGACCAATAATGGCAGGAAGCCTCGTCCGCTTCACTCATTGACCCTGCCCGGGCCTCGCCCCAGGTCCTATCCGCTCCCGCCCCGGACCCCCTCCTACCGCTACCCCCGCAGCCTCCTCCTCTCTCCTACCGCTACCCCGGCAGCCTCCCTCTCCCCTCTTCTACCGCTACCCCAGCTGCCTCCCCTCTCCTACCGCTACCCCCGCTGCCTCCCCTCTTCTACTGCTGTACTGGGCTAAGGGAATGCCTTTGGGCTACATGGGGACCTTGGGACAAGCCCGGACACTGCTGCTATTCGCGTATCATAGAGCACTGCGCTGCTGCTGTCTGTTATGCGGCCAACTGCCTCATGCGACACGTGCCATGCAAGAGGGGCCACACGGAAGGTTCCCTCCCCTCCATGGCTTTCGCCAGGAGGGGAGGGCAGAGAGCGGATTACATGGCGTATACCAGCAGATAGGCGTCAGGCTATATGCCCGTATAAGCTACTGCAGGATGGTCAGGAGCTAAAATGCAAGGTGCCTTTCCACTGAACTTCTCCATCCACAGCAGGACTCAAACAAGCCTAACGCAAACTGAAGCACAGCGGAAAGCCCCACGGGGCGCCACACCATACACGGCCCCTGGGTCGCACACGGAACTGGTGCTTCATAGCAGCCGGAAACCCAGGCCTATTGAAGAACCATAAGAGCACACAAGACCGGGTGCATGATCAATGAGCTGCCCGCACTCATGCCGGCCCCACTGGGCGCTACATGCTCCCATGCAAGCCCCTTCACTGATCCCGTCCAGGCCTGCACCTGCCACACTCGGCTTGGGGCGTAAGGGTAACACTTGCTCCGCACAAGGCCTTCACTCGCACTGCCTTGTCCCTGAGGGAGTTGAACCCTCCAGCTGCCTTGTTAGGCAGCAGCCCAAGGAACAATCCTTCGTAAAAGGGGCGGCTGCGGTTCAGCGTACTCCGCCGCCTCTGTCGTGCTCTGGTCTACCCAACAGGACTTCGACCATCTGCGCCCCTAAAGTTCATGGCCTCAGCCGCTGTTGATGCGACTCAGACTCTGCCTCAGACGGAGCTTGTCGCCAGCGACCTTGTGTCCAGCTATCGTCCTCTGGACGACGATGATAGGTACGTGGTCGAGCAAGGACAATGGTACCTGCAAAACACAGCATAAAGGACGGGTGATTCCCTTACCGATATGAGGCAGCGGATACGGCACTAAGCATGAGCCATGTATGGAGTGGAAGGTGCTCCTGTCCCATGCGACAGGCCGCCATTGGGACAGCAACCTTTGCCCACGCTGCCGGCCCAATAGACATGCCGCATGCAGCGGTAGTCAAGCGCGTGGCCGAAGCTTGCTCTCAGCCCGGTCATTGTAACCGTCCCAACCGCCGTCGCAAGAAGGCACGCCGAACGTTCCAACTTCCCCTGACGCAGTTGAGTACTAGTCCCATGCCCCAACATCTACTGGCGCTCCGACTTGCCTGGATGCTGCAGGTAAGCGTGAAGAATGCATTGGTTGCGTAGGTGTCTTGCACGTGGTCGCGTAGCCAACTAGCCTTGGTCATTGTTGAGCGCGTGCCCTGGTCGCCAAGATACCGGTAGCCATGAAGCGCTGCCTTTTGCATCAGTGACCTGCGTGAAATGCAGGTAACCATATATGGATCAATAATGGCAACGTTATGTGCAGAGCTTTCAGCAGGCCATGACTTCGCAGCCAAGGCATGGCGTAATAATGATAGTGTGCACTAAAACAGGCACCCTGCAGTCGCATATTGCAGTGGATTGCCTTGGCCCCGACACACGCTCTTGCTCGCTTCTGCGTCCTACGCCATTTTTGGCCCTCCTGAGGCGTCCCAAGTACGTGTTGGTAAGAACCTTGGATGGATGAGTACGCTTTTGTGTCATCTCAGACTCGCAAGCGCTGCTTCGCTGTAACGCAAAACACACTTTGGTGGAATTACTCTGCTTCTTACGCCACCACGCGACCTATATAGACGTGTTAGGTGGTACGATAATGATCGAAAGTGTGACTCGGATGATGAAGCTCTATAGGTGCTAACTTCAAATTAAGATCATTCTATTTTTCTGTGTTTGTGAACTGCACTTAAGTATTATCCTTTATCAGTCTTGGGAGGAGGATAAGTTGCCATGATGGAAGGCCAAGCTTCGGGCAAGGAGCTTGTGGTGCGAATCAACGGGCAGGACTATAGCGTGCCACCCGAATTAGCGAATGCTCCGCTGGCATCCTTCATAAAGACGAGGACGCCGTTTAAGGTACAGTCCGCGGGCGGTTGACGGAGAAAGACAGCTAAGGCTGGATTGTCCCTTGCATCTTCTTTGTCGACTCGTTCTACCTTCCCCTATACATGTCTTCATGCTGAAATAATTGTTACACCAGACGCTTGGTAGTTGGTTGCTGCCAACTCGTTATCCCACGACGACGCATGTGCCGACTTCGCGTTTAAACATGATATCCGGCCAGACAAGTATGTTAACGCTTGCAGAGAACAGGCGCCTGTGGTGTGCTTGCGTTGGCCATTGGCTGGCAACCGCTTGCCGTGGGCCCGAACACTTCATTACCAGCATGTTTTAAGCAAACACACGTTTAATGTCTCTCAGTAATCTCAGTTCAGATGTTTGCTCGGGCGCTCCTCTTACCTAACTGACGTCATGCTAACAATCCGTCTTCGCTGCAGAGCGTGAAAGTTGCGTGCGGAGAAGGCGGTTGCGGCGCATGCACCGTTGCAGATGTAGAGGAACGCGATGGTGGGCCCAGTGACTGCGTGTTTTGAGTCGACATGCCACTTGACCTTTGAGATTCCCTTTAATTGTTTCGTTTGCCGTCTTAAGTGCGGTAGTCAGGATGACAGCATCATCCGTCCGTAATGCTTCCTCCTACCGTTGCTGCTCCGCCCAAACCGCGTCCTCCTGCTGTTCTTTCCTCCTCATCAAGGCGGACGTTGCTACCCCTCGTACCCAGACCGCTGCCCTTCCCCTCATCCCTGCCAGGACGACCCTACCTGCGCACCTTCAACTCCTGCCTCGCGCCTGTCTACTCCGTTCGCGGCCGCTCGCTGCTCACGGCGGAGGGACTGCCGGCAGCGGCGGCGGCGGGCGGAGGGACGTCCTTGGTGGCGGGTGAGGCGGCGGGGACGAGGGTTGGCGCCTGGAGTGGGGCCCGGCGATGCAAGGGAGCACCTGGGTGCACAGCGCAGCTGAACCCTAACACCTCCTCCCAACTTAATTCCGCATACACCTCTGTTAGCTTGTACTTTGCGGTTCACATGCGAACCTATCCCAACTGCTTGCTCTTATTTCCGCTCAACTATGCACACCAGTTTCCTTGTGTCGCTTGTTCCTCTTCACGCGCATCCCCCCACACGCCCGAAGCTCTGAACCAAGAGTCACGTGCGGCTCCCTGCCCTGCCCTGCTGCCGTCTCCCTCCTCAGACCGCCTGGCGTCCTTCCACGCCAGCCAGTGCGGCTACTGCACCCCGGGCTTCACCGTCGCGGCGCACGCGGCGCTGCACAACGCCGCCGCCACTGCCGCCGCCAGCCCAAGCGGCCACCACAGCCATCACCACCGCGGCGAGCACGCCAGCTGCGGCGGCGGCGGCTGCGACGGCAATGGTGGCTGCAGCAGGTCTGCCGGCGGCGACCGGGGCGCCAATGCAAGCGGCGGGTGCGGCGGCGGGCTGCTGGCCGGTGAGGAGCTGCGTCGGGCGCTGGAGGGCAACCTGTGCCGCTGCACCGGCTATCGGCCCATTGTGGCCGCTTGCAGGGTGAGGGGGCGGGGGCGGGTTGCCAGCAGCGGGGTTGCAGGTGCATGCGGGGTAGTGTTTGGTTGACATGCGTAGAGGAGATGCTAGGCACACCCCTAGTACCCGAGATAGGGCTGCCCTGCTCCTCACCCCTGACCTGCGCACACAAGCTGCCCCCTGCCTGCCCCCGTCAAGAGCCTGGCGGAGGAGGTTGTGGACATGGAGGACCTGCTGGGGCCGGCAGCTGCGGGGCCTGCGCCGGCAGCAGCGCCGCCGCCGCCTGCAGCTGGGCTCCCGTTGGAGGAGGTGCCGCTGGGCCCGGGGCAGCTGCTCAAGGTGAGGCCCGCGTACGGCAACACGTACGACATACACGTTGTAGGCAATTCGTACAGGGCGCTTTTATAAATGACATTACCGCAGCTGCCGCGATGGCATCACGGCCTCTGCGTCTGTAGTCTCTCCTCCCCCTCCTTAACTGTCCCTTTGCGTCCTCCTGCGCCCCCTCCGAACCCGCCTGCCGACCAGGTGCCCCGCTCCCTGGAGCAGCTGCTGGCGGAGGCGGGGCGGCTGGCGGCGGAGGAGGCGGAGGGGGGGGCGGGGGCGGGGGCGGCCACCGCAGCTGGCGGCAACGGCTCCCGCGCCGGCCCCGCCGCCCGCGGCCCCCCCTCCTGGCGTCTGGTTGCCGGCCACACGGCGCACGGGGTGTACAAGGACTGGCCGGCGGGGGAGGCGGTGCTGCTGTCGCTGACGGAGGTGAGGGGGGGAGGAGGGGAGGGGAGGCGGGGTCTGGGTTTGCTACGAGGATTTAGGAGGACTGTGGGAGTGGGGATGGTAGGATATGACATACTCTGGGGAAGTCCTGGCGTGCGGGCCTTCTACTGAGGAGGACCCGGGGAAGTGCGGGCGATGAGGACAAGGGCAAGGAAGTAGCGGTGAGCGTTCTAACGTCAAGACCAACCCCAAGGAATTCCAATGGTATGCGGCGTGTGTGCGTGCCGCACGTTGTGCCGTTGCAACAGGTCCCGGAGCTGCGCTGTCTGGAGCTGGAGACCCACCGCGGCGTGCCGTACCTCCGCATCGGCGCAGCCGTCACACTGGAGCTGCTGGCGGCGCAGCTGCAGGAACTGGCAGCCGCTGCCACTGCACCCTACACCGCTCCCGCCGCTGCACCCACCGCTGCTGCGGAGGGTGACCCCACCGCTGCCGGAGGCGCGGGGAAGCCACCACATGACAACAGCAATGCCGTCAGCGGCAGCGGCAGCAGCAGTGCGGCCAGGCTGGCGAAGCAGCTCCTGACAGCTGCGGCGGCGGAGGCGGAGAGGGGGGCGGGCGAGTGTGCTGCTGAGTGCGCTGCTGCTGCTGCTGCTGCCGAGCCACATGGCGCCGCTTCGTGCCTCGGCGGTGTGCGGCAGTGGGCGGCGGAGACGTCGGCGCACCTCCGCCGTATCGCCGGGCCGCACGTCCGCAACGCTGCCTCGGTGGGTCCCCGGGTGCCGGTTCGGGCAGCCATGCGGTGCCCGCTCCGCACTACCGGTGTGTTGGCAGCCAGGAGGGGTGCTGGCAGCCAGGAGGGGTGCTGCACCCGGAGCACCGCCCTGCGGACTGTCGCTTGCGCACTGCCCCTCCCATGCCACTGTACCTCCCTGATAGCTCCTCTCAGAGTCCTGATGTGCTGCTGCGCCAGCGGACGCTGACGGTACTACTCCCCACCCCCCCACCCACCCCAGTTTGTCAGTGTTTCTTTATTTTTGCCCCCCCCCACCCCGTGCCTCAGGTGGGCGGCAACCTGGTGATGGCGGCCGAGCGGGCGCTGCCCAGCGATGTGGCCACCGTGCTGGGGGCAGCAGGTGCGCGGAGGGCGGGGGTGGGCAGGGCGGTTGGGTGGTTGGTTCCGGCAGCGAGGTGGGCCCTGGCAAGTAAGTTAGGCATGTGGCGGCTGACATTGGCCGCCAATGTGGGCAAGCATGGTCCCATGCTCCATCCTGCTCGCATGTGAAGCAAGGTAGCACCCCCTGATGCCTCCCGGCTGCCGGAATCGTGCGTGGACAGGCGCGGAGGTGGAGCTTCGGCTGGTGGCTGCTGATGCGCCGACCCACGGGTCCGTCGTCCGCGCTAACCTTGTGGACTTCGTCGCAGCTCGCGGCATGGTGCCGTCCGGCTGCGGGTACATCCTGACGGCGATCCGCGTCCCGCTGCCACCAGCAGACCCACGTGTCAAGTTCTGGAGCCAGCGCATTGCCGAGCGCTACAGCAACGCCGCCGCCGTGGCGAACGCCGCCGTTATGGTGCGACTCGCCCAACCAACGGCAGCAGCTACGGACCACACCGATGGCGGACCTGCAGTGCCAATGGTGGAGGATGTACGGATTATCATCGGCGTACGTACGGCAGCTGACAGGGGCGGCGGTGCTGGCGGTGCTTCCGGCGCGCAGAAGGCTGTGGCGGCTCATAACGCCAGGAAGCTGCAGGACGCCTCGGCGCTGCTGCTGGACGGCTGGCTCTGCCGCCGCGCGGCTGCCGCTGAGGCGGCGCTGCGAGGCCGGCCCGCCTCCGTCGCCTCGGTGGCGGCGGCGCTTGCGGCGTTGGTGGGTGGGGACTTGGCGGCGACGGCGGCGGCGGGGACGCCGGCAGCCGCGGTAGCTGAGGGCTTGGTGGCCCAAGGTCTGATGGCGTGCTTGGGCCTGGCGGTGGCGGCTGGCGGCAGCGCTACCGCCGCGGAGGCTGGCGGGGGGTGCGGGCGCGCAGGGGAGGAGCGCACTGCACCCTCGCCGGCGCGGATGGCGCCGCCGTCTCTGGTGGCGGGTCGTCAGAGCCTGCCGGACCCCGTTGATGCGCTGGCGCCGGTCACTCAGCCCCTGCAGAAGCTGGGTGCGAAGCTGCAGGTGAGTTAAACGCGGGTGCTGGAACGACTGTTCCGCTTTGACAGGATGCGGAATAGAGTTGAGGTGCAGAGAAGCTTCTGGATGTGGTGCTGGGTCTTGGCTTCTTGTTAGCGTCCCCGCCGGCTTGGGCGCGGCCTACGCATGAGCAAAAGCCGTCCCAGTATCCCCTTACTTGACTTCCCGTCCTCGACGCACCCTCCCCCCTCACAGGCCTCCGGCACTGCGCACTACACCGAGGACGCGCCGCTCCACTCGGGGGCGCTGTACGGCGCATTCGTACTCTCATCCCGCGCCGCCGCCAGGGTGGCGGCGGTGGACGCCACCGCGGCTCTGGTCGTACCCGGTGTGGTGCGCTGGCTGGGGGCGGCGGACCTGCAGGACCTGCCCGGGGCGGTCAACCGCTACGAACGAGCGCCGCCGCCGCCGCCAGCTGCTGATGCGGGTGCTGGTGGTGGCAGCGGCGGTGGTGACATGTGGCCGAGCGGCCCTGAGCCGGTGTTCCTGGCTGTGGGGGAGCGGTGTGCGTATGCGGGTCAGCCGGTTGGGCTGGTCCTCGCCACAAGGTAGGCTGGGGCTGGGGCCTGGGAAGGAGGGAAACCTGTGAGCGGCTCCCTTTCCTGGTCTTGCGATTCCCTGCTCAACCCTCCCAACCGCCAACATTCTTCCCATCCCTCGTGTACGACTGGATCCCGCGTGCCACCCGCGGTGCAGCCCCTGGGCAGCGCAACGCGGCGCCAAGGCCGTTACCGTGCAGTACAGCGACAAGAGCGGCAGCAGCAGCGGCGGTGGCGGCGGCGACACGGGCACGGGTCCGTTGCTTAGCATTGCTGACGGCGTCCGCGCCGGCTCCTTCCACCGCGTGCGGGACATCATGGTGTGGTGCAAGCCCGGCAGCAGCTACGAGGGGAACAGCATCGTGGTCGCCGGCGGAGGCAGCGTACAGGAAGCGCTGGCGGAGGCGGGGGCCGTGCCGGCGGCGGCGGTGGCGGAGGCGGCGCTGGGGGGCTCTGCAGCGGCGGAGGCGGCAACCGCGTCACCGCCGCCGCCACCGTCAACGTCGGCCAGCCGGGTGGTGAGTGGTCGCTACAGCATTCCCTCCCAGCTGCATTTCTACATGGAGACCCAGAGCGCGGTTGCGTGGCCGGACGAGGACGGCAGCCTGGTGGTGCACAGCAGCTGCCAGGGGCCCGACATGGTGCAGGTGGGGGGCGGCAAGGGGAGGGGGGAGGGGGCATGCGGGGGTATACGGGTACCACAGCAAGACCTATAACGCAAGCGTCGCAACAAAAGCGCAGTTGCCGGGCTGAAGAAGTGACATTTCTCAGGTTTCAATCCGTGACCCGGTAGACGGCATAACACCCCTTGCGGACTGCTTCTCAGCAATCAGCATCTCCCCTTAAAAACTGCTACACGGTAACGGCCGTAACGCCCGCAGGCCGCTGTCGCAACAGCCCTTGGCCTGCCGTACAACAAGGTCACCGTGCGCTGCCGGCGTGTGGGAGGTGCTTTCGGCGGCAAGGCAACCCTGTCGCGCCGGGTCGCCGTGGCCGCCGCCGTGGCCGCAGCGGCGACAGGACGCCAAGTCAGGTGAGCTAAGGTGCCGTACATCAAGGTATCGACACTGGAAGTCTGTTGCCTCAGCTGCGTGTGGCCCTTTCCCAGCTCCGCACCTTGACCCCTCTCCGGCTCTCCTGAATGTAGGATCCAAGTGCCGCGCAACGTGGATGCAGTAATGAACGGCGGCCGGTGCGATGTGGATGTGTCGTACGTCGCCGTCGTGTCCAACGACACGGCAGCGACGACTGCCGATTGCAGCGCCGAGGCGACCCATGGGTCACCTACGGCTGCCGCGATGCCCCGGCTGCGCGCGCTGGACATCCACGCGGTGCTGCTGGGCGGCGCCTTCCTGGACCTCAGCTGGCTGGACGTGATGGGCCTCACGTTGACGGTGGAGGGGCTGTACGACATACCCGCCATCAGGTGGGGCTGGGGCTTACCTCCTAGGTTGTGTGTGCAGTAAGGAAGGGTCTGGGAGGAAGGCCAGATTAGCAAGGAACGTTTCATAGTCCTTTCGCCGTATGTAGTCTTAGTCATCCACAATTGCCCTCTGCTACATTGCCCCCCTCCCTGGGCCCCTCCTCCCACGGCCGCAGGGCCGAGGTGGCGCTGACTCGCTGCCACCTGCCTCCCCGCACCGCTGTCCGCGGGCCGGGCGAGGTGGAGGGGACCATGATCATTGAGCAGGTGGGTGCAGCTGGTGTGTGGCTGGGGGGAGGTGCCGGAGGTCGCGTCTGGGGCCACATCTCACCAACCCGCCTAGTCCTACACGCACTCCTCCCGGTCGCCCGCCTTCGCACACCCCACTTTTGATAACCCACCGGCCTGCATGCCAGCACAAGTACTAACAGGCATCCAACCACCCACTGCCTCACCGCACCTGCCGCACCTGCCGTACCAGATCATGGAGCACGTGGCGGCTGAGCTGGAAGTGGACCCGGAGGCCTTCCGGGCGGCCAACTTCCTGCGCTGCCCCGACCAGCCGCAGCAGCAGCAGCAGCAGCTGCAGCGGCAGCCACCACAGCCCTCCGCCCTGCTTCCGGTGCGGAAGGAGGGGGATGCCGCGGCGGCTCCCACGCAGCCTCGCACGCCCCCCCAGGCGGAGTCGCCCCCGCGGCAGCCCAGCCCCCAGCAGGGCGAGGTGGAGGTGGAGGCGGGGGCGGGGGCCGCAGCGGCGGAGGCTGCGGGGGACGGAGCAGCCATGCTGGCGGAGGGTGCGGAGGCTGCGGTGGCGGCGGCCTCGAAGCCTGAGACAGAGGAGCCCGCGAGCAAGCCTGGCGAGGTGCGATCATGCCGCTTTCGTCCTGCACGGCTTGGTGTGCGCGAGGCATGTGTCGTACGGCTCCTCATCATGCCGTGCAAGCTGCCCGGTGCATTTGCTTGTAGCTTCCTGCTTCACGACCGTCATACCTACTGAATCCTTTCCAACGGACCACTACGTACCGCTTTCTGACCCCTTTCACACCTCGCGCTCACGGTCGGCTGCTTTGTTTCCATGCCATGGAACAACCAGGTGACCCATGGCGCCGCTCCTCCTGCCCCCGCCCCCGCACCGGTGGTGACCTCCCCGCTGGGCAAGCGCATCCCCGCGCGCCTCTACACGCTGCCCCGCATGTGGGGGCGGCTGATGCGGGGGGAGGGCTGGAGCCGGGTCAAGGTGTGCAGCTCAGCCGGGGTACTGGGAGCTGGGCTACCGTGATGGCTGCAGCCTGGGGGCATGATGAACCGGCTTTGGCTTCACTGAGCTGTCACATGATGCCCCCCTGATGTACCGGTAGCCCTGATATGCCTCCTCCGTGTTGTCTCCCTGCGTCGCCTCCAGGCGGAGGTTGCGGCCTTCAATTATGCCAACCTGTGGCGCAAGCGGGGCGTGGCGCTGTTGCCGGCCAGGTGGGGGGAGGGGTGGCGTGGCGGGGGGGGGGAACTCACAGCGGGAAGGGGAGGCGGGGGAGGACCCAACTGCTTGCACAGCATGCGATGTCATGCTAAGAGGGCCCTCCGGGAGCAATGCGCTTGCGGGTGGTGGCTGTCCGTTCGGTGCGGGTGACACGACGGACCGTCACCGGGAAGCCGCGTGTCGGGGAAGTAAGCCGATGGCGCCGCGCAGGGGGGCCGGCAGAGCGGTGGTCCGGGTCGCTGATATGGTGGTTGGCGCCCGCACCTTACCATGTTGTCAACGAATTGATTACTACGCTGCTGCTCCCGGCGTGTCATGCTTGGGAGAGGGAGAGGGCTCGTGGAACGGTGCACTGCGCCTCTGCGTACCTGCATCTCCAGCCTTTGTTGCATGCATGGGTTCACCCCCTTCTTCAATTTTGTAGTCGACTTATCTTCACCTTCATACAGCCTTTCGTCCATATCCAGCTCAGCCATCGCAGCTATCAGCCTCACTGGGCGCATACCTGCTTTTCCTCGTGTTCCTTGTCAACCCGTCTTCTTTCAAACTAACGTTTCGGTACGTTATCGCCTCCAATTCTCCCTTGCTATGCAGGTTAGTCAGGGTTCGCACTAGTGGGTGGGCTGGGCTTTGTTGGACCCATGGGTCATTGCGAGGGTCGGGCAGGGTGGGATGCTTTGGTGCACACAGCCGCATGACAGCCGCAGCTAAGCAGCGGAGCTTACATACGTTATGCTGTCGACAGAATTGCAGCAGAGATAGCAGGTGCAGCGCAGGGGAGCCGGTTATCACAGTAGCAGCCGACTTTTATTCGCCAATACAGAGCGATCTCAAATCACATTGGCAGCCGCCATGGAGCTTACAATACGGTTTGTTATTGATTAATGCTACTAACTACAATAAATTGCTATCCCTAAAATCCAGCCTGGCCGCCCCTCTGCCCCCCCCCCCGCAGGTACGGCATGTACCGCGGACGCAAGCCCGCGTACGTGAGCCTGCTGCCGGATGGCACGGTAACGGTGGCGTGTCACGGTGTGGAGATGGGCCAGGGGCTCTTCACGAAGGTCGCGCAGGTGCGGGGTCGGTCGTGGAGGTGCGGCGGGAGGGTGGGATGCATGCGCCCGCAGCGGCTGCCGGCTGGCTTGCGCGTCTGTCTATTTGCAGCTGCCGTGGGATAGACAGTCGGATAATGGTCGGGTATGCGCGGTTCGCGTCCAATGGCGACATCGGCAGTGAGCCCCGTTGCCCGTGTGCCTGCTGTGACCCCACTGCGCTGCCCCCCCCATCCCGGGCTCCGTGTGTGTGTGTGTGTGTACGGCAGGTGGCCGCCCAGACGCTGTCGGAGGCGCTGCCGCCCTCGCAGCGGCCGCTGGACATGCGGTGCATCAGGTGGGTGGGTGGGTGGGTGGGTGGTGATGTCAGCGGGTGATGGCAATCCATCAGGTCGCCGACGAGCCGTGCTGTGCCCCGCAGCTCCGTGCGTGCCATGCCACCATTCGCCATGCAGCGCACCCTGATGCAGCTGCTGCTGCTGCTGCTGCTGCTGCTGCTGCTGCTGCTGAGCCGCGCACTTACACATCCTGATTCCGCCCCCTCCCTCCCCCACCCCCTCCAGGATCGCCGACAACAGCACGGAGCTGCTTCCCAACGGCGGCGTGACGGGCGGCTCCACCAGCAGCGAGCTGTCCTGCGTGGCGGTCAGGCTGGCGTGTCTGAAGCTGGTGGAGGGACTGCAGGTGGGTGTGTAGGGGGGGCGCGTGGGGGGGTGTGGGGGGTGGGTGCCGGGGTTGAGAAGCGCCGCTTCATGTACCGGTATGTTGGCACTCATCCGGCATCAATAGTTGCTCGTATTCATGTCCTGACGTGCCTAGCCCGCGTTACCGGTGCGGAGGTGCCCGCATACCGCATACCCTCTACCCACGCAGAAGGTCGCAGTCCCCAAGATGGCGGGTCGCGAGGACTACACCTTCAAGGTAGGGACGCACCCCAGCGCGCTCCGAGTGCTAGTGTTGCTGTTGCTCCAAGGCTAAGAGGTATTTCTGAGGAGGACTCTTATGACCCGTGGATCACCCGGGCCCTAATGGTTCCTCTCCCCATTGCTTCAGGACCTGGTGGCTGCCATGATGCGAGGACCGGAGTCCCTGGTGAGTGGCTGAACGGGGTGACCCGTGGGTCGGTGGGTCGACGGGGAACAACATGGAAAGAAAGGAAGGTGGGCGGACCGGCAGAAATGTAATGGCGTACGTGGCGTAGGTTGCGGAGGCGGTTTGCTGGGTGGCGCCTTCTTGCTGCCCCCCCACTCACTCCTCGCCCCCCCCCCTCCCCGCACCTCACCTGCCCTCACAGGCGCCCATGTCGGCATTCGCGTGGGGCGGGCAGGCGGATCTGCCGGAGAGCAGCAGCAGCAGCAGCAGCGGCCAGGGAGGAGGTGCAGGGGGTGCAGGGGGTGAGGGTGGTGAGGGTGGAGGTGATGAGGGCCCCCTGGAGCCGCTGGAGCCCGAGTACCACGTGATGGGGGTGGCGGGGGCGCTGGTGGAGGTGAGTGGGGGTTTGGGGGTGGTTGGAGTTGGGGATGGGAGGGAATGGGTGTTCCGCACTGGGCTGGGGAGGTACATGAGGTGGATGGGGCGCAGTAACGGGGCATCCAGAGCTGGGAAGGGAAGGGACCTCCACAACCTGCTGACCGGGGTGCCTGACATGCGGCTGTCCCACCTGCTCCCACCCCCACCTGCCCCCACCCCCACCCTCCCCCCTACCGCTGCCCGCCTGCCAGGTGGACGTGCTGACGGGCGAGCGGCGGGTGCTGCGCGCTGATGTGCTGTTCGACCTGGGTCGCCCGGTCAACCCGGCGGTGGACTTGGGGCAGGTGGGTGGGGGCCCGGGGGGGTGGGGGCCCGGGGGGGTGGGGCAGGAGTTGGACGCGCGTTGACATGAGGGTCGGATCAGTATCCCGTCCATCTAGGGAGCAGTCCAGATGGCCTTGCCGCCGTACCCACTGCACCGTTTCGCGTGCTTGCATGCCCTTGGCCATGGGCAGCTTGCTGGGTGCTTGCTGGCATCCGGGGGTAGACTTCTGGAGCCCATGCTGCACCCTCCACCCCCCCCCACCCCCTCCTCCCCCCCCCCGCAGGTGGAGGGTGCCTTCGTGCAGGGCATGGGCATGATGCTGCACGAGAAGGCGCTGTACGACGGCGGCACGGGGGCGCTCGTACACAACAGCACCTGGAACTACAAGGTGCCGGCGGCGGCCTGCGCGCCGGAGCAACTCAACGTCACCATTCTCAACGACGCGCCGCTCATCACCCGGGTGGGTGCGCGGGCGGGCGCGTTCAGGGAGTGTTCAGGTTGGCGGGAATAGCCGGTACTTGGAATTGGAACGCAGCGGGCTTACTCCTGCCCATCTCTTCCGTTCCGCCGCTCACCGCTCCCCCTCCTCCCAGGGCCCGGTTGGCTCCAAGGCGTGTGGCGAGCCGCCGCTGCTGCTCTCCTGCGTGGTGCTGCTGGCGCTGCAGCGGGCCGCGGCGGCAGCACGGAGGGATGCGGCCGGCAGGCTGGCAGGGGCGCCACCAGGAGGCCCGCAGCGGCTGCCGCGGCTGCCAGCAGGGACGGCGGCATCCGTGGGAGCTGCTGTCGATGCGACGGCAGGTATCGTTGCAAGGGATGCCAGCAACGGCGCGCATGACGGTAGCGGTGGCGGTGGCGGTGGCGGCAAGGATGGTCCCAGCCGGTGCTGCGGGGCGGGGCGGCAGGCGGTGGCGTTCCGGCCGCTGCTGGCGCCGGCGAGTGTGGAGCGGGTGCGGGTGGCGTGCGGCGACTGGCGGGCGGCGGAGCTGCTGCTGAAGGTGTGGTGGGGCGAGGGGGGCGGGGCGGGGGTTGGACGGGATTGGGGGCGGGGGGAGGGGGCGGTAGGTGGCGCTGAAGACAGTTGCCATCGCCGCAAGCCGGAGTTGGGGATGTACTCGACATAGCGCTAGATGTCGCAATGCCGAACTGCCTGGGATGTTGCTGTTGACCCATGGGTCGTTCTGGGCGCCCGTCACATGCGCGCCCGGCCATTTACACCCCCTTCTGGTTTGCCAGCGTGCGATGTGCTGCCGTAAGATGGACCAGCCTTTACTTGCTGTCGCCTTTTGGACGCGTTCCCCTCTTCTTCAACTCAAACCGGACGGAGCCGCATCTCGATTCCCCTTCCTGTTGTGAAGCTGTTCACGCCTGACGCTCCTTTCCCGTCCCCTCTTGTTTCGCACTCGGTGCCGTACACATGGCGCAGGCGGATCTGTGAGAGAGCCCCCGGGAGGCTCCTGCGCAGCCCCGCACCAGCGCCTGTCGCCCGGCCCGGTGTGACGGACTCCGGTCCTTCTGGACTTGCTGACTGAAAGAAGCCAGCTAGCGAGCTCTTGGGAGCAGAGAGCTTCCAGGTATTTGTTTTAGTATCAGATGGCCAGAAGAATTTGCTATAATTGTTCCAAATTGTTTATGCCCGTTGCTAGGCAGTTGCAGGTTGTCGTTGCGTTGTACGAATGCCGTACCACAATCTTGCCATTCCAAGTCCGCAGGGACAGTGTTGTAGGTATATTTGTTTTGCATGCTTGCGAATCTTGATAGCATTTCGGCATATGAGGGTACCTTAGCATTCATTATAATAGGCTAGACTTTAGCAAGCGCCGTCGTGCAGATGGCAAGCCGGAAATTGGCCGGTGCCATCGTACAGATACATTTGTGGACTGCATGCTAAAGCCGCAGGAAGTTTTGGCTATATGTGGGAAGTGTAGTCGCAGGGTACTGGTCGCACGTGAATTGAAAAATGTGGTCTTGTTACAACTGGGAAATTCCCGCCGAATTGGTTTTGCGTGAAACGTTGCAATCTAGATCGTCGTGTTCAGGTAAATATACATGGACGATACCGGCATGCTAGTATCCCCGATACATGGTAGTCCCCCGCACATGTGCCTACCGTGGTATTGTTATGGCGGGGAGCTCGTACAGTCATGGGCTCCTGGCGGCGTTGGCAAGGCCATGTGCTTTGGATTACTGTTTAGGTGGTGGCTTTCCATTGTACACTAATGAGATCGGCACTCATGTAAGGGGATAGATGCGGCATTTGAGAGTTTGATGCCTTTCCTTAAGGGGCATCGAATTGCCCTTCATGATTCGTACCTCCATGCTTGCTTCTAGCTAGCTAACGGCACTCGGGACAAGTAAACGTAGTTCTAAACCTTTTGGCGCCGCAGCTATTATTAACATTCCAGTATCATATCTGGCGTTGCTGCTGATGAGTATCATCCCTTGCCTTTGCGGACAACGCTTAGAAACCTACCCAGCTACCCTACTACAACAGCCCTTGACATGTACAGGACGTTAAGAGGCACACTTGTATTCATTAACTAGCTTCTTCCGTTCGTCCTAGGCTGCTCGTCCTGTAATAGCAGAAGAAGAAAGACGCTGGGCTAGCTATTAGATGGGTGCTTACAAGTATCGACAAGTAGAACGCAGAGCAGCGTTCCACCATTAAGCGTTTGTCCGTTATTGACCTACGACCATAGCCTTATGAAGCGCCAGCTAGCCAACCATGTTCGGCCTTGCCGTATATTCGTAACTTTCGAGCCTTGCCCAGTTGCCCTTGCCCCTTGGGAAATTGTGCGCTGCGCTCCATTAGCATCTCCAGCTTCTATAGAACACCTAATATTTGCATACCTTCGAGCCGCTTACAAACTATATAGGAGTATCCGCAAACCCAACCAAACAAAACCTTTTCACGTTATTTCTTAAGTTAGGCTTGAAGTTCTGACGGGCTTTCGGTTAGACCACGACACTTTCCGTCTATGAATTCTCTTCTGGCCAGTTAGCTTCACTAGCAAGAAGCCTAGAGCTTTACTCTTGAAATATATTTAAAAGCTGTTTAGGTTACAGCAACCTCAAGCTTTGCCGTAGCTTGCAATACTCCTAGCGGAGGATGTGCGGATAGACCTTGCATAAGTTTTGGCTGTCGACATGTCCTGGACGTCTACGCTTACGTTCACAGAAACGTATAGGCTCCTGAATATAGAAGTGTTTCTCCACTTGACCATATCGCCTAAGGACTGGCTACATGGACATGGACTCGGGACGCTGGACTTCTCGTCCAGTTTTGGCGACGCAACCACGCGGCTCATCTGTCCTACATTTGCCAGCCTCCCAGCTGCCCAGAGTTTCGGGTACCTCAACAGCTGAATCTGCTCTGGTCGGGCCCCATGTTCCAACTGAGTTACAGCCTCATGCCGAAGCTATGGCTTTACGCACGGCGTTCCTCGCTTACAGCCGCCTCCAACAGCAGCCGACGTCCACGTCTCCCTCACCCCAGCCGAGCTCCATGTCCGTTAGCCCAGCAGGCGCCCCTAATTCTTCCCGGACCCCAACAAACGATGGCTGCGGCCCCGGAGGCTCTTCTGGAGCCGGGCCAGGGGGCAGCGCGGGTGGATCCAGCGGCCCTAGCATGAGCATCAACCAATGGATGCGGCTTTGCTCCGACTTGGGCCTGCCAGACAGCCTGGGCGGGCCGCTGCCCAGCACCGTGCTCCAGACCGTGCACGGCGCCTACCGGCTGCACCAGTCCTCTCGCCTGCACTACCTGGGCTTCGTGCAGGCTGTGGCGGCCCTCAGCAGCCAGCTGCGGTGCGAGTTGCTGGGGGCGGTGGGGCGGCACGGCGCGGCGCTGCTGGAGTTCCAGCGGCACCAGTGGAAGTTGCAGCTCCTGCAGCAGCAGCTGCAGCTGCAACGGCAGCAGCAGGGCTCGCAGGGGCAGCTGCAGGGGCCGGGGTACATGGCACCGCGAGGGGTCCGAACGTCGAAGCCCTCGTGTACGGGCGCGGGGGAGGACCCGGTGAGTCGGAAGGGGGTTGAAGGCGCGGCTTGGGGAATTGGTGGAGGGACGGGGCAGTTGGGACCTAGCGGTGCGGGGAGGGAAAGACGGACTGCTAGGCACCTTTCCTGCACTGTACGCCTTGTCAGGTTGGCCATTGGCACGAGAGGCGATGCAAATGGGTGATGTTGCATGGTTGCATGGACCTGTCCTCCCGGCTGACTTGTCGTCTCCTCCCGCCCCCGCGCGCACCGCCTGGCTGCTGCCTCTGCCAGGCGGACGCAACGCTCGAGCTGGCACCGCAGGACGTTGCCAAGGAGCTCGGCACCCTGTTGCAACTCAAGGTAGGTACAAGCTGCCTTACCCTTAAAAAACATCCTTCCATTTAGTTGTTTGCCTACCAACAGACCCGTCTGCTGACACGCAGGAAACGCTGCAGAAGCATGCAACGCAGGACGGGGCCGAAGGCTCAGCAGAGGGCGGGGCTGGGGCCGCGGCGGCCGGGTGGATGCCGCGCGAGCCGCCCCCGCTGCCGCCCCCCATCCTGCTGCCCGGGGAGCTGCCGCAGCAGCCGCCGCACGCCGCCAACCCCGCGTACGCATACATCGCGAGCGGCCTGGGAGGGCTGTACGGAGTGGGGCTTGCGGTCGGCGGGGAGGGCCGCGTTGGAGGCGCGGCAGGCAGTGGTGTCGGCCGGGGCGTTTCCAGCAGCAGGTGCCAGCAGCACCTGCCGCGGAAGCACCCGCAGCAGCAACACAACTTAGGGAACTGGGTGCGGGGCAGCCCGGAGGCGGCTGCGGCGGCTTCCGCGGAAACCTCGGCAGCAGCAGCATCTGCCGGCGGGATTACATACTTGCAGGGAGTGGTAGGTGAACGGGCCCTCCATGTCGTGCTCATGTTGGCTTCCCGGCAGCTCGCGAGACTGACCCTCAGGGTGGGATGTACACATCTCCTGATCAGGTTGATTTCTTGCACATGCCCCTTCCTCACGTTCATTGTTCCCTCCGCTGCCCTCCACTCCAACTCCCAGCCCCGCAGCAAGCCCTACGCACCGCAGCTACGGCCTCTCCGCTTCATGCCGGCCGGCGACCCGCCTGACCCAGGGGTCGCTGACAGCGTGGAACCTGCCCTCGTTGACGACCCCGACTCCCAGTCCTCATCCCTCAATAATGGCTCCTCCAGCCGAGTTCGTGGGGTGGACGCCGATCTTGGGTTCCCTCTGTCAATCGCATTGGGGATTCGGAGTCTGACCGCGGGTGCCTCCCACCCCTCAGCAGTCGTCAGGGCCGGTGCCAGCACCAGCCGCATCAGCGGGGTCGTCCCTGCTGGGGACGCGGCTTCTCAGATCAGGCTGCCAGCAGTGGCGGGCGCCTCGCGTTTGACTACTGGAGAAGCGCCGGGTCTCGCCCCGGCATCACTTGCCTCGTTTGACAGCGGCGGCAGCAACGGAAGCAACGGCGGAGGTGGTAGAGGCGGGGGTGCGGCGGCGGCTGCGCCGGCTGCACACGGAACGTACGTGATGGCAGCCGACAACGGGGGTGAAGTCGACAGCGGGTTGGTTGCGGTGCTATTGGCGCGGTTGGAGCGGTTGGAGCGGTCGGCAGTGTCCCAGGAGTCGCGACTGGCTCGTGTGGGGTCCCGCCTGCATGGGCTGGAGGTGGCTGCGGCGACGGCGCAGCAGCAGCAGGAGAAGGCGACGGCCGCGGCGGTGGCGGCAGCAGCGAAGGCGGCGGAGGACGCTGCCAGCCTGGCGAGCGGTGCGGGGGGTGTCAGGTCCGACCTGGAGGCCAGGCAGACAGCGCTCGAGCAGCAGCTCCTGCAGCAGCAGTCGCTGCTCCTGAACGCGCTGGCGACCGCGCAGGCGGCACGGGAGGACGCTGCCTCCGCCACCGCCGCTGCCGTACTGGCGGACTCGTCAGCGGAGGCTGCGAAGACATTGGGGGAGGAGGCTATGTCCCTAGCCGCCACCGCCGCCGCTCGAAGAAGCAGTGGCGCGAGCATGGATGAACGTCGTTCTGGTGTTACTTCCGCCACCGTTTCTGAAGTCTCAGATCGGTTACTAAAACCGTTAAGGGCTGAAATGGATGAGCAGCTGCAGTCAGTATTGGACAAGCACAGGACGTTGGACGAGCAGCTGCGCGAGTTGGTTGAGCAGCAACGGCGGTTGGACGAGCAAGTCGCGGCGCTGGCAGTGCAACAGCAGCACCTGGCGTCTGAGGCGGCGCGAGTGGCGGCGGTTGCTGCCCGGGTTTCTGCGTCGCCGGTATCCCCGCAGCCGTCCGTTGCGGATGTCGCGGAAGCAACGACAGCAGGCTCTGGCGCCGCCGCTTCTCCTGGTGCCGCCGCTGCCGCTACTCCTGCGGTTGGCAGCAAATCTGGTGACGACAACGGCGCCATTTCAAAGCTCGCAGCGAGTTTGGAGCAGCTACGTGACCAGGTACGTGAGCTGCACGCTGCGCAGGAGAGCGCGGCGGCGCTGGCGGCAGCAGCGACCGCCGCAGCGGCAGCGGCGCCAGGAGCCGTGGAGAGCAGTCGCGGCTCCGAGCCCCCACATGCCAGGGTGAGCGAGGGCTGCGGCGGTTGCGGCGGCTGCGACAGCGGCTATGCAACATCCGCCTCGCTCAAGGAAGCTGAAGCCGCCTGGGGGAGGGCGCTTCGGGAGCAGAAGGAGGCGTTGGAGGAGCACCTCACAAAGGCCCTCAGGGATGCTGGAGCGGCTACTGCGGCTGCAGCAGCGGCCGCAGTAGCGGCGGCGGGCATGCCTCCGCTGGGCGCCTCCGCTGCACTGCAAGGCCCGGCGGCGGCTGTGGCAGCGGCCGCGCCGCTCATGAGTAGGCTGTCGGCCGTCGAGGGCTTCGTTGCCGATCTGGCGGAACAATGTCGGCAGCTATCTAAGCGGCAAAACGAGGCGGAAGCCGCCGCCGCAGCAGCAGCAACCGCAGCCACAACGGGGACGGCGGCAGAGCCTCCGGCTACAGCTGCTCAGGTGAAGGAACTTTCCGCACATGTAGAGAAGCAGTACGAGCAACTCGGCGTGCGGTTGACTGGCTTCAAGCTTCAGTTGGAAGATCTTCGTCAGCGGGTGGACATCTCCGCTGCAGCACCTAGCGCGACGTGCATACCCCCACCAGCTACAGAAGCATCAGCGCCCACAGAAACAGCCGCTGCCGCAGCAGCAGCGGGTGCCGCAGGACTTGCGCAGCCCCGCACACGCACGCCCTCGCCGCCGCGACCCGAGCTGCCCCTCGCGCGGCAACCCTCATCGCCGACGGATGCAGCCGCCAGCGGTGACGCGGCCGCCTCCAGTGCAGCTTGGGATTCTGCTGAGCTACAGCGCCGCTTGGACTCCTTGGCGGCCGAGCTGCGACACAGCCTGGAAGCCCTGTCATCCTCCGTCAGCAGCCAGATGGAGCTGTCGCGGTCGGAGGTCGCGGCGCTGGTCGCCAAGGAGGTTGCGCAGCAGCTGGCGGCATCTCCCGCCCAGCATGCGGACGCCTCCACATCCTCGACGGCATCAGCTGTGGGGGCCGCGCCGGTTCCTGACAGTGGCGGTGGCGGCGGTCCGCTGGTGGTGGTGGCCTCGCTGCAGGAGCGGCTGGCGGCGCTGGAGGCGGTGGTGACGGATGCGAACCGGGAGGTTGCTGACGTGTGCGCCGCAACCGACATGACGACTGAGAGCGTGGAGCTCTGCACCAAGCACCTGCAGGCGCTGGACAACGGCCACCGGGACCTGCAGAGGCAGGTGGATGAGCTTCGACGATACCAGCAGCAACAGCCAGCTGCTGGGACCGCTGCTGATGCGGCAGACATGTCGCGAGGCGCTAGGAGCATGCACTCTCGACTCGACGCACTAGGCGACACGGACGGCGGCGACCTGGGCCCGGGCGGCACCGGCGCTCTGGCGGAGCTCAGGTCGCAGCTGGCTCGCCTGGAGGCTGCCAACCTGCCGGCGCGCCTGGAGACGGCGGAGGCGGCGTTACGGCAGCTGCAGGACGGCGCGCTCGCGAACATCGCCGCAGCCGCCGCAGCCGCCAGCCGGGCAGCCTCAGCGACGCCTCCCTCCGCCGCCGCCATGGGTCCCGACATGGAGAAGCTGCGGCAGGTGCTGCTGGAGCTGGGCGGCCGGCTGGATGGACTGGCGCAGCAGGTATCGGAGCACGAGCACGGGCTGGACGTGCTGGCGAAGGCGGCAGAGACCGCGAGCGCCGTCAGTCGTGGTGCCGCGGCGAGGCTGGATGTAGTCGAGGCTTCGCTGGCTGGTGGAGGTGGAGGGCGCATGGGGCTGGCTGCGGCCGCATCACGTGGCTCCTTCACGTCTGCGGGTCCACCTCCGGAGCTGGAGGGCAGGCTAGCGGAGGTGGAGAAGGGCGCGGCGACGCTGGCTCGAAGGCTGGATGACGCGGTACGGCGGATTGACGGCATCGATGGACGGCTGATGGAGGCGGCCATGGACGCCGCCGCCGCTAAAGCAGCTGCAGCGGCGGCGGGGAACCGGGCGAAGGCGGCGGTGGCGCTGAGCAGCGGACGTCGCAGCGAGGGCGGCACCGAGATCGCGGCTGCGGGGCTGCCGCCCGGAGCGTACGAGGAGTCACCGGATTCGTACGGCGTCATAGATGTTGGCGGCAGCGGCGGCAGTCAACGTGCGGGGTCCGGCGGCAGTGCTGATGTGCAGCGGCTGGATCAGGAGTGGCAGGCGCGGCTGAAGACAGCGATGAAGGTGAGTTGCTGGGCCGCTGCGCTCTCACCCATGGGTATCCCGCCTGCCAACTGTGACACAGCCTTGCGCCTGGCCTCCTGCACTTGCTCCCACCCCCCCTGTTATGTTGAACCGTTAGGGTAACGATCAACCCCTCATTCATCTTCTCCCACCCAGGCTGTCGAGCAGCGCATGCAGGCTGATCGGGAGCGCACGGGTGAGGAGGTTCTGGAGCTGCAGCGGGGCCTGGGCCGCCTGCGCGACAAGGGCGTCACGACCGATGAGCTGCTGGTAAAGGTACGTGCGGTGGGGGGGGGCAGAGCTGGTATCATGGTTGGGGCTAGTAGCCCCCATCCGTCCGGCAGCAGGCTGCCCTCGTACGGTGCTCCTGCGTTGTCGTACGTCGCCAGCCGTTCCACTCATTGCACCGCGGATCCTGCCGTACCCTGCTCCCTCCCGCCCCACCTACCATGCACAGCTGTCACGACGAATGGACAAGCTGGAAGTCGATCAGGGAGGCTCCGCAACCCCGTACTCCACCCTAGCACGCGAGCACCTAGCAGCAGGGAGCAGCTTCTCGGCCGTGTCGCACCCCAGCAGCATGCGATCACCGCCGCCGCTGTCGCCGCCGCTGGGGCCGTCAGCTTCCTCCCTGTCAGCCGGTCTGGGCTACCGGGCTGCTGCGGGGACGACGCCTGCGGACATGTTGGAGGGCCGGTCAGCCAGCCGGGCTAACCTGCTAGCTGCGAGGTTCCGTGACGGGCCTGGAGGCTAGGCTGGGGAGCGAGGGCGGTGGAGCGGGAGAGGTGGAGGGCGTTGCTCTACACGCTGGCCGCGGGGATGGCTTGCATACGAGGCCTTGACGCTCCCGAGTACCCGTCACACGTGCTGGGTGTATGCCATGTCAAAGGGCATGCGAACTTGCGCGGCGGGATTCATCCTTTGGAGGTTTTACGTTGCGTCGTGGTCCCTCTGTGCGGATGGATCTGTTTACCACGCAAGGGTCTTGCTGCTTCGCTGCTGTTGTCACGCTTGCGAACAACCGATGTCAGTTGAAGCCGCAGCATGCCATGTAAGCGCTGTGTCGATGCCCTAGTCCATGTAAGGACGGGGCGGCACGTGACATGCTGGTTATTCATTAGAGCTGGCTCTGTGTTGCGGGCGGTGGCGACTAGGTGGTGCAAGCTACCGATATAATGTACATAGTTTGGACGTACACGCATTGGTAACAAACGCGGTAGCGTGCGAGGACGAGGAAGCGTTCATGCATGCATGGTGTTGCAACATATCCTTAGGCGTGGCTTGCTGCTACGGTGACAGAAGTCGAGCGGCGTCCTTTTACGTGTGGCTGTTAATAGGCTTTCATTCTTCAAGACAGCGACCAAGCCATACGCATGAACATGGACATCTCGCTGGTCCGTCGGTGTATATGTAGGGAGCAGCAATTGCTGTTGTTGCTGCTGCTCATGCCACTGCTGCTGCTGCGGGTGCATCTGCGTACCGGTATGGAGCGCTGGGCTGTGCGGCAGGGTGCGGTTGGGAGGTTGGGAGGAGGTGTGGCATGTGTGTTGCATTTCGAAGCAAGCGATGAGTGGTTGCTGGGTACGGCTTTACTTGGCATGGCAAGCACTCCACGTGAGGTGCGGGTGGGCGCCAGCTAGGTCACGTGGGCGCCGGTTAGGATCCTGGGGAGTACGGAAGGCGGATTTGGGCAGCGGGGTTGTGGTGACGGGGGCTGAGCTGCTAATGAGTGGCCGACAAGGTGTGATGATGGGGCCCACACGGGCTTGAGGGCCCGCGCGGCTGCATGATGACCGCGCGTGTGTGCATGGCACATACATGGCGTCTACGAGGCCCCATACCCGGCTGTACAGCGCTTATGTGCGCGCTTCGCCTTTAACGTGACGTGGTTATTGCTGTACGTAGTTAGTGATAACGCATGTGGCGATGTGTCTTGTGGGCGTAACGGCATGTGTATGCATGTGTGATGTGGTCGCAACAGTAGCACTTGGGGCGGCATTTACCGGTAAGCCTGCCCGTGCAGGGCTCAATGGCTGTTGCACCAAGGTAGGATGAAGTCATGCACCACGTTACGTTGCTACCTGACCAACCAGCTGTTGCTGACCGCACAGCTGGGCAATGCGGTCGTTTGCCGCCTCATACCCCGACTACCCGCCTTACCATGGTGAAGCCTTATCATACGGCTACTTCGGTGTTTTCTCTTTACCCTGCCGTGCAAGCAAGATATCGGAACGATATGACCCTATTCTGGGTGGCTCATGGATAGTAAGACTACCAACGGCTGTTGGCTTGCTTGGCTCTTGGCTTCCCCCACACTTCTTGTACTACCGGCTGTAACTGCAGCGCTGCATGTGGGGCATTCCACATGCAGCTACCTCTGTTGCGCAATTAGCGTAAACCGATAGTTACAATTACATTGCCTAGGGTTACAGGGCAACTGCACGACACGTTTAGCAGTCATGGCCCAACGCTCGGCAAGTCTACAAGACCTCACTACCAAGCCTCCAGGCGTCCTGCCCTTCCCTAGCTCGAACGCAGAACGCCCCTCATGAGACGCCGCCATCGGCAGGACAGCCGCCCAGCACACAAACCCTGCAACAGCGCCAGAGATGGGTTCCCTGTCACCTCGGGCCAGCCTGTTCTCGCGCTGCTAAATGCGCTGTAGCAGCCTTCCTCTCCGTCACAGCCAGCCTTTCCTCACTATAGGCTATAAGCAAGCCAGCAGCCCCAGCAGCGCACAGCGGCTTCCAATCACACACGAGCGGGACGTGCCCCAGTCCCGCACCTGCTCCCTGTACGCGCCTTCCTAAGGCGTTTCCCTTCCAGCCGCTGAACTGCTTCCAGCCGCAAGGAAGCATCCCGGCTGACAGGCAATCAATTAAAACAGCAAACAAGCCTTCCGCTGTACGCTCGGCCAAACAGGGTCGACCATTCACGAAACCCAACTAAGAAACGTCGCAACTAACAACAGCAGTACTATAGCCTCCCACCCTAAGGCCCCTCATCAGTATGTGACACTCGCTTACGCATCAGCACCCTCCACCTGTACGGTATGTCAGCAGCGCGAGTTCGACGCGAGATTATAAACAAGTTGCAAATGTTTATTGGTTTATGTACAGCACACTGGTAAGATCACCTTCGAGCGCAGCTTTCCCAGGAGTCGAAAATAAACGGCAACTAGGGGCAACTAGACCCAAGAAAAAACGCAACGGTACAGCCATTCGCCTCGCCCCGCATCTCCTCTTTAAGACCAGCCGGGGCCATGTTAACACGACTGGTGTAGGTCAACCCAACCGCCGCGGCCACCAGCACCACCAGCAGGCCTTCCCTGCTGCTGGCAAAACCCAAACCCCTCCTCCGGTCCCGCGCCACCCCCGCACTGCTGCTGCCTGCCCGCTGCCACCCCCGTGCCGCTGCTGCTGCCGCCGTCCTCTCCATCACCCTCGGCACCCTCCCTGCCTTCCTCCGCAATCACCGACCATGCCATGCCATTTGCAACACGAGGCGCCACGGATTCTCCTCTGCCGTACACGCTGCTCCGTTTGCCGTACAACGCAGCGAACGTGGAGGTCCTGCCACTGCCACTGCCACAGCCTTCAGCACCGGCACACCCATTCAGGCCTTGTCCCGCACCTGCACCCGCACCAGTGCCGTTATGCCGTACATCACCCTCGCCATCTGCTGTCATGCCGGTGTGGCTGCCGGAGCCGTCCATACTGAATGACAGCTCCCGCCACCGGAAGCTGCGGCGGCTGCTGGCGCTGGCGCCGCACCCGCTCTCCCCGCTCGCGTCGTCGCTGATGCAACTATGATCAGCTCCGTTTCCTCCAGGGGCGCGGCCGGCGGACACAACCGCCCAGTCCCCTGCGACCGCACCCCCACTGCTGCTGCTGGTACGGCGGTCCTGCCCCGCCGTCGCCGCCGCGGCTGGGATGCCGCCGGTGCTTCCTCCGCCTGCGGACAGTCGCTCCAGGAATGACAGCCGCCTGCCCAGGTTGCGCATGGAGGCGGAGGACCCCAGCCGCTGCGCCGGGGGGGAGTTGTTGCCGGCGGCGGCAGTGGGGCTGCTGCCCAGGTCCAGAAGCGTGGTTTCGGAGGCGCTGCCGGGGCTCGGGCAGGGGAGCCGCAGGGGCGGCGGCGGCAGGTAGGTGCGCAGCGTCTTGGAGGAGCGGTAGCCGCGGAGGTGGTCCACCGGAGTGGCAGCGGCGGCGGGTGTGGAGGTGGCGGCGGGTGTGGAGGTGGCGGTTGGGGCGGGCCTAGATGCTGCAGGAGTCACAGCTGCTTGGGACTGGGTTGAGGGTGTGCGGAAAGGCGCGGGTGCGAAGGGGCGGGCTGCCGGGCTTATTGCGGCGGCTGCACACGTCAGGGACGCCACCCTCGGGCTCCTGCCTCCGCCTCCACCGCCTCCGGAGCTCCACGGCGCCCGCTCCATGGCTAGGGCGGCCACCCGGGGTGAGCGGCGCGGAGGGCTGCCGCCGCTGCCGCCGCCAGCGTCGCCTTGGACCCCGGCCGCCCCACCCGCCTCCGTTCGTCCAGCAGTCCTTGACGCCGGGACGCCACTGCCGCCGGGGGCAGCAGCACCGCCAGCGCTGGTGCTGGCGCGGCGAACGAGACCGTCAGCTGAGAAGCGCCGTGACTGAAGCGGCTGGCTGCCCGGAGAGAGCGCGAGGTCTAGGATGCTGAACACGTTGCCGCCCTCCGACATGCGCTTTGACGCCGGCATGGGAGACAGCCACGAGGCTGCTGCAGCAGTGGGGGTGGGGGTGGAGGCGGTGGACCGAACGCTGCTGTGCTGCTGCCGCGGCAGGGCGGATTTAGAGTTGGCGGCAGCAGAAGCAGCAGAGGGCCCTCCTGAGGGGCCGTCACCAGTGGCGCCTTCGCCGTTGCTACTCACGCCTTCGCCGCTACCGCTGCCCCCGTCGGCGCCTTCAGCGGCGGCACGGGAAAGAGGTTGGGAAAGCGGGGTGAAGGCTTCCGCCGCCGCCGTCTCTATGTCTTGCAGTCGGTCCCGGCGGGCGAGAGACAGGTGGTGTGTCAGCATCCGCCGCCGCCCCACCACCGCGCCGTCTCCGCCGTCTGTGCCGCTCGCCACCAGGCTCCTGCCGGCACTCGGCTCCTCCTCAGGGCTGGCTTCAAGCGCTGCTGCAGCCGCGAGAGCCTTCGCCGCGGACAAGGGAGTTCCCGGCGGTGGCGGGGTCTCGGGTCCCGGCCAGGCCTCCTTCCTTGCCGTGCGCTGGTCGCCGCTTCCCGCTGTCGAACTCCGAGCGACAGCCACCTTGCCCATCAGCCCGTCCACGAGTGCCTCGCAAGACGTGAAAGGCGAAGAAACGGAGGTCAGCTCGGGGCCTTGGGGTGGCAGCATTTGTCCTTGTAAGTCGTGGTCTTGCAGGTGCAGTTGGGGAGTAGACTGGCTGGGCCAGGCTGGCAGGGTGGAGTGAGCCTGCGTGTCTAGCTGGCCGATGGTGGGGGCGGTGGCGCTGCGCTCCCTCCAGGGAGCAGTGGCCGTGAAGGAGGAGCGTGACGAGGTTGCGGTGGTGGTCGCGATGACGGTGCCAGATGACAACGCTGGGGACAACGCATCTGCCATTTGCGAAGCCTCGGACAGCGGCACGTGAGCGCCAGGGGGGCTGACAGACGAGTCTGATGTGTGCGCGAACGCCGGGCATCGGATGCTTGGTGGACGTCGGCCGTCCTGAGCGGGAGGTGTGTCTGGCGGAGTTCCGCTCGAATAATTATCTGGAATCATTGGATAAGGCGTTAGCTTGTTCAAAGCTTTGGATGACTTGCGGCTGGTCGTGCTGTCAGCAATAATCCTGCGAGGATGACGGAATGCTCACTGGGAATACGTCCAAGACCATTCATTGCCAGAAGCTGCTGCATGGACGTTATACTCACGCTCAGATGTCTCCCCATGCTAAAGCGATAAGCGCAGGTTCGATCGGATGTTGTAGGCACAGCAACGGGCCGCCTGAATAACCGGACAAGTGGGGGTGTAAGGCTGTCACCTGTCCTTACTGACTGAAACGCAACTCCGATTTGTAAGATCCACTCAACATCGCGCGAAGGTGCGTGGCTGGGACGATTGTTTGATATGACAGGGCATGGAAGCGGACGGTGCACACCTACCCCATTGACGCCTGATCCGTTCCTAACTATTACATACCTTGTATCATGGTATCTAAGTGAAAACCTGAAGGTAAGACACAACGATAGGAATTATCTAGTCGTGAGTCCAGTCAGCCAATATGGGCGTGCATCACAGGAAACGTAGGGCGTCTTAGCTGCCGTTTACACGTTAGTTAAACAACTATCGAGGTAGCTTATTTTTTGTTATAGGCAACAACAATAGCCTCTGTTGGCTTGCCGCTAGAACCTCTGCGCAACAGAATGCTACCATAACCATTGACCGGCTCATAGCGATCTGGGTTGATACGTTCTCGTGCGTGAGCAATTCCGTCGGCACCTCGGCAGCGGTTGGTACGACATAAGATAGCTTCGGCATTGTCGCGGCGCGAAGTTCACTACTCGGTACATGTACATAGACCACTCAAATTGTTCTTAGTAACTTGGCGACCAAATACTGTGTGCGGACTAAAGCCGAATTATTTAGCGCTCCAGTCGTCGCTGTCGAACGAGGTTGTTGCATTGCGGCAGCTTAAGCCGATGCGCGGGTCGCTCGTAGCTATAACAAAGACGGGCACAGTTGTATCTCAAGTGCAGCTGGTATCTACAATTGCTGCCAAGTGACGGTGCTGGACATGGCGCTACCGGTAGTCCTGTGCCGATCCTATTAGACGAAGGTCATTCATAACTATGAGATGCCCTCATGGCATGTCCCGACGCCATAGCAAGAACGTATGCTCGTTGGAGCTAACAGCACTCTGTGCGGGTACCTAAGGCCGTACAGTTAGCTGAAGGACCGTTGGGCTGCAGCGGTTCACAGGTAACGCAATGCCGAAACGTTCTCTTTGGGCGAAGACAACCTATCGTTGCTTAGCTGCTAAGCTACGCAAGAACGCGGCAAACCTGTGAGCTACACGCTGGTGCCACAGGTGTTAACCCCGCATACTGATGCCCCCCTAAAGTGCAGAGGAGCTATGGAAACGTTGCGTACATCTCAAAAAGTGGCAAGTATAACTTTGGCCTCATGTGAGTCGCCTCATATTGTCCACTTCCCTTATTTTTGCGGTTGGCGTGCAAAGCGTGAAGACTTGAGCATGAGCAAAGGGGAAACCATAAAAAGCTATTTGTTTTGGTGTGACCATGAACTGCCAGCCGCGAAGACGGCGTCGCCGTTGTGGCTAGTTTTGTGACCCACCGGATACATGGATGGACCTTCGGACGGAATGAATCCTGTCTACTATATATCTTTCGCGCACATATTCCATGCAAGGGGTACAAACCATTTTTTGCTGTCCATCATGGCTGTTTACAAAGAAAGTAAGAAACCTATTATTGTCGTGCACAAGTACGACCGATACGGCGAAATTGTATGTGCGGCGTTTATAGGCCAATCCTTGCGGTTTGTGGCCCAGCTAAACGAAAGGCAGTTAAGGAAGCTATTAAAGGTCAAACTGGCAGCTTGCTTCGAAGTGTCTTCGGACGTTTGGCCTACCTGCGCACTATCCTAGTTGGCCACACAGCTATATTACCTAGTAAAGTATTAGGTCACGTTCTTGCAATTAGTTTTCCATACTTTTAGTGGAGTTGAACCATGGAGTTTACCACACGAGTGGATAACTCTACAAACCCGAACTTTCCTCATATTTACTCCTTCCATACTCGGGAGCAGTGGCCGCAGCCGAGTTCAACCTATACTGTCTTTCACGGCGACACTCCTGAACTGCCAGTTTACATTCCGAAGTACACTGTCACTCCAGCGACCGCGGCGCTGGCCTCTCGACATGGATCCAGTCCTTATTCGTTCCGGGCAACAGCGGAGAAGGTTGGGACCGATTCAGAGGGCCGCACAACTTACCGCTACAGCGGCTCGCCTAGCAACGCACCGTCTTCATCTTCAAGCAAGCCTTTCTCGAGCACCCTCGGGTCCAGCGGCCTTCCCCCTGTAGCATATAAGGTAATTAGCTTGGCCTGACGAACGTTCGCCGTGGTTTGCGTTCTGCCAACCATCCTTACTGTGTAAATGCTCTTCCAGCCCTACCTCACGGAGTACGTCGATGAGTACCGAGAGCCCGTGGTGAGTTGGGGTGATTGTCTTCGTCAGCGGGGCTTGAAAACCAAGTAACCTGTTTACCTTCAGATTTTTGCATCTATGATAGCATGCTGGTACCCTGGTAACCTTGCAACAACCACACCCCTATTGCCGCCGTGCACAGGAGCACATGGACACGCTAAAAACGCTAACGCAAAAATTCAACACAACGGGCGGCACACGCGTCACGAAACGCAGCACACGGTCAGATGGCCTTCCAAAATACGAGACCAGGTACGGTTACGGAGGGGTTCTATGCTTGGAGTCTAAGGTTGTATGTTTGCATGTTGCTTGCATAGCTTGCACCCAGTCCCTTCTCACCGCTTCAACCCCACGGTCCCCCACCCCACTCGCTCCCCACAGAGTCGTTGCCTTTTAAGGTGCTGCCAACCGGTGACTACCCGGTACGCTTGCACTAGTGGCGAACGGCAGTGAACTGCCTGTGTGCCCAATACTGGGCGTTACCGGTAGGTCACCAGCTAGCCGCAGAGCGAGCGTATGGCGGCATGGTTTGCCCTCCACATCGGCCATCTGCTACTAGGCTAGAACGAGTAAAACTGGGACTTGTCATGCTGCCGGCGATAAGTGTATGCCGGTTGCCCATTTCCAATTAATTCACAGCGGGGGTGGCTCCTCGTCTGGTGCCTCTGGGCGTGCAAATTAGGATTGCCAAACAAGACTACGGTTTCTAGTATTGCGGCGCCTGGAATGCGGCTTGTGCCTTTCTCGTGTACGGATAAACAGCGTACGGTTCTTCAGCGGTGATGATCGTGACTCCAAGAGCTTGTTCAGTGTTAGCTTTGCCAAGCATGGGTGGTGCTGGTTGTTCGCTGGGATGTTTGTTATGTTGGGCAGGAACGCAGGAGTGCGACACAGCGCTGGCATGGGGCAGGATTGGTACCATGAAACCCTTATTCCTTGTATTCTTTCAGCTGGTGTGCAATAGGTGCCCCGACCTTTTAAATTTTTGGAGCTACTTGTAGCAAGGTCACCGTGCTTTCAAGGGGTGGTGGGACCCCTGGTTGGGTCAAATGCACGGTGTCTTGAATGCGACCCTTCGGAGAGGGCATTTATTTCTATGGAAATTTACTGGCAGACTCTAACTCCGTGCCCAATACCGTTCGGTTGTCCTTCTATGTATGTTGTGAGGCGACAGCGCTCCGGAAAGCGGGGTTATATCGCATGGGAGCTGGTCAAGGCAGGGTTATTGTAGGATGGGATGCCTTACTGGTGACCATTGACCAACAGCTTACCAACGCAATAACGGTGATCATAATGTGTTTCTGTAAATGTTCTGCTTTATCTACGGCATATGAGGAGAATATCGGCAATGACTAGCCATTTCACGCGTAGCCACATTGGGGATGTTGGTTGCAACAACCACTAGGGAACGAGGACAACAAGGTGCCAGGCGTCGTCAAGTCAAGGCCCTGCTTATGGTCGCAACTTCGGTGACACTCCCTGTTTACGTTGCCCGTGGCTTATATGCCATGCGCTTGCAAAACCGAGTGACCCAAAGGGACGTTGCCATATAGCAGGGAGCCTCATGTTTTTCCAATCCGCACTTAATCCTATAGACCCTATTGTGATGCTCTGGGTAAGTTCATCATGGATAACACGAAGGACAATGGGGCTCCCATCTCCAGGGGAGGCCCGATTTGGCGCAATAAGCCTTTGCAAGCCTACTGTGCTATTCCCTTTCACCCTAAGCGTCAGTGCCGTTTACTTCTAGGTACGCTGTCCTATTTGCTGCTTATAAACTTTCTTGGTTGCGCTTTCGGTCCAGCCGCCTCGCCAACTCGTCTACCTTGTTGCGCAGGCTAGCGAAAATGTCGTCGCAGCTTGTCTGGGAGCTGGTGAAGCAGCACAACTGCTTTATTCGCAAGGCGGCGAAGGGCATTGTGTTCAGCGCTGAGCCCAGCAACCTTTACAACAAGCACAGCTACAAGTACTCGGGTAAATGTTTTCAGCTATTGTGCTAGCAGCGTTTGTTAGGAGTTGCTATTCGGCAACTGGCGGCGTCTGCATGCTTATAGTCGGCGGCTATGGCACTTTCCTGTGCCGCGCAGCACAGAAGCACGAATTCTACGCTGCTTGGTTTGCTTGGGCAGGCTTAGGGCCCTTTCCTCGCTGCAGCGGAACATCGCAGAGGATCGAACTTCTCATTCTTCAGCATGGCGTTCGTAGTAATCAATACACCAGCAGATGGTAATAACAATCAGTCCGTTACCTGGGGTGCAGGCCTGGCGAACGTGAAGTCCGTGGGCGTTGCGGCTGATGGCGAGGCCGTGAAGTTGACTGTTGGCCGCGTGAAGACGGCGCAGCAGCCCAAGAAGGCCACCCACAGGTGCGCTTACATGGAAGGGGAACCCGCTCAGCAGGCAGACGTCGAAGGCCTTGGCCAGCTGGACGTGGGGTGGAGGGACGGGGGTTGGATGTGGGTTTCTTCCTTAGGACTAAGAATCGCTTGAGTACCCATCGGTGCACCGTTCAAGGTTGGACCCGTCCTGCCGCTTGGTTTAACTTGGCTGTACCCTGTCGTCCCTTCTGCCGTGCAGTGTGACCATGAAGAAGGACGCCCGCGCCGTGCTGAAGGCTGTGGGCAAGCAGGTGGCCAGCTTCCGCCCGGACCTCAAGGTGAGGTGCTGCGGGGCATTGGGGGGCGTCACATCACGGAAAGGCATGTCATGGACAGGCAATAGGGTGGTCGCGGCATCTTAGCATGGGGCCAAGACGTTCGCGATCTTGGGAGTCATTATGGGCGCGTTAGCAAGGATAAGCCGACGGCAGATCTGCCCGGAGGTGTGTTGCATGCTATCCCAATGTCCGCTTGCAGGCTCACATGGCAGCGAAACCGGGTTGCATGGGGGGGACTCGCGGCAACACGCCTCCACGGCACGACTGCAGGAGGTCGTGTTTCGTTCCCTCTCGGCATCTGGCAGCCTATCGCAAATATCAACGCTGCCATGCGGATCACCCTGCGCATGTTTGGCACCTTGTGCCTGTGACCAAGCACGGAAGAGTCAGGTTAGCCGCTTCTTCTTCTTCCCCTCTTTTCAACGCATCCCTGTGCTGCAAATCCCCCAACCCCGACAGGCTGCCGCCCTGGCCCGCGCCGCGGCTGTGCACAAGAGCATCCGCGTGAAGAAGGCCAAGAAGCAGGCGTAAGCTGTCCGGGCCTGTTGAGGACAGGGGCTTATGGTGCCGAGTAGCTGCCGCTCGGGGCCGTGGCCTCTGGCCTCTGTGTAACACTGGGTCGCACTGCTGAACGCTTCCTGTCGTACCCGTACCATGCCAAGGTTGCATGCATTCCACAACAGCGAACAGTGATATGAAGCTCGTGGGTCTGATACAGAATGGCTGGTCCTCAGGATGATGGCAGCATGGGGTATGGACACAGCCAACCAAGCCACGCGGGAAGTGGCTTTCTGGAAGAGGTCGCTTAGGTTTCCCACACATGATGAATTAACCCGTAGTCGGCTTCGAGGAACTTGGCCGGCCAGCTTGAACACTTCTATAGTATGCTGCAATGTGAAGAAGCGAATTCAGAATTCGTCTTCAGAAGCGAATTGTGCGTTGGCAAACCCGCAATCGTATGCTTTCAAAGCCCCTCGGCGAGAATACGGTAAACACACGCCTAACATCGCAAGCAGCTGTGCTACCGACTTGAACACCTGTAACATGACAAAGACGCCAACTCTATGCCATGAAACGACCAACAATACATCATGAGCCATGTCGAAAGTCAGAGGATGGCCCTCGCCAATCAGAGACCCAACGGAACGTCCACAACAGCTTCGGCACTCCCACCCGCCGCATGCCGTTCATGACCCGCCGCGCCCTCCTCGCTTCTTACAGGCACCCCAGCGGCAGCACCCGGCGACACCGCCCCGCCTGCTGCCGCGCCCGGCAGCACGAGCGCCCGACCCACCACCTGCAGGTCAGGCCCTCCCACCCCCGCGGCCCCCTGGCCCTGCTGCTGCTGCCGTGCCGTTGCTGCCGCCAGCGCTGCTGCTGCCGCTGCAGCCACGCCCCCGCTGCCCGAGCCGCTCTCCTGCAGCTCACTAAAGCTCAACTCCGTCACCAAGCTGCTGTTAGCCGCCGCTGCCAGCGCCCCGCTTCCTCGCTCATGCTGCCCCTGCAGCGAGCGCCCTCCCGCCGGCTCAGCACCGCCGCCACGAGCTGCCGCCGCCGCCAGCGGCTGCTCCTGAGCCGCTCTCGACCCTGCGGCCGCCACAGCTGCAGCCGCAGCGGAGGGGCTCGCAAAGGCACCAGAGCAGCGCGCAGCTGACCCCGGCGTCCCACCTCCGCCTCCACCACCCGCACTCCCGCCTGACTCAGCCGCGGTCGGCCCCAGCGCCGCCTCCAGCGCCCCGGGTGCGAGCTTGCTGAGCGCCGTGCCCCGCACCTCCAGCCCATCCACCACCGTGCCGCCCTCGCCCTCGTCCGACGCGAACCCGCCCGCACCGCCGCTGCCGCCGTTGTCCATGTTCCCCTCACTCGACCTGGGGGCATGCAGTCATGAGGAACGCGCAGTCATGACCCAGGATCCCGATCAAGCCTCCGTCGGGTATGCATGGGCCGTTCTGTGCCGCGAAGGAGGTATGCTCGTGCATGCCCCCTCACAGCCCTAGCGCCCTCCCCCACCTGGGCGACGATGAGGGCCACTCCAGCAGGTCCATGGGCGCCAGGCCCCGCAGCGCCGAGTCCAGCGGCATGTGCGGCCCCCCGGGAGACTCCAGCCCCAGCCCGCCCAGCCCCATGCCCAGCCCCATGCCCAGCCCCAGACCGCCCCCGGACGGCGACGGGCCCCCGCCGCCCAGCCCCATGGCTGCCAGCATGCTGTGGCTGCCGCTGCGCAGACTCAGCGGGCCGCCGTCCAGCGGCCCGAACAGCGCGTGTGCGCCCCCGTGCGGCGGCGGCGAGGGCATGGACAGCAGGTTGGCTGCGCAGCCGTCAAGGGAGGTGCGGAAGCAGCCCGAGGAGGGGCCGGGCAGCAGGGAGTCGTCGCTGCCGCCGCCAGCTGCACCGCCGCCGCCGCAGCGGCGGTCGAACGCGAAGGGGGCAGCGCTGCTGCTACCGCTGCCGGCAGCAGCGTCCAAGTCCATGGGTGCAAGGCCGGACACGCTGCCGCCACCGCTGCCGCCATCAGCGGCGGTTGCGGGGTCAGCGAGCGGCTGGTGGGGCCCGGGTGGAGGGCCGCCTCGCAGGGGGCCGGGGGCACCGCCGGCTGGCCCTGACAGTGGGAGTGAGGACAGGCCCTGCCCTGCTGCCGACGGGTTGCCCAGGGGCTGCAGCGGCTGCTCCCGTGTGGGTGCGAGGCGGCCCAGCAGCGGCGGCGGTCGCGGTGGCAAGCCGCTTTGGCCGCCCTGCTCCTGCACCGGGTGGTGGTGTTGGGGCTGTTGCGAGGAGTGGGGTGGTTGCTGGTGCGGGTGTTGTTGTTGAAGCTGGGAGGAGAGCAGCATGCCGTTGAATGAGGCGGCCTGCAGGTGGTGCTGCTGGGGGGCAGAGCCATGCGATGTCCCCTCCCGAGCGACTCCGGCAGTGGAGCCCGCTGCTGCTGCTGCTGCGCCTGCTGGCAGCGGTGCTCTGGTGGTGGAGATGATGGGGTGCGCGGGGATCTCAGGGACCAAGATGGAGAGCGGCTTGAAGCGCTTGGCGCCGCCGCCCCCGGCCGCAACTGCCGCCTGCCGCTGCTGCTGCTGCAGGTGTTGCTGCTGGGTTGCGAGGGAGAAGGCCAGGGGCCCGGTTGCAGCGGAGGAGGAGAGGGGCTGCAGGCCGGTAGGCAAGGTCTGCGGGGCGGGAGGTGAAGGGGCGCCCCGCCCCTTGGAGGAGGACGAGGGGGGTAGAGGAGGTCGGCGGTGAAGAGTGTCATTCACTAGGTGCGATTCACTAGGAACCAGACGCGGCATGCGATGAAATGCAACGGGTAAAGCACAGTCCATCCATGCAAGCAGGAATCCCTCCTCGCCCCTCCCACCTTCGCCTCCCCGCCTCCGCCTGCACCCGCTGCCGCCCGCCTGCCCCGCAGCTGCGTGAGGCGGTCTAGCTCCGACCCCAGCGCCTCGTATGCCGCCTCGCTGCGGGGGCTCACCTGGGGGGCGAGGGTGAGGGCGAGGTTGAGAGATGAGTTGGGCGGGTAGGGGCAGGGAGGTTGGAGGCACATTGAGGTGGATGAGCGAAACGGCCGGACAGCAGAGGGTGCAAGCCAAGCCCAGGGTTCCTGCGCAGTGCCGCAGCCAACAAAGCCCCCCTCCCCTCCCCGCCCCTCCCTCCCCTCCCCCCTCACCGGGTACTTCCGCTTGTCCAGGAAGCCGGCTGCCTTGATGCCCTCCAGCGGCAGCGCGGGGCCCAGCCCGCCGCCGCCCACCACCGCCACACGCCGAAGCGGGGTGCCTCCGCCGCCCGGCCCTGCCAGCCCCGCGGGGCCCCCAGCACCCAGCCCCCCTGCCCCGGTGCTGCCCGGCAGGAAGGAGGAGGGCGCTCCTGCGTGGGTCCCGGCTAGCCCGCCAAGCAGGGGTGCGCCGCCCAGAGGGAAGGCCCCGGGAGCCCCCGCTGCTGCTGCTGCTGGGCCGCCCGCGGGCCCTGCCAGCAGCTCCCCCTCGCCGCCCCCCCGGCCGCCTAGGCCCGGGCTGGGAGTGCGCTGCGGGGAGGAGGGGGCAGGGGTGCCATGTGTTGTGACGCGGGGGGAAGCAGGGTGCTGCTCAGAGGGTCGCCGGGCAGTGCAGGACACGGGGAAGCATGAAGGCATGTCTCTGGTCCTGACGCCCTACCTAATATATGATCCTCACGGATGACGTCGTGCCCCCTCTTCCCCCTCGCCCCCATGTAGCAGCCCGGGGTCAAGCCTCGTCACACCACTCATCTGCCTCTTCCTCGTTACCTCCCGCCCCCCCCCCCCCGCCTGCCACCGCCCTCACCATGCGCTTGGCCCAGCCGGCTGCCTCCTCCCTCCGCATGCCCCCCGGCCCCAGCATGATACCGTCTGCGGCCCCCAGAGAGGCAGCGGCAGCCAGGGAGGAGGGCTCCCCCTCCCGGCCGCCCTCCTCTGCTGGGAAGCCGTAGTAATGCCGCAGCAACTGTTGGGACGGGAGTGGAGAGGAGTGGGGGCGACAGGATCAGGGCACCGTGGGTAAGGGGTTGCGCACACCGGTGGAGGTGGCGGGCTGTGGGCACTCCGGGCGGAGCAGCGCAGCGGAGCCGGGAACCACCTCCCCTGCCACTCCGCCCAGGTCGAGCCGCAGGGTGCCAACCCCAAACGCACGATGGGCTCTAGCCCTAGCCCAACCCCTACCCTTCAAGCGGTGTTAGGGCCGTGTCTGACACGCCTCACCTCACCCACCTCCACGTCACTACCGCCCCCCTACCTCTCCGTTCCTCCGCCGCTCATGTGGCTCCGAAACCGCTGCCGCGTAGCGCTCCAGCAGCTCATCCATCCCCACCGAGGAGTACTGGTACAGCGGCGGCGGGGGCGGGGGCTGCTGAGGGGCGCCACCGGCCCCTGGCCCGCCTGACCCAGATCCCGACCCAGGTCCGAAGATGATCAACGCTACGTCGCAGTCGCAGAGCACGGACAGCTCCATGGCTTTGCGCATGAGGCCTTGCTTGCGCCGTGCAAACATGGCCTGGAGGGCAGGGAAGAGATAGATGGCGGGGCGGGTGGGTTGCGTAAGGGGCCTGGGATGCTGGAGGATGTGAGGGCGCATCAGCGAGAGGCAGCCCTGGGTGAGGAGAAGCAAGGGAAGCTGAAGGAAGGCGTCACTATGGTGTCGGCTGGGGTCGAGTGCACAGTTGACAGGGCTTGCATGCAACAGCTGCAGCACCGCGTTGGCTAAACCGCAATTTAGCGTAAGCTTAGATTTTGACTAGTGGTAGGGAGCACGTTTACTGGGAAACGCTACTAAGGCTAGAGATAATGCTGTCAGGCGAAAAGCCGCCCTCGACCGATAGACGACCATCTGCTTTGCGACGCACCTGACGACTGGCGTCATCTGTTATCCGTTGAAACTGCACTTTGTTCCGTGTCACTGCGAATAGTACCGAGGGGGAAAGTCAAGGATAGGCACGGCAAGCGTCACTGGGTCGGCTCCGCAGCTAAGAATAAAACATTTTATCGCTCACTTTGTGCTGTATCGCAATATTCGCTTTTACGTCGGGTCCGAGTGCGCAGAAAAGCTGAGTGGTATTACCGAGCAAAGCTCTTCATCCATCTGCTTCTATACTCATACATGTGAATAGTCCCCTTAAAGTGACAATAAATCGTAAGTCAGAGTTTATGCTGGTGCGCGTATGAGTTACAGGTAAACCGGTCAAAAATGTCCAATCAGACAGTACATATAAGTTCTCGGCTTCCTCATAGCAACCTTATAGCTAGTGGAAATAGTAAAGCGCCGGGATTCCAAGGGTTCAGCGCTGACCGGTTGTACGGATAACGAACGCGACTTGCAGGCTGCAGGGGATTCGCCTCTGCTGATGCAAGTGACCATATGAAATAAGGGGACCATGTAATGCAGGAAACACAGTACGACAATTAGAACTTGAGCATACGTAAGCCCTAGCGTCGGTCGAAGCAAAGCCGGGCGCCGTAGAGTTATTCAAGGCAACCACGCAAGAATAGTAGTGCAAGCTGCCTAATGGGCACCATGGCATCAATCATCGCAACCGTAGTTGGGAAGCAGGAGAGGCTAGGTACCAACCATTGGCACCAATGTGAGGCAAGGCAGGAAGCCACAAGGCCGTTTCTGTCCTATTATTGTTATTTGCTGTGACCAAAAGCATGTTGAGGGTGAAGGGCCATGCAATCTACTCGCAGTTGTCGTGAACGGTGCCGTGCACCAACAAGTTCTAAGCGGGCATCCGCTTTATAAAGGACTAAAGGAACATGTCATGTTGTGCTCCCAGATGAGCTCCTATTGACTAGTTCAGCAAACTAACAAGATCACGCTGTGCTACTTCGTAGCCGTGTGCTTACCTGAGAGCAAGTTGCGGCTGTGAGGTGCGTCAGTACTTTCGAGGTATATCAAGAAGCCTGGCATAGGGTTTATTCAAGGTTACCGCTTGTTTTTTATACTCATGGCGACTTGCTTGCCTATCGACTTCCTAGAGCTCTTGTTTTCATCCGCCTGCAGAGATGACGCCCACAGAAATTGACCGCATGTTGCGGCCGCTGCCGCTGAAGGATTTAAGGATTTTGGCCCGCGCCAGAGGTTTGAACCCAGCCGGTGAGATCGCAACAACACCTTCCACTTCCTAGGGCTGTTTTGTGACTCTTAACGCTGTATCCTCTATGCATATCACTTCCGATTCCGAAGACAGCGTCTTAAGAACATGTGGGCTACCACAACTTGCGTGCTCGTCGCATGCCGGTCACTATTTTGCGTCCTGTGCCCCAGGTGGAAAGGATCAGCTTGAGGATCGCCTGAAGCAGCATATGATTTCAACGGGGAATTTCTCTATTCAGCTGCCAGTAGAGGGTGCTGAGCCGGCTGTGCCATCTGGGTATGCGGTGGCTCCTCAAGGCTACCAGCAGTACACGACCGGTGAGAATCTTTGGTTACCGCATGCATGTTAGACACTCCACATTTCTCCTACCCTCCAATCCAAGTGCATGGCGTCACGTGGTTCCTGTTTTCGCAGGCGTCTCCAACAACAACTACTCTCGCCCGGCTGGGCAGCAGAATGTCGGCAACTTTATTACCGACAGGCCTACCAGCCACGTGATGGCCCCGCCCGGTGGACGCAGCACCGTGCAGCTGGGAGGCTACCCGGAGCCCGTCGCACCGGTCCACCACCAGCAAGCGCCGCCCTCGCAAGTACCCTTCGGCTCTCCTCAGCAGGTGTGTGACTACTTCACGGCTTTCGAAACAGGATTCGGCATGTGAGCCACGGTTCACAATTGCTCCGCAGGGCCAGTATGCGTACGGTGCGTCGTCGCAGGACGTTCGTGGAGGCAGTCTAGCCAACAACTATTCAAGGCCTGGGGGCCAGCAGAATGTTGGCAATTTCATCACAGATCGTCCCTCCAGCAGGTACGATTACTTGCTAACTGCTGCCCTGGCTGCTCTGCTTGTGAGGTGCTTTCCGCCTGGGACCGTGGTTTGTATACCTCCTGCGAAAACGACGGTCAAGCGTCCACACCCGAACCCACTTTGATCTTTGTTACGGCTGCACGACGCAGGGTGCTGGCACCGCCCGGTGGCGGCTCCCAGGCGAGTGTGATGTCCCATGCGCGATAGACCCATTGGGATGAACGAAAGTGTCTTGACCTGTCTGTTTTGTCAGCGCCGCATGCTTTTTTTGTGCGTGATCATGTTCCTCTAAATCGTTATGATTGGGCTTCTGTGTCATCTTTGCTTGCATGCAGATTTCATTCGGCGACTACAATGCGGGACCTGCGCCTGCGCAGTACTCGCCCCCGCCTCCGCAGTACGGCTCGCCAGCCCCGCAAGCCCACTCCGGCTACGGCGTAGGCGGCCCCGATGGGCGGCCCGTTACCGCAGGTGCGCGCGGCATGTATCCAGCCAGTATGTGTCGTAACTTGTTTGCATACAATGTTGTAGTCATCCGCCTCCTTGTCTGACTGCTTCCGCCCGGCGCGTGTGCAGCTAGCGCACATGCTAGCTTTTCCTTGAATATGGCATCTTGCAGCTAAATGGCTCAGGAGCCGAGTCTGTGGAACGCATATCAAGCTTGCTGCTGTCTTGCGCTGATCTCCAGGTGCCAAGTCGGGTGAGGCCGCCCACGGCGCCCTTTCCAACAACTACTCGCGCCCGGGAGGACAGAACGTTGGCAACTTCATTACAGACCGCCCCACAAGCAGGTAGGGTGCTGGGCAAGATTTTGGAACTGGGGCGCATTCGCGATGCTGAACGTGGGCCGTGTCGTTTCCTAACTTACGTGGACACTGTCTGGCATGTCCTTACCAGCGATTCCTGATACTGTTGTTGTTCGTTCACTGCAGGGTGTTGGCCCCTCCGGGAGGCAAGTCTCAGATCTCCTTCGGCTGAGCAGCTCATGATGGCGCCAGCAATGCGTAGCTGCTGTGGCGCCTTTCTTCGAGACTTCTGCACTTGCTGTCACCGACGCAACGTGATGCAGGCGGGACTTGGCGAGGCTTGCCCGATGTGTTCAGCGCGTTGCATGCATGACATGATGTCGGGTTTATGTTTGTTCAGGATTCTGACTCCCGTTTGTGCGGATTTCGGACCCAGCTATTACCCTAGTAACTCTTCTGTGCTAAGTGTGCGTTCGCGCTGAACTGTGCGGCGTGCGGCGTGGCGGGGCTTGAAGTACGGTGATGGTTTTTGAGATTGTAAGAACCATACTGACGTTTTTGTACCCTGTATTTTAACTCGGCGACTAGCGTCGACGGTGCAGGAGTTCGCCTGTAAATAGCTGATTTCTGTAGGTGGAGTGTGCGCTCTATGCAATGGCCATGTAGATTTGACAGTAAGCGCTTGCTTACCGGTATATGTCGTACATGTTACAAAGCACCAATGGGTGTGCACTGGCCCCAAGGGACTGATAGGATTGTAATCGGCATACGTGAAATACATAGCAATCCTACCTCCTGCGAACCTAGAAGGCCTCACAGCTGGGAGTGGAGCATCGCTGCCAACCTTCCAACTGACAGAATATCCGTAACATCCATCAACAGCAATACTGTCGGCCCATTCACGCTCACCCTTTGGCGTTAAGGCTCGCCAACCACCCCTGTCCAAGGTTTCCTCCGTGCGGTGAAAGTTCAGCATGCGGTCGTGCTTTCACTGGGAGCAAAACCACGATAAGGTAAAGCGCACGGCCCAGAATACACCAAATATTTGTGCGGCATGAACAAGCTGTGAGCGGGTACAACGACACAGCCTGGGCAACGCCTAGGCACACCTGCCAGTAGCAACAAAACAGCCTGCAATCAACAATCGGCTTGCGCAGCTTTTGGCCCTCACTGCACAGGAAGTAACCCCTGCCGTTCTTCATATGAAGGTCCTTCTGCGGATGTCATGAATAGCACACAATGATACAAAGTCTTCATACAAAAACCAAACCCACACGCTGGTATTATGGCGTGAGCAAGCAGCTCGCCGTGCTTGCCTGCATGCCATTGACTAACACTCAGGCCAACTCTTCATGCGGTTTAGCCATTATCCTAAGCACGCGCAGTAATGTGCGTAACACGTACGACGGCTGCCGTACAAGCTAGTATCAGGTTCAGGCCCGTTCATTGGAGACACACGAATTCCGGCACACCAGCTTGCTTAATTCAGCAGGAGTCATCCTTTAACTGCGCCGGTGGTCGAAGGTCTTGGGCGTCGGGAACTTTAGGAACTCACTCTTTGCATCCTCGGCATACCTGAGGGGATAGGGAAGTACAGGCAGTGTGAGTCATTGTTGCCAATGACGGCGGAGGCAGCCCTGATGTGAATCCTAGAACGTCGTACGAAGTTTGGATCCCTGTACGGCGACTTACATGTAGACCTTCGCCATGCTGCGCTGCTCCGGTCGCAGGTCCACCAGCGCCATGTCAGTTAGCGGGCTGTCCTTGGGCAATGTGACGGACGTGGCGAGATGGGTGTGCTGCAAAGGGTGACGGAGCATAGGTATGGTTGGGTCAGAGGAACACGCAAAAGACAGGCTGGAGTGCGAAGAGCATGGATGACTGCTTCCTAGGCGAGTGAGCACAACTGCTGAGGGAAGATGGAGGGTACCCAGCATTGTAACCGACGGTCTTACCGTGTGAAGTGCTGCCTGCGCCCTGCGTTGCGCAATAGCTGAACCTGCTCCGGGAATGTGGCCCATGTAACCTGCACAGTACATCCAGGTCCATCCGCTTCAGCATGGGAAATGGTCATCATTCTCATCCTGCACCAGATGCCTCGTGAGTGAAACAACTACCTGGAAGGTGTCCTTGTTTAATGGGAAGCGTCTCATATTTGTGCGATGGTAGGTTATTCATCTCAAATTGGGAGCAGAATGCTCCTGTTAGGCGTTGGGAGACGAATTCGGGCTGCTTGTACTGGGTAATTGTCCCAGTCTCCTTCCCGATTGTTGCTGACATCCTTGATTATGTATTCGGAGGACGTAATAGCACAACGTGCAACCTTCGATGTGAAGGAGCCGACAAAATTGGGAGGTGAGGGATTAACAGGCAATCGTGGACAGCCGCATATAAACGATAAAGAAGCAATGCCGTATGTTAAATGGAGCTCGTGCTCTAAGCGTCAGAGTAGCGTACGGGACTACCAAGGGCGATGGTGCCGTATTGCGACTAACGACGCAAGCGCACTCATCGAAACTTCAGGAGCGCTTTCAAGGGCAGCTAGGACGACTTAAACTCCGGGCCAAATTGCGTAACCTATGCGCAGCTGCTAGACTATTCCATAACGCCAAGCAATGCCGCTCACGCCACAATATACTTGGTCTGAAACTGAAGCATCTATAGATGTTACAATTGAGGTCCCGGGGATCTCGCGCAGCAAAGCCGATGTATTCGCAACTGACGCATTCCTGAAGGTCAACTGCCCTCCCTATCTATTCGCGCTAGACCTTTATAAGGACGTCGATGACAACAGGAGTTCGGCCACGATTATACCAAGCGGGGTCGTATTTAAGCTTTACAAGGTTAGCCTTTGGCCGCTTTGAACATTTCCCGCGTAGAAGCATGCTGCTCGCCACTAACACGGCACCCGTTTCCGTTGCCGCACCTCGGCTCGCCTTGCTATGCTGTACTTCCATGCATCTTATAAATCCTGACGCTATCCGAGCTAGGGGCCACGCAACAGCCTCCGCGACCATCCTAGCCCTAACCTTCCTGCGATGACTGGTTCCTGACAGCACCCGCCATGACACTACACATGCCCTCGTATCTCCTACCTAGCGCGAGGCAGGGCTATGGGGCGTGCTGGCGGCTACCGGCGACAAGGCCGCCCTCACACAGCGCCGCAACGCCTCCATCGACCGGGCGTATGCAGGGCTGGAGGAGGCTCGCAAGGCGCGGCTGGCCCGCAAGCAGCAGGAGGACAAGTGCGTGGGGAATGGATGGGGAGGCCGTGCTCAGGCGCATGCATGTCCTCTGTCCCCGCAGCTGCGTCACAACCCTCATCACTCCACCTTTCCATGCAATCCTGACACCGCTCCCAGCCTGTCTTTGCTAGCCCCTCTTCCTTCCTTCACCCCCTCCCCCTCTCTCTCCCTGCCCCGCAAAGGGACGCCACCCAGCGCTCCATGGATGTGGACCGGCGCAAGCGGCAGGAGGTGGAGCGGCGCAAGGCGGAGGAGCTGGCGGAGGAGCGGGGGCGGCTGGAGGAGTGGCGGGCGGGGCTGAAGGGTGAGGGAAGGGAAGGGAAGGTGGGCTAGGGCTGGCCAGGGAGGGGTGCGTTGTTGGTTAGATACTGCCAAACATGGGTGTTGGGTTGGTGCATTGAGGGAGGCATGGCTAGGGTATGGGCGCCCCCGACCAACCGGACCCCGACAACAACCCCAACCTGACCGCCCTGACCCACACCTGCCGCCATCCGGGGTCCTGTGCCGGCCCAGATGGCAAAGACGCCGAGTCGGATTACGAGGATGAGGAGGAGGAGGGGGAGCAGGGGCCGGCGCCGCAGCAGGAACGCGGGGTGGGGGAGGCGGCAGCGCCTGACCACCCGCATTACCACGGAAAAGGATGGAGGTAGGGAGTTAGGGTGGGTCAGGGAGGGCTTCTTGTAGCCGACAAAACTCTCTGGCGGCGCTCTACTGTTGGTGTACGGCAGAGGGGATGGCTCCACCGGCAACCCGCTTCCACCGGGGCGCCCATGGCCTCACTGCTCCCCACCCAACCCGCTGCAGGCCCTCCACGGGGACGGGTGCGGCGGCGGCCAAGTCCGCTTCTGCTGCTCCAGCCGCAGCTGCCAACAGAGGAGGCGGTGAGGAGGAGGAGTACGACAGTGAAGGGGCCGATGACGGCAGACAGGGGCGCAGTCGCCGCGAGGAAGCAGACGAGGAGGTGGAGGAGGAGCCGCCCGCCCAGCTAGCTCCCCGTGCCGCGCCCTCCTTCAAGCCGCTGCCGCCACCCAGAGCCACGCTACAGCCCGTGCAGGTGAGGCGGTGGGCAGAGCCCGGGACGAGTCGTACCACAACACATCTTGGCTTGCTGTGCCGACCATGCGCACTGCCACACATGCTCACATGCAGCTTCATGCGCCTTCCCACTAAGTCAGCCAGAGCTGTGCCCCTCTGCTGCTAGTCCCCAACCCTGCCGCCCCTTCCCCCCTCCCCCCCCCCCCCCAGGTCAGCTTCACGAAGCTGGAGACGGGCCACCTGCCCGCTCGGGAGCACCGGGAGGAGGAGATCCGCGCCTTCAGGAAGCAGGTGCGGGGGGAGGGAGAGGGAGCAGAGAGGAGAGGAGAGGGAGAACAAGTAACCGGTATAAGGCGCGGCCTATCCCTCTCCCTCATGACCCGCGGTCCCTGCCCCTGCTTCCCTCGCGCACCGTAAAGTGAGAAGTGAGCACCCTTCTCCTGCCCCTCCCGACCTCTACACCCTCGGCCCCCCTCCCTCCCCCCACCCATCAGGCCACCAGCTCCCCCGCGCCCGCTGACGGCGACTGTGTGGACCTGGCGGAGCGGCAGCCGCTGTTCCTGAAGGACAAGGGGGACGCGATGTACAGGGCGGGGAACTACAGGTGAGGGGGGGGCGAGGAGGGGGAGGGGGAGAGACGTCTGGGAGGGTCTGGGGGGTGGCGGGAGCGGAAGGCGGACTCTGCAGCAGCGCCGCAGGGTGTCCTCCCTACCCACGTGCTTGCCACACATGAGACATGACCTATGGGTCATCAACCCCCCCACCCCCACCCACCCACCGTCCCATTGTCCTTCAGCTTGTCAAATTGTTTCCTCTTTACTCTCCCCTGCTTCCCCCCTTCCCCCTCCTCCTCCTCCCCCTCCTCCCCCTCCTCTCCCGCCCAGCGGCGCGCTGAACGCCTACTCCCGCGCGCTGCAGCTGGACGGCCGGCTGCCCGCGCTGCACGCCAACCGGGCCGCGTGCCGGCTGGCGCTGGGCGACGCGGGCGGCTGCGTGGCGGACTGCGACCGCGCGCTGGAGCTGCTGGCGGAGAGCAGGAGCAGGTGGGCGGGGACGGGGGGGGGGGGAGGGGGCTGGGGCTGAGGACCGTAGGTGGGTGGTGGGTCCAGTTGGCGGTTGGGAGGGTGACAACTGCTACGAGGTGAGGGTGCTGTGGGGTGTGTGGCGTGAGCGTGACGGGCCCTTCTGCCTCTCACCCGCTCTCTTCCTTCCTGCCTACCGCAGGCTATCGCAGGGTCTGCTGCACGGGCCCGATGCGGTGGCCCTGTGTCGGCAGCTGGTGCGGCTGCTGGTGCGGCGGGCGCAGGCGCGGGTGGCGCTGGCGGAGGGGGGCCGGGGGGCGGCGGCAGCAGGGGGCGGAGCCGGTGGCACGGAGCTGCTGGCGGCGGCGCTGCGGGACTATGAGGACGCCATGAGGTGGGGCGAGGGGGGTGTGGGCGGAGAGGCGGGGGCAGGGCGCACATGTGGCGGCTGTAGGGCAGGTGACCTGCCGAGCTCTCTCTTTACCTCCCTCTCCTCTCCCTTCCCCCTGTCCCCTCCCTGCCGCCAGCCTGTCCCCCGGCGACGCCTCCCTGGCCGCCGACGCCGCGGAGCTGGCTGCCTCGCTGCAGCCCGCTGACGCCGCGGCGCTGCGGCAGCGGGGCGACGCGCGCTTCCGCGGGGGGGACTACGAGGGCGCCGCGGGGGCGTTCGGGGCGCTGCTGGGGCTGCCCAGGAGCCGGGTGCCAGGTGGGGCGGCGGGGGGGGGGGGAGGAGGGAGAATGTCACCATCCGTGCTATGTATTTGCCTCCCACAGCTACGCCGCGGTCTGCCTCTTCCCCTTTTCACTGCCGTTACAGTCGCTCGCATGCTGCGCACTCCGGGTTGCCTTGTGTTGGGATGGATTATGTCGACGTCCTGTTGCCCGCCTCCTACCCTCCTCCTTACCCTCCTGCCCAGAGTCCGAGCGGCTGGCCGCCTTCTCCAACCGCGCCGCCTGCCACCTGGTGCTGGGGCGCTACGCGGCGGCGCGGGCGGACTGCGACGCGGGGCTGGCGCTGCTGCTGCCGCCCCCGCAGCAGAACACCCACATGCAGGCGGGGGCCGGGACAGCAGGCGGGGGTGGAGGTGGAGGTGGAGGTCCGGAGTTCGGGGCGGCGGCGGGCGAGCAGGGGCTGGTGCGGCTGGACGCGTGGGCGCGGACACTGCACCTGCCCGCCGACAACACCGACGCCCGCAGCAGTAGCTGCAGCAACGGTGGTAGCGGTGATGGTGTTGAGAAGGCCGGGGAAGGGACGGCAGCAGCAGCAGCATGTGCTGGTAGTGCTGGTAGCAGTGGTGGTGGCTGCGGGCTGGCCCCCGCCGCGGCCGCCGCTGCTGCTGCCCGGCTACTGACCCGCCGCGGCGCCGCCTCCGCGCACCTGCAGCACTTCGCGGCGGCCGCGGCGGACCACTCCGCAGCGGGCGGGCTGCTGCGGCGGCTGGGGGAGGTGGCGCGGGCGGAGGCGGCGGAGGCGGATGCGGGCCGCATGAGGGCGCTGGCGGAGGGGCGGGAGCAGCTGCCGGCGCCGCAGCGGGAGCAGGAGCAGACGGCACCGGTACCGCTGTCACCGCTGCCGCCGCAGCCGGAGACGTCGCAACAAGATCAGCAGGAGCTATCAGGGCCTATAGTAACCGCGTTGATGCAGCCAGCGACAATGCAGGCAGCAGAGCAGCAGCAGCAGGGGAAGGATGGGTTGGATGGAGGCAGCGGAGAGGTGGTGGGGGCGCAGGTGCAGGAGGAGGGGACAGCTCGCCAACGGCGGGAGGAGGAGCAAGATGCTTCTGGGGAACAGGGGAAGGAGCAAGGAGGTGGAGGAGCGCTAGGAGGAGGGTTGAGGTCAAGGGCTGAGATGGCTGCCGCAGCAGCAGCAGCTGTGTCTGCTGTGAGCCTACTGGAAGAGGTGGATGATTGATGTTCGTGCTGTATGGTTGCTTTGGGGCACTTCTATTTATGTCCTCTGTGGCTAGGTAAATTTTAGCGCTACAACGCGCCCTTGTATCTGTGCGCTCGCGTTCATGAACTGTTTACCGCAGCAGTAGCTTGCTAGCTCGTCGCTCGTCTGGGATGTTGCAGGGCCACTTGTTCCCCATTCAGCTAGTACAGTTTGCGGTCCGCCGCCTTTATATTTAAGTGTTTTAGTGCTTTACGAGGCTTGTCGGAATGCTCTCCTTGCAGCAAACGAATGATCATCCGTACGCTGCTGACCTGGCTGAACCACATTAAGCCTGGCGGTTTATTCCTGTGAACTCTCCAATAGTGTACCAAGCGTCGCTGTTCGACTACTGTTCTCATGCTGCGTAACACATCGCCTTACGAGGAAATTCTCCACCGGCACTTGCGATGCTTCTCCTGTGAAGGCTCAAAGCATTGACAGCCGCTGCTTAACAAAATCAGTTGTTCCTGTCTATATCTTAGGTACCCGGCAGCAGAGTTCAGGCTCCCATTCCGTAACATAGGCCAACCGCAAAGAGCGACAAGACTGTGGCCTTGGTTCGGCGCTCCTACACAGAATAATGGGAAATTTATGCTTGAAGGGGAATAGGCCTTTGGCCGCTGATACGGCATCACAGGTGGGGAGCGGTGTTGCTCGGCACGGACGCCAACTACTGCTGAACACGATGATGCTATGGGCCAAAACGAGGATGCTATGGGCTGGATAACACTTAAGTAACGGAATTTCCGCAGGAATGCCAAGGCCTTACACTCCCTCCGCCAGCGCCGTGGCGGACCGTGAAGGAGTTAGGGCTGGGGACACTCCAGGTGCGGCAGGGCAAGAAGGGGGATACCGATTGGTAACTAGCAATATGTAGGCAACTCCTGCAATTCGTCGTCACGTGGCAAGGTGACGCTTGGCAAGGTGTTGGGCAACATCCTAGTACTGTAAACAACATTCGTCAGGCCCCCGCTTTATTAAGTCGCCTAGTACTCATTTCGTATTGTCCAAGAACTAATGACATTAAGTACCAGGGCACTGCTAGCATTCCAAACGACCCATGGATGCGACAACAAGTTATTGTCGTTAACCATCACTGGGAATGCATCGCGCTACAATAGTTTATTGATGCATTCCCATTCCTAATAAACAACCACCCTTAACTTCGTCAAAGACACTTTCGTGCCTGGTCGTTGTTCGATAAGGCCTCCAGGCCACAGCATGCATGACTTCCGCGATACTCGCCCCAATCTCCCCCCACCTGCCAGGAAGTGTGTGTGCAAGCGGTGGTGGCTGGCTGGCCGCAGCTGCCCCCCGCGGCGCTGGAGGCCCTCCCCGCGGACCTGCTGCAGGTGGTGGGGAGGGGCGCGGAGATAAGGGGAAAGGGGCGTAGAACGGGCCCAGGCTAGCCCCTGCCCCTCGCACCAGCTCCCTCACCCGGCTCAACCCCTCCTGTATGCCCTTCCCCCCGCTGCCGCCCCTCCCCCCCCGCCAGCGTGTGTTTGACGAGCTGTCGCTCCGCTGCCAGCTGTCGGCCGGGCTGCTGGGCCGCTTCCGGGAGCTGCATGTGGAGGAGCTGGCACTGGTGGGGCGGGGGAGGTGCAGGGGGGAAAAAAGAAATTCCAAAGTGTGGTATGATAATGATACAAGTTGCTGACAATCCCTGGTGGAATCAACCGTGAGTCGAGCCGAAAAGGTGGTTAAAGCAATGCGAGCTAAACTTACCGAACTTACCAATTATGGAGCAACCTTACCATAGTCTTGGGCATGTGTGGAGGCTGCTGAAGGTGAGCTGGAGACCCACCGCGCCGTTGGGCAAAGACAAACAACAGGAACAGCACAACACGAGCACGCATGAAAAACAACACAGACTGACACACGATAAAACACGTACCTGCGTGCACAGGATATGTGCACCATGAGACATGTCCATGGCAAGCCGCCAGGACCATGGAGTAAGTTAGGTCGAGGCGAGTTGATAGCGATGTCCAGCGGAGAGCCAGATATGCGGAATGAGGCAAGGAAAGCGAAAGGGGAAGTTAAGTATAAGTTAAAGAGGACGATGGTGAAGATGCGAACAAAGAAGTACTAAGGTAAGCCTAAGACACGAGACGACACGACTAGGACGGCGCGGTGGGGTGTATGGGGATGGCGGAAGGTACAAAGAGGGACGGAATTGGTGAAAAGTACGGCATATCGGGAACAAGGCATGATGTGCAGTGATAAAGGGGCACAACGTGATACTGTGACGTAGGGTGCGGTCTGCGAACAGATCCCCATCCCCCTACGATACACCGGGAAGGCCACCGCAGTGTAGCCAACCCAGTAATGCATTCGTAGGGCGGGTTGGTCCTAGTTGGGTGTGCACGGGTAAGTGGACAGTTGAGGAGGCGGAGGGGACGGAGACAACCCATAATACTCCGGATACGTCCGGCGTGGACGGCCCCGCGAACGCCCGAACGGCGCTGGCCGTATATCAGGAGCGCCAGCCGGACGGTTGGAGTCCACGAGAAGCATAATCTGTCACCTGTGACTGGTGGGAGGCTGCCGCGGGAGAAGATATAAGACAGAACTACAGGGGGAACAGGACTACAGGCCTAACCCGCCCACCGTTCCCGCGCATAAATGTGTACTACCAGGCCTTTTGAACAGCCATCCTAGATCCTAACAACCCAACATGGCAAGTGGAGGCGGGTCGCGACCGACATCCTGCATTTCTGCAGTCTATGCGGAACACAACCCTCGAAGATATTGGGGGGAAAAAAGAAATTCCAAAGTGTGGTATGATCGTGCAGGGGGGAGGGGGGAAGGGGGCGGGGGAGGGGGGGGGCGCTGGGGGGAAATGGGGAAGGGGGCGGCGTCCCTGGTCTTTGCTGCGGATGTTTATACAGCGGTGAGCGGAGGAGGGGGCAGCCGCGCGCGCTCCTGCCTTCCCTCTCCGCCCTGTTCACATCGACCCCTCCTCCTTCTCCTCCCTTCCCCTTTTCTCCCCCGTCCCCCGTTGCGAGTTTTAGCTCGCAATGCTTCAGCCACCGGTTCGGCTCGACTCACGGGTGTTCCCTCAGGGCTTGCCAGCTAGTTTACTGCTATCACACCACACATTGGATTTCTTCTTCTCCCCCCGCCCCCCAGGTTGGCCGCCCCGACCTGCGCGATGAGCGGCTGCGGCTGCTGGACCGCTGCTCGCGACTGCGGCTGCTGGACCTCAGCGGCTGCACGCAGGTGGGGAGGGAGGGGGAAACGTATAGATTATTGCAGCAACGGAGTCCCAATCCCGAATCCCGACTCATGCAGTGAGCGCACTCGGAGACACTATCCTAGAAACACGCGGCTCAGAGACGTACCAATTGCTTGCTTACCAGAAACCGAGATGACTTGGGGGAGGGGGGCGGGATGTGCACGTGCGGTGTGAGACCTTGAGGCGAGGGTGGGGACACTGAGGCAGCAGTGGTTGCTTCGGGGGGGGGCAGCGTGGCGAGCTGGGGGGGTAGCTGGGCACCCGCCGCCGTCTGGGCGCTCCTGCCCCGCGTCTGATTGCGCGTCATGATTGCTGGTGGGGCCCCTTGCGAGCTGAGGGCTTCGGCGAAGGAGCTGAATGGCGACTTGGCGGCATGTTAGCGCTGCTCTTGTTCTGGTTCGCGCGTGGTTAGAGCGCATTCCACAGGTGTCTGTCTACTGGGCGCCAGCAACCGGGGTGATGTGATGTGGCACCCATCCCCGGGTCCCATTTGGTCGCTCATCCATATTACCCCCTCCCCCCCTCCCCCCCTCCCCCGCCTGCCCCAGGTGACCGACGCGGGCCTGTCAGCGCTGCGGCGCCACGGCGGCAGTCTGCGGGTGCTGCGGCTGGCGGGGTGCGGCGGGGTGACGGATGCGGGGCTGGGGGCGCTGAGGGGTGAGGGGGGGGGGCGGGAGGGGGGCCAGGGGGGCCAGAAGGGGTGTGTGGAGGGGCGGGAAGGAACTGGTGCCACCCCCACTAGCGCGGCGCTGCTGCCGAAGAGAGAGCCGGCTCCTAGCCCGCTGAGCGGGGAGAGGGGCGGGAGGGAGGTGCACTGCCCGGCGGACATCGGACCTGCACCCCCCTTCATTCTCCCTCCCCCTCCCCGCTCCCCCCCCCCCTCCCCCCCCCCAAGCCCTGACGGGTCTGCGGGAGCTGGACCTGCGGGGTTGCGAGGGGCTGACTGGGTGCGGGCTGGGGGCGCTGGGCGGCTGCAGCGCGCTGGGCAGCCTGGAGCTGGACCGCTGCACAGCACTCAAGGTGGGGGGGGGGGGGCCACAGCACAGGAAACCACGAATCAGGGGACAACAATGGGGGCAGGGGGCGGCAGGAGAAAGGGTGTCCCCCCAGAGGGGATGCAGATGGAGCCTGGAGGGACGTGAGGTCGGGGTGAGGTGCGTGTTGTGGTGCGGGTGGTGAGCGCAGCCCTGGTTGCTGCCGCCCCCCTCCCCCCCGGCGGGGCGGCTGGTGGCCCCCCTGCACCAGGTGGGGGGGGGCACCGCACCTCACAGCTCAGCACCACCCTCAGCACCACCCTCCCTCCCCCCGCATCGGTATCGGTAAGGACTGCTAACCCTCCCATGTTTTGTGGCTCCCTGCCAACAATACCCATTGCTTTTGCCCTAACATTGTGGTTTGGTTTATTCTTCCCTCCCCCCGCCCCCCCAGTGCGGTCTGTCCCTGCTGTGGCCCCTGTCCGGCGGCCTCACCCGGTTGCTGCTGGGCTGGTGTCCGGGGCTGGGGGACGCGGAGGTGGGGGCGCTGGCGGGGCTGAGCGGGCTGCGGGAGCTGCGGCTGGCGGCGGCGCAGGTGGGGCAGGGGGGGGGGCGGCAGGGGGGGGCGGCAGGGGGGGGCGGCAGGGGGGAGGGGGTAGAGTGTATGGGGCTGTTGCGATGCCGCACCCGCCTTTCCCTTACCTTTTTTCCTACCTCCTTTCTCCCCCTCCTCTCCCCCTCCTCACCCTTCCCCCCCCCTCTCCCCCCTCACCCTCCTTCCCCTCCTCCCCCTCCCCCCAGATCACCGACGCCGGCCTGTCCCAGCTGTCCCCCCTCACCCGCCTTACTCGGGTGGACCTCAGCGGCTGCAGCAGGCTGGGGGCGGGGGCGGGGGCGGGGGCGGGGGCGGGGGGAGCAGGTGGAGGCGGAGGGGTGGTAGGTGGGGTGCTGGGTGGCTGGGCGGCGCTGGGGCGGCTGGAGCTGGATGGGTGCGAGGGGGTGGGGAACGCAGGTGGGGGGGGAGAGGGGGGAGGGAGGGAGGGAGGAGAGGGGGTGGAAATAAGGGTTAGAGGAGGGCGCTGGCGGGGAGGTCGAAGGAGGAAAAGTACGGAGGCGAGAGGTGCGAGAAGGAAGAAGGGGATACCCTGCTACCGCTCCTAACCCCCACCCTGCCCTCCCCCTCTTCCCCCCCCCCGCAGCCCTGTCCCCCCTGTTCTGCCGCCCCTCCCTCGCCTCCAGCCTCACGCACCTGTCGCTGGCCTACACCGGGCTGGCGGGCGGGGGCGGGGGCGGGGGAGGTGGGGCGCTGGCGGGTCTCTCCGCCCTCACCGCCCTCACGCACCTCAGCCTGGACAGCTGCGATGTGGGGGACGGGGTGTGCAGGGTGAGGGGGGGGAGGGGAAGGGGGGAGGGGGGGAAATAAGAATCTCAAGGGGGAGGGGGAGGGGATTGGGGGAGGGAGGGTTGTGACAGGACTAGGGAGGGGAGGGGAGGGGGGAGCTGCAGGAGGGGGGCGCCGGCATGATGAGCGCCCCCTCCCCTCCTCTACACGTGTACGTGTGCGGTACTTAGCCGCCCCTCAGCCCCAATTGCCTAGCTGGGTTACGCCACCTCCCCCCAATCCCCTCCCCTCCCCTCCCGCCTTGGGATTATTCTTTTCCCCCCTCCCCCCCCCCCCAGGTCCTCCGCCGGCTGCCCCGCCTGGCCTCCCTGGACCTGTCGGAGACGGGGGTGGGGGACGCGGGGCTGCGGGCGCTGGCGACACCCCCCGCACCCCCGCAGCAGCCGCCCCCACACCGCCACCACCCGCAGCAGCAGCAGCAGCAGCAGCAGGTGGCGCCCACACCGCCCGCAACACCCCCCCAGCTGGTGCCGCAGCGGCAGGGGCAGGGGCAGGGGCAGGGGCAGGGGCAGCAGGGGTCGCTGCTGCCCTCCTCGGTGTCCCTGCCTGCGGGGGCGCTGGGCGGTGGGGGTGGTGGGGGCAGCAGCAGCGGTGGGGGTGGTGGGGGCAATGGTAGGGGTGGGGGTGGGGGTGTGGGTGGGGGATCGCTGCGGTCCCTCAGCTGGCACCCGGACTCGCAAGTGGGGGCGGGGGGGCAGGGGGCGGGGGGGCAGGGGGCGGGGGGGCAGGGGGCGGGGGGGCAGGGGGCGGGCGGAGGGGCAGCGGGGCCAGGGGCCCCCTCACCAGCCGCAACAGCAGCGGCAGGAGCAGGAGGAGGAGGGGCAGTGCGGGTGGGACGCACCACATCATCCCCCTCCTCCGCCCCCGCCCCCGCCTCCGCCTCCCCCGTAACGGGCCCTTTTGACTGGGCGGCTGCCACCGCTGCCGCCACCGCTGCTCCCCCCTGCCCCGCTGTGGGTCTGCCGCACACCCTGACCCGCCTCAACCTCACCTACACCAAGGTAGGGGAGGGGGGGAGCCGCCTCACCTTCCACCACACGCCCCTCCGCCCCACCTTCCATGTGTATTGCCCCCCCCTTCCCCCCCTTCAGGTCACGGACGAGGGCCTGGCTCCCCTGTCCGCCCTCACCGCTCTGCAACACCTCAGCCTGGACTCGGGTGGGGTGGGGGGAGGAGGGCAGGGAGGGAGGGGTGGCGGCCAGCCGGTTGCAACGGTACCCTGCGCACCCCCCTGATGACCCCCCCGTCTCACATGCACCCCACCTGCCTCCCTCCCCCCTCCCTACCTCGCCAGCAGGCGTCACTGGCATTAACCCACATCGCCCTAGCGCTACATCGCTGCGTTTCCAACCCCCCTCCCTCCTTCCCCCCATACATGTTCTCGTTTTTCGTCCTTTTTACCTCCCCCCCCCTCCCTCCCCCCCCAGGCAGCCTGGGTGACGCCGCGCTGCGCCCCGTGGCCGCCCTGCCGCACCTCACCAGCCTGGACCTGTTCGGGTGCCGGGTGGGGGAGGGCGGCGCTGCACTGCTGGCGGGGAGTGCCGCGCTGAGGGGCGGGCTGAGGAGCCTGGAGTGCTGCGGAGGGGGCGTCACGGGTGGGGGGGGGAGGGAGGGGGAGGGGCGGGCTCCTGCTGCTAGGAGCCTCGCTCGAGAAAGGTGCTTACCTCACACACGTGTCCCCCGGATCTGGTGCATTGCTATTGGGTTGCACGGCAGGTCTCCGTACCCCGCATCCCACCCACCTCCCAAACCTGTGTATCCCCCTCCCTCCCTGCCCCTCCCTCCCCCTCCCCCTCCCCTCCCCCTCCCCCGCCCAGACGCCGCCGCCGCCCACCTGGCCCGCCTGGCCGCGCTCACGTGCCTCAACCTCTCGCAGAACCCCAGGCTGGGGGACGCGGGGGTGGGCTGTCTGGCGGCGCATCTCAGCGAGCTGCAGGTGGGGGGGGGAGGGGGAGGGGGAGGGGGAGGGAGAGGCGGGGGGCTTCCGCCTTTCAGGTCACCACGTCCCCTCACCCCCGCTGCCCCAGCCAGCAGACAGGCATGCAACAGCCGGGTGGAGGCTGCAAGGGGGGGGGGGCGCAGGGGGGGGCCGTGACCTGCTGCATCGCCGTGCTGCCGAGAACCACCCCTCCCCTTCCCTCCTCTTCCCCCCTTCCCCCCCTCCCAGCTGCTGTCGCTCAACCACACCTGCGTCAGCGCCGCCTGCCTGCCCGCCCTGGCCGCCCTGCCGCGGCTGCGCTGCCTGGCGCTGCGGGGCACGCGGGTGGGGGAGGCGCAGGTGGCGCGGCTGCGGGCGGCGGGGCGGCTGGCGGGGCCGGGGGAGCTGGGGGTGAAGGTGGGCGGGGGCGGGGGCGTGGGGGAGGAGGTGTAGGCGGGAGGGTGGTGGGAGCGGGGGTTCGTGAGGAGGTGAGGCTAGGGGGGCGGTGCGAAGCGTGATTTTAGGTGATGGAGGGGTAAGGGTATGGAGTGAGGCAGGGGGCGAAAAGGGAGCCGGAGGGAGGTCATGCAGGAGGGGAGAGCGAGGGAGCGGGCGAAGGGTGGAGGTGGAGGGGTGTGTGGGTGTGGGTGCGGGTGCAGCTGTTGTACCGCGGAGGAGGGGGAGGGATGGTGCGGGAGGAGGGGGCTGCTCTGTTGCCTCGCGTGGGCTTTGGTTTGGTAGGCATGCAGGTAGGGTTGGCGTTCTGCACTGTCCTGCACCGCAATGGTTGGGTGCGCGCTGGAACAAAGCGGGTTACTGTTATTGTGTGTGTTGCTGTGAGCTCCTCCTGACGGGTGGAGGAAGACAGACAGAGCGGTGCAGGCCAGCTAAGCATAGGGGTGGTTGCGCGTTGTTACCGTATGCCCGTGTATGTGTTTTGCGGTGCGGGGGCTGCTCCCACAGGGCTGGGCGGGGAACGACCGTCGTTACGCGATGTGTCATCGCTGTATGAGGATGTACGAGGGTGTTTATGTATGTTCACAAAGCAAAGGAACACTTCTCAAGTAAGGCTGTGCCGATGTGTTTTGATGCAACTGTTGAGTCACATGGAGGTCTTTTAATGTCATAGAGAACTGGCCACGCATGGAGGTGTGCACACGTGCGCATGCTTACGTCAGACGCGACCGCTGAGAGTACCGGTCTGCGATGTACCACTAGTTGTGTGTATGGAAGTAGCTGCTACTGCTGTGTAGGATCCCAAACTATGTACCGCCGGCGGCCTGCCGTACCATGCTGTGCAAAGCGTTATGCAGGTTTACGACGTGGGGGAGGCAGTTGAGGAGGTTGTTGCGGAGGTGCAGCGTGTGGCGGTGTTAGGGGTACGAGGGCTGTGAGGGCTGTGTGTGGCGGGGGGGTGGGGGGGGGCAGGTGGCTCGTTGCTAGTGAGGGGAGCAGGAAGAGAGACGCTGGAGGAGAAGAAGAGGGGCAGCAGGACGGCAGTTGCATTGATGTTTGGCGCCGGTGGACGCTGTACACTATCACGATTGTACACTAGGTATCAGGGCATCTGTACACACGATTGCTGCATATGCATGCATTCCCGGCGTCAACGGTGTGACATCATGGGCGCTAGTGGCGTGTGTCATGGCGGGGGTCAGGTAGGGCGCAGCAGGGTGACTGCACGGCACGTCATTGAAGAGACGCGCTGCGAGCGAGCGGGGCGGCGAGGAAGGGGCGGCAGTGCAGTCTGAGGCGGGCGGGTCGACGGCACTGCACAGGTGATCGTATGCGACGTGTACGGCCCTCTAGCAAGGGGATTACTTACCTGATAGCTATCAGGTTGCTTGGAAGGCTACGGGCAGAGAATTTTGTGGTAATTCATGGTGTAGTTAGGAGGTTAGGAGAGGCTTCGACCCTATCTTTGGGGTTAGGTAAGGGTGGCAGGTAGGGCAGCTGGAAGGGTGAGGGCGTGTTTGCCGGGATAGCGGTTGTTGGTAGCTAGCAGACGGAGGGACAGGAAGGCGCACGAGCGCATGCAGGCGAAGTCACGAACCACCCGTGCAAGAAGCGAGGGCGGCAGTACCCCCCCCCCGGCCCCTTGGGCAAGGGAACTTATCATCTAACACATGTTGTGCGTTGCCCCACGGGGGCCTCCTGGATGCGTGGGGGGGGGTACCTGCTGGGGTCTGAGGGGCGTATGTGTCGGGAGGGGGCCCCATGCTCGTCAGTCCAATCACATGGACAGAGGCAAGGGTCCCGTACACCATGCTAGGCGTGTAACAGTTGCCACCAGCGGTACGACCTTGGTTTCCGTTTTGCCCTTTGCTTCACAGCTTCATCGCCAGAATGACCCGTGGGACGATTGCGCTGCCCGTATGTGGCGCTGTACAGTGCAGCGGGGGTAATGGACCCAAAGCTCAAGCCATTTGCAATCAAGGCGCTCCTAAAACGGAAGCTGATTGCTTGAAAGGTCTGCGCTGGGATTGGCCCGCAACCGTACGCCTCAATAACTAAATGCCGCGTTGAGCGCATATCAACAGAGCATACTGTATACTTCCCTTTAGGAAATAGCATTTACCCTTTAGGCACTTCCACCTTCACATCAGCAATGGTCCGCGCCTTCGGCAGGGAAATTTGCATCCCCGGAATACCTCCGCAGCTAGGGATTAACATAACAGCCAGCAAATGGTTTGAAAGCCAGTGTCGGAGGGCTTTCAATGAGTGCGACGTGGACCGAGACGGATCGTAGGTTTCCGGCGGGCGGGTGTTGCTTACTCCGCTCATTGTGCTGCTAGCTTACCGCATACACTCAGTGCCGAGCAGTCAAGCACACATTTACCGGTAGAAGCATGAGAGTATTAATGGCCAGCAGGTTATCATTGGATGATGCGCTGCATGTGAGGGTCGTCGCAGCTCTGTCGCGCAGCGGCCGAAGCTCTCAGCGCACCTGCGCCCCGCACCCACTCCTTCCGCTCAACACCCACCAAAGCCATCGCATGATCCCCGCCCTACCACCTACAACAGCCGCGCTCAGTAAATCTCCGCGCACCATAATCCTAAGACCCTACGTACACCCCCTGCCGTACACCCCCCTCAACCCCTGCCGTACACCCACAGGCTCGACACCAAGGAGTTCTACATCGGCCTGCTCAAGCTGTACGACCTGATCAACAGGAGGCTGCCGTATCACGTGCGCATACCCTCCATCGAGGAGGTGGGGCTGCCGGGGGTTGAGGGGGGAGGGGGGAGGGGGGAGGAGGAGGGGTAGCTCTGCCGTATACCGGCAGCTGCTGCGCCTCGGAAGCGTGTGTGCTGCTTGCGTCTTTCCGTGTGTGCTCGTGCGTGTGTTCCACACCCCAAACACCATGACCTCGGGCCGGCCTGCTTCCACTGGGGGCGAGCGGGGGCGCAGCTGCACTGTGCACGGGGGCACCCTTGCAACGCCCGCTTGGGTACACCACCCACTCGCAGGAAGGAAGAGTGTCGCACATGGGGGGACCTTGCATGGGGCCTTGCGCTCCCTCGCCCTCGTCCCCCAAGCGGTCCGCCCCACTGTTCCCCCCTCCCCCTTCCCTCCTCCCCTCCCCGCGCAGGTCAACGAGCTGATTGAGCGGTACGACACCAACACCAACGGCCGCCTGGAGTTCAGCGAGGTGGGCGGGGGGTGGGGGGGTGGGGGGGGGTGGGGGTGGGGGGGGTGGGGGTGGGGTGGGGAGGCAGGTGGGGGACACAGTGAAACCCCACCACGGCCTGAGCGACGGCAGCTGCCGTACCTGGGGTTGCAGCCCCCACCTCACCTGGTGCACCAGCCCCGGTGGGCTGCTGCAGGGAGCACCGCTAGTGAGCACCCAGCCGGCTGCGAGGGGCGACTGCAGGGGCGCCGCCTCCCCGCCTGCCCTGCCGCCGCCTCCCACCGCGTGATTACCCTCTCCTCTCCACTGCCGCTGCCCTGCCCTCTTCTCTACCCCCTCCCCCTCCCTCCCACCCCCGCCCCAGTTCCTGTCCTGCTGCCGCGGCCTGATCGGCAGCCGCCACGACTGGCGCGACTCGCTGTTTCTCAAGATAGGCCTGGCGGTGTTTATGAAGGCGCTGGTGGGGCAGCCGGGGGGAAAGGGGGGGGGGGAGGGGAGGGGGGAGCGAAACCGGGGAGCGGACAGTCTGCCAGACCCCTCTCTTTGTACGGAAGCGCCTCTCACAATGCACCTGCTGCCTATGTCTTGTCGCTTCGCTGCTGCCCCTGCCCCCTTCCCTCCTCCCTCTTGCACTCACTGCATGAGTCGGGATATGGGATTGGGACTTAGTTGTTTGCATTTCTTATATAATTTTCCCTCCTCCCTCCCCACCTCCCCCCACCTCCCCCCAGGGCTTCCCCTACCTAGCGGGCCTGCTGAAGCGCGGCTGCCAGGAGCTGGGCATCAAGCAGGTCAAGGTGGGGGGGGGGGCGCAACGGGAAGCGGTGTGTGGAGGGGAGGCGGGAGAGCGGGGAGGCGGGCAGGAGGGGGTAGGAGGGATGTGCGGGGCCGCGCCGCCGTGTCTATAGCCATACTCACCTGCCTTGTTTCCAATGTCGTCGCGCATCTCCTACTTAATATTTCGTTAACGCGCCCTGCTTCCTCTTTTCTCTTTCTTCTTGCATATTGACAACCTCTTCTCCTGTTTCCACCCGGCGATGGACCATGCGCTGTTGTGGAATTGCTGGCCTGCGTCTACACTCCTTGTACCCATGGCCATGTTCCTCTGGGTCTCCTCTCCAGGCAAGTTTCCCGTTACGCGTCTCGATGACTTATCTTCTTGTATACCCAATAGCCCTGTTGCCTTAGAATTAGTGGCCGGCGGCGCGGCACAGGCCTCGTGGCCTCTGAGTCGCATGTTTCTAGGATAGTGTCTCCGAATGCGCTCACTGCATGAGTCGGGATTCGGGATTGGGACTGCGTTGTTGCACTTATCTATAGTTTCCCCCCTCCAGGGAGTGCCGGTGGGCGCCCTCACCTACATGGTGGAGAGCGCAGCCAAGCAGCTGAGCTAGGTAGGGGGGGTGGGAGCTGAGGCAGGGGGGGGGGTGAAGAAAGGAGGAAATGACTGCATGACCAGTTGCCTGATGAGGCGTCACCATGGGCGTCACCACATTGGACCTGGCAAGGGGGAATGACAGCAGAAGTGAAGCACTGGAGTCCCAATCCCATGGCCTGACTAGGGTGGCGGGGAGGCACGGGGAGGAGGCGTAAGCAGGAGATGCAGTGGTTTGGAGGCAAGCAGTGATGCTGCGAGGGGTATTACAGGCGCATGCGAAAACAAGGCGGGCGGGTTGCTGGTTGCCGCGTGCAGGGAGGGAACTGTAGTGGGACTGCGAGAGGAGCTTGTGCGAGCCTAGGCAGCAGTTGCATGAGTGCCTATGTGGCGGGTAGCATTGGAGAGGGGAAGCGGGCGGCAGCTGCTTAGAAAGGCTGCGGAAGGGGGCGAGCTAGCAGGGCCTGGCGCTGCAAGGGCGCCTGATATGGAGAGTTGGGGCTGCTGACTTCCCTGCAGCCTGCAGGTGAAGGCATGGTAGCGCGTTGCTACTTGGTGGAGATGTAAATAAGGCGCAGGGGTAGTGGCGGGGTTTGCAAAAGACTGACAAGAGCGGCCTGAGTGTAGCATGTTTTTTGCTAGCCGTCTGGCCCTCCTTGCGGGACCCTACACCGTGTGCTGTGGACATGTGAATCTCACAGCTGATACTGAGGCTCATCCCTTTAACGCTAGTAACTACAATTATGAGCACTACCGCTACCGTACCCAACCACCCAGCCCGTCGTACCGTTTTTCTGTACGATAACGCTGTACATACAACACAACTTAGCAAATTCGCTCCAGGAAAGCACCATTCAACTCCCCTTTCCAAAACATCTGCGAATTTTCTAAACAATCGGCAATGTGTCTCTGGACGCACGGGGGGAGGCCCCAGTCAGGCTGCCAAACCCGATGCACTCTGGTGAATAGCCAACGCATTTCGCCTTCACGCTTTGTTGGAATGCCTAAATGCACGGTTGCGTTGGTTAGTGTGCTCCATCCACCTGCTGCCACCTGCTGCCCCCTGCTGCCACCTGCTGCCACCTGCTGCCACCTGCTGCCACCTGCTGCCACCTGCTGCCACCTGCTGCCCACCTGCTGCCCACCTGCTGCCACCTGCTGCCACCTGCTGCCACCTGCTGCCACCTGCTGCCACCTGCTGCCACCTGCTGCCACCTGCTGCCACCTGCTGCCACCTGCTGCCACCTGCTGCCACCTGCTGCCACCTGCTGCCACCTGCTGCCACCTGCTGCCACCTGCTGCCACCTGCTGCCACCTGCTGCCACCTGCTGCCACCTGCTGCCACCTGCTGCCACCTGCTGCCACCTGCTGCCACCTGCTGCCACCTGCTGCCACCTGCTGCCCACCTGCTGCCACCTGCTGCCACCTGCTGCCCACCTGCTGCCCACCTGCTGCCACCTGCTGCCACCTGCTGCCCACCTGCTGCCACCTGCTGCCACCTGCTGCCACCTGCTGCCCACCTGCTGCCACCTGCTGCCACCTGCTGCCACCTGCTGCCACCTGCTGCCACCTGCTGCCACCTGCTGCCACCTGCTGCCACCTGCTGCCACCTGCTGCCACCTGCTGCCACCTGCTGCCACCTGCTGCCCCGCCATCAGTACTGCTGCACCCCTCCCCGGGTAGCAGGTTGGGCTTGCACCCCACCGCCCTCAGCACCAGCAGATGCAGAGCCAAGCATGATACCCAGCCCCTGCTCTGCTGCGGGAGTTCCGCGCCTCCTCCCTCAGCAGCGGGTGTGTCGTCAGCACGCCTGCCGTGTGCCCTCCCCGTCCAACCTTGCCCGCCCCAACTTGTGAATTCATTCGTTTGTCTCTCTTTGAGCCCGCCCCACCCACCCACCCACCCACCCACCCACCCACCCACCTGGGCCCCCCTCCCTGCTGGTTGCTTTGCCGCTTGTCCCTCTTACGTTTAGTCTGCCGCCCCCTGGTCCCTGCTACCAGCTGCCTCCAACATGAACCCCGGTATTAGTGGTAGTATGGACACATCTTATGTTCTTATCTTGTCAATAAAGGGGTTTGGAGAAACCATGCTGGGTCGGTGTAATCTCATCGAGATCTTGTAACTTGAAGTATGGGGTCATTTTACGGTGAATGTACAGCCTACCTCCCCTCCCAGTAAGTCAAGGCGATTTGTTGTTCATCACCAAGGTGTATTCGGTCTCGTAAGGGGCCGCTAACCCTCCCTTTTGCCTTTGCGGTACCCTGCCGCCTCGTTACCCATTGGTTTCCTATGGTTTTGGAATCCTCCCCCCTGAGTGAAGAACTTGTTTCCCGGTGATTAGTGCAACTGCACTTTCCTAACAGCTCAAGAGTGAAGAGCAACGACCGACCATACCATACCCGCCTGCTGATGTCTTTAGGAACTGGGCGAGACACAGATCTGATCACAGATTAGATTGCTCAGATCAGATTGATCTTGTCTGATCACAGATCAGATAGCTGGGGTGTTCGGACTATCATAACGGAGTACACTTCAGCCGAAGAAACAACACTTCTAGACACATGCATGGTGTTCCCTTTTAGGGCACCATTGTAACGGTCATTCATTCACATGCATATTGTCCTCACGTCACTGACGCCGTTTCCCCAGCTGCCCGCCGTACGAGCGACAGTGTACTCTACAGACTAACGGTAGCAAGTATTGGCCAAAGCAATGCCTTCGTTAGGGTGCCAATACGGACGCATGGCCAACTCCAGATGCTCTCTGCTCTACCTAATAACTGCAACCTTGCAAACAATTCTTGCCACAATACACAGAAAACAGTGTGCGCATGCATGTCAACCAACTATGTTTAATGTTTTCCTCGGGAAGCCTGGGGTTATAGGTGACATTTTAAGAAACGTCGTTGACAACGTGGGGTTAGGTCGGTAGGTGCTAGGTCGGCGGGTGCTACGTCGGTGGGTGGGTGGCTAGGTCGGTGGGTGTTAGGTCGGTGGGTGCTATGTCGGTGGGTGCCAGGTTGGTGGGTGCTAGGTCGGTGGGTGTTAGGTCGGCGAGTGCTAGGTCAACGGATGTTAGGTCGGTGGGTGGGTGCTAGGTCGGTGCGTGTAAGATCGGTGGGTGCTAGGTCGGCGGGTGCTAGGTCGGTGGGTGGGTGGCTAGGTTGGTGGGCGCTAGGTCGATGGGTGCTAGGTCGGTGGGTGGGTGTTCAGTCGGTGGACGGGTGGCTATGTCGGTGGGTGCTAGGTCGGTGGGTGTTAGGTCGGTGGGTGCTTGGTCGGTGGGTGCTAGGTCGGTGGGTGCCAGGTCGGTGGGTGTTAGGTTGGTGGGTGTTAGGTCGGCGGGTGCTAGGTCGGTGGGTGCTAGGTCGGCGGGTGCTAGGTCGGCGGGATCGTCATTTTCGGCTGCGATTTGACGTGGTTTAGCCCGTCGCCCTTCGGGAACGTGACGTCCTATAGTATTCCCTCAAGCATCTACGCATTAGCCCACTGTCCTGAGGAGACATAACTGAAAACGTCCAGGTATCCCCGCTTTCACCAGAGCGCAAAAACAGAAACTGCAGCAGAAACTTACTTCTAAATGCACATGTTGCGAACGTTTTAACGCTATTGCTCATGATCTATGGGCCGACACTAGTTCCAATTACAGTTCCATTCACAGCAGATCACATGCTGAGATCAAAATACAGCACCGGAAGTGTACCGGTATCGCTCCCACAGTACGCGCTTGTGCTTATATAGTGCAAAATTGGTTACTTGGGATGCGCCCCATTTTCTTTGCATGGCTCAGGCATTCAGAGCCTCGACAGCGAGTTTAGCGGCGTCCTTCTCCAGCAGCACAAGCTACAATTACAGCATAAGCAGAGGTTAGGGCCATGTTCACATAATACAGACTAACGACGGAGCAAGGTTCTGCGTAGCTGCCGGGCCATACGAATGGCTGACTGACGTAGTACACGAGGACCGGTACGGCAGGTGCTATGAATGGGATGATTTAACACCAGCAACGAGTAGCGCGTGTCTGTCCTATGTGTGCCGTGCAGGGGTCGCCGGGGAGAGTGGAAGATGAGAAACACATCCTCATTGAATGTCCCGCTTACGATGATTTGCGTGATAAGATATGAGAAAGTGGTGTCTCACGGGATGCTGATATGATTGCTGTCATGGGCATGGAGAATCAGGCATTGCTTGCTAGCGTAATCACTAGCATGCGAAGTCGCAGGATTGCGCAGACAGGGTTTATCATATGATTAGCGTTCTGTTTGTTTGTCTCTTTTGTTTTACTTTTCTTCTTTTGGTTGTTTTCGCGTTTTGTGCTCGCGATCCATGAGCCTTCTGGCTCGGACGGATCTTACGAGCTCGGTACGAAGCTTGTAACACATACATACATACATACATAACACCAGCAACGCGGAAACGTACTTTATAACGGACTGGGTATCTGTGGAACGAGGCTTGGTGTCCTTCGAGGTATATAGGTGGGCCTTGGCGTCGAACGTCGTCGCCATCCCTACCGTGGCGATCGGCCATACCGGCCTTCTCAGGTCCTCACAATGGCACTGAAGTTCAATACACTGGTCGTTGGGTTGATTCTGGTGTTTGCGACGTGCTGCGCTGCAGGTACGGGTAGCTAATTACCGCTCGTCGGACGTATGTCCGGTCATGGCTACCACAAATAGCATAGCATTGCCCCTACTTTTATAGTTTGCTCTATTTACATTTGGGTCGATTTCGCTCCAGTTGACACTGCACCAATACTGGTTCATATCGAACATACTTCCGGTTATAATTCTTGCCCCGTTCCGCGTCCCAAACAGATGCCGGTCACGCCGACAAGAAGAACGGAGCTAAACCTCCAAAGCCCTTTGATCCGCCTAGGCCTCCTAGAAGTCCTGTGGAGCCCCCAAAACCTCCGCGAAGCCCTGGGCATCCGCAGCATCCTGTTGAGTCCAGGCCCCCACGGCCACCTACGGAACTGTTGCCGCCCCGCCCTGCTAAGAGTTCCGAGCATGAAGAAAAGGAAGGCAAGAAGGGCCGCGGCCTGCGTAAGTAGGGGGTTGACTTGTGGACATCTGCGGAAGCCAGGACTTTGGTACACGACCTGAAGAGGCTACTAGTCGAATTAGGGTATGGACTAAGGACCGTGAAGCCCGCGCTTCCCCGCGATTACAGCGCCAAGTCACGTCTCAGTAATGCATTGTCCTTGCTGTGAATTCCGAGGCTGCTCGAGATCAGTGTTTAAAAGCCAACCTTCCGTCACGCACTTCCATAGCAACAATCCCATAATACTGCGTTTTCCTTCCTCGCTTCGCCTTGCAGTTGAGTCCTCTGGCAAGGGCCACAAGAACGGCAAGTCCCCCAGCGTTGCTGAGCCCCCCAAGCCGCCCAAGAGCCCTGAGCAGCCCGAGGATGACCTGAAGCCCCCTCGCCCGGCGGAGTCCCCCAAGGCTGGCAACAAGAAAAGCCGCAAGCTGCGTAAGTCGGCCGTCGTGAGGTTTCGGGGCCCTGCTTAGCCTGGAGTGCTAAGGGTTCGTAAATGAGGCACCTCAGCTGTATGATGTGGCTAGAAGTCTGTCACTCAAAACCCTGTGTTATGGTCTTTCCGTCTGTCAGCTAGTCCTACGTTGACTAACGCTGCACCAATCGCCCATGCCGCTCCTGCCACAGTGTCATCCAAGAGCCCTTCGCCTGCCAAGAGCCCTTCGCCCGCCAAGAGCCCGAAGCCGCCCAGCCCCAGTCCCCCGCCGCCCAAGCCTCCCAAGTCACCGCACTCGCCCGAGCCGCCCAGCCCCAGCCCCAAGCCGCCCAAGTCGCCCAGCAAGCCCCCAAAGTCGCCCGAGCCCCCGAAGTCCCCAAAGCCCAGTCCCAGGCCTCCCAAGTCGCCTGAGCCGCCCAAATCGCCCAACAAGCCTCCCTTTTTTAGGGCGCCGAAGCCACCTAGCCCTAGCCGCAAGCCCCCTAGCCCCAAGCCTAGCCCTAAGCACCGTAACGTGAGTATTTCTGGGGCAGTGGGCTGCACCTATCTAGGGCTTTGGATGTCACGTATTGCTCCTTGCTCCTGTTGCTTTACCTGTTATTACAGTTCCTCGGTGGAAAGGTGAAACCAACCTAAGTATCATGCATTCATCAATATCCCCTTTCCCCTGTGCAGTGAACTCCCGACCCCATAAGCAAAGGTCCAAGGCAATAAGGCAGTCACGCGGCGGCAACGTGGCTTCCGCCCGCCTTCCGAAATACAGTCCCGTTGTTGTTGTCTAGACTCCCGTGCATGTCCGGCGTGTGTACAGTGAACCCTGGCAAGGCGTGAGCGTGCATACTTAGTCCGCCTGTGAGCAGGTTTTGTTAACTGTGGATAACGGTTATGTCCTCCGCATTAAAGCACTAGTCTGTGCATGCCAGGTGCCTAAGAAGGGTCCCGGCTGGTGATGTTGTTGCAGGGTATTCATGCGTATGCACTGTCCTTAACGAGCCGATTATATCCGGTTACCTATCTTACCCCGTAAACTGCGCAGTTATGGTCAGTTATCTGGTTCAGGCAGGTAGCAATCACCTCCTAGGATGTAGTTACATTGTGGGCGTGATCTTCTCAATCTGCCGGTTTGCATCTTGATTGGAGTCAGCTACGCATGCATGGTGCCGAGCATGTGTTGATGGATGTTGTTTCCACTGAGGCAGCAGGAACTCATTATTTCAGTGTAGGGTAGAGTTCACTACCTACCGTACCCGTGTACTCTCCAGGATCGACTGTAACAGCCATTCATTCATGGATTAACCCAGAAGTGATGTGGCCTGTAGCCTATGCACCACATGACGTGCCCTGTCATGCCTACCCCGGGGTAAGCGTAGGGCCAGAAAGCGGTTGTGCAGTCATGCAAGGCAACATCCGGTGTTGTACATGGTCGAGCTCAGGTTCATGAACCTACGATACACGGTAGACTGGGTGGTAACTTATTCCCCGGGTGGAAGCGATTTTGGTTGTCATGGTAGCGTTATGCGTAGAAAACCTTTATGGAGATTTATGGAAGCAAGGGTCGGAGCAGGTCAGCAAAGACGCGGTGACCGGTAGGCCAGATACCACAGAGCAGATTCCAATCATTCCATATGCCGTAAAAAAACTACCGGAATTCAAAAATAACAGGTCGGGATTGGTTATCCGTGTAGACCGCGAAATAAGGCGTTCAGCGACAGCCGCGTAGTTTCCGAAGCTGCCATCAAGACGGCTAGTAGCGATAGACCGCCTAGGGTCCGCAGACCTCCTTTAACACCTCTTTGCACCTAAGCCTCCGAACCTAGCTGTGCAATTAGTCACAGCAAGTTGTTAGTTTCGCCTTCGCGACGTGCAATAACAAGGATTCCGAGCTTTGCTCTACTGTCTAAAGCCTCATCATACGATGCGAGGTCTCCACGAGGCGGCAAACAAAGGCAAGCCAAGCCTAGGTAGAAATGTTACAGCTTACGTATACCAGGGCCTCTTGTGCATACACATAAAAACCCGGGCCAACTGACTTGCGTATTTACAGTATGTATGTATGTATGTATGTATGTATGTATGGGTGCTAGGTCGGTGGGTGCCAGGGCGGTGGGTGCTAGGTCGGTGGGTGCTAGGTCGGTGGGTGTTAGGTTGGCGGGTGCTAGGTCGGTGGGTGCTAGGTCGGTGGGTGCCAGGTCGGTGGGTGCTAGGTCGGTGGGTGCTTTGTCGGTGGGTGCCAGGTCGGCGGGTGTTAGGTCGGTGGGTGCTAGGTCGGCGGGTGCCAGGTCGGCGGGTGCTAGGTCGGCGGGTGCCAGGTCGGTGGGTGCTAGGTCAGCGGGTGCTAGGTCGGTGTGCGGCTAGATCGGCGGGTGCTAGGTCGGTAGGTACTAGGTCGGCGGGTGCTAGGTCGGTGGGTGCTAGGTCGGTGGGTGCTAGGTCGGTGGGCGGCTAGGTCGGTGGGTGTTAGGTCTGCGGGTGGGTGCTAGGTCGGTAGGTGCTAGGTCGGTGGGTGCTAGGTCGGTGGGTGCTAGGTCGGTGGGCGGCTAGGTCGGTGGGTGTTAGGTCTGCGGGTGGGTGCTAGGTCGGTAGGTGCTAGGTCGGTGGGTGCTAGGTCCTTGGGTGCTAGGTCGCTGGGTGCTAGGTGGGTCGGTGCTAGGTCGGTAGGTGCTAGGTCGGTGAGTGCTAGGTCGGCAGGTGTTAGGTCGGTGGGTGCTAGGTCGGTGGGTGCTAGGTCGGTGGGTGCTAGGTCGGCGGGTGCTAGGTCGGTGGGCGCTAGGTCGATGGGTGCTAGGTCGGCGGGTGCTAGGTCGTTGGGTGCTAGGTCCGTGGGTGCTAGGTCGGTGTGTGGTAGGTCGTCGGGTGCTAGGTCGGTGGGTGCTAGGTCGGTGGGTGCTAGGTGGGTCGGTGTTAGGTCGGTGGGTGCTAGGTCGGTGGGTGCTTTGTCGGTGGGTGCCAGGTCGGTGGGTGTTAGGTCGGTGGGTGCTAGGTCCTTGGGTGCTAGGTCGGTGGGTGCTAGGTCGGTCGGTGGGTGCCAGGTCGGCGGGTGCTAGGTCGGTGGGTGCTAGGTCGGTCGGTGGGTGCTAGGTCGGCGGGTTCCAGGTCGGTGGGTGCCAGGTCGGCAAGTGCTAGGTCGGTGGGTGCTAGGTCGGTCGGTGGGTGCGAGGTCGGCGGGTGCCAGGTCGGTGGGTGCCAGGTCGGCGGGTGTTAGGTCGGTGGGTGCTAGGTCGGTGGGTGCTAGGTCGGTGTGTGTTAGGTCGTCGGGTGCTAGGTCGGTGGGTGCTAGGTCGGCGGGTGCTAGGTCGGTGGGTGCTAGGTCGGTGGGTGCTAGGTCGGTGGGTGCTAGGTCGGTGGGCGGCTAGGTCGGTGGGTGTTAGGTCTGCGGGTGGGTGCTAGGTCGGTAGGTGCTAGGTCGGTGGGTGCTAGGTCGGTGGGTGCTAGGTCGGTGGGCGGCTAGGTCGGTGGGTGTTAGGTCTGCGGGTGGGTGCTAGGTCGGTAGGTGCTAGGTCGGTGGGTGCTAGGTCCTTGGGTGCTAGGTCGCTGGGTGCTAGGTCGGTGGGTGGTAGGTCCGTGGGTGGGTGCTAGGTCGGTAGGTGCTAGGTCGGTGAGTGCTAGGTCGGCAGGTGTTAGGTCGGTGGGTGCTAGGTCGGTGGGTGCTAGGTCGGTGGGTGCTAGGTCGGTGGGTGCTAGGTCGGCGGGTGCTAGGTCGGTGGGCGCTAGGTCGATGGGTGCTAGGTCGGCGGGTGCTAGGTCGTTGGGTGCTAGGTCCGTGGGTGCTAGGTCGGTGTGTGGTAGGTCGTCGGGTGCTAGGTCGGTGGGTGCTAGGTCGGCGGGTGCTAGGTCGGTGGGTGCTAGGTCGGTGGGTGCTAGGTGGGTCGGTGTTAGGTCGGTGGGTGCTAGGTCGGTGGGTGCTTTGTCGGTGGGTGCCAGGTCGGTGGGTGTTAGGTCGGTGGGTGCTAGGTCCTTGGGTGCTAGGTCGGTGGGTGCTAGGTCGGCGGGTGCCAGGTCGGCGGGTGCTAGGTCGGTGGGTGCTAGGTCGGTCGGTGGGTGCTAGGTCGGCGGGTTCCAGGTCGGTGGGTGCCAGGTCGGCAAGTGCTAGGTCGGTGGGTGCTAGGTCGGTGGGTGCTAGGTCGGTCGGTGGGTGCGAGGTCGGCGGGTGCCAGGTCGGTGGGTGCCAGGTCGGCGGGTGTTAGGTCGGTGGGTGCTAGGTCGGTGGGTGCTAGGTCGGTGTGTGTTAGGTCGTCGGGTGCTAGGTCGGTGGGTGCTAGGTCGGCGGGTGCTAGGTCGGTGGGTGCTAGGTCGGTGGGTGCTAGGTCGGTCGGTGTTAGGTCGGTGGGTGCTAGGTCGGTGGGTGCTTTGTCGGTGGGTGCCAGGTCGGCGGGTGTTAGGTCGGTGGGTGCTAGGTCGGTGGGTGCTAGGTCCTTGGGTGCTAGGTCGGTGGGTGCTAGGTCGGCGGGTGCCAGGTCGGCGGGTGCTAGGTCGGCGGGTGCTAGGTCGGTGGGTGCTAGGTCGGTGGGTGCTAGGTCGGTCGGTGGGTGCTAGGTCGGTCGGTGGGTGCGAGGTCGGCGGGTGCTAGGTTGGTGGGTGTCATGTCGGTAGGTACAAGGTCGGTGGGTGCTAGGTTGGTGGGTGCTAGGTCGGCGGGTGCTAGGTCGGTGGGTGTTAGGTCGGTGGGTGCTAGGTCGATAGGTGCTAGTTTGGTGGGTGCTAGGTCGGACGGTGGTGGGTCGGTGGGTGGGTGCTAGGTCGGTGGGTGCTAGGTCGGTGAGTGCTAGGTCGGCAGGTGTTAGGTCGGTGGGTGCTAGGTCGGTGGGTGCTAGGTCGGTGGGTGCCAGGTCGGTGGGTGCTAGGTCGGTCGGCGGGTGCCAGGTCGGCGGGTGCTAGGTCGGTGGGTGCTAGGTCGGTGGGTGCCAGGTCGGCGGGTGTTAGGTCGGTGGGTGCTAGGTCGGCGGGTGCCAGGTCGGTGGGTGCTAGGTCGGTGGGTGCTAGGTCGGCGGGTGCCAGGTCGGCGGGTGCTAGGTCGGTGGGTGCTAGGTCGGTGGGTGCTAGGTCGGTCGGTGGGTGCTAGGTCGGTCGGTGGGTGCTAGGTCGGCGGGTGCTAGGTTGGTGGGTGTCATGTCGGTAGGTACAAGGTCGGTGGGTGCTAGGTTGGTGGGTGCTAGGTCGGCGGGTGCTAGGTCGGTGGGTGTTAGGTCGGTGGGTGCTAGGTCGATAGGTGCTAGGTTGGTGGGTGCTAGGTCGGACGGTGGTGGGTCGGTGGGTGGGTGCTAGGTCGGTGGGTGCAAGGTCGGCGGGTGCTAGGTCGGTGGGTGCTAGGTCGGCGGGAGCTAGGTCGGTGGGTGTTAGGTCGGCGGGTGCTAGGTCGGTGGGTGCTAGGTCGGTGGGTGGGTGGCTAGGTCGGTGGGTGTTAGGTCGGTGGGTGCTATGTCGGTGGGTGCCAGGTTGGTGGGTGCTAGGTCGGTGGGTGTTAGGTCGGCGAGTGCTAGGTCAACGGATGTTAGGTCGGTGGGTGGGTGCTAGGTCGGTGCGTGTAAGATCGGTGGGTGCTAGGTCGGCGGGTGCTAGGTCGGTGGGTGGGTGGCTAGGTTGGTGGGCGCTAGGTCGATGGGTGCTAGGTCGGTGGGTGGGTGTTCAGTCGGTGGACGGGTGGCTATGTCGGTGGGTGCTAGGTCGGTGGGTGTTAGGTCGGTGGGTGCTTGGTCGGTGGGTGCCAGGTCGGTGGGTGTTAGGTTGGTGGGTGTTAGGTCTGCGGGTGGGTGCTAGGTCGGTGGGTGCTAGGTCGGTGGGTGCTAGGTCGGCGGGTGCTAGGTCGGTGGGTGCTAGGTCGGTCGGTGGGTGCTAGGTCGGCGGGTGCCAGGTCGGTGGGTGCTAGGTCGGTGGGTGCTAGGTCGGCGGGTGCTAGGTCGGCGGGATCGTCATTTTCGGCTGCGATTTGACGTGGTTTAGCCCGTCGCCCTTCGGGAACGTGACGTCCTATAGTATTCCCTCAAGCATCTACGCATTAGCCCACTGTCCTGAGGAGACATAACTGAAAACGTCCAGGTATCCCCGCTTTCACCAGAGCGCAAAAACAGAAACTGCAGCAGAAACTTACTTCTAAATGCACATGTTGCGAACGTTTTAACGCTATTGCTCATGATCTATGGGCCGACACTAGTTCCAATTACAGTTCCATTCACAGCAGATCACATGCTGAGATCAAAATACAGCACCGGAAGTGTACCGGTATCGCTCCCACAGTACGCGCTTGTGCTTATATAGTGCAAAATTGGTTACTTGGGATGCGCCCCATTTTCTTTGCATGGCTCAGGCATTCAGAGCCTCGACAGCGAGTTTAGCGGCGTCCTTCTCCAGCAGCACAAGCTACAATTACAGCATAAGCAGAGGTTAGGGCCATGTTCACATAATACAGACTAACGACGGAGCAAGGTTCTGCGTAGCTGCCGGGCCATACGAATGGCTGACTGACGTAGTACACGAGGACCGGTACGGCAGGTGCTATGAATGGGATGATTTAACACCAGCAACGCGGAAACGTACTTTATAACGGACTGGGTATCTGTGGAACGAGGCTTGGTGTCCTTCGAGGTATATAGGTGGGCCTTGGCGTCGAACGTCGTCGCCATCCCTACCGTGGCGATCGGCCATACCGGCCTTCTCAGGTCCTCACAATGGCACTGAAGTTCAATACACTGGTCGTTGGGTTGATTCTGGTGTTTGCGACGTGCTGCGCTGCAGGTACGGGTAGCTAATTACCGCTCGTCGGACGTATGTCCGGTCATGGCTACCACAAATAGCATAGCATTGCCCCTACTTTTATAGTTTGCTCTATTTACATTTGGGTCGATTTCGCTCCAGTTGACACTGCACCAATACTGGTTCATATCGAACATACTTCCGGTTATAATTCTTGCCCCGTTCCGCGTCCCAAACAGATGCCGGTCACGCCGACAAGAAGAACGGAGCTAAACCTCCAAAGCCCTTTGATCCGCCTAGGCCTCCTAGAAGTCCTGTGGAGCCCCCAAAACCTCCGCGAAGCCCTGGGCATCCGCAGCATCCTGTTGAGTCCAGGCCCCCACGGCCACCTACGGAACTGTTGCCGCCCCGCCCTGCTAAGAGTTCCGAGCATGAAGAAAAGGAAGGCAAGAAGGGCCGCGGCCTGCGTAAGTAGGGGGTTGACTTGTGGACATCTGCGGAAGCCAGGACTTTGGTACACGACCTGAAGAGGCTACTAGTCGAATTAGGGTATGGACTAAGGACCGTGAAGCCCGCGCTTCCCCGCGATTACAGCGCCAAGTCACGTCTCAGTAATGCATTGTCCTTGCTGTGAATTCCGAGGCTGCTCGAGATCAGTGTTTAAAAGCCAACCTTCCGTCACGCACTTCCATAGCAACAATCCCATAATACTGCGTTTTCCTTCCTCGCTTCGCCTTGCAGTTGAGTCCTCTGGCAAGGGCCACAAGAACGGCAAGTCCCCCAGCGTTGCTGAGCCCCCCAAGCCGCCCAAGAGCCCTGAGCAGCCCGAGGATGACCTGAAGCCCCCTCGCCCGGCGGAGTCCCCCAAGGCTGGCAACAAGAAAAGCCGCAAGCTGCGTAAGTCGGCCGTCGTGAGGTTTCGGGGCCCTGCTTAGCCTGGAGTGCTAAGGGTTCGTAAATGAGGCACCTCAGCTGTATGATGTGGCTAGAAGTCTGTCACTCAAAACCCTGTGTTATGGTCTTTCCGTCTGTCAGCTAGTCCTACGTTGACTAACGCTGCACCAATCGCCCATGCCGCTCCTGCCACAGTGTCATCCAAGAGCCCTTCGCCTGCCAAGAGCCCTTCGCCCGCCAAGAGCCCGAAGCCGCCCAGCCCCAGTCCCCCGCCGCCCAAGCCTCCCAAGTCACCGCACTCGCCCGAGCCGCCCAGCCCCAGCCCCAAGCCGCCCAAGTCGCCCAGCAAGCCCCCAAAGTCGCCCGAGCCCCCGAAGTCCCCAAAGCCCAGTCCCAGGCCTCCCAAGTCGCCTGAGCCGCCCAAATCGCCCAACAAGCCTCCCTTTTTTAGGGCGCCGAAGCCACCTAGCCCTAGCCGCAAGCCCCCTAGCCCCAAGCCTAGCCCTAAGCACCGTAACGTGAGTATTTCTGGGGCAGTGGGCTGCACCTATCTAGGGCTTTGGATGTCACGTATTGCTCCTTGCTCCTGTTGCTTTACCTGTTATTACAGTTCCTCGGTGGAAAGGTGAAACCAACCTAAGTATCATGCATTCATCAATATCCCCTTTCCCCTGTGCAGTGAACTCCCGACCCCATAAGCAAAGGTCCAAGGCAATAAGGCAATCACGCGGCGGCAACGTGGCTTCCGCCCGCCTTCCGAAATACAGTCCCGTTGTTGTTGTCTAGACTCCCGTGCATGTCCGGCGTGTTTACAGTGAACCCTGGCAAGGCGTGAGCGTGCATACTTAGTCCGCCTGTGAGCAGGTTTTGTTAACTGTGGATAACGGTTATGTCCTCCGCATTAAAGCACTAGTCTGTGCATGCCAGGTGCCTAAGAAGGGTCCCGGCTGGTGATGTTGTTGCAGGGTATTCATGCGTATGCACTGTCCTTAACGAGCCGATTATATCCGGTTACCTATCTTACCCCGTAAACTGCGCAGTTATGGTCAGTTATCTGGTTCAGGCAGGTAGCAATCACCTCCTAGGATGTAGTTACATTGTGGGCGTGATCTTCTCAATCTGCCGGTTTGCATCTTGATTGGAGTCAGCTACGCATGCATGGTGCCGAGCATGTGTTGATGGATGTTGTTTCCACTGAGGCAGCAGGAACTCATTATTTCAGTGTAGGGTAGAGTTCACTACCTACCGTACCCGTGTACTCTCCAGGATCGACTGTAACAGCCATTCATTCATGGATTAACCCAGAAGTGATGTGGCCTGTAGCCTATGCACCACATGACGTGCCCTGTCATGCCTACCCCGGGGTAAGCGTAGGGCCAGAAAGCGGTTGTGCAGTCATGCAAGGCAACATCCGGTGTTGTACATGGTCGAGCTCAGGTTCATGAACCTACGATACACGGTAGACTGGGTGGTAACTTATTCCCCGGGTGGAAGCGATTTTGGTTGTCATGGTAGCGTTATGCGTAGAAAACCTTTATGGAGATTTATGGAAGCAAGGGTCGGAGCAGGTCAGCAAAGACGCGGTGACCGGTAGGCCAGATACCACAGAGCAGATTCCAATCATTCCATATGCCGTAAAAAAACTACCGGAATTCAAAAATAACAGGTCGGGATTGGTTATCCGTGTAGACCGCGAAATAAGGCGTTCAGCGACAGCCGCGTAGTTTCCGAAGCTGCCATCAAGACGGCTAGTAGCGATAGACCGCCTAGGGTCCGCAGACCTCCTTTAACACCTCTTTGCACCTAAGCCTCCGAACCTAGCTGTGCAATTAGTCACAGCAAGTTGTTAGTTTCGCCTTCGCGACGTGCAATAACAAGGATTCCGAGCTTTGCTCTACTGTCTAAAGCCTCATCATACGATGCGAGGTCTCCACGAGGCGGCAAACAAAGGCAAGCCAAGCCTAGGTAGAAATGTTACAGCTTACTTATACCAGGGCCTCTTGTGCATACACATAAAAACCCGGGCCAACTGACTTGCGTATTTACAGTATGTATGTATGGATTAAAAGCTTCGTACCGAGCTCGTAAGATCCGTCCGAGCCAAAAGGCTCATGAATCGCGAGCACAACGCGAAGAACAAACAATCTGACTTGCAATCTGCGACGCGCCCACCACTGCCGTACAACTGCTCATCAGCTGATGTACATAAGTGTAAGTGTTCAACATAGATGTATAGCCAATCTCTGGCTTGTGCACGGAGCAGTCGGCGGCGAGCCTTCCCGAAAGGCTAAATATCGTCGAACAGCTCTTTGCACCAACCACGCCTCCTTTAGCTAGCATTACATTGGTGTGGACCTGCACACCATTTTATGTACGGTTGTTAAGACGTCACACCTCTTGCTACCTGGTTTAACACCGAAACTGATAAGAATGGGCGGCCGATGGGCGCTGAGCGCCCTTGCAGTCGTCTTGCTGGTGTCACATGCATCGGCAGGTAAGTGCCATACGGTTTCTAATCCTCTCTGCTTTGTGCGGGAATTCAGGCTCGGTTTTTATGCTTGGTGTTGTAAGGCTTGTAACCCCAAGCAACCGCTGGCTCCACGCCAGTAACGCTATGCTTAATCGACAATGTTGCATACTTTAGAGGCATTCTAATATCAAACGATCATGAGATGTCTTACTCTTCGTCCCGGGTTACTTCTGTTACCGGATATCCTCCTAGTGCCCCGAAGCTTGAAACACTATTCTGTCCGCGCTTTAACTTATATCTGCTTATTATGTTGTCACGCAGCTGGCTTCAATGTGTGGCTGTACAACAACTCCGCTGTTGTTGCTGGTACCACTCGTGTCAGCCTTATCTCTGAGAACATTAAGTACTTCGCGAATGGCAGCGTGGTGAAGCAGACCTCGTCTCAGCCCACTCTTTCGGGTTCTGCTGGCTACGTAATTCCAGGCAACAAGGTACGACCCGCCCATATGTTGGTTTAAGAACGTTCGCTTCCGCTTGCTGTCCGCCTTGCAACTGCTTCCGTCAATTGCTTCCGTCAATTGCTTCCGTCAACATCTACCCTCATGCAACTCGATCGATCTAACGTTATGACCAGGTACTAATTCACGCCCTCCTCAACCCCATCCTGAGCTCTTCCCTTTGCCAAGTGCCTGCACGGTTGCAAACCTGCGTTTCGCACCCCCTATCGCTCCTCGTTCCTTCAACACCTCCGTTCCTGCCCCCTCCCAGGCCTCCTACTACGTCACCGAGTTGCTTGCCTCCTCACCGGGCAAGCTCACCGCCCTGACCAACTGGGTCAAGGCGGGCGGCGCGCTCGTCCTGTTGGATGGAGCCGCTTCCGACAACTTCTTCCCGCTGATCAGCGCGGTGCTGGGCTGGGACCCGGTCTGCAAGGCGGTCAACATCACTGCCGACACTGATGTGCAGAAGCGTGTCAGCACCGGCTACTTTGCCGCCCTGAGCGCCAAGACCAAGGTGAGCAGCAGGGCTACTGTTATGGGTGACCGGCACGGAGACTGTGCGGTTGACCGGCACGGACACGCACAGTGCTTCTGGGGTGTGTTTGGGCGTCGTAGGCCATGCAAGGGGCTGTACGTAAGCATGCACGGGAGGGCGAGCTGGCGCGTGGTGGGGGTCTAACGCACACAGTGCTGCAGTGCATCATTCATGGTTTGTGGCGCGGCCAGTGCAATGACGCCAGTGCGGCCCTTATCCTTGGCACGCTTGTCCCTGCACGCCCCTGCTGTCGTCTGCGTGCAGGGAGTCGCTACCACATTGCACCTCACCCCACACCCCACACAGGGCCCTTCCACTCCCTTGCCTGTATACCCCTTTGCACCCTCAACCCCCCTTGCTTAGCATCCCCCACACCCAACCCTGCTGCCCCCCACAGGTCAGGCGCAACCAGGGCCTCTCCGCCATCAAGTGCGCCAAGGGGCAGCCCATCTACTCGTGGTTCAAGGGCGGCGTGCAGTTCTCCACCTCCATGACCTGGTCGCTGGGCAGCGGCGCCGTCTACTGGGTGGGCTCCTCCTTCCAGGTGCCGCACCTGTACGGCTTCCAGGAGGTGAGGCAGGCGGAGGCGGGTGCGCCGGGAGTGTGGGGCCCTGGGGGAGGTGCTGCACTTGGACGGAGGGGCGGGTTGAGTGATGCCGGCGTTGTTTCCCCCCGAGGTTAGCAGGATTGCGGGTGGACGTTGTGGCTCCGGAAACCTTGCAAGGACCTCGCAAGAAGTCCTGAGGTTTAGGTTTGGGGTACCCGTAAAATTTCTTGGTCGTCTACGTGTGTAAGGCCTTCTGTTGGGTCGACTGGAGGCTCGGCACGGTTGCGCTGGCCCTCGCTGCAAGTAAAGCGCTGCCCCGGACGCATCTGCACACCTCTTGTCCCCCAGGTTGTGGGTGCTGCCATCCTTACGTCCGCAAACGCCGCCCCCGCGAGCCCCTCGCCCAGCCCCGTCCCCTCGCCGTCGCCCTCGCCCAAGCCCAGCCCCTCGCCTTCCCCTAAGCCCAGCCCGTCTCCGTCGCCCAAGCCTAGCCCTTCTCCCAGCCCCTCGCCCAAGCCGAGCCCTTCTCCCAGCCCCGTCCCTTCCCCGTCGCCATCTCCATCGCCGAGCCCCTCGCCCTCGCCCAGCCCAAGCCCCTCCCCGAGCCCCTCGCCCTCGCCCAGCCCAAGCCCCTCCCCGAGCCCCTCGCCCAGCAGCCCAAGCCCGTCGCCAACTCCTTCTCCTGACCCTGTCCCGTCACCCGAGGTAGCTGTACACTCGCCCCCTCCTCCTCCTCCCCCTCCGTCTCCTCCTCCGCCCCCTCCGCCGTCCCCTCCACCACCACCGCCTCCCTCCCCTCCTCCTCCGTCCCCGCCTCCCCCCTCCCCTCCTCCTCCGTCCCCGCCTCCCCCCTCTCCTCCTCCTCCGTCCTCTCCTCCCCCTCCATCTCCTCCTCCCCCTTCCCCCCCTCCTCCTCCCCCTCCCTCCCCTCCCCCTCCCTCCCCTCCTCCTCCCTCGCCGCCTCCCCCCTCACCGCCTCCCCCCTCGCCGCCTCCCCCCTCGCCGCCTCCCCCCTCGCCGCCTCCCTCATCTCCGCCACCACCACCTCCCAAGCTGCTCAGCCCGCCCCCCAACACCAAGCCCCCGCCCCCAGCTGGCAGGAGGAAGTCCCCGCCGCCCCCGGTGGAGGCGCCTCCCCCTGAGGACCTCGCTCCCCCACCTAACGACTTCCCTCCCCCCGATGATGGAATGTAAACCACCTGGCAACGTGTTTGGGACGGTACAGCACAGTTGACATCACCTCCCGCCTCGCGTCCCGCTGCAGTGTGTTCTTCGTATTGAACTGAGCCATACCCGCGTGCGCACAATAAATTGTCCGTTTTCGTTGGCACCGTCTGGCATTGCGCTTGGGTTGATACAGCGTTTACGCTGTATCATAATTGACCCATGGTTGGACAACGTGATCCAAAATAACGTTAACGCACGCTTGGCTCGTTAATACCAGCTGGGTAGCGATACGGGTTCTCTGATGTCGCTGAAATGTGCAGTGCTGGCGTGTCTCTTGACAGTTATTTGAGACGCCAAGCGGGACTGGCGCCGCCATGTGCCACCATGCAGGATGATGTGAAGCGCTTGTGGGCTTGTAAATTGATCAGTGTCTGCCCTATAACTGACTTTTTCGATGGTGGTGTCTGACCGCTGGCTTGCTTGCTCCTACTCGGCGTCGCCCTCTCGGCACCAGCTAGAGTTGCATGCAAGGAATGACGCATGGTTGCTGCTGCTGATTCATGGTTGCCTTGCGGGTTGCCTTCACGCGCATACGATTGCATGCACGTGGAGTGCTTTCATGTGCTTTCGTGGCAACTTTAGTGGTTCAGTGGTACATGAAAAGGGACTTGTTTAGACGGATATATCCGTCAGGATATGCTGAGCCAGAACTCCTCATTCGGATTATGCTCCGAGTCCAGTTTTTTGTGCAAATGTCAGAATATGAACCGATTCCGGATACCGAACAACGACCTGGCAACAGGTGACCCATGGGTTGGCTGCTGCCCTCATTATCTAGACATGCGTGCGTGTGCGACTTCCTGGTTTCTGTAGCAAGCAGTCGTAGGCTGTCAACCAACAACATTACATCTATAGCATGTACGCACCATTAGTACAAATAAAGCATTGCGGCGGGATCGGTACGGTGCTGCAAATGCCAACAATGGAATGTGTAACCGAAACACGCATGGCACGTCGCTGGGTTACGGCCAGGTCTGCATTTCCGCACCTCTTGCAGACAGCCATCATCGCTCAGCACTGCCACGCAGGTGTCATTGTTGACATACGTCTGTACGGCGCGGACTGTACCTAAACACGCACGCATGACGACTCGATACAGTGCAACACACCTAAACGTCACAACCGGATTTCCAATACCCAATGTGTTTAACTACACTCAAATGCTGTTTGACAGGGTCTGACACGCCATGCAAATCCTAGCAACCAAAGCAGCAATGCCCACGAGGCGAGCTCACGGCCTGTACAACATGAATCACATGCAATGGCATGACGTGAATTCTCCTAATCCCTGCTGGCTCCGCCGCCGCTGCAAGAATGCTGCTGCACATGCACGCAAGGATTCCCCACCTCACCAGCAGCTACGATACCCGTTGGGGTAACTAGCCATGAATAGCCAAAAACCTTTTCGCAGGAAAAACAATAAGGAGGGCACTATGTGTACGGGTGCACATGGCTAGTACTGCATCATCCCGGGTGCTTTCTTCAAGAAACAACGAAACACAAGAGACAGTGACCACCTAACGTGCAGCTACAGAAAGGATGAAACAGAGAGAGAAAGCGCACTACAATACAGAGCATCACTGGACCAGGTCTAGCGCGTTGGCTCGTCCGGGGCGCCATCTGGAGGCGGCCAGTACTCCCAGCTGGGTGGCGGATAGAACAGGTCTCCCAGGTCGTAGATGGTCATGGCGCTGTCGCTCCCGCACGCGTTGCGACTATACCTGTGGACCGCAGGGAGGGGCGCGGGGCTTACTTGGCAGGTCTGGCAGTCAGCATCAGGAAATGCAACCAGACAACCAGACATCCTCTGTCCCCCGTTTGCTTGTTACTGTGAGCCGCGCTGGGACCCTTTGCACCAAGCAACCGGCCCAAGCAGACCCCGCGCCACTGTTCATCCGAGAAGAAGCGGTGTTGTATCCTCAAAGGAGGAAGCATGTAGGACGTGGCCTTTCCCGCTCACACACCACCTCGCATGGGAAGCCACGTGCGGGCTCCTAACCCCCTTCCCCTGTTACCACGCAAGGCGGCTTCTTCCTCAAGTCGTCTCGGTTTACGGTAAGCAACGCTTCGGTAAGTAATTTGAGATGCGTGTCTTTAGAATAGTGTCTACGAATGCGCTCACTGCATGAGTCGGGATATGGGATTGGGACTCGTTGTTTCACATAAATTAATTTTTTCCCCCGCCCTGACAAAAAGGCACGCATGCTTACTGGAAGGCAACACAAGGCGCGCACGCCGTGTCGGGCAGCTGGAAGCCCGGCACCAGCGAGTTCAGTCCGTAGCACCTGCAGGCGGCCGCACAGCCGTACAGCGCGGGTGACAGTGGCATGCGGCCCTGTAAGCTACGAAAAGGCGTAACTGCAGATGTCACGATCGCGAGTGCGCGGGCTTACAGGCCCGACAAGAAACGACAAGAAACGGTTGCCCAGTTGGACGCGTGCACCCGGGTAACCCCACGTAACACAGCACTGCCGCAAGAACAGGACTGCGCCAACGTGCGCCGCTGCGCTGAAACCCTGCACCCGGGTACCCGGGTTGGGGTCAGCCGGGGGCAGCTCCACTCACTTGCGGCCAGCCACGATGCCCACGTACATGTAGCCCGCCTCCCGCACCGCCACCTCGCACTGGTGCGGGTTGAAGTTCTTGGCCAGGTCGGTGGTGGGGCCGGGGAAGAGCTTGAAGTCGTACTTCCTCTGGTTGGCGGCGCTGAGGCCCGGGAACATGAAGCAGCCCTCGGGCCGGCCGAAGTGGAGCAGGCCTGGGAGGGGGCCGGGGAGGGTGAGGGAGGAGGGTGTGAAGGCATGCAGGCGTGTGTATGAAGGAGGAGGGTAACCGTGTGACAGGGTTGCATGCCGGATTGCGTGCTGGCCATGCAGGTGGGGGTCGGGAGGGGCAGCAGGAGAGGAGGCAAGGTGGGCGTCAAGGGCGGATGCGATGCATGTCAGGAAGGAGTGGGGAGTCCCAAGAGGCGCTGAGCAGCAGCTGCCTGCTTCATGCGGCACGAGGGAGCTGCCCGGGGGGTTCATGCGGGGTGCGCTTGCAGGGGGGGCAGGGGGGGGGGCAGCAGACGGGGTCAGCTCACCTTGAGGGCTGGGAGGTGGTGGTGAAGGTGAGGGGGGCGGGGGGCGGGGTGAGGGCGGAGGGAGGCGAGGGGGTCGGGGAGAGGGAGGGCGAGGTGGAGAGGGGCGGGGTGAGGGCGGAGAGGGGGGCTGGGGCGGGCGAGGAGGAGGCGGGCTGGGCGGCGGCGGACTGGGCGGTGGTGGGCTGGGGGGTAGCGAAGGCGGCGGGGGCGGGGGGGGTGGCGGCCTGGGCGGCGGCGGGCTAGGAGGAGAAGGGCTGGGCGGAGGCGGGCTGGGAGGTGGTGGGTTGGGCGGTGGCGGGCTAGGGGGTGGAGGGTTAGGTGGTGGCGGGCTGGGAGGAGGCGGGCTGGGAGGTGGTGGGTTGGGTGGCGGCGGGCTAGGGGGTGGAGGGTTGGGTGGGGGCGGGCTGGGAGGAGGGGGTCTAGGAGGGGGAGGCGGCGGCGGGCTGGGAGGTGGCGGTGGAGGCGGGCTTGGCGGCGGTGGAGGAGGCGGATTAGGAGGTGGGGGAGGAGGTGGGCTGGGAGGGGGTGGCGGCGGCGGGCTGGGAGGTGGTGGGTTGGGTGGCGGCGGGCTGGGAGGAGGGCTGGGAGGTGGCGGTGGAGGCGGGCTTGGCGGCGGTGGCGGCGGCGGGCTTGGAGGAGGGGGCGGCGGCGGGCTAGGAGGTGGGCTGGGAGGATTAGGGGGTGGAGGGTTGGGTGGAGGCGGACTGGGAGGAGGTGGGCTGGGAGGAGGGGGCGGCGGCGGGCTAGGAGGAGGAGGGGGAGGCGGGGGCGGTGGCGGAGGCGGGCTGGGAGGAGGGGGCGGAGGCGGGCTGGGAGGTGGGGGTGGGGGCGGCGGCGATGGGGGCGGCGGCGGCGGCGGAGGCGGAGGCGGGGGAGGTGTTGGCGGGGGAGGTGATGGAGGGGAAGGGGGAGGCGACAGCGGAGGTGGTGGGGGTGGCGGAGGCGGCGGAGGCGGGGGAACAGGCGCGAAAGGGGGAGGCGGTGGCGGGGGTGACAGAAGCGGCATGGAGGGGCCGGCGGGTGGTGGGCTGAGGCTGGGTGGCTCGGTTGGGCTGGTCCTGTAGGTCGGCGGTTGAAGTGGGGGCCGCAGGGAGTAGGTGCCAGGCGGGGGGGAGCTGCCATAGGCCTCATTTGGCTCCTCTAAGAAGGGCGGGGGCGACGCGGTTGGGTACCCAGGGCCATTGCCACCCCACTGTGAGGGAAGGCTGGGGTACTCGTAGCCATACGGGCCTTGGGCGCCTGCGAGCAAGGGAGGAAAGTGGGGATAGCAGACAAGGCAGATGCGAAGGTAGGGCAGGGGCTGAAGGTATGCGTGGGCTCCTGGGGTCTATTGGAGGACAGAAGGCCGGAATGAAACGTGTCGGGACATACTAGAGGTTATGCAAGAATCAGGGCTGGAATCTGCTTGGTGAGACAGAGGCTTCTTCAGGGGAGGGATGGAGGAATGGTGATTCCAGCGGGTAAGCGGTGGTTGTAAATAATGTCCAGACACACTGAGCCACAATCAGTTATGATTGCAAGGTTTAGTCAGCCTGGTTTCAACAGGGTGGAACACCAAAGCTGTGGCTTGGTCGAATGCCATTGGCAAGGCTTGTCGACATAAGCCAAGGACCAAGACGCCCGAAGTTTCGGAGGCATACTTTTCCCTTGATTAAGAGGTATTCGTGTGAAGCAATTGCCGAATTGATGGAGAAATTTGATGTAGCCACAATTGGCGCCAAGGAGTCCGCGCGGCCCCCTTTCCCTGAACCCACCAGCAGCAAATGATTGCGCCAAGCCTGCAATAATTACAAAGAGCACGGCGCAGCAGATAACACCTTGCCGTGCCTGCGGCCGCGGCAACATAGTGCCGAGGACCTAGCAGATACTAATGACAAGCTATTGGTACTGGCATGCGTGGTAAACTGCAGACAAAAAAATCTACTACTAAGCGACATGCAAAAAATTCTAGCTCTTTAAGGCCGGTTGTATATGGTTGCCACGGTTATCGGTTAAACCGATTGAAAATGGCGGTATAAGTCTACAGGCTCAATAGGCCATGTCTGCTTGTAGCTTCCATGGACTGCAGAAAGTGTTTGCTGTTTGAACATTTCTTTCGTAGAGTCCCTTCAACCAGGTCGTGTGACCAAGTCCGCAGCCATCCCGGCGTAAGCAGCAAGTGATGATGCTATTCGGTAATCACGTAATGATTTGAGCAAGACTCAACTCGTTTCAAGGGCCATTTGTCGCGTCTTCCACATCTCTGCCGCATCTATGGCTGTCCACCCGCGATGGCAATGGCGAAGCATGGAGGCTGCTGGAACTGGCAACAGCGGCCGCACGGCCATCTAGGAGTTGCGTTTTCTTCTTTTCATATATTTCTCTCCAATCGGCCTTTACTTATAGCAGTCAAGGTGCACCTTCCCGGGGAGATGTGGTCCTTTATGAGTACTCCGGCCGTTACGAAGCAGTATGGACTGCCTTGGTCATCCCGGGCAGCAGCTTTGGCGTAACATGCCAAAAGGCAACCATCCACTAGAGCATTTTGCCAATTGCAGTATCACTCGTGCATGACACCTTGACCGCATCAACCAGGTTAGGGCCTACTCCACTTGCATCTCGCCTACTCGCACGCCAGCCAGCCGACGCGCCCCGTCATACTGTCCTTCGTGCTAACTGAAGCACGGCTACGACGCCACGTAAAACCTCCCAACAGTCTGGCAACCCGCAACATGCCTAGGGCTATCCTCGCCTATTCTAGCCCTGTAGTGCCCCCATCCCAATGGGTCTGCGCTCAACACTGAAGGCCTTCCATTGACCGCACACTTGCCCCGTTGGTAGCCCTGCCCTCTCCTCCCTTCGCGCCGACCCGCTGCTCTGCACGGCTCAGTAGCTCAGCAACATGAAGATGCCCCCAAACCCCGTCTATTCCAGCGACCATACCAACGACAACTCCACTCGGCTTCTCGCTTGTAGCTTGTTCGTGGCTTCCGCCGCTGCTTTCCCAGCCGCCCTTCCCCCCCGCCGCGCCTCTCTTCACGGCCTGCCCCGGTACCTCAGCAGCAGGAAGGTGGAGGCCAGGAAGAAGCACATCAGCAGCAGCAGGCCAGCCACGTCAGCCAGCCAGGCGTCCGTACGGAATCCAAACGTCTGTACGGCAGCACAGGAGGGGGACGCCATGGCCAGAGCTTCGATCGTGTGTGGCAAGCAGTAAAGTGTTACAAGAAGACGATAACCGGGCAGACGAGCTGCAACACTGAACCCTCGCTGGACCCGGGGCTCGTTCAAGCTTAAAAACCGTTTCACGCCCGCGCTTCCTCCCACCCTCCCCCCTCCGTAAAACCCGCTGCCAGGTCCGGCCCCACCTGCAGCACCTCGTCTCCCGTGACGTCCACGTACGGCACCTGGCAGCCGGGGTGGGGTGGGGTTGCAGGAGGCGGCGGGAGCGTTAGGCTGTCATGCGGGCACACGGCGACAAGGGGGACAGCGGTCCCTTGCGACCACCACCACCCCCTGCTCCGCCCGCTCCCTGATCAGCCGCACACATGCATCCCGGGGCCACGCACGTCACGGGTCGCTGCCTCCAACTCCGCGTCTCGGTGGGTCGTGTGTCGGGCATTAGGCAGAGCGTTCGCCTGCTGTAGGGTCCTTTCCTTGCACCTCACCTTGCAACACCCCTCCATTACACCCAGTAAACCCAAATAACGAACCCAACTCCCACTCCACCCCCCAGCTCCCCCCCAGCTCCCGCCCCCTGCCGCCCACCTGGTCCGGCGGGGTGCCCGGCTGGTGGAAGCCGGTGAAGCGGAAGCCGGTGGCGCCCCCGAACTCGCCGATCAGCAGCGCCTCGAACGCGTAGCTGGCGGGGGGGGAGGGGGGGCAGGGGGGAAATTACATAAGAAATGCATTGGACAAGGGTGCGACAGGGTTGGTGGCCAGGGATGTGGGAGAGGCGCAGGAAAAGGGCATGGTTGCGGCCCGGCTGGGCCCAGTCACAAGGCGCCACAGCAGGGCGCGCATCCCGGTATTGCGCGCACACCAGCCCTCCTCCGCACGCCTCAGCAGCACCAGAAGGGCCCTCAACTCCGGGCCTCAACTCTGAGCTTGAACTCCCCGCGCCCCCCAGTCCTAACCAAGCCCACCGCAGTCCACGCGCCCTCTCTTTCCCCTTTCCTAACCCCCCCTTCCCGCCCCCCCCCGCCTCACCGCACGTACGACAGGTCCGCCAGCCAGGCCACCAGCCGGGGCATGCGGCTGCGACTGAGCAGGAAGCCGCCGAACAGCGATGAGGCCAGCACGCACAAGCTGCCCACCTGCGGGGGGAGGTGCGGGGCGGGGCGGCAGGAATGAGGGCGGTGGAGGCACGCGTGGAGGCCAGGACGTACAGTCCCCTCCCCTGCCCTCCCCTGCCCTGCCCTCCCCTTCCCTGCCCTACCATGTTCGCCAGCGACACGGAGCCCACCGCCGCCCCCACCGACATGTTGGCGGCCGCCGCGGTGATGTTAGCGGCCACCAGCACCGCCCAGTGGCACAACACAGCTGCGGGGGGGGGAGAGGGGGGGAGAGGGGGTGAGCGGGTGGGGTCACAGACCTAACGCATGGGTGGGATAGGCGTCCAAGGCATGATATGGGCGCAGCCGCTCTGAAGGGAAGGTAGGATGGGGGCACCGCACAAGCATGACCCCACCCTGCCCAGGAGGTCCCAGCGCCGTAGACCGCAAGGGAGCCCTGCTCCCGGCGCTGCGCAGCTGTCCGGCCCCTCACCCCGCACACCCCGCGGCGCCCACCTGCCCGGTGCCGCCACCCCGCACCGCACCACACGGCGGGAGCCCACCACGGCAGCGCTGCCCCCCACCCAGCGCTACCCCCCACCCCTGTCCCCCGCCCCCCTACCTGCCGGTGTGGCCCTCAGTCCGATCATGCCGTAGCTGATGACGCTGAACAGCGCGGGCGGCAGCACCCGCAGCGGCAGCAGGTCCCACAACACCACGGAGGTGAAGTAGGCGGCTGGGGGGGGGGGGAGAGGGGGGCAGGTGGGGGGGAGGGGGCGGAAGGGAATGCAATAAGAAATAAGGGATGCGCACTGTCCCAGGACGACGAGGCTACCCCCCCGCTGCAGCCACCCCCCCGCTGCGGCCACCCCCCCCCACTGCAGCCACACCCCCCGCTGCGGCCACCCCCCCCCGCTGCGGCCACCCCCCCCCGCTGCGGCCACCCCCCCCCGCTGCGGCCACCCCCCCCCGCTGCGGCCACCCCCCCCCGCTGCGGCCACCCCCCCCCGCTGCGGCCACCCCCCCCCGCTGCGGCCACCCCCCCCCGCTGCGGCCACCCCCCCCCGCTGCGGCCACCCCCCCCCGCTGCGGCCACCCCCCCCCGCTGCGGCCACCCCCCCCCGCTGCGGCCACCCCCCCCCGCTGCGGCCACCCCCCCCCGCTGCGGCCACCCCCCCCCGCTGCGGCCACCCCCCCCCGCTGCGGCCACCCCCCCCCGCTGCGGCCACCCCCCCCCGCTGCGGCCGCGCTGCCCTCCCTCACCCGTGCCGTACACCCCGCTAGCCCGCTCCCGCATGAACAGCAGCGCCTCGTCCCGCCACACGGGCAGCGAGGAGAGCGACAGCAGCGCCAGGAACAGCAGCTGGAAGAACAGCGAGCCGAAGCGGTCCTGTGGGGGTGGGGGGGATGTGAGGGGGTTTGTGAAGATGGATAGTCAGGAGGGAGGGGCGAGGAGAGGAGATTGCGGAAGCGTTACGTCGGGGCAGCTAGCAGAGGCCGCTACAGCCCTTACCGCCTGCTAAGGGAGCAGGGCTCGTCCGCTCTACTATGAACGATGCTGCTTGTAAGGTGCCTGAACCCATGCATGTGCCCCAGCAGGCACAGGAAAGCCCTGCACGCGCCATCCACCTGCCCGACCGCACACCACTTCTCCCCCCCGGCCAACTGCCCGACCGCATGCCCTCCTACCCTACCTGGCTGCCCGAGCATTCCCCCACCGCAAGCCCAGATACCGGCACTACGCCAGTCCTCCCGCGCCACCCCTTTCCACACCCCTGACTCCACAAAACCACACCACCACACACCACCACACACCACCAGCGCCCCCCCCCCCCACCTGAATGCCGCCCGTGTCCCGCCCCGTGTGCCAGTAGATGGCCCCCACCCCCAGCGCCATGAGACCCGTGGCCAGGAAGTGCAGCGCCACCAGCATGGGGTGCCGTACCAGCCCACTGGCGCGGCGGCGGCTGAGTACGGCAACCTGGTGGCGGAAGGAGCTCTCGTACTTGCGCAGCGCCGCCAGGGCCTGGGGGGAGGGGAGGGGGGGGGAGGGGCGGGGGGGGAGGAGGAGGGAGGAGGGGCGCTCGTGAGTATCCGGATGTATGGAATGCTTACGAGGTAAGGGAGGGTAAGGAGGACAGGACAGGAAGGGAAGCAAGCACGGATGGATGGATTAACCCGAACACCATCCAGAACTGTATACATACGTGCTGCCAACCGCACGTGCGCGCATGCGTGTCCGTACACCCCTGCCCCCACCCCCGCCCCCTCCCCACCTGCGCCCCCGCCCGCGCCCCCGCCCCCTCCCCACCTGCGCCCCCGCCCGCGCCCCCGCCCCCTCCCCACCTGCGCCCCCGCCCGCGCCCCCTCCCCACCTGCGCCCGCGCCCCCGCCCCCTCCCCACCTGCGCCCCCGCCCCCGCCCCCTCCCCACCTGCGCCCGCGCCCCCGCCCCCTCCCCACCTGCGCCCGCGCCCCCGCCCCCTCCCCACCTGCGCCCGCGCCCCCGCCCCCTCCCCACCTGCGCCCGCGCCCGCGCCCCCGCCCCCTCCCCACCTGCGCCCCCGCCCGCGCCCCCGCCCCCTCCCCACCTGCGCCCCCGCCCGCGCCCCCTCCCCACCTGCGCCCGCGCCCCCGCCCCCTCCCCACCTGCGCCCCCGCCCCCGCCCCCTCCCCACCTGCGCCCGCGCCCCCGCCCCCTCCCCACCTGCGCCCGCGCCCCCGCCCCCTCCCCACCTGCGCCCGCGCCCCCGCCCCCTCCCCACCTGCGCCCGCGCCCCCGCCCCCTCCCCACCTGCGCCCCCGCCCGCGCCCCCGCCCCCTCCCCACCTGCGCCCCCGCCCGCGCCCCCGCCCCCTCCCCACCTGCGCCCCCGCCCGCGCCCCCGCCCCCTCCCCACCTGCGCCCGCGCCCCCGCCCCCTCCCCACCTGCGCCCGCGCCCCCGCCCCCTCCCCACCTGCGCCCGCGCCCCCGCCCCCTCCCCACCTGCGCCCGCGCCCCCGCCCCCTCCCCACCTGCGCCCCCGCCCGCGCCCCCGCCCCCTCCCCGCCCGCGCCCCCGCCCCCTCCCCACCTGCGCCCCCGCCCGCGCCCCCGCCCCCTCCCCACCTGCGCCCCCGCCCGCGCCCCCTCCCCACCTGCGCCCGCGCCCCCGCCCCCTCCCCACCTGCGCCCGCGCCCCCGCCCCCTCCCCACCTGCGCCCGCGCCCCCGCCCCCTCCCCACCTGCGCCCGCGCCCCCGCCCCCTCCCCACCTGCGCCCGCGCCCCCGCCCCCTCCCCACCTGCGCCCCCGCCCCCGCCCCCTCCCCACCTGCGCCCCCGCCCGCGCCCCCGCCCCCTCCCCACCTGCGCCCCCGCCCGCGCCCCCGCCCCCTCCCCACCTGCGCCCCCGCCCGCGCCCCCGCCCCCTCCCCACCTGCGCCCCCGCCCGCGCCCCCGCCCCCTCCCCACCTGCGCCCGCGCCCCCGCCCCCTCCCCACCTGCGCCCCCGCCCGCGCCCCCGCCCCCTCCCCACCTGCGCCCGCGCCCCCGCCCCCTCCCCACCTGCGCCCCCGCCCGCGCCCCCGCCCCCTCCCCACCTGCGCCCCCGCCCGCGCCCCCGCCCCCTCCCCACCTGCGCCCGCTGCGTGTGCAGCAGCGCGTCCCCCAGCTGCACCCGCGCCATCCACTCCGCGTCCTCCGCCGCCACCCGCCCGCCCCGCCAGCCCGCCACCAGCGCGGCCGCCTCGGAGGGGGGCGCGCGGATCACCAGGTCCAGCACGGCATCTGTGGGAAGGGGGGGCAGGGAGGGGAGGGGGCAGCGGACGTCGCATGGGCGAGCGCTGAATAGGTACGTCGGCGGTTTGAGAGCGAGCGTAGGGAGGTTGCTTAGGGCGGAACTGATTTGACAACACAGGAGGTATAGCGGCTGCGGTGGACTCTAGAGTGGTAACACGCGGGCTCAAGCGCCGCCCTGCCTGCCTCCCTCTCCTGGCACTCAACACATGAACGACAAGTCCACATGCGCAGCCCCGGACACCCCACACCCGTCTGCACGCGCCTCTGCAGGGCCCCACCCACCCACCCACCCGCCACCGCCGCCGAGTCCCGAGGTAGCTGGTAGCCCAGCGAGCTGAAGTGCTCGTGCATGCGACCCGTGGGTCCGGTGTACACCACCTGAGGGGGGGGGGTAAGGGGGGGGAGGAGGAGGAGGAGCGGAGGGGAGGGGGGCAGCATGGGACCGGTCAAGTCCCAGCCGTGCTGTACACGCGAGCGAGCGAGGCCGCCAGCACTGAGCTCATGCCGCAAGAGAGAGACGCAGCCCCCGAACTGACAGAACCGGGCGGTGTGCACGGGGTGTCGACACGCTGCCAGCAAACACACCGAACAGCGGCCAGCCGACGACGCACCCTCCCGTCCCCGCTCAGCAGCATCAGCCGGTCCATGCTCCTCAGCACATCGGGTCTCGGCTGGTGTATGCTGAGCGCCGTGTTGACTCCCCCCGCCGCCAGCCCCGCCAGCAGCTCCACCACCCTCGCCGCGTTGCTGGAGTCCAGCCCCGTGGTGGGCTCGTCCAGCAGCAGCAGACCCGGCCGCGTGAGCAGCTCAACGGCGATGGACACGCGCCGCTTCTCACCGCCTGAGACAAAGGGGGGGGAGAGGGGGGGGGGGAGAGGGGGGGGGAGAGGGGGGGGGGAGGGGGGGGGAAGACAGGGGGGAGACAGGTGGGGGGGGCAGCAGTGTGGGGGAGGGCAGCAGTGAAAGCATGACGAGACATGCAAGATAGCTGTGCGTGTTCGTTGCGCTATCGAGCTACAGGCTACTGGCAACATGCAAGGTCTAGCGCATGGGGACTCGGCAGGCAGACGAACAGCTTCAACCACCCCACAACCGCTGTCACATCTGCAAGTCATCACCGTGTACCCCTTCGCAAACACCCCGATACCCCTTCCTGACCCCTGCGCCCCCCTTCCCCCGCATCTCCCCCCCCCCACCTGACAGCCCCCGCACGAACTCGTCCCCAATCAGCCGGTGCGCCACCCGCCCCAGCCCCAGCTCCCCCACCACCGCCGCCACGCGGGCAGCAGCGGGCGAGCCCCGCCCGCAGCCCCGCGCCGCCAGCGCCGCCGGCAGCCGCAGCGCCGCGTGGAAGGTGAGGTACTCGGAGACGGTGGAGGTGCCGGGCAGCACAATCTCCTGGGGCACGTAGCCGCATACCTGGGTGGGGGGGGATGCGGGCATGCATGCGGACGTAAGGCGGGTGCCATACCGCACTAGCAGAGGCGGCGTGTGGCTACGGACTCCGGCTGGCCAGGGTATCGACCCAGACTCATGACCCCTACCAGGACGCAGGCGGCTGGAGCAGATAGTCCGACACGGCCCACATCCGCGCCCTGCGCCGCCTCGCCACCCCATGCGCGGGGGAGGCGGCATGCGTCCGTAGGCCGACACCTTTACCCAATCTTCCCAAAGTCCAATCCGTACCCCATACGCAACTCGCCTCCTCCCCCTCTCCGTCCCCCTCACCTTCCGCAGCTGCGCCGCCCCCACCCGGTGCCCGTTGATCCGGATCTCGCCGCTCACGCCGCCTGCCGTACCGTGTCGCCGCCCTGCCAGCACGTCCATCAGCGTGGTCTTGCCTGCAGCAGCGGGGGGGGGGGAAGAGGCTGACACTTATGGACGGTAATGGAAAAGCGCAATGAAAAGGTGGGATCCAACGTGCGAGCGGCGCGAACGCAGCACTGGGGGGGGTGCATGTGAGGCGACGGAGGTGGGAGGACAGGGACGGAGAGCAGGAGGAGGCGCAGACAGTGAAGGCGCTGGGACACATGCGGCTGGAGGAGGGGCTTCACATCAAGCGGGAGGGGTTCTTCACGAGAAGGCGGCGGCCTCCGCAGCTGGGCGGCGAGGGGCCACCTCCCTTGTGAACTCCTTTGAGACAGCCACTCCTCACACACGGCCCGGCGGCCCTCCACAGCCGCTCACTTCCCCTTCGCCCCTGCTCTCCCCACCGTCTCGTCCGCAAGCGGTACCGCACTGCACCCCACCACCGCCCCCTCACACGCCACCCGCCACGTCAAGCGCGTATGTCCGCATGCGCCTACCTGCGCCGCTGGGTCCTAATATGGCGAACAGGCAGCACCTGCCGCCCCCGCCCCCGCCACCACCGGCACCCTCGCCGCCAAGCGCTGCCGTCGCGGCGTCACCATGAGCACCGCCGCCGCCCCCGCCACTGACGACGACGCCACCGCTGCTGCTGCTGCGGCGGCGGCGCCACTTGGAAGGTGACGTCAGTCCCAGCCGCGCGAAGATGCCGCCAACGCCGGCGCTGCCGACGCCGGCACCGCTGCCAGCGGGTGCCATGGATAAGGGCTGTACGGCAGATGAGCTGCCGACGCCGCCGCCGCCGCCAGCAGCGGACATACCCGGCCAACCGGCTAGATGTACGACTGTTGAGCCCGTCGTTGCCCCAGCCGCCGCCGGCTCTGGCCCAATGCCGCCGCCGCTACCACCGCTGCCGTACGATCGGACCGCTGCTTGCGTCGCGGCTGACCCCTTGTCGCCACTGTACGGAGAACCACCGCTTGCTGCTGAAGGCGACACCGCCGCCGCGGCCGTCGCCGCCGCCGCCGCCGGGCCGCTGATGCCGCTGACGGACTGCAGTACATACCGCACCCTGCCCCGCCCCAGCGGCACCCGCACGGAGATGTTCTCCCAGGACAGCACCAACCCCGCCGCCAGCCCCGCGCCGCCGCCAGCAGCGGAGGCGGCGGGGGAGCCAAGTGCCGCCACGCCGCCGTGTAGCGGCGCCGCCGGCACCAGCGGCGCCAACACGCCCGGCGGCGGCAGTGACGCGGGCGCTGCGGCGGACGGCGGCAGCAGCGCCGCGATGTCTGCCGCGACCCCGCCTCCGCCTCCAGCCGTCATGCTGGCAGCTGGGCTCAGCACCGACCTCGCCTCATCCACCTCACGGTCCTCGTCATCGGATGCGGTAGCCGCAGCGGCAGCGGCGTCGGCGTCAGCTGGCTCCGACACAAGCAACGTGCGTTGGTCGTCGCCGGAAGTGGCTTCACCACCGCCGACTGCACCGCGGCGGAGGCGCCGGAGCCGGCTGGCCGCCGCCTTGGCAGCCCGCCGCGTGGCCGCTCCTCCCGCCTGCCAGGCTGCTCCGGCGCGCAGCAGCAGCCAGGCAACCGTACGGCCGGTGAAGTCCTCGAACTCATCCAGCAGAGTGTGACCTGACCCATGGGTCGCAACCACCGGTTGGGAGGAGGGGAGATCAAGATAGGAAAGGCGCCAAAGAGGAGGGGATACTGCTGTGGAAGCCAGCTATGCCCTAGCTCTTCCAGACCCCTGGCGGCCCCCTGGCACGCAAGCACACCGCCTCGTCTAGGGTACGGGTAGCATCTGCCTTCCCACTCCAACCCGCGGTGCCACGTCGGCACTGGTACCTTCCCCCCCGGCTCCCCCCCCCGCCCCACCTGAGAAGTGCAGCAGCAGGCAGGTGAGGCCGCAGCACAGCGCCCCCAGCACCCCCAGCATCAGCACGTCCACGTAGAACAGCTCCAGGCTGCGGGAGGGGGTGGGGAGCGGGGGGGAGGGAGGGGAGGGGTAAGAGGAGGGCTACAGGGCGCGGGAGGTTGCACCCGCCCGCGGGAGGCCGACTAGTGGCGGCAACGGGAGGGGCAGGAAGCTGACATGCGGCGGCAGACGCCATCTTCCCTGCCCTCGGCCCCCGCAAGCCCAATGACCGGCCGTGGCTGTAAACAAAACACACCCTCCCACAGGTCCCCCCCTCAGCTGCTGTTCAGTACGCCCTCCTCTGCCCTCCCTCCTGCACGCTCCACTCTCCCCCCTTCTCCCTCCCCCCCAGGCCCCACTTGAACCCGAACTCCTTGAGCACGCCCTCCCCGCTGATCCGCAGGGGGGGCAGCTTGGACGTCTCGATGGGCGCCGTGAAGGTGAAGTCGGCGGGGAAGTGGTGGAACTCATTGATGGCGAGCGCCTGGGGGGGGGGATGGGGGGATGGGGAGGAGGAGGAGGGGGGGGGGGGCGGGGGGCGAGGTAGAAGCGGTGCGGTGGAAAATGAAGGAACAACGACGCGTTGAATGGTGGTGGCAGCGCTAGGTGAGAAGCCCCCCATGGTGAATCGAACCGAGTTAGTCCGGGGAGGGGGTGCCTGGGGTGCTGTAGTCAATCGTACCGACCCCAGTGCAGCAGCACAAGGAGTGTGGGCCATGTGGGCGGGTGGCGCGGGGGATGCGCGCATGCCCCACCCACAGCAGGGAGGAGGCGCGGCAAACAGCACGTGGCATGATGGGTTTGAAGGACCACCTGCCATCCCCGCTCCTCCCCTTCTTGCTCCCCTTCTTCCTCCCGCCCCCCCACCTCGTACGCGTAGTTGAAGAACGACGCCCTGCTGAGCCAGGCGCAGTAGCCCGGCACGCTCTCCTTGTTGAGCAGGAAGCCGCCGAACAGCAGCAGCAGCATCAGCGCCAGCGAGCCCACCAGGTTGGCGACTGGGGCGAGGGGGGGGGGGAGGAGGGGAGAGGGAGGGGGGGTGGGGAGGGGAGAGGGAGGGGGGGAGAGGGAGGGGGGGTGGGGAGGGGAGAGGGAGGGGGGGAGAGGGAGGGGGGGAGAGGGAGGGGGGGAAGAGGGAGGGGGGAGGTAAAGAGGGAACCACGAGTGAAGGGCAGGGGTAAAAAGTAATAATGAGACACTGACAATGCAACGGACAAGCTGTGTATGACATGTAGGATTCACCATGGGGTGCAAACATGGTAGCCGGCCCATCCGAAGGGCAGGGGTGGAGGGGGGGGAAGGGGGAAGCCCCCGCATGGAGTCGTTTGTAGTGCAGAACACGGATGCGGTGGGGCGGGGCAGGCCACAAGTGGTGGGGCAGCATCCGGGTCAGCGAGGAGGAGAGAGTGCACATGTGGGCCCCCCCCGGCCCCCCCGCCCCCCCCCCCCCGTCTTCCTAGTGTTACCACGCAAGGCGGCTTCTTCCTCAAGCCGTCTCGGTTTACGGTAAGCAACGATTCGGTAAGTCTCTGAGCCGCGATGCTTCTAGGATAGTGGTTCCGAATGCGCTCACTGCACGAGTCGGGATATGGGATTGGGACTCGTTGTTTCACTTATATAATGTTTTCCCCGCCCCACCTGCGTTGGATGGCGCTGCTGCCCCGATGGCCTGGCACAGCGTGGCGGCACTGATGTTGGCGGACACCAGGATGCCTGGGGGTGGGGGGTGGGGGGGTTGCGCAGGGGGGGGGTACGGGGGGTACGGCAGGGGCAAGGATCTCTAGAGCAGAGCGGGTAGAGAGCAGCCCGGGCAAGGAGGCGCTTAGAGAGCGAACAGTGCAGCAGCCCTCTCCTGCCCCCTGTTGCCCCCCTCCCCAACCAGCACCCCCCCACCCCACCTGGCCCCTGTTGCCCCCCTCCCGCCCCCCCCTCCCACCGATGAACCACAGTATGCAGGTGGCGCATGCTGGGTGCAGCCCCACCATCCAGTAGCTCAGCAGCGCGAAGAAGGTGGGGGGCAGCACCCGCAGCGGCAGCAGGTCGAACAACACCACGGCGGCGTAGTAGGCGGCTGGGGGGAGGAGGGGGGGAGCAGGTGGGGTGGGGGAGAGGCGGCAGGGGCGAAGGTGGGTGGCAACGACGCGCAAGGAGGTGATGAAGTCAGGCAGCGCGATTATCATATTGGAGCTGGAATTACGGGCAAATCTCGATTAGGCAACAGCGGAGGGGCGCGCGGGGGAACAGGAGGGGTGGAGAAGGGGGATTGCAGCAGGCGCAGGGGCGGCAGGTCGAGTTGGATCGCGCTGGAAATCGCTCCCCATGCGGTATGCAGAAAGTTACCTATATTACACTAACACACACTCGACGGGCATGCAAAGTGGTAACAAACAGCCCAACCAAGCATCAAGGCGTTAACAGCGGTGGCTTTGCTTGTGTGGAGCACAAGCAAAGTGTGTGAAAGGCTGTACGACACCGCTCACGTGTGCCGTACACCCCGCTGGCCCGCTCCCGCATGAACAGCAGCTTCTCGTCGCGCCAGATGGGCAGCGAGGAGAGCGCCATGAGGCTGAGGTACAGCAGCATGAAGAACAGCACGCCCAGCCGGTTCTGGATGCCGGAGGTGTCGGTGCCTGCGGGGGCGGGGGATAGGGGGTAGGGGGGGAGAAAGAGGAGGAGAAGGCGTATCTGTTAAAATAACTGGCCGCGAGTGTATGTGTGTGTCGCTTATTTCGCCGGCTCATGATGGTCCCTCCAACCGGACATTCTCAGTCCAGATCACACCTCCTGTTCCCGTGTTTTCCAGTTGTTGGAAGGCAACACCCAGGGTAGCACTGTTGCTAGGCACACCGAGCCCCCCCGCCCCCCCGCACCCGAGTGCCGGAAGATCAGTCCCAGGCACAGTGCCGCCGCCAGCGTGGCTGCGAAGTTGAGCGCCACACTGCACCGGAAACACACACCGGGGGGGGCGGGGGAGTTGGTTTGCAGCGGCTCGTCAGCTCCCTTTCGGCTGCTTTGGTAGCCCACGCGCACTCACCCTGCCTGTAGCGTGCCTGGCACCTGCGCGGTGCGCTTTTCAACTGGCGGCCAGTGCTGCTGACACACGAGCCATGCAGCCCCGCAGCAGCAGCCGACCCAGATGGACACACATCACACGCAAACCGGCCAGCGGGGCCTGACCCCCCCTCTCCCCCCACCTGAAGGGGTGGCGGTAGGTGTTCCTCATCAGTCGCCCCGACAGCGCCCCCAGCTGGCGCCAGGCGGGCGGCACGACCTTGCGCGGCGGCAGCGGCAGCGGCGCGTCCGCCAGGGCGGTGGCGGTGGCGGCGTCGGCTGCAGCGGCGGGGCTGGCGTGGTAGGCGTCCGCCAGCTGGGTGACGGCATCGCGGGGGGACCTGCGGGGGTGGGGTGGGAGGCGGGGGGCGGGGGGGCGGGAGGGAGGGAGGGGTGCAGAAGTTGAGAGGCGGTGTGCAGTCCACAACGGCAAACAGAAGAGGCCTTTCCCCGCCAACCCACACCACCGCCCTCGCTCACCCCTCCCCTCCTCCCCACCCCTCCCCTCCTCCCCACCCTCCCCCCCCCCCACCCCCCCCACCCCCCCCCACCCACTTGATGACCAGGTCCAGCAGCCAGTCCGCGATGTTGATACCCGACTCCGGCCCCGGCGGCACAGCCTGCAGCCCCGCGACACCGCCGTACAGCCCCCCGCCCAGTACGGCACTGAAGTGCGCGCCCGCCGCCTCCACCGGCCCGCCGTACACCACCCTCCCGTCCCCGCTCAGCAGCATCAGCCGGTCCATGCTCCTCAGCACATCGGGTCTCGGCTGGTGTATGCTGAGTGCCGTGTTGACTCCCCCCGCCGCCAGCCCCGCCAGCAGCTCCACCACCCTCGCCGCGTTGCTGGAGTCCAGCCCCGTGGTGGGCTCGTCCAGCAGCAGCAGACCCGGCCGCGTGAGCAGCTCAACGGCGATGGACACGCGCCGCTTCTCACCGCCTGGGGGACGGGAGGGGGGAGAAGGGGAGGGGGGACACAAGGGGGGATTAGGTGAACTCAGCCCCGACAGGGGGAGCCGGCAAGCGGCGAGGAGGTGGAGACGGAGCCCAGCGGGGCGGAGGGCAGGAGGAGGGTTTGGGTCCACAAGGGTGGGCGATGGCGGCCGTGTGTCCCTTCGTTCGGTACGGCAAGCCCGCAAGCCCGCTGCGGCGATTACCCGCCCCTCACAGCCCCCCTCCAGGCCCCCCCTGCGCCCCCCTCCAGCCCCCCTCCAGCCCCCCTCCAGCCCCCCCACCCTCCAGCCCCCCCCACCTGACAGCCCCCGCACGTGTGCGTCCCCAATGAAGCTGTGCACCACCCGCGTGAGGCCCAGCCGCCGCACCAGGCCCCACACCCGCCCCTCGCGCTGCCGCTGGGAGTGCCTGGGGGGGGGGCGGGGAGGGGCGCGTTACAGGGGGCACCGGGTTGGGGAGGGAAGGGGAGGAGGAGGGGAAGGGAAGGGATGGCAGCGGAGGATGTGGGAGGTATGAGGAGCGGCGCTGCCCGGGGAGTGCCGGGTGAGGGTGAGGGTGAGGGTGAGGGTGGGGGCCAACAGGGGGAGGACAGCTGACAAGGCGCACCCGCACCAACCGCTGTCCCTGGAAGGTCCAATTGTACCCCTCCTCCGCCTCTCTTACGCCTCCGCCTCTCTTACGCCTCCGCCTCTGGGGAGGTTTCCATCCACATCCACCCTCCACCCCCCAACCCCACACACAACCGTTTCCCATCCACCCACCCACCTGCTCGCCGGCAGCCGCAGCGCCGCATGGAATGCCAGGTACTCGAAGACGGTGGAGGTGCCGGGCAGCACGTCGTCCTGCAGCACGTAGCCGCACAGGGAGCGGAGCTGTGCGGGGGGGGGGGGGGCGGCGGGGGGGGAGTAGAGGGGAGAGGGGAGGAAGGGGGGAGATGAGAGGAGGGAAAGAAAGTACCGGTAGGGAAGACGATACCAGGAGAGGATGCGGTGAAGGGGCCTCGCTGTCCTATTGGAGCCCTGTGCACTCCAGTTGCCCCAGTGAAGCAGTTGTCCGCCCCCCCCTCACCTGCCCCGGGGTGACCAGGTGTCCGTTCACGCGGATCTCCCCGCTGCGACCCGGACCCGTGCGCCGACCCGACAGCACGTCCAGCAGCGTGGTCTTGCCTGCAGCGGCGGACGGGGGGGGAAGTGGCAATGAGGAGGAGAAGGAGGATGGGGTTGCTGTCCAGTACCTACATTACCTAGCAGTGCCCTTGGTGAACGCCTATCCAGCTGTCCTCCACCCAGCTGCCCCCGAGCCCCTTCCCTCCTCCCTCTCAAACACCCCCTCTCCCCCTGCCTCGCCCCACCGCCCCACCTGCGCCGCTCGGCCCCATGACGGCCAGCATGCCGCCCCCGCGCAGCCGACCCATGGGTCCCTCCTGCGGGGCAGCGGCAGGCGGTGCAAGGCAAGGAGGTCAGTACACAATGATACGTAGACAGTGCAGTCGAGTTACCGGCACGTAGACCTCCTCTCCCTCCGGAACCACCCCGCACCCTCTTGGCGCACAAGTGGACCCCCCTCAGGCTGCCTCGTGCGCATGCATCCCCTGTCCTCTCTTTACCCCTTGCATCCACCTCTGTCCCCACAACCCCCACTCCCACTCCCACCCACCCTCAGCGCCCCCGCCACGCCGCTGACCCCCTTCAGGATGTGCAGGCTGCCCCCGCTCGCCCGCTGCACGCGCAGGTGGACATCACGCCACGTCAGCACCACCGGAGCAGGAGGCGCGTCGTGAGAGCTGTCGTACACTCCCTCGTCATCTTCGTCGTACTGGTCGTCGTACACCAGGGTGGGATGTACGGCAGTGCCCTGGGCGGCTGTAGCAGTGAGGCTGTCTGCCGTTGTGAAGGCGGTTGCATCGCCGCGGTGCGTGGGGGCGCCAGCTGAGATGAGGGAAGGACGGAGGGTGAGGACGGGAATGGAACGGGTTGGGGATTAGGTAAACTGAGCCGCGGAAACACTGACCCTGACCGGGATGGCGCAGGTTGGGGAAGTGTAACCAAACAACCGGTGTGTGGGTGTGTGTGGGTATGAGCAACACGCGTGCGTGAGGGTACCAGTATGTGGACCACGGCTAGAGCCAGCAAACACACGCCTGTCACAGGAATCCCACTTTCCTCTCCCCGCCTCTCGCTTCCCTCACCTGGGTTCAGCAGCGGCACCGACGCCTCGCTCGCCCTCGGCGTGTCCCGAAACCATGCCCCGCCGCCTCCACCTCCGGCTCCACTGCCTCCACTTGCTCCGAAACCGTCGCTCCCGAACCCGAAACCCCCGTTCGCCGCCCCCGCCGCGGCCGCCTGCTGCTGCCAGGCGGTCGCCAGTGCGTTGTCCCGGTACGACAGCCCCGCCGCGGCCGCCATGAGGGTGGCCACCACCACCCCGATCGCAATGAGGAGGGCCACCTGGGGAGGGGGGTGGGATGTAGTACCGGTGGGTTCGGACGGAGATTGGCGTAGCATGGGGACTGGAGAGGGAGGGGGTGCCAATGCTTGGACAGAGAAGGCCATGGCCAAAACCCCAGGCACACGAAAAGACGTGGATTAGGATCACCGGCAAGGGAAGGAAAGGGCCCAAAGCCGCACTCCCAACACCGGCCCCAGCTTCCCACCTCCGTGTGGGTTTTGATGTACGAGGGCGGCGGCGGGGGGGACGGGGGAGGGGGGAACGGCGGCGGCACAGGCGGAGGTGGTGGCGGCGGCGAGGGCGGCTGCGGTGCCGGCGGTCCCGGAGGCGATGGCGGCGGGTCCACATGGGGGCCTGCGGCGTACGGCATGCAGTTGCCGGTACTGAGTGTACTGACGAGAGGTGCTCCAGTGCTCCAGTGCTAAACACTTCGGGGGTCCTCAAGCGCTCTTGACGTGCCCTTCCAATCCTTCCAAGACAACCAGCCAAACCAGCCAATGAAGTGACCTCGTCTACACAATCTACTCTCACGGCACCCGAGCGTGGACACAAAGGCGCACCCGCATGCTGCCGTACCTGGGCTGTACGGCGGGGCGGGCGGCTCCGGCGGCGTGTCGGGCGGTGAGGGCGGCGGCGGCGAGGGCGGTGCGGGCGGGGGCTCGCGGTAGATGCAGGTGCCGGTGACGCACTTCATGCCCAGCGAGGCCACGTAGGAGCCCTCCTGAGGGGGCGAGGGCGGGGGGGGGAGGCGGAGGGGGGGGAGAGGGGGGTTAGCAAGCCGAGTCTCAAGATGCCAGCCGGCATGTACATCCAGTTGGTTGCATGGTGAAGGGTGCGGGGGTTGCGGCTCCCTGCCTCGCTGCCTCGCCTGTGTGATGTAGCACTGGAAGGCCCCGTCCGCCCCCTTGGCCAGCTTGCACGCCAGCTTGAGCGCCTTGCCCTTGTCGGGGTAGGTGCCGGGCATGCAGTGGTGCATCCAGTAGGGACTGCGGGGGGGGAGGCGGAGGGGAGGGAGAGGGGTTGGAGGGGAGGGAAAGGGGGAGGCGGGTGGAGGCGGTTGGGCGCACCCAGCGGCCTAGTCATGCAGCCCGCCGCCCCGCCGCCTCACATGTTGGCTCCCGGCGGCTTGCCGCAGCTGATGGGCGTGTAGCCGGGGCACTTGGACATGTAGGAGGCGGGGCAGTTCACCTGCGACCCACGGGACAGCAGCAGCAGCAGCGGCACGTGAGAGGAGGTAAGAGGTGGGGTGGAAGGCAGTTCACAAGCAAGCAGCCCGCGCGCTAGCAGCCCGCGTTCAAGGCAGGGGTGGCACTACCGGACGTAAGAGGAGGGAGCGAGAGGGAGGCACCCTGCGGAGAGGGGGGCACCCTGCGGAGAGGGGGGCACCATGCGGAGAGGGGGGCACCATGCGTGTGCCCTGCCGCCCGCTGCCGGCTGCCCACCTGCGCCTGTCCGCTGCATGTGAAGACCAGGCAGTCGGCGCCTGTGAGCGGGGAGATGCAGGGGCCCTGCAGCCAGGAGCAGCCGCGGAACACGCCGTCCCACACGCCGGGGTAGGCGTAGCTGGGGGGGGGGGGGGTAGCGGGCGGGGGGGAGGGAGGGAGGGATGGTGGGGGGAGGTGAGGAGGAGGAGAGAGGGGGGGTCTAAAGAGGAGGACGGCGTGTAGGGCTTGCAGTGCCGGAGCTCCTCCCTCCATGACCGCATTGGTTCTTCCAACTAAATCCCCAACCCCCCCACCCTCCCTTCACCTCCCCCCTCCCCTCCGCCACTCACTCGTATCGCGTCTCATTGAAGCAGTCCTCCTTGCCGGCGGGGTCGCATGGATACACGGTGTTGCTCTGGGGGCCAGGGGGGAGGGGGGAAAGAGGAATACCCAATGCGTTGAACGAGAATGCAAGTTAGACGACAAGGCTCCGGGCGAATGCAATCGAGCCGAACATGCGACATTGCTCTGGGGGGAAGGTTGGAAGGGGGTGGGGTGTGCCGCTGGTTGCCTGGGATCCTACAAGGGAGTCAACACCCTCTCTTCCCCTCACGTTATCCGGGGTGCCCGCCCGCTCTATGACGGTGGCCACCGCCGTGCCCGCCGCCCAGTCGGCGCTGGCGTTGGAGGGCAGCAGCTGGATGAGCCAGCTGGTGTCCGGCTGCTTGCCGCACACGTAGTCGGTGGAGATGTCGCCAGGCACGCCGCCGCAGCTGCAGGCCAGGGTCTGAGGGGGACATGGGAGGGGTGAGGGTCATCTTGCCGTACGGTGCGCTCGCCGTAAACCTATTCCTCAACCTTATCAAAGGCGAAGGTCCCCAAACGAGACCCCTTGCCATACCTTGCCGTACGGCGCCTCCTCCATTGCGGGCATGACTGTGTCGCTGGTGCACTCCGCGGCGGGCAGCAGCGAGCCGTCGGGCAGCGGCTGGGGCGGACACACGGACGCGGACTGGCAGGCTGCGGTAGGGACATGGCGGGGTTGAGGACGGGCAAGAATGGAGACATGCGAAGGGGATTTAGGAAGACCCTGTAATGATACAAAACAAACAAACGCCGAGACATTGTCCAAGTTGTGCAGAAGGGGGAAGCTTTAACGCAAAGGTATGCCTGCATACCTGAGCAATCAACGCCACCCCATCCTTGCGGGCAGATGCAATGCCCGCAGCTGTTGGAGGAGCTTGTTCGGTACAGGGCGTTGAGATAACCGCCGTTGGTGCATATCGGGTCGTACTGTGTTGCCACGCGGCAGACTGTCGCAAGAAGAACAAGCAGAGGGCAGGTGGGAAAGTTAGGCTACTTACCGACCCTTGGTCCTTTCGGGTGAAAAAACAGATAATACTAAAAAGGCGAAGACGAAGTATGTGCATGCTAGTAGTCCGCGCAGATTGCCGCAACAATGTTAGTATGCGATGCAACATTCATGGCGAGCAACTCCCAAGCCCAACCCACTTTGTGCAATTTTTGCAGGATCCGTTTCCGGCTCCTGTGCGTAAGCGCCCGGAAGGAGGCATAGCAAGAGCTCTGCAAAGGCAAGAGCCACCAGCAAGGACAACGCACGTCTACTACGCCTTCCCGTATCTAATAAACCAGCCATAGTTGCTGTATCACATCGGTTGAAACAGGTCTGGAGAGGTAGAAAACTGCAAACTGTCTGCCACGTCAAGACCGTCAAGACCTCCCTATGTTTCACCCCCTACATCTGCTGAATTTGAGTCCGATGCTAGATCAGGTTGAAAGCAACCAGTGCTGCCCATTGATCTAGCAGCAAGTGACCCTTCAACGGTTAAAGTATGCTCCGAAACAACGGCATCCTCGCGACTGCATTCCTGTATTCGTGCTACCGGAGGGAGGATTCAAGCATGTGCTAAAAGCGGTGTGCAAAGTAATTGCCGGTCTCACTCGGCGGCCTTTTGACCTTCCGTGCGAACTTGCGATGGCTTGTAGTGTCCCTTCAATGCTGCTAGCTAACATTACTGACTCTCCATATAGTTGTATTGTATGCCACGGACAGCATTATGCATCTCACGCAGGTCTATTCCTGGATTCCATTGGATACCAGCTGCACTCGCGACCGGCATGACATGATAATACCCAGCGACGACAGGCTCCTCATGGTTGGCAACAACAACCAACCATGAACGAGCTTGAATCCCTAGCTAACTACCCAACCATCCCTCAACGATGAAGGGATTTGCGGTACCCCTAAACGCGGCTGCTACCGTACGTTGAATGTCCTGCCCGCATGCAGCGCCCCAACCTGAATGAATGACGTTACAAGGGCGCCCCAAATGTGAACATAGGTGATTCATTCAACCCTGCACCCCAAGCGAAATGGAGCAAACCGCAACCTGGTTGGGGAAACGCGTGTGCCACTCAGCCGTGTGACACAGCTGCACCCAGCTGGAGGCGAGGCGCACCTCCAGCCGCCCGCCTGCAAGCATACGCACATGACAACTGCAACCGTCACGTCAGTCAACTCACCCACCGGTCCCTGCACCTGCACCTGCCGGTATGCCACCTGGAGTACGTCACACCCACCTGCCCTACTGACCTCCCGCCATGTAACTGGACCGCCTTTGACCGGCCTGGTTAACCCCGTCACATGCATGCACCCTCGCATAGACAATACTGGCAACATACGTAACCCCACCAGCTGTTAAAACGCACCACACGTCAGGGAGGTAGGAGGCCTGACGCGGCCCTCAGAGGCAGCACAAGCAACCACCTTCAAGCAGACATACATTTACGGTGCTCAGTGCCTTTGCTGTCAAGACCTGCCAGCGGCCCCGCTGCCTTCCAAGCTGGTGTGCGACGTGTGCCCCGCCACCACACCTCCAGCCCCCTGCCTCACGTGTCCCAGCCACCGCTAACCGCGCGCCTCTCCCTCACCCCCTGCCTGCCGCTGCTCCCCCCCTGCCGTCCTGCAGCGCCCGGCGAGCGGCGGCTTCAATCGACCTTGGGGAAGCGGGACAGCGGGGAGCGGGAGGAGGCAAGTGGAACGGGAAGGAGGAGGGTAGTGGGCGAGAGGGCAGGAAACTGGCTACCGGTTACCCCACCCCCGCCTCCACCCCTTGTTGGCCCCCCCACCTGTACTCCCGCTCAATCAGCGGCACCACCGACCGCTCCAGCTCCGCCACCGACTGTACGGCAGCGCGAGCCGTGCTGTCGTACACGTCCTGCGGGGGAGCCGGGGGAGAGGGGTGGGAGGGGGGCAGGGATGAGGGGGGAGGGGTGTTGGGTGGGCACAGGTCGCAGCTGGGCTGGCACATGGCACAGTAGCGGTAGGACTGGGGAGGGGTCTGTTGGTATGGAAGGAGAGCGGCGGGGAGGCGGACAGGGAGACGTGGGGAGAGGTGTCCCCCACCCCACCAACCGCCACCCCCTTCAGACCCCCTACCTGCGACCTCTCCAACCGCCGGCTCAACTCCTCATTGGCCGCCCGCACCTCCTCCCGTACATCCCGTACAACAGCCTCAAACTCCTGCCGTACCTCCCCCGCCTTTTGTCGTACGACATGTCGTGCAGCCAGCAGGTCCCCCTGCTCGTTGCCGTACACCAGGGCGGCGCCCAGGGCGGGACCCACCAGCAGCGTGGGGAAAAGATCTGGCGGGGAGGGGTAAGGAGGACAAAACTTACTACTAACAGTATGGCAGGGGGAGTGACAGAGGATAAAAAGGCGAAACGAGAGAAATGAGAGAGGAGAGGGAGGAGAGGTAGGGAACGCCCCTGCTTAACCGCTGCCCTATTGGTGACAGGTGCATCAGAAGTTGAGGACCAACCAGTCACGCGTATGCGCGCATGGGGGGGGACCCCTGCAAGGCGGCCATGTTGCCGTGCGCCATCTGTAAGCAAACCTTCCCCGCCCCCTATCCCCATTGTTTTGTTTTGCCCAATTGTGGTTTGGTATTCCTTTGACACCCGCCCCTGCCCACCCCATCCCCCGCCCCACCTACCCAGCACCGGCCGCGCCAGCCCCCCCAGTAGCGGCAAGGAGGCCACCAGCCGCTTCACGACCGCCACAACCGCAACACCCGCTAGCATACCGGCAGCGTACCTGGGAGGTACGGAAAGAGAAGGGAATGCAGAGGAGGAGTGGAGTACTGATTGCAACCTCCTTTTAAATAGTATGCGATCCCTCCTTTAGCCCCGAGGAATGGGCGCCCGGCGCGTCGAGTCAGAAATCCTGATCCATTAAGCATTGCCATGCGCAAGGCTGAGGAGGTTGCAACCAGTGCTCAGCTAGCGCTTACTTGGCTTTGCGCATGGATGCTTCACGCTGCGGGTTCCTGCCGTTTCGCTGATGACGAGATGCCGGCACCCGCACAGGTCGCCTGACGCCTCTCGTTGGCCATGGAAGCGCAATCGCCGGCGGAGCTGGGCCTGCAGAAGTTGCGCCGCTGGGCATAGGCCAAGACATTGTATGTAGGACTGATGAACTAGATCCGTGTGCGCTGTGGGTTCCAGGAGAGAATGTCTATTGCGAACGGATGAAATAGATCCTGTTGAGCTAGCGCGTCGGACGTAATTTTGTAGTCGCACAGAGTGTGGCAATAATCAAATTCCTAGAACGTCATATGTGACTTGGGTGGCCTTTCTGTGAGCCCGAGCCATAAGGTAGCCGTCCATGTGGAGCTGGGTAATCCTGTATACCGATAATTCCAGTCACCTTATTGCTTCTAGGGTATGTTTTTTGAGTAAGTAGTTGTTTAGAGCTGAAAAGGAGAATACGTTCCAACTATTTGTACGCACAACTAACGGTTTAACAGTACAGTTACCGGTATGTTGCGAAACCCTCCCTGCCTGGCACGGTAAAGGGTCCAGCGCCAATATGCGTACTTCGATGGGCGTGGGAAAGTCTCCGTAGCTTTTTAGCCGGTTATGGTGAACGATGTGGTTGGACGGCAGAAAGCATAGACGTTTGGGCTTTTGGCGCAGCCAGCGTATGAAAATTTAATACCATGGGGTAGGTTTTCAAATTCCCTATTCAATGGTGTTGATTGACGACGATGGGCCCGAGAGTGCATCAGTGCGACATTGATGTTGATGTTGCGGGCGTCAAGACATACATTGCTACACAAGCAAGTGCCATGTGCACCACCAGAGCGTCGTAGCCTTGTTTCTGTGTTCCTTTTAGGTGCATGAATATCGCCTGACCGGAAGGGACTTCCCCTCTCCCAAGCATTTGCGGCACGCATCACCCTGAGGGGGGAGGGGACTCCCTGTCCCCCCTTTTACCCCCTCCGCTCCCCCTGCGTTTCTTCCTCCTGTTCCCCAGCGTGCACATCAAGTGCATATGTTAGCAGTCATCCCCACCAGACTTCCCCTCTCCCAAGCATTTGCGGCACGCATCACCCTGAGGGGGGAGGGGACTCCCTGTCCCCCCTTTTATCCCCTCCGCCCTCCCTGCGTTTCTTCCTCCTGTTCCCCCGCGTGCACATCAAGTGCATATGTTAGCAGTCATCCCCACCAGCAGTCAGCAAGAAACCTCCAACTGTCTGGAGGGTGACAACGGGTCAAGTCCTACATCTACCAGCGTATACACAATGTATCAACTGTAGTGATGTAGCAGTCTCTGATCAGTTTCTGCTGTTCTAGGCACACTGCGCAGCTAAGACTGCTATGTAGCGCTTGAGCTGTTTGTATAGCTGAGCGCCTATTAAGATGCAGCTGCTTCGTCGTAATTGCACATGCGCAGTTCCACCAAATATTGTCATACGGTGAGAAATGGGACTTTTTCTACGTTTGTCCATTGTATCAATGGCGGTAATGCGGCTGGCAACAGTGCCTGAGCTGAAGTGTCAGGCTAATGAACATCAGAGTGATGTACGATTACTGCTGTCCTAGACACACAAGTGTTTTTAATCCTGTATACACGAGCTGCTCGTATATCTGGCCTTCTAATCGGTTGCAGCTGAACCGCAGTCCTTGCACATGCGCAGTAAATAAGTAACACTGCCGAAATGCAAGCTCGGGTAGGCTGCCACGCTACTCTGCTGTAAGACAGACGGATCACATCCGCTGGCGAATTAAGCATGTGGCACGGTAGCTTGGAAACTAAATCAGAGGGCGTCGACGTGGAAACCTGGCTGGCATTCGCAAGATGCATGCACACATTCAATGCAACGCCGACAATACCACGCGAAGCGGTGAATACGCCTGCAAACGTAAAAAAGAGTAAAGGTCAGTGCATTGCGAATAAGTCCATTAAAGAAGCACGGCAACACTAATCTACGAAAGGCGCGACTCGCTTGCAGCTTTGGACGACGCAAATGCGCTTCGCGCGTCCCAGGGCGGACGCGACGCGGCAGCTAGCAAGTGGTGGTGCGGATGGTGTCCATGACCCATAGCACCGTGTTAGACGCCTCTGCTGCAAGGAAGGCCGCAACTTGCACGACAATGGATCACAGAACATACAGTCATTAGGATGATGACTAGACAACATACGCCTTCAACAGGATATACCTGGTATGAAGCCAGTGCATATCCACCATATCGGCCCAGCTGCCGCTCAAGCTTTTAAGCCCGTCGGCGAAGCGCTAAGCGACTCCATCCTCCATCGTCGCTGCGCGCGGGATTGCCCTATGGTGCATAGATACGCTACATAGAAGGAATACAAGTGATAAGAAAATAAAGTGAACTAGCCTGTTGGATAGCCGCTGGAATGATCAGGTGTCGGGCGATCAAGCGTCGTACAACCTCATCCCAGCCGCCCACTGGCTTTGGCGCTGCCAGCGATGCAATATCTAGTCCGTGGCTACTTCTTTATACGTTTGCAACATGTTGTGACCATGAGCTAGGCTGGCGACGGAAGTGCGAAATAGATTGGCGATGTTGCTCATGTTCCCGATCACGATGTCCAGTAAAATCCACACCTTCCACTGGAATGCGTGCAATACATGTCTGGACATCAGCAACATCGCAATTAATGTCGCACTTTCCTTGTAAGCTTACTCGCAGCATACGACAGCATGACGTGCTCAGCATGACGTGGTGGCCAGCTTAACCAGGCGGCTACACCACAACCGGCTCAAGGGCTAAGTTGCCTTCCCGCTCGCGGTTACACCCTTGGCCTACCTCCCATTGCACGCCGGGGACACCGGTTTCAGTGCAGAAGGCCTGCCTCCACGTTGCAAGCTACAATCAGTATGGAGCCGGTAGTGCTTTGGGGAAAGGGTATATGCATGTTTGCCATGGACACTGCTGCGTACGACAAACCGCCTTCACATATTCGGCTAGCGGCAATACCACCCTTCCTACATCACCTGGTCCCCGTTCCTAATGGCCTTACTGCCAACAGGCTCTCCATGGAAGCCAGCCCGTTGAGACTGATCGGGGCTGAAGCAGTTAGCGGACAATAAGCCAAGTGAGCATCGATGAAGACTAATACCAGCCGTTCACCAGCACTACGTTGCTGCGTAGCTTCTGAAGATCGGTATGCTGCAGGGGGCGTGTCAAGAGGTGGGGGAAAATTATAATTGCAAACAAGGGGTGGGGTGGGGTAACAAGGGTCTCGACAGGCCTGACGTGAGGTTTCCCTTTGTACTTTGGCCTTGCTACAGATCCGCCATTGATATCAGGGAAGAGCGCTTAGCAGGCCGAATCACAGCGCACGAAAGCGCCTGCGGGTGAGGGCTATAACATGCTGTAGGGCTTCATCATGGACCAAACAGGAAGATTGTAGCGGAAGTGTAGGTGGTGCAGAGCATGTAAACGTTACTTTGAAAAGAAGCTGTCATTTGGTACAGCACGAAGCTCATGCGGAATCTTGCTGACGGCTAGTAGGACAGTGGTAAAAACTGGGGGGATGCAGGCCCTTACACTATTTTGGCTGCTCCAGTCACTGGCTAGAGCAAATACCAAGGACATGAAGGGGAACTATATCAGTACGCCGACGTCAGCATGCTATGCCAACATATGTTGCTGAAAATGCAACACGGCTACAGGCAGGATGTACTCAAAACACTCAAAACATCAAACCCAACTCTACCCAAACTCTCTGTGTCAGATTGGGTAAAGTACGACCTGGGCACAAAGGGCCACAGATGAAACAATTATGTAATGCACATCATCGATTTGGGCACGCCGCAGATACGCAACCACTGGGATAGCACGAGTAAGCAGAACGACACACACTGCTACCTGCGGACACCTACAACATCACAGCATTCTCAGGGTGTGTACAGGGGAAAGGTGACCCAGTGGGTGTCCCGGGCTGACCCCACTACCGCCAGCGCCAGAGACATGCCATGATCATGGTAAACCCGGCTGATGCAGCCTCTCAGAGCGGTGCGAAAGGCAAAAAGCAACGCCCACCACTTGAAAACCAAGGGTACAGACACATAAGTGCACTGCGTGTTGTAGCAACCAAACAACGGTGGCTGCCAAGCAAACAAGTGCGGGAACGGGCTTCCCAAGACCAAGTCACTTGAGCCGCAGATGTTCACGAGAGCCATAGCGTTTGACGAGCAGTATTCCGACCTGTCAAATATACAACGTTAATCCGACGCCATAACCGTGGCAAGCATGACGATCAGATACATACCGAACAATATTCTTAAGCCAACAAAGCGCACAACCATGTACCACCGTTGCACATGGCATGCCTTTCCAGCAACACCCCAACAAACATATACGGTCTGATCACGTGATTCTTCCTCCCTCGCTGTCCTAAGCAATAGATTACCCGTATCATGGATCAGGAGCCCGCAGGCCATGGAAAAGGCCGGCTAGGTCCTAGATAGACAACATGACAGCAAATTGAGCTGAATACTAACGACACACGCCCACATGTAATCACTGGTACCGCTGCTCAGTGGGCCTGTTGAGGCACACGGGGGCAGCCAGGTCAATAGCGCGCTCGATGGGGTCCTCCACCTTCTTCATCACCTTGCCAACGGTCATATCGTAAGCGGTGTCCTTCCACTCGTTGATCTTGGTGCCGTGGAAGGCAGCATTCATCAGGCCCACCATGATGGCACCGCCGATCCAGTTGCCTGCAAGGAGAGGGGAGCGCGATATGGGACAGGTTAGAGGTCACCATGAGCCATGAGCAGGTTCCAAGACACATGTGGGACAAGTCCTATCAAAAAAGTAGCTTTTCCCCATTGCATTGAGCGCTCACTCACCAATGGTGGCAGGGATCAGGTTCTTGGCAACGAAGTTCCTCCAGGTGATGCTGACCGGGTGCTTGGCGGTGGGGTCAAGGTAGATAGACATGGGGATCAGCCACTGGTTGGCAATGCAATGCTCCAGGCCGATAGCGACGAAAGTGGTGATGGGGGTCCAGCAACCGATGGCCTTGCCCATAACGTCACGGGCAGCCACAGCCTGGAACACGGCGAGGTTGACCAGCCAGTTGGCGAAGATGCCGCGAACCAGCACAACGTGCCACTCGAGGGCCATCTTCTTGAAGGCAATGTCGTGCACCCAGTCCTCACGATGAGCCCAGATTTGAGCGGCTTTCTGCAGAGCAAAAAGCATACAAGTTAGCTGGGTGTGGAGGATGTGCAATGGAAGTGGAAAAGCACAGAATGCAAGCAATCCATAAGAACTGCATGAACATCGCAATAATGCAATCCAGCATCTCGTCGATGCGCTTTTATGTGCTTCCAGGAAGCAGTGTTTTTACCACACCCACCTCGAGCTGCACCATGATGAGAGCGCCAACAAGGTTCCAGAACCAAGCAGAGGAGATAATCTTGATATGGTGCCATAGCGCAGCCTTGCGCTCAATGTTAGCAGCGAACATGTAGCAGGTGTTGCCGGTGTAAAGCTCGGCACCGCATAGAATAATCAGGAGCAAACCCACGGGGAAGGCCAGAGCACCATAGATAGTGTTGCCCAACTGCGAGGGGACACAAAGCAGGAAGGTAACGTCAGGCAGGAGGTAATGAAAACAAGCAAAGTAGTAGCTCTAAGCCATGCGAGCAGCAATATAAAGGTAGGTAGAGCACCAGGATGATGTTTTATAGTGAACGCACTTACCAGGCCGATAGCGCAGCAGCAGAAAGTGAAGCCGAAGGACACGTACATGCCAGCGAGGATACCACCCACAGCCAGCTGCACAGGCACAAATGCTTGTTAGAAACGTACAGGAGCGAGACAAAGGTATCCCTGATACCAAGAGGAACTAGCGCCGACAGTGCCATAACGGAAGCCTCACCTTGAACCAGCTATACTTCATCTTAGCGGTTCCGGCCTCCACCAGTTTCCAGTAGCACTCAGCGGGAGTGAGAGCTGCATTGATTTGGACAATCACGGGCGTCGGCGCGGCAGCCGGCGCCGGGGGAGGAAGAGCCTTGATATTGATGCTGACGTCTGACCCCTCTGCGCGCAAAATGTGTGGGAAGCGGCACAGGGTTAAAACAAATGAGGAACTGCATATAAGGACTACTGCCTTAGCATCGTTGTAAAGCATAATAATTCACGAATTAACCTTCCAAAGAACTTACCAGCGGAGGATGACTGCTCAGGTGCACCCATTGTGACGCAGTGAATGTCCTAGAGTACTGGTGTAGGTTGGTTTAAGGCCATTCCGCAAACAAAGGCCTGGATTAAATCGGCTGAAGTGTACGGCGAGTTTAGGGGTAACCGGGGCTGACTCAGGTTAGACGGATTACGCTTTCGGATTATGGCATTCTGCTGTTGGATTGTGAGCATTTTGCACTTATTTAATTTTATTGAATATGCAACCGCAGCGTATTGTATATTTACACTGTCGTGCCCGCTAAGAAGTATGTGTCAATGTCCACGTATGAACCGACCTTCTACAACGTAGCTAGCGCAGAGAAATGTGGCATGTGGGATGTTGCTTAGTACTGACTTTGTCATGGGCAAAAGCAGGTCTTGCATGATTCCGACAAACGTAATCCGTCAGGAGCGGCAACCTCCTTAATAAGCATAAGCTCCAGTTGTCAGGGATCACATACTATGGCGTGCATTAGATCATAGATGTTGTGATGCACGCCTTTGACCGGGGTAAACGACGTTCCGGGCGTTAACTCCTTTACAATTTTCACCTGGGGCCCAAAATGGTATAATTGGGGGATTTGTAACACCTTTACATTTTTCACCGGGGGACCAAAATGGTACACTTGGGGAATTTGAGGTTGGACGCTTGGCAGCAATCCGTGCATTCCGTAAGTTCTTATTCCCAGGATATCCTTCGGAGCGTGCCTGTGCAACCGTGTTGGGCAAACCTCGACACTTCTCGGCACTCCGTTAGGGCTCCACTGCACATACAAAGGCATCTATCCCGCTGTGTGTCAGTTTTCTGTAAGGACCGTCATTTTGGAATCGATGCCAGGAATTCCCCCTCAATCTTTTCCTGGTTGGTTCATGGGATGGGTGTTCCTTCTCTCCCGCCGCCTCCTGACTTCAGCCTTGCCCTCACTTGTAGTTTCCAATAGAGGATTTGGATTCTCTTCGTCACCCTGACTTTGTCATCTGTAGCTGCACATTGGCTCATCAAAATTGGTTCAGCATGGACCGAAACAAATACTGGCAAGTGGCAACGCTGAGGTTCAATATTTGGTGGGCGTTCATAAACCCACGTGTCAGATTACTTCAAGGGAGGCAGGCGCTGCTGGCGTACGAGGTTTTTAATGACATGCTCCCAGAAGCCAGCCAGCAGGAGGCGCAGCAGTGGTGGGCGGCGCACAAGGCAGAGCTGTACGACCAGTATTACGTAAGTAGCCCTTCACTGCTGTGTCGTACGTAAATGTTTTAACATACGCCAGTTATGACCGTCTATATGAACAAAGCTGCAACGCATGGCCTGGACGAAAACTGTAAACCGTCGTCATATGTTACGCCTAGCCATACCGTGCGAGTTCCCCTCGCCCTTCTTCTCTTGCGCCACTGCAGGTCACCGCTTCTGTGGGTGGGGGGGGGGTCTCGCGCACTCCGTCGATTGTACTAATACATAGGTACAGGGCACACCTTCAGACAGGGCCAGTGTGGCAACTGAAGGCGCCTATGCATGTTGTCTTGATGAAGCTCGTCTCTTGCTGGCCCCCCTCCCGCAAGTGTTGGCCGAGGGCTAATGTAGCAATGAAGTCTGAATGCAAGGCCAAACCATGCTACATACGCTGCAAAGCGCAGCGCCTGGGGAGACACAGACTGGCAGCCGTGCTGGAGCTGTGGCTGCAACCGCTGACCCATGGGTCTCACGCCCGCCCCTGCGCCTAGTCTGCACGGTGGCCGCGGTGAAGGGGAGGGTGACGCTTGCAGCGGCAGGCTTGAGGCCTTTGCGGTCACAGGCTCTGCTTGACCTGCCGCTGCGTGTGTTGCTGTGGGAGATCCGGACAAGCTACCCAGGTCTGGATCACGTGCATGCACTGCCCGCACCCGCATAGGCTCTGCGGGCGGTGGAGGGGGATTAGATAAACTGAGCCGCGGAAACACTGACCCTGACCGTAGATTACCGGAAATTGCTTGATGGTGGAGGGGGCCGCAGTAACAGGAGGTGGTGGCGGAATGGTGGTGTCTCTGACTTGCGGCGACCCCGGCTGTGTGAACCTGGAGGATGCGGGTCCAGGCGGTGAAAGACGTGTGCGTGCTACCGGGCGATGAGTGAGAATGAGTGCGGTAATAATAGTGCGATATGTTATTGGCGGCAAGGGATTAAACCTGGGGTAGGGTGCTGTAGAGTTGGAGAGGACCAAGGCATGGGAGGAGAAGCACGCTCTGCTTGTAGGTGAAGCGTGCACAATCTGCACATGCATCGGTTTGCTTTTGTCAAATGGTCTACACGTCAAGGCGTGTTACATGCAAGGCAGTCTCTTGCAAAGAAGGGCAGTTCCCGTTCAGCAATCAAGTCTGCGCTGCTTCAAAGCCAGAAGTTGTCCAGTTTTATTTGTGGCGCCATGCATGCATACGGTAGCAATATGGCACTAAGCCCCGTACCATGCACGAACATTTGGTGTTTGTCATACAAGGACTGCTTGGGTTGTTATTCCGCAGCATGTTTAGTCCCAATCCAGAAGGTACATATTGGTGGCCCTGAAATAAAATGTTATTAGGTGCGTACGCGGGGGTTTACCCGAGGAAGGCAAGGAGTTGTACAACAGGTATTAGAATGCTCTTAGAACGTAGCGGAAGCAACGCAACTGAGAAGATCGCAAGAAAACAGGAATTACGCATTAACGTGGCATGCTCGTTACACAGCATGGGCAGGATGTGTTTGGAGTAATCCTCCACTGTGGTACAGGCTCTTATTGCTGCGCAGCAGTGTTTGGTTGCACACAGCTTAGCCGGGCCAGGAGAGAACGGCTGCCTAAAAGATGCTAGTTCTTACTCCGTGTTGTGGCATACTTTCCAGCGCAAGCCGTGAACTCGAGGACGCCTAGACGTGAACCTGAGTGAACTGCTTACGGTATTTACCGCCTTGTGGCAGAATACTGGCCGCGAGTAGGAATGCCTTGAGTCCACTCGTGAGCATTTTTTTGGAGTATGTGAAATGACATGAAATAGTCATAACCCATAACCCAGGTATGTGTGCAAAGCCTATCGCCCACAAAGCAAGAACTCGCCTCAAGGTGACCGCTCTACGCGGAGGATAGACATCATTGCAATCATTGGCAGAAATGCTTCGATCTTTCGAACCTAAACCATCACAAGGTGCCGTACAGCTGTTTCGGATTCCGGTGTAACTGTGTTTCCACAGCAGATCTCTGTGAGAGCAACGTAAGGTGTCGTGCTAACGTTCAGAATTTGCATACGCATAACAGCCGGGGTCTTTTTGACGAATGGCCCTTGTTGCGCAGTACGGCAACGACTTCTTTCCTGAATAATACGGTTACTATCGTTTTGCGGTTATGCCAAAAACGGTTGTAGGATTTGAGACTAGGCGAGTCGCTCACAATGCAGCTCGCGAACGCTGCTTTTTCGGCAACGAGCCGTGCTCCCACGTCATGCAGCGCGTAAGATGAGACGTTGTAGTATAGATTGCTGAAATGTACATTTATGAAATTTCACTCGCGGTCACAGGCTACCCCGGTCGTCCGCACCCTTGCGCCATGCGGTCTTGCCACATCAAAACTTGGTAGGTGACGAGCATCTATTTAATTAAGGAAAAGCAATTGAGAACCTTAGCAAAATCTCCAATTGCAGGTTGCCGAAACTGGACGATTGCAGCCTAAACATCGCAGCTTGAAGCCGGAAGCGACGAAAACGCCGTACCCACCACCCAGTCGCGTAATCCAGACGGATGCACCGACTGATGTGGAGTATGACGCGGTCATCGTCGGTGGCGGTATGGGTGGCCTTGCCACGGCTGCTCAGCTAGTGGCCAAGGGCGCCAAAGTGGTGGTGTTGGAGAAGTAAGCTGTGAAGACACGGGGTTCCTCATGAAGGGGCAAGAGTGATGCCACTCCCGGCGAGAGGCCTGAAAGGGATTCCAAGATCCGGGTAACAAAGACGCAGGGTGCAAGACGGGGTGCCGGTTGCTGCTAGTATAACCAACCTCCGCCTCCCGCCTCCGTCCTTTCCTATCCCTCTCTTGGGCCCCCATCATCCCCTGCTGCGCAACTCTGTCCACCGCCATCCATCCCAACCTTCCAGGCTGCCCTCCCTGCCACCGCCCCCCCTGCAGGTACTTGCTTCCAGGCGGCAGCGCGGCGCACTTCAAGCGCGCGGGCTTCACCTTTGATGTGGGCTCGTCCATGATGTTTGGCATGGGTGAGGCAGCACCGGGGGGAGGAGAGCGGCGGCATGGTGGGGCGAGGGAGGTGGAGTAGAGACCCCTCAGCCATGATCCGGCTAGGGTGAGGGTTGGTTTGGGGGTGAGTCTGGGGGAAGCCATGCCGTGGGTGAAGGGATGGGTTGGGGGGATGTAAGTGTGTACCCACCACCTCTTCGCAACCTCACCTCTCCTCTCCCGCCCTCCCCGGGGGGTTCCTTTTCCCTCCCCGCCCATCGTGGCCCCCACCCTGCCGCCTCCTACCCCCACCGCGTCCCCAGGCCAGGAGGGCACCACCAACCTCATCACCAAGTGCCTCCAGGCGGTGGGGCGCCAGCTGCCCACCGTGCCCGACCCCACACAGGTGGTCTACCACCTGCCCAAGTCGGAGCGCTTCCCGCAGGTGAAGGGGGGACCTCATGCTGGTGTTTGTGCGGCAAGGGAAGTGTGGACCCTGTTGAGACTAGGTGTACCGCAAAGGGGAGCTCTGAAGAACAGGGAGAGGGGTAGTGGTTAGGGAGGGGCGGATGGATGGGGAGAACCGGTACATAGCAGCAAACCCAGTCCGAACACGACCGTCCCCCCTCCCCCCCTCTCCCCCCTCCTCCCAGGGTTTGCACGTGTCCGTGTGGCGCCGCTACGAGGCCTTCCTGACCGAGCTGGGGGAGCGCTTCCCGCACGAGCGAGCAGGCATCAGGGCCTTCTACGACGAGTGCTGGAAGGTGTTCAACAGGTGCGGTCAAAGATGTGCAGGTAGGGGTGTGGAAACGGGGGTGCGTGTGTGGGGGGGGGGGCCGAGCAAACGAAGAACCGTGGAGGCGGGTGGGCGGGTGGGGGAGCCCCGGTACTGCCCACAGCCCCGTCACACCTGCCGCACAGGTGGGTGGGGGGTGGGAGCGGTGGGTGGGGGGTGGGAGCGGTGGGGGAAGCGGGTGGAGTCAGCCAGCCGCATGACAAGGGCTCCACATGGGCTGTAACCATGGAGACTGGGGGGAGAGAAGCACTGTCAGCAAGCAGCATCGAAGGGCCACAGTGGTGTCCTTTCTGCACTGCTTCTGCCCTCGTCTTCGGACCTGCCACCCTCCCTTCTACCTTCCCCTCTCTCGTGCCCCCTCCGCCCCATGTTGCGGTCTCACAGGCTTAGTTGCCTCCCTCCCTCCCTCCCCTTCCCTCCCCCCCTGCCCCCCCTTCCCCCCCCCAGCCTGAACGTGCTGGAGCTCAAGTCGCTGGAGGAGCCGCGGTACCTGCTGGGGCAGTTCGCGGTGCAGCCGCTGGCGTGCCTCACGCTGGCGAGCATGGTGGCGGCCAACACGGGGGAGGTGGCCAGGAGGCACATCAAGGTGGGGGCGAGGGGGCAAAGGAGCATGCCATGCGTTGCATGGCAGTGGCAGCACACTAGGGGTGACACATTTCTAGTGGAGGGAAACGAGTGAGTGCAGCCGAGCCTGCCATGTTGGCGGACCGACCAAACAACCAGACTCGCATCGGCTGCGAGTGAACCGGTGCGGGATACCCACCGCACCGTCGGGGTGTGATGGGAGGGGGAGGAGAGTGGAAGTAAACGTGTGTGTCAAGGCAACACGTGCGTACTGGTTGATGGTTGTTTTTGTGGGCGGCACGTGCCTCACCCTAGCTAGCATCGGGTCCCGCACAACCGTTCCTCCCCGCACAACAACTCACTTTGCATGCACTGCCGTACAACACCTTGTCGTAGCTCCAGCTGCCGTACACCCGTGTATCCACCCCTCATGTTGCCTGTTCAGGATCCGGAGCTGCTTCGCTTCATTGACATCGAGTGCTTCATCTGGTCCACCGTCTCCGCCGACCTCACCCCCATGATCAACTCCGGCATGGTGTTTTGCGACCGCCACTTTGGAGGCATCAACTACCCGGTCGGGGGCGTGGGGCGCATTGGGGAGGAGCTGGCGGAAGGTGTGTACGGCAGGAGGAGGGGTGTGTTAAGAAAACTGGCCGCGGGTGTGCGTACGGCAGGTTCCTTGCATGTGGATTCGCGAATTACTGGGAGTGAGAGGCGCGGGAGGAGTGGTTTCGAGGAAGGGGTAATGGATGTCCGGTGGGGGTGGAAGAGTGCTGCCAGAGGGAGCCAGGTGTGGCAGTGACCATGGGTCGGAAAGGACAGCTCTTTTGAGGGCCGGGTGGGCTTAGCGTTGTGGCTGGGTGGCGGTTCCTTGGAGGGTGGAGTGGGCCCGTCGGGAAGGGTAACACGAGAGGGGGGAGCTGGGTCTCTTTGCCTGCCATGCCCAGCCCCGCACCGCACCGCCTGATGCGGAGGTACAAACAGTATCGTCGTACCCATCCGCGTTTCCCCTCTCCAGGTATCATTGAGCACGGCGGGCACGTGGCGTACAAGGCCCACGTGAAGGAGATCCTGCTGGCGGAGGAGGCGGCGGGTGGGGGGGAGCAGCGGCAGCAGCGCGCGGTGGGGGTGAGGCTGGCGGACGGGAGGGTGTTCAGGTGGGGGCGGTGCGGGGCGGGAGGGTGGGGGCGGCTACAGACGTCATGGTGGGGAGCTCGGGTGTCGGGTCGGGCAAAGAATGAGGGTTGGTGTGGGGGCTGCGGGTTGCAAGGGGGTTGAGATTGAGGCTGTATGAGGCCGGGTGCAGGTCGTCGGAGCTCGGGGCCCGGTGGGTGGGTTGGGGACCGTGACACGTGTTATGAGGTGCAGCGCTCCCCCTGCCTATAGCCTCTCAACGCATTGCCGTACAGATAAAGGATACCGTCCATACAAGCATCAACCAGCCCGCCTGCTTCAATCCCCACTCCGTACGTCTCCTCGACCCGCCGCTCCTCGGCCCCCGCCCCCCGGCCCCCGCTCCCCGCCCCCCCCAGGGGCAAGACGGTCATCAGCAACGCCACCCGGTGGGACACGTTTGAGGGGCTGATCGGGGAGGACAAGCTGCCCACCTCGGAGAAGCTGTTCAGGTGCGTCGCCACGTGTGTTAAGAAACCGCGAGTAGGCCGTGTGTGTGTGTGGGGGCTCCTTCCCTGATACGGTGACCGCTTCCCGCCTCCTTGACTTCACCGCCTCCGCTCACATCTTCACCCCACCACCACCGCTCTCTGCTGCAGCGTCAGGGCGGTCTGGCCCCGCCATTCCTTCCCCGTCCTTCACACCCACCCCTCCCCTCTCCCTCCCCCCCCCAGGCAGCGCTACAAGAAGTCGCCCTCCTTCTTCTCGCTGCACATGGGCGTGCGGGCGGAGGTGCTGCGCGGCCTCAGCGACTGCCACCACATACTGCTGGAGGACTGGGGAAAGATGGAGGACGCAAGGTGGGGGGTGGGGTAGGGGGGTGGGGGCAGAGGGGAAGGGGGAGAGGGATGGGAGAGGGAAGGCCTCGTAGGGAACCCCCACCGCCATGCGTCAGGAAAACAACAGCAAACCTATGTCGTACAGACACCCCGCTCTGCTTGATGCACTGCCGTACGGACCCCTCCTGTACTGCTCCCCCCTTCATGTCGTACGCGCAGGGGTGTTGTCTTCCTGTCCCTGCCCTCCCTGCTGGACCCCTCCCTGGCGCCCCCGGGGTACCATGTCGTACACGCCTTCACACCCGACTGGATAGATAACTGGCAGGTGGGGGGTGAGGGGTGGGGGGTGCGGGGGGGGAGAGGAATGTGAAACGGGGGGTGACTCTGATGGCTGCGAGTGTTGGGCGCACTGGGACGTGTGGGGGTGGCTGCGTGCGTGATGAGGTGCAAGGCAAATGTGGGAGAAAAGGGTGGGACGTGGGGGCTAGGGTTTTGTACGACGGCTGTCAGTGACGGAGTTGGCGTACGGTGTGTGGCGCTGGAGCTTTAGTAGCTCATGCGGTTCCTGACTGACCCGTGGGTCCGAGTGCTGGATGGAAGTGCAGCTGGACAGTTGGCGACATGTTGGAGAAGGGCTGCTGCCGCGGAGGTGCCCGTGAGGCAGCACCCCCGCACGCATCTACCCAACCCTAGACGCCCCACCCTTGTCCCCGCACCTCCCTTGCCCCCCTCCCGTCTTCATTACTCAACGCATGGTTTTCCTTCTTTCCCCCCTCCACGCCCTCCCCCCCAGGACCTGTCCCCGTCCGAGTACGAGGCGGCCAAGGAGGCGGTTTCGGATCAGCTGTGTGAGCGGCTGGAGGCGGTGCTTCCGGGGCTGAGGGAGGGCATCGTGTTTCGGGAGGTGAGGTGAGGGGAGGGGGAGGGGGAGGGGGTAGGGTGGTAAGTAAACGCGGCCGCGCGGAGGAACGTCTCCATACCCTTTCCTACTTGCCGTGCCGTTACCCACCAACCCTACCTTCCCTCCGCTTCCACGCCCCTCCCGCGCTGCCTCCTCCCCCCCTCCAGGCCGGCACCCCCCGCACCCACCGCCGCTACCTGAGCCGCGTGGACGGCTCCTACGGCCCCATCCCCTCCCGCCGGCCGCTGGGGATGCTGTCCATGCCGCTCAACACCACAGACATCCGCGGACTGTACTGCGTGGGGGACTCGACATTCCCCGGGCAGGTGAGGGGGAAAAGAAATATATCCAATGTGTGGTGTGATAGTGGTAAACTAGCGGACAAGCCCTGCGGGAAAATACGTGAGTCGAGCCGAACTGGTGACTGAAGCATTGCAAGCTAAAACTTACCAAGGACGGAAGGACCTTACCAGTAGTCGTGGGCGTGCGGGGAGGCGGCTAAAGGTGAGCTGGAGACCCACCACGCCGTCGGGCACAAACACTCAACGGAAGCAGCACGACATTAGCACGTGGCACGAAACGCACACCCCTGTCCGTTACCCGGCAGCGCCTACTGACGGAATCCATGACTACGATCCCCGTCCTGCTTTTTCCCCTACCCGTACACCCCCTTCTACACCTCTCTCTCCTTCGTGTCTCACCGCGGCTCAGCTGGACTACCCCTCCCCTGCATGCTGGCTTCCATTCTTTCCCCCGCCTCGCCTGCCCGCCTGCATCACCCCGCTGCTGCCCTGCCCCGCCCGCCTGCAGGGGGTCAACGCAGTAGTGTTCTCCGGGTTCGGGTGCGCGCACCGCGTGCTGTGCGACCTGGGCCGCGAGCCCACCTGGCCGCTGCTGGACCAGGCGTACGGCAGGCTGCTGGCGGCAGTACGGAATGCGTCATGAGAGATGAGGAGGGGGGCAGGGGAAGGGGAAGGAGGGTAGGGAAGAAGGGTCGAGGTCGGTGGGGTCGGTAGGGTGGAGTGGTCCGCGACCGTTCGGTGGGTGATCCATAAATTTGGGAGCTGATTTGTGGGACTTGGGGTAGGGGTAGGAAAGGAGGTACATGAGAAGGGCAGAGTGGGTGGGGCTTGGGAGAGGAACGGCTACTCCAGCAGGGTAGCATAGTGAGTGCGCAATGGTGAGCGGCTGCTACCGTATCCTTGTTGCCTGCGTACCGAGAGACACTGACAACGCAAATGCATATAGTGCAAAACACCTGCTGCTCGTCGGCAGCTCTATGGTTCGACGCAATACCGCATTCATGCGCTACTTTAGGGCCTGTCTGTTGGGGCGGGGAGAAACCAGCCCCCAGCATGTATGGTTGGGTGTACGCCAAGCGTGGATCAGGGGGTTCACCCTCGGACAGCTCTCATGCTGCTCGTGAGCCGGCGATGGGCAGGTTCTATGAGCTCGTGTGCCCCGCGTGGTGAAATCGTGTGCCCCTTGGCGTGAGCTCTGTGTTTACATGCAAGTGCAAGCCGCCTGGCGGAGGAGTGAGGACTGCACTGGCGGCTGCTTGGGGGGCAGGAGGGCGGTCTTACATTCGGTGTGGTGATGGAAGCGGATGAGGGATGTCGAAACTGCTTGCGCAGTGGACGATGCGAAGTGATACCTGAAATGTTACACCTCGAATAAGCTTTTGGGAAGTGGAGGCACGCTGACAGGATGTGCTTGGGAAGGTCTGGCTATTGGTGTTTGCACACGCACTGCATTTGGCAGCCGTACACGAGTGCGCGATACCGCCAGACATGAGCAGGTATGGATTGCAACGAGAATCCGGGGCGTTTCTCGATTAGGCCTGACGCTGTACGAGTTGACGGGTGCATGTAAACCTCAACTGAAGTCCTGAAGTCTGCAATGCCGAAAATTTGCCATGTCAGATGTGTGTTGGGTAAGTACAGGTACCGGATCCCTGGCCTAGGTTCCAATATACTGACTCGCAATAGTAAAATGAAGGTAGCCAGGTATGAGCGGTAAAACGCTGGCTGGTCCTGGCGATTTACGCAAGATGAATAGACCCATGGGTGACAAAGGTTCTAATAAGCGTCTTTCTAGCCAGAGCATACACATTTATTGTAACAACGTTTTAACTCCTAAGAATGGGCGTCCCCTTCAATTATCGGTATTGATATGTGTGCAAGCGTACTTTCCTCGACTGGTCAGCGGCAAAGCCTACGGCCTGCTCCGCGTGATCAGGAAAGACTTCAATTACGACCTCTTTACTCGGCTTGCCGTGTAACTTACGAAAACTCCTTTGGCCGCCTTGTTTTGGCCCGCCGCGCTCATCCTTTCGGCCTCCTCCATGAACCGCAACAGCCACACGTACTTAATGCCACCGCTGCAAATGTTATTTCAGATGTCCTTAACGAGGAGCGGAGGCGGGGTAGCCAGGTGGGGGGCCTGGATGGTTTGCATGGTTCGGAGCATCATCCCTCCCACCAACACCAACCGTGCGTTTGGGTCAATTGCAAGTGAACTTAAAAAATCATTTTGCATATGTTAACGGCCGTAGGCATCGCTACTGGAGCTGCTAGACCAGCAGGGATGGGGCGTGCGCACAGATGTTACGCGCACGTTTTCGACAAAGTTTGCAAGCGTGGAGCTCGAGTCCTCGTGGGACGATGACCCCTCTGGTGCGCCCTAGCTGCCCCCTTGCATGACCCTATGGCACTCTCCAGTTTGCAACCTGGAGGTTTGTCAGCCCTTCACACCCGGTCCACCGGTGTGGGCTTTTCCTCCACTGACCTAAAGCAATACCAACGTGGCTCCTCCGCACAGCCTTGCTGCTGCCCTATATAGTCTTCTTCGCCTCCCCTGCCCTCCCTCCCCCAGGCTCCTCCCGCCCCCAGTCGCGGCGCCTGGCGCTGCTGGCCGCCTACCAGGAGTGGCTGGTGGCTCGCAGCGTGCTGGCGGGGCAGGTGGTGGAGGTGGTGGCGGCGGCGCGGCCGGGGTACCTGCCGGAGGAGCTGGGAGAGAGGGTGAGCGAGGGCGAGGGGGGGCTGCGGGGGCTGCGGGAGGGGGTGGGAGCTACACGGCTTCGAATAGGCACTGGCGGCTCCGTTGACTATCATCCAGCCCGGCATGCTTTACCCGTCCTTCCCCGCCCTTTCCCAACTTTACCTCCCTCTCCTATGGTTTGGTAAAATTGGTATGGTCGTCCCCCCTCCCTCCTCCCCCCTGCCAGCTCCGCTCCGCCTCCTCCTCCGGCTCGCTGACGCCCGCCTCGGAGGCGCTGGAGCTGCCGGCGCTGCAGCTGCTGGCGGCGCTGCTGCTGCCGCCGCGGGAGCTGGAGGCGGTGCTGGCGGGGGCGCTGGGGGAGACACGCAGCAGGCTGGCGGCAGGGGTGAGAGGGGGCAGGGGGGAGGGGTGTGTGAGAAAAGGGGTGAAACCCCAGGAGAGGAGAGAGAGGGGGAGGGGAAGGAGGGGGATGAAGAAAGCAAAGGGCGTCAACCTGCCATTCACCCGGCTTTCATTGCACCTTTGTCCCTGCCTAAGAGCAGCCCCACGTAGCCGGTTCTTCCTCACATCCTCTCCCCTCCTCCTTGCCCCCTCCCCGCTCCCGCATGGTTCTTCTTCCCCTTCCTCGCTCCCCCCTCCCGCCAGCCCGCCTACCGCGGTCGCCCCGAGCGGCTGTCCCGGCTGGACTCGGGTCTGCGGGTGCTGGCGGCGGGCGCACGCAGGGCGGCGGCCTCCGCGCGCTTCAGAGCCGCGCACCTGCGGGAGGTGCTGCAGCTGCAGGTGGGGGCGGGGGGGGTGCTGCGGGGGGCTGGCACACTTCATCTTCCGACATCCCAATACGTTCCTACTCGCGGCCAGTTTTCTTAACACACGCCCCGAGCTGCTGTGTCTACCCAGCCTTATGCTACCGTGCGGGCGCTGCTTGGTTCTCGCTTCTTCCACTTTCCGTCTGCTCTCCCCGCCTCCCGGGCCCATTACTGCCGTGCCTGCTACTGCCGCTTTCCATGCGCAGGGGGAGCTGCAGCGGCGGGAGGAGCAGCAGCAGCAGCGGGGGGAGGCTGGCGGGTGGGTTGAGGGGCGACAAGGGGTGGGGGGTGAAGGGCTGGCAGCAGCGCCCTGCCGTCAGGGTTGGGGGATAGTGGCGGGGATACCGGTATGAGGAAGGGTATCCGAGGGGACCCGGGGCAAGGCAAGAACTCTACCCGGCTGGCTTGCCGGTTTGCTTCCACAATCGCAAACAGGCAGGCCCTCCCCCCGCGCTACCGCTCTCAACCGCCCCCTGAATGCTCCGTACCGCCTCCTCTTGCCCGCGTCTTCTCCGCGATTCCCCTCCCGCACCTTCCCCTACCACGACCCTCCGCCCCTTGCGGCGCCTCTCCCACATCTTCCCCGCAGCCCTCGCAACCTTTGGCTTACCGAGAAGCCGTCCTCCTTCGACCTTTCCTCCGCCTCCTCCTTCTCCTCTTGGGACTCCTCCCCCTCTCCCTCCCCCTCCCCCTCCTCCCGGCCCCCCAGCAGTGTCCAGCGCGGCGCTGAGGACCGGCTGCTGGTGGGGCAGCTGGTGGGCGAGCGAAGGAGCTGGGCGAGGGAGGGGGAGGAGGGCGAGGGGGAGCGGGGCGGGAGAGGAGGTGAGGGGCGGGGGGCAGGGGCGGAGCGTGCGGGAGAGTATCAGGCGGCATGCACTGTGTACCGCAGTAGACGCAATTAGTAGTAGACCCGCAGTAGCAACCAGCAGTAGACCTCCGTATCACCAGTGCGGTGCAGTGGCGGCCTTCCCGGATTCTGCTCGCTGACTGACCCGACGCCGCGGGGACAATAATGACAACGCAGGAGCGGACCTCTTCGCCCCGGACGGACCCATGGGTCGGACGGGTCCACGGGGCCTGCCTGCGGGGCGCCCGGGACTTGCGACGTTTCGGGAGCTGCCGGGAGCCGTCATGTACGGGTGAGGGTGGGAGTTTGAGAGGTTTGGGGGAGGTAGACGGTTGGAGGTGCCGGAGGTCAAGTAACACCGGGCTTAGTAGGGTAGCCCGCTTCCCAGGTGTTCCCCCTAGCTTTGTTTGTTTCCTGTTTTATTCACTAAAGCCCGTGCCTTCCCTCCCTCCCTCCCTCCCTCCCTCCCTTCCTCTCTCCCTCCCTCCCCCCCAGCCAGCCCGGCCGCCCCGGCCGCGCCTCCTTCGGCGCCCCCTGCCGCGAGCTGCACGCGGAGGTGGAGGCCGCCCTGGGGGGGCTAGTGCGGCAGGCGGCGCAGCAGCAGGTGCCGGAGGGTAGGTGGTGCAGGGGCCGGGCGGGGCGGGGCCGGTGGTTCACCACATCCAAGGCTGCATGGGTTGCCTCTCTCCCCGCCCCGGTGTAGCAAGGGATATGTGGTGGTACGCCGGCGGAACCCGACATGCATGCATGCGTGCATGCAGCACCTGCGGTATAGCCCCCTCAGTGCACCTCATTTCTTGTTGTGCAGCATTTGCCTTGCACACGCTACACAAACACCCTTCCCTACTGCCCCTGCTGCCGTACCTCGCCGCATTCCCGCTGCTGCCCTGCCCTCCGCAGACGCGCTGACCGCCTTCGCGCAGCTGCACCGCACGGCGCTGCTGGACGCGCTGTGCGAGTGGCGGTGGGGGCAGCTGCGGGGGCTGCAGGGGGGGCGGGGCGGGGGCGGCGGGGGGCAGCGGCGGCGGCAGGGGGGCGGGCGCTACGAGGGTGAGGTTGCGGGGCTGTACCGGCAGCAGTGCGTGCATGCGGTCGCGATCAGGCCGGCGGGGCCGCTGCTGGTGAGGTGGGGTGGGTGGGGAGGGGAGGGGAAGACAGGTTGGGTATGCTGGTAGCTCGGACATATGGGGCGGGTGGGCTTGCGGCGGCGATAGGGTGGGATTGGCTTCCAGTTGGGGCGCTAGGGCAACCGTCGTGGTGATGTGGCTGGCGCCCTCCTCTTCCCTGCGCCTTAATACAGCAGCGTGCTTACATGGCCGTGTGGCAGGCTGGGGGTTTCCTATTACCTGCCTGTCTGGGCGCCGCATGCAGCACTCATCTCACCCTCCCCATCAGCCCCCTCCAGCCTTTGGTCATGAGCACACCCCTCCCTCCGCCTCGTGTTCTTGCCTAGCCGGACTCGAGTTGGTTTGTGTTTTCCTCCTGCTTCTACCCCCCAAACCCCCGCCCCGCCCCCCCCCCCCAAACCCGCCTGTGCCCAAAGGTGTACCGCCGCACGCGCATCTCCGCCTCCCCCTCTCCTGAGCTGACCGCACTCAGGGCGCTTGTACGGCGGAGGGGCCCGCAGGCGCTGGATGCCGTACATCCCCTGGCGGCCAAGCGGGTGCGTGCGGGGTGCGGTGTGGTGTGTGCGCGCGGGCATGTCGGACAGAGCCGTGCGGTGGACAGCCGGTGCACGTGCGCAGCTGGCACGTGCGGGGTGTGTGGTGGGCTTCCATGGCTTCCAAGGCTTCCATGCGGGCGCACCGTAGCCTGCCATGTGCCATCCGCGCAGCCAGACATCGCACACCGCTGCGTCACACCCGCGGCACCCCGCGACTTGGCTGCCACTCTGCCGCACCCGACCACTAGCAACAGCCCTCACGACCCACCATGCAACCCAGCCTGCCGCATGCGCTCTCTCCATGTCGCACACACCTCTGCATGCCTCTCCTTCCCCTCCTAACCGGAGCACGGCCCATCGCTTTCCCCAACCCATCCCACCCCTCACGTGAATGATGGTCTCCCGTTTCCCTTTCCCCTTTACCCCCGCAGGTGTCCAGCCAGGGCGAGTGGGAGTACTGGTACGGCGCCTACCGCCTGTGGGAGCAGTTCGCCCCGCTGCCGCCCTCCTGCCGTACAGCCGCACTCTCATTCGTACTCACCTCCGACCAGCGCCAGCAGCAGCGGCAGCAAGGGGGGGACGATGGTGGTGTCGGCAGCAACGGCAGCGGCGATGGCTCTCTCAGCACCCTAGAGGTTTCCTCCGCCCCGCCCGCTTCCTCGTCTCCCTCCCCCACCGCCTCCTCCGCACCCTCCGTACAGATTACCGTACCCCCTGCTGAGCTGCGGCGCTTCATGTCGGCCCTACTGGACCTGCTGCCCAACCAGCCGTCAGCAGCAGCAGCAGGCGGCGGGGGCGGGGGCGGAGGCAGTGTTGGAGCAGGCGGCGGGGCACCAGCACCGCGGGCCGGTGAGTGGCTGCCCGCGGGCGCAACGGCACTGCAGATCCGCTACAGCCCTCTCCCGCCTGCAGCGGCAGCAGCAGCAGGAGCGGCAGCAGCAGCGGCGGGAGCTGGGATGTCGGCGGGGCCTCGCGGCCCTAGTGACGGGGATGTCGGCGATGCCGGCAGCAGCAGCAGCACCAGCACCAGTCGCATACCTGAGGAGCTTCAACCCAGTGCATACGAGGTCAGGTGGGCTCAAGCAGGCGCCAACTCAGACACTGGCGCTCCCGGCAGCAGCGGCAAGGGAGCGGCTACTCCCGCTGCCGTACAGTGGTCGCCCCCAATGCGCCTGACGTCGGCTCAGCTGCTGTCGCTCGTCAACATCTTCACTGACGTCACTAACCGGGTCCCGGAGCTAGCTGACGTCAGCCAGCCGCCCGTACGACTTGTCGTACCGGCGACGTCTCCGGTTCAGCGACTGGCGTCTGCCGTACAAGACGCCGTGGCGACGGCGGCGCGCTTCCTGGGCCTGCTGGCGCTGCTGGCGGTGCCGCTGGCGGCGGTGATGAAAGCCGGCGGCGGTGGCGGCGGCGGCGGTGGGGAGCGGACTCTCTTTGGCGTCGGCTTCCCCGCTGCTACTGCTGCCGCCGCCACCGTTCGTGAAGCAGCCCAGCCCTCCTCGCACCCCCCTCAGCAGCTGGTCGCCCCCCGGTGGTCCACACCCTCCGCGGAGGCCGGCGATGCAGCGGCAGCAGCAGCGGCAGCAGTGCCGAGCCCCATGAGTCCTGCAGCGCCTGCAGCGGCCCCCTCCCGCACGCCTCCGCCACCCCCCAGGCTGATTCCCGCCCCCGCCAGTGCTACTGAGCTGGCGGCGCTGTGCCGTACACTCGAGTCCCAGCTGCAGGGGGCTAACATGTGGCTGGAGGTGACGGGCACCCGCGCGGCCTGCTTGACCACCCCGGCCACCACCGCCACCAGCACCCACCAGGGCAGTCAGGACCCGGCAGGCACCAGCAGCAGCAGCAGCAGCAGCAGCGGTACGGCACACCGCCACGCCGGCCGGCCGCCACCGCCGCACCTGGCCCACCCGGAGTGGCCGGAGTTCCAGGTGGTGGTGGTGGTGGGCAGGGGGTGCGGCAGCACCGGGGAAGGAGCTCCGCGGGGCCCAGGGCAGGCGGCCGGGCAGGCGGCAGCGGGGGCGGGCGGTGTTGTGGTGCTGGGCTGCCGGCCGGTCAATGCAGCCGGCTCGGCGGCGCTTCCGGAGCTGCCACTGGGTACTGCGGCGCTGCGGGGGGCGGCTGCGGCGGCGGCGCAGGAGGCCCACTTGGCGGGTCTGACGGCGGAGAGGATAGAGAGCGGCAAGGCGACACCAGGTGGGTGGGTGTGGGTCACAGAGCGACCAAACTACAGGGAACTACAAGTTAGAGCAAAGCAATGAAGACAGGAGGCGTCAGGGCCGAAACAAGTGGGGTAGATGAGAGCTGCCATACCCTGATAGCGCTCCTCACCCTGTCCTCCTTACCCCCATGCCCTCCTCCTCTCCATGCGACGCAGGCACCTTCCATCTGCCGTACCATCCGGCACCGTACACCTGCCTGCCGCTGACAGCCCCCGCCAGCACGCCCCCGCCAGCAACACTGCCCACCACAGCGGCGGCCCCACCTGATGCCGCCTCCGCCTCCGCACCAGCCCCCGCCCCCGCCCCCGCCCTGGCTGACGTGGCGGTGCTGAAGGTGGCGCTGAGGCCGGCGGGGGAGGCAGCCCGCCACGTGGTGCAGGGCAGGGGCAGGCGCCAGGTGGGGAGGGAGGGGGGGGATGGGGGTGGGTCAAAGACCATACCAAACCATAGGAGTCCACGGCAGGGTGCCACAAGACAATGTGGTGGTTAGTATTCCCTTCTGAAACCGAGTCCGCGGTGATGGTGAACAGCTGGGTGGGGGTGGGGGTGTGGGTAGAGGGGCTCAGGGGAGCGCTGCGGTGGGAGGGCTGCCGGTGGAGGCCCCCGTGCGACTAGCCGGGCTGCTCATCTGGCCCATCCTCGCCACTGACCCCTCCCTCCTAACACACCCTTCTTCTTCCCCTTCCCCCCTCGCGCTGTCCTGCCCCCAGCGCGAGTTCGCCGCCGCGGAGGTGCGGGTGCGCCCCTGGTACGACAGCGACTCGCTGCTGCGCTGGATGAGCGGGGCGGGCGGGGGCGTGTCACTGCCCTCGCTGGGGGTGGAGGTGGCGGGGCGGAGGGAGGCGGCAGGGGGGCCGGCAGCAGGAGGGGGCCTGCTGGCGGAGGAGGAACGTGCGCGCACGGCTTTCCAGCGGGAGTACGAACGCCTGCTGGGGGGAGGTGGTGTTGGGGTGGCGGGGGATGAGGAGGCGGCGGCAGCGGGTGCTGCGGTTGCGGATGCTGGGGCCGGAATGGAGGCGGTGGGAGCGGAGGGCGGGAGAGGAGGAGGTGGGGTGCTCCAACCGCAGCAGCTGACGGAGCAGCAGTTGCAGGTGGGTGGGTAGGTGGGTTGGGTACGGGGCTGTCTGGGATTAGTGTCATTTGCAGGGAAAGGAAATGCATATCGCCTGTCTGTCACCATGAGTTTCCCTCCTCCCGCCGGGATAGGCTACCCTGCTAACACCTTACCCAATGGAACCGTTCCTGTCCGTTTGACGACCCTCTTGGCCTCGATTGTGGTTTCCTTTACGACGCATCAGCTATTTCTCCGACCCCCCTGGCCTTCCCGCTGGCCCATTCAGTGCTGACTCCCCAAATCCCATGCCTCCGCCTACCGCCCCCTCCTTCCAGTTTACAGCCTGTTCTGAGTAACCCTGTACCTTTCCCTCCCTTCCATTGGCTCACTTTTGCTTACCCCTCCCTTCCCACCCCTCAGGAGGCGCTGCAGCAGCTGTTCACCGCACTGGGGGTGCCGCCGGGCAGTGTGCGGCTGGGGAGTGCGGGCGGGGAGGGGGCGCAGGAGAGCACGGGCAGTAGCGGCGCGGGGAGCAGTAGCGGGGGCCCTAGCAGCAAACCTGGCAGCAGTGGAGGACCGCAGTGATGGGCGGTGGTCGACGCCGGCGAGTGTCAGCTTCGCCCGGGGCATAGGGTATCGGTAACGGCGATTTAGGAATGGAAGCGCTTGGGGTGCCGGGAGCAGCTAGGAGGAGGGGCGGTACGACAAGGTGTTACTCGGGCTGGTGGTTTCGGAGCTCATTGCTGCTGCATGTGGTTATGTGGGCAATGGCGAGGAGAGGAGCAGCAGTAGCAGCAGCAGGTGCTGTTGGGGCCGACCCGCGGGCCCGCAGGTTGGCTGATGGATGGGCGAGTAGGCTGGAGTGAGGGAGCCCGGATTGGGCTGGGTGGATTGGCAGGAAACGGTACTACAACGGTCTGGCACGCTTGAAGCCGAATCAAAGCAGCGCATACCATAGTACCGGTACTCCGCTAGCATTGGGGGATTGTGTGCAGCTAAGGCGTGCCGGGTAGGACAGTTGCCCAGCTGCACTGTCCTCAGGCGCTCAGGGTACGGGCGTCGCTTGTGCTGTACCACACCCTGCAGTACCTGGAGTGCCCCTGCCCCTCCTCCCGGGTCTGGGTTATGGCCGCTGTTTGCAACCCGATGGGAAAATGCTGCTGCTAACGCTGACATCCTTTCCTGTTGAAGCTGACGGGCAAGCTGCAGTCGGTCCAGCACCATATTGCCTTGCTGCATAGGGGATGCGACAAACGCTAGGTTCCAATGGCGAGGTTACCGAGATACCGGGGAACATGTTGAGAGTCGAGTTGGGTGGACGAAGTATAACATCCCTCACTGGTTACATGCGTCCTCAATGGACAGTCCGGCATACGCTCAGCATGTCAGTCACTCAAGATACTCTGTAATGCACACCTCATGCCCGCTATCAGGGGTACTTCGTCACGCCTCCGCCATCCTCACAACCAGCGCATTCCCCGCAGGTCATCGCGACCATTTACCCATCCACTCTAAGCGACCGTGTATATCGCTCTATGCGCATAGCACACAGATACCCACACTGCATGCCCCTACTTTTGTGCTCCTACTTCAGCTTCTGCTCCTCAAAAAGTACGTGCTTGCCGACCTTGGGGTCGAACTTAATTAGCTTAAGCTTCCACGGCGTGTTACGAGGATTCTTTTCCGTAACGTAGAAGTACCCAGTCTTCGCCGCGCTGACGAGCTTTACAAGGAGGCGAGCTCCTTTCTTATTGCCGCTCATCGGCGCAACTCTAAATCAGAAACCGTCAATATTACAATTCGTTGTAAGCTAAATGATACGACAGACTGATAACACCAATAGGTTCTGTCGAGTTTTGAGGTGCCGACTTTATGTTGATGTACCCTAAATTAAAGGCGGCGGGCGGACGCCAGAATAATGAGAAGCCGTAAAGTTTAGTTTAGTCTAGCTTTGGCGAAACAAATTTTCTGACTCCGCCCCCACACAGGCACATGCACATGCGTCGTACAACCGCACGTCTCTGGGTTCGCCCACGCTGACCCGCAGCAGCGCCTTCCGGCCACGACTTTGACACCACTTCCTCACTCAGGGTACCGTACGCATCCCCCAGTCGGCTTCTCTACCGGGCTTTCACCTATGGTGGGGACCGGCTTTTCCAGCTCCTCCTCCATGACTGGGTCGACCCCGAACCGCCTCTCATCCCGCACGAATTGCATGCCATCCCACTTGTGCAGGTTTCCCGTCAACTCCCAGGTATCGACTTGCCCCGTTGATGGTGATCTGCACCAAGCAACTGCCGCAGAGTGTCTCAACGTTTAGCCGCTGGTAAGGTACGCAAGGAAATACTTTCCGGATCGTATCGTATCTTTAGCTTAACTCCTACGTATGGGACTCGTGGGCTTTAGGGATACTTCTTGACCCATTGAACCATTATAAGTAACGCCCTGACACAATTTGCCGCAACAGCCACAACGTGTATGACGCCGTATATTCCGCCAAGTCCGACAAAAAAGACTTCACTCCTTCAGTCCTTCACTTGCTACTAACTGGGAGGGCCCCACCGTGTACAATACCAGTACCAAGCACCTGGACGCTTTTCACTCCATTTCTAAACCACAGCAGCAGCCCATGAGCCCAACCGGAACTGCCTGGTTCCCAAGCAAATAAGACCTGGGAGAGTTTGCGGGTTGTACAACATGCTTGCCGTACGGCATGGGTGGGTATGTCGGTCCGAGGCCTTCCCATTCATGGTGGGGCAACGGGGGGTATGCAATATGGGAATTGGCTTGGTTCCGTCTTCCTGTCACATCCCTGTAACAGTCCACGTGTGGATTTCAATACCACCTCCCACCCATTAATTACCTGACGCCCACCCCCGGCGCTTTCCGTCACGCTGTGACCCTGTGCACTGGTGGAGGGCATCGCCGGTCTACTACTGCAGCTAATGAACGGAGTTTTGCCAGTTCGTTGGCTCGTGATGGCCCCATGAACAGCTCGTACAAGGACTTTGCTGAAGGGGAAAGTTCCGATGCTCCTCCGACGTGAGGAGGAGCTAGTGCTAAGACACGGACCTCTATCCCGCAACCTTTTACCCGGCCAAACAGGGTGCAATACACAACTTGCGTTCCAATTAATGGACTAGTATGAGATCACCGACAGTCGGAGCTTATGCGTACTTGCCGCGAAGGTCAGATTTCACAGACTCATGCAAGACGACTATGCTTCTGGCCGTCACAGGTTATGTAATGTAACAGACTTAAATGGCATCCATTTTGTTTGCGTAAGCTACGGCGTAGCAGGTTGGGTCATACTTGGACATTGACAAACGTTCTTAGCCGGCAAGCCAACTTAACCATGAGCTGCACTTGTCTAATCGCTTCAAGAACACAACTCGCACAATACCCTCGTTCGAACGATATTAGAGCAGAACACTGAACGCATAATCCTTCCAACTCGACTCAGCCCCGGTTACCTCTCAAGTCGCCGTACACAAAGGACCGATATATACGAGGCCCGTTACCGATAGGTTCGTCTTTTACTTACCTACTCTAGCTGAAGACGAGAGCGTCACAATGGGCACACCTGAGCAGTCATCCTCCGCCGGTGCGTTCTTCTGGAGGGGTTCGTAGATAATTTTGGTAGACCACTTGCTTGCGGCTCCCTTTTCTACTCACGCTGAATCTAATGACGTTTATTTTACGCGCAGAGGGGTCAGACGTCAACATTAATATCAAGTCTCTTCCTCCCCCGGCGCCTGCTCCCGCGCCGACCCCCGTAATTGTTCAAATCAATGCGGCTCTCACCCCCGCTGAGTGCTACTGGAAGCTGGTGGAGGCCGGAACCGCTAAGATGAAATACAGCTGGTTCAAGGTAAACCTCGCATTCTGCTACAAAATTGTGGTTGCTGCAGCGTTATGATTGAAGCGAAAACCGGATACGCGTCTTTATGTTACTAAGACGCGTTTGTGCCCCTGCAGCTGGCTGTGGGTGGCATCCTCGCTGGCATGTACGTGTCCTTCGGCTTCACTTTCTGCTGCTGCGCCATTGGCCTGGTAAGTTCCTTGCTTTATAGTCAAGTTGGTAAGCTGTACCTGCCGTGGTGCTGCGGCTCGCTTGAGTGTGAAGTTGGGTAACGAATGTCGTTTTCCATCTACCTAAAAGCGTGTTCTTCATCCCTGCGCAGTTGGGCAACACCATCTATGGTGCCCTGGCCTTCCCTGTGGGTTTGCTCCTGATTATTCTATGCGGTGCCGAGCTTTACACCGGCAACACCTGCTACATGTTCGCCGCTAACATAGAGCGCAAGGCCGCGCTATGGCACCATATCAAGATTATCTCCTCTGCTTGGTTCTGGAACCTTGTCGGCGCTCTAATCATGGTGCAGCTCGAGGTGGGTGTGGTAAAAACACTGCTTCCTTGCAGCACATAAAAGCGCATCGACGAGACGCTGGATTGCATTATTGCGATGTTCATGCAGTTCTTATGGATTGCTTGCTTTCTGTGCTTTTCCACTTCCATTGCACATCCTCCACACCCAGCTAACTTGTATGCTTTTTGCTCTGCAGAAAGCCGCTCAAATCTGGGCTCATCGTGAGGACTGGGTGCACGACATTGCCTTCAAGAAGATGGCCCTCGAGTGGCACGTTGTGCTGGTTCGCGGCATCTTCGCCAACTGGCTGGTCAACCTCGCCGTGTTCCAGGCTGTGGCTGCCCGTGACGTTATGGGCAAGGCCATCGGTTGCTGGACCCCCATCACCACTTTCGTCGCTATCGGCCTGGAGCATTGCATTGCCAACCAGTGGCTGATCCCCATGTCTATCTACCTTGACCCCACCACCAAGCACCCGGTCAGCATCACCTGGAGGAACTTCGTTGCCAAGAACCTGATCCCTGCCACCATTGGTGAGTGAGCGCTCAATGCAATGGGGAAAAGCTACTTTTTTGATAGGACTTGTCCCACATGTGTCTTGGAACCTGCTCATGGCTCATGGTGACCTCTATAACCTGTCCCATATCGCGCTCCCCTCTCCTTGCAGGCAACTGGATCGGCGGTGCCATCATGGTGGGCCTGATGAATGCTGCCTTCCACGGCACCAAGATCAACGAGTGGAAGGACACCGCTTACGATATGACCGTTGGCAAGGTGATGAAGAAGGTGGAGGACCCCCTGGAGCGCCTGGTGGACATGTCCCCCGTGCACAAGCACGCTCAATAAGCAGCCGTATCAGCGATTAGGTGTGCGCGCGTCGCCGATTGGATTCACCTCTTTGCAGTTATCATGTTGCATATCTAGGACCTTGCCCTTATCATGAAGGTCTCGTGATCCATGTATAAGTGTTCTTTTGCTAAGGACATCAGGGAGGAGCTTGCACCACGTGATTCGGAAAAATTGCTCGGTGTGTAGCTGATCATCATGTTCGCACATGGTGATTACGTATAATTTGACATGTCGAAATAAATGCTGGAGCTCCAATATACACACCTGCGACTTGGCTTTGCGGGAAGCCCTCACACCCGCTTATGTTTGCTTGGCAGCCGCCGTTGTTTTGTTGCTACAACGCGCAGTACAGCTGTGCCTTTGTTGTAGGTGTCCGCAGGTAGCAGTGTTGCTTGCTCTTTGGTGATGTGCATATTTGTTTTATCTGCGTCTCAGGCCGGATTTGCACCCAATCTGACAGAGAGTTTGGGTGGTAGGTAGGATATTTAAAAATAATCTTTTGTACGTCGAAATCATAATTCGTGCACGATTGCACCCCATAGAAACGCGCTCTTTGCTAGCATAGACGGCTTCCCGACAACATGGCCTCCTTGGCTGCTCTCCAAGAGCATCACAACAGCCTGCTACGTAACTGCCATTCTCGCCTTAAGGGCTTCACCTAACACGCCTGTACGGCAGCTCATCTGTCCTTGCTGCTGATGACGCTGGTCGGATGAAAGTGCGGCTGTACGGCAAACTGCTCCCACAGGCTCCCAGTACTCCCACTCGCCCTGGCTGGGCACCTGGTTAAAAGACTTCAACCCATGAACCACGTGAGGGGTTGGGGAAAGAGGAGTCGAAGGCTACTGCTGCACATGAGCACATGGCTGGAATCCAGACCCTGCAGAGCTGCACATGCACAGATGCATGATGCATACCTGAGATGACAGATAGATAGAGGAGACAGGCAACCAGGCAACCGTGTCAGGAGAAGGCCGGTTGCCTGGAGGGTAAGCGGTTCGGTCACTAGGATGCTGGGGTGCGAGCATGCCTACGCCAGCCACCGGAGTACCTGCCGTATTGAGTCTTGGTAAACGGCAAGCCCTGTAGGCCCCTCCGCTCTACACGCGCTCCAGGCCGCAAGTAGACCATAGTGCTGCCCAAGCAAGTCATCCGGCGGCTCCAAGACGCGCGCCGGTTGGTATCAGGCGTACATGCGCCAGCCCTTGCATGCTACTTCCCACTGCCCGGCCAGGGAGCGCCCGCTGGCAATGCCGTGCGTGTCCTTGCTGTCATCCCAGCCCCACACGCGTGACAAAAGCCCTTCCAACTGAAGCGGTCAATGCCGTACCGGGACTGCTGACGTACCTTCCCTGCACATAAAGATGAGAAGCGCGCCGACGTCATACCGGCCGCGTGGCCTAATGGATAAGGCATCGCCCTCCGGCACGTACGGAAGTAGGCGGGGATTGTGGGTTCGAGTCCCATCGTGGTCGCAAAACGTTTTGCTTTTTGCCGTTTAACGGCTCGCATGCACGGAGGAACGGGCTGGAAGTGTAGTACAAGGGCAAGGTGTACTCATAGGTTGGTTGGAACCCTCTCCAACATCGACTCCTTCAACACGGCCCCCCATACTCAGCGCTGCACACATGTGTTGACATGTGCCTTAGCTTGAAGGCTGGCAAGGTGCGTCGCTGGAACCGCAGCGATGACAACATCCTGTATTGCCGGGCCACATGCCCCAAGACCTAGCAGACAACACGACGCTTGCGGGGAGACGGGGGTCTCACTGGCCTTCTGCGCGGGTTCAGGGGTTCAGGGGCGGATGCTTGCAAGGCAACTGCACATCCCGATATGGCTGGATGGCGGGTCGAACGAAGGCTACTGCTGCACATGAGCACATGGCTGGAATCCAGACCCTGCAGAGCTGCACATGCACAGATGCATGGTGCATACCTGAGATGACAGGTACATAGAGGAGAGAGGCAACCAGGCAACCGTGTCAGGAGGCCGGTTGGCTGTTGGAGGGTAAGCGGTTCTGTCACTAGGATGCTGGGGTGCGAGCATGCATACGCCAGCCACCGGAGCAGGGTATGAGCGGTAACGGAAGCTTGCGGAAACGTAAACCTGCGGGAATGGTATCCGCATCAGCGGTCCCAGTTTTGCGGAAAGGCGGAATCGGTTCCGCCACTTTCCGGACAAGCTGTACGGCGGAAAGTCAAACAAGGAGACCGCTAGGAGGCAAGTATGGGTGTCTGATAGTAGATTGTATTGCTTACCACATTAAGAAATGGGGAGTCTCTGCGATTGCTAGGTAACGACCATGCAACCGACACCTAAGCACTTACATGCACAACCCTCCCCAGTTCTCTATCAGTTTGGTGCTGAATTGACCGGCGTTTTGTGGGGAGCATTGCTAGGAGGGCGTAAAGGTATCATAAGACACCGGAGTACCTGCCGTATTGAATCTTGGAAACAGCAAGCCCTGTAGGCCCCTCCGCAAATGGAAATGTAAGCTATAACATATAATATTTAGCAGCTCTACGCAGCATTGGTAGTGAGCTAGGCTGCACCATGTTAGGGAGCGCGACCGAAAAGTCGCGGCTGGAGCACACGGTAAGCCAGGAGTGCATGTCAAACGAAGCATATGCACAAAAATGGCATTCTGCGTGCGCGGCGCAAGCCAACGGCCGTCCCCCCAGCGATGCCAAGGTGGCGGGTGGACTTAACGGCGAGGATACGCAGGCCTCGCCGGTCCATGGAACTGCTATACCGAGGGCTAGCTGTTGTGGGGAACAAACGGTCCTAAGGGCAATAGACGCGAGCATTCCAGACAGTGGTCATTTTGACCACTCTTTGATTGACCCACTCGGGAAGACAGACACTCGAATTCGCAGGTGCTTCTCTGGACAACAGCATTTTGGTTTTCAAGAACAGGCGACATTAGCTGACTGTGTGCAGCAGAGGCATAAGTTCAATGCCAAGCATTTCCATAAGGAACCGCTGTGTGCCAACAACGCGCTCACATGGAGAGAAGCTTACGTTTGCACTAAACATGATACTCGGGAACAGCAATGCGCTACATTTTGTTCGGAGGTGCCGACTCAGGGCTGTTACGCTTCTCAATATTACTCGTCAGGCAATGCCAGGCAGGATGACAACCTCCAGCCCCATGGCAAAATAGACGACAGCAAGGAAGACACAGACACGTCAGAGAGCACCAGCTTAGCGATTAACATGGACGCCCTGAAACCCGCAGCCAGTCTGAGCTATGGCGTTATGGCAGCGTGCTCAGCTCAATATGCATTTGACAGTACATTAGCGGCAATGGCAATTAATCAAAGACAAGGCCTGACTAGCTTCGGCGAATGCCCCATGCCAATAGGAATGGTGTGGGCGGGACGTCCTCAGCCAGGGGCGAGCCACATCGATGCTGTTGTAAGTAGCTGTGGTGAAGCCAACGAGGGACTGGGCATTAGAATGCTGCGTGGCCAAGTACCGTTATTACCGAAGGGCAACTACCGCAAGTGTACAGCAGGAATAGGCGCAACAGTACGTTGGTCTGAAGTGTACCCTTCTGACAAAATAGGTTATGATTTTACACGGTTGAGAGGATTACACGGGGTTACAGGGTTACACGATGCCAGACGGACAAGGGCCTGCCCCGGCGAACTGCCCTACCACAGCCCTACAGCCTCCTGCTCCTGTCCAATGGCCAGTACCTCAAAGCAACCGCACATATTTTGAAAGGCAGGAACGTTCCTACTGCCAAATCCATTCGCTTAAAAACCTGTTAGGAAACCGATATGTAGACCCAGAACATGTCGTACAGTACTGGAAAACAATGAAACAAGACTTGGAAAACGGAGACCCAGGGGTCCTAAGACTTTGGTGCTCCCTGTTCGACGAAAGAGTAGGGATGTCTGTCATCCTCGTGAACCATTACCTGAGAAAGCACGTCCGGATCAGCCATACCCAGCAGCACCCTCAACCCTGCCCATACATCGTCATAAAGCAACCTGACACAGACAGCCACATCAAAAATCTTACGGGCAACCAAACTATGAGCAGGTTACCAAGACATGCTCGTGATGTAGGATTCATCCTCCAAGAAGACCAGCGCGCACATGCCGTAGCAGTTAAGAAACATGAGGACAGATGGCTACTGCTGGACTCGCTTGCAGCTGCTCCCAAGATACTTACAGACCAGGCAGGGCTTAACAAAGCAACGCATCACAGGTGGCAAGACCTGAGTGGAACCATCTACTGCCTAACTAATGCTGACGTACTCATAGTCGGGGGTGCACACAATAGCCTCCGTGCACTCCTAGAAGATAGTGTCCACAATGTAACACCTCGAGGACCCTACCTTGAGAACAGCAGCGTAGTTGACCTTGTACAGGACACGCCAGAGGATGTGCAGCGTATTGAAGAAGCAGACACCTTCAACACCAGTCCGGCTTCTGCCTGCATGGTGCCGAAGGGAAGGGAAAGGCAGGACAACGAGCATGAATTACTGCAAATTGAAGAAGAAACCCGGCCGCTTGAAGTCGGGGAAGAGAGACCGTGTGGACACAACACCCCCGAGAGAGCAACGGGGCCTCCTGCCCGCAAACAAACACGCACAACAGCTGAGGGTAACAATGAACAAACTGGATCAATCAGCAAGAAGAGGCAACGTGCAGGGGCCCGACAAGTTACCTTATTCCAACTATTCGAGTTCAGGATGAGGCGCATCCAAGGGGCACACAGACACCCTGAGGCAGAGAGACGCAACGCACCCCTGCCGCAAGCTCCCAATGCGGGCGTAGATGGACATAGCATGCGAACCGCACCCAACACGACTGCCACCGACACAAATGACCCGATACCTCCCGTGGACAACCCGACACCAAAGAAACAGGGCCTTTTGCAAGAAACTATTGGAAAACAGAACCGAAAGAGCAACAAGGAAAGAACCCGAAAGCACGAAAAAGCGCTGGCCATGCAGGCAGAGATAGCAGCATTACAAGCCAGGATGAGGACGGCCATGAAAAGGCAACGGGAGGCTGTTAACCCGTCCCCCCAAGATGGTGGTGAAAACACGAATGAACCGTCAGCGACAACCACTCAACCGACGACGGGGGAGCAAGCCAACCACGCCCAGAATGCAAACCCGCCTGCTCAAACACGCACTGAAGATACACCAGCGCCACCACCACCGACGGGATACCTAAAAATGGTGAACCACAACGTGAGGGGCCTTCAGGGGCATATCGAATCAATTCGGCAAAGCATTGATGAACTTAAACCGGACATCCTGGTCCTAACCGAAACCAAAATCAGCGGCAGGCACAGACGGGGAGTCCAAGGGGTAAAACGGCAGCTGGAAGGGTACAAAACGTTTATGGCCGCATCACCCAGGCAAGGAACAACGGCAGGCCGGGGTCATGGTGGCGGTCGCAGAGAGGTTCAGCAGGTGTCACAGTGCAGACAGCATCCCCGTGCCGAACGAGCTTGCGGGTTATGTTTGCCACATTGCAATTGCCCCCCCCCGCTAAGCACCCCGCTCGTCCTACTAGGGGTGTACTGCCCCGAAGATACGGAGACAAGGAAACGCATCTACTCCTACTGCCGTACCGTGCTTGATAAGACGAGGCGAGACGGCCACCATGCGGTGGTGTCTGGAGACTGGAACGCGACCTTGAATAATACAGACCGGTCGACCCGGCACCAGGATTCGGTGGACCTAGCCCACCAACGCTTCGTGGCCCAAGCACACCTGCACACAGTAATAGCGCCAACACCTCTGGCACCGCAGGACACACGGGAACCGACCTACA